CAATTAGCGCCCTTTTCCTCGCCGCCTTTTTTAACCAACCATCAGTTTGTCGTGGAAGTTACGCACCAATCAGAAATCAGAAAAGGGCGGCAGAACGTCTCGCGCTAATTGTGCCTCGCCCCCAGACGAGGAGATAGGATGCACAGTGTGATACCAGGCGTTAGTTATCCATGGTAAACCAGGTATTGTTATACAGAATATTTGATGTACTGTACATATGAGGATGTCTGGCAAAAAAAAAGAAAGAAATTGTAAATTTTTTAATTTGCATGGGGTGTGTGCACTTGAGGTCGCTTTAAGTAGCCCTCCCAAAAGAGGCACAATGAACCACCCCGAAGGGCAAAGATGAGGATGCGCATCAAAGGTACTCCTCATCTTATGACACGCTGAAGTAAACAGAAGAAAGGTGAACTGGGAGCAAAGCCAGAGTTCCCCGGAATCAATGGATATGATATCGAGGCCGAGAGCAGGGCCTGTGGCATATTCTACCACTTGGCCCGTTCTTTATTCCTCAGATAGGCATTATTTTCCAGTTTCGAATGCCGAGTTACTAGATTTGCGGACAACTTATCCGTCAGGGGTATCCAATAAAATGGCCACTCACTGTCATTGGGTTCGAGGCTTTGACCTCTGACCATCCTGTGCCGCTCTTTGGTGGCTTGGCTCGATCTTCAAGGTGACGACATGCAATAATATTATTGCTACAGAATTGCGACTTCGACTGCGGTTTTACGTGATCTTGGACCCTTCCAAGGTGGGAGGTGACAAATTAGTTGTACAGTATTTACATATATATGCCCCAATTGTGAGGCTTTTTAAGGTAGCAACAATAGATATAATGGGTCTCACAGATTTCCGTCCAGCTGGCCAATTATCTTAAGCGCCCCATACGTTCTGATTTTCCCGTTGATAAAAGTGGTATCGGTTCTTCAGACTATTTAGAATGGTGTGAGCTGCTCTTTGTGCTTCTTTTTCTTTTCCTTTCTCTGAGTTGTGAGCAGAATTTTCTTTCCTTGGTAGTTAATGTCCGAATTATTGGTGGTCTCTTAAGATCAATTCCCCGTTGCCAGCATCGCCAGTCTTTGTTCTCCTACTTTAAATGAAGCAATGGGATCAACGCACGATGGCCCCAAACCCACCTACCCTGTAAAAGTACCGGTACTCCACCACAGTCTTGTAACAGATGACTTTAACGCTCTCGCATTCCAAGGTGCATCGTCCCTCCAACTACAGCAGGGACTCAAGTATCAGGAAGCCGCTCCGTCAAGCTCGCATCTCATCTCATCCCCGTATAATCGGGACGGCCATCATCTAGATCTTCATACGCTTGATCCTTCTAGCCAACTGCTCGCGAAAGCGCTGACGGTTCTCAAACCCATCCGATCCGATTATGCCGTAGCAGAATATGTTGAATCGTTCAATTGGAAGTTTGTGATGGACGTGCTGAGGGACCTGGCAATTGCAGAAAGCCATGAGTGGAAGGAGCTGTCATTCCATGTCGTGACGTTTCGATCCGTCCTGCTTCCAACAGCAGATTCCGACAGGCTCATGGAGCTCGACTTATATTCTCATTGGGAAGCTACTGTGAGCGGTGGGCTGTTGAAATACTGGTTTGGGATCAAGGATGAGAAATTTAGGAATTTGGCAACCTGTAAGTGGAAGTGGGCCTGTTGATTCCCCCCGTTTCCTCGTGTTTTTCTCCGGGTGGACGTTGGGTCAATATCATTGGGCTGATTTAAACTCTTTCATGATCATCAGGTATCTGGCAAAGCAAGGAGGACGCGAGACGTGGAGGACTTGGGCCGTGGCATAGACAGGCAATAGCAACTGCGAACGAATTGTATCAAAGTGTTGAATTTAAAACTTGGAAGTTGACTATTGCTGACGGGATCGAGGTGTGGGAAATTGCGGATGAGAAGAATGAAATTTGAGTTTGTGATAGGTTAAACCTTTGTTTCTGTTAGCGATGATTTACATTTAGATCTTGGAGTTATTTATGTTTTACTTTCGGTAACAATAGATGATGGAAGGCAGGATGACCATACGTTTGATCATCTACATACAAGGAATGGTAGTTTAACTAGAGGAATTTTCAGACAGGTCGTTTCGGTTGCATATCATTCAAGCAGATTTGAAGCCAGGAAGCGGTTTGCTTCAGTAGGAACATGTTAGCATGGCTAACACGAGGACAATCCGCCATCTCTTGAGGGATGGATACTATCCAAACTCAGCTAATAATTAACTATTTTTAATAGGTTTGATACATACACAGCTTTACATACAAATAACTGGCCTGCAATGTAGACCGCAAGTCAAGAAGAGAACCTCACACCCATCTCCCCATCGCAGTTGACTTGTTGGCTCTGAGCTGCATTCTGTGTATTTTCATTGTGTAGAACTGGCTCATTCGATGTTTCACTCCGTGCGTCATCTTCACCAGCTAACACCTCCCAGACAACTTACTACGTTGCTGGGAGTATACAGTATACTGGGATTGATGGAGAGCTTGATTTGAGTGGTCTGGAAGTTGAGGAGGGAATGTCAAAACAGTGGATTGCTTGTTGACTGAGAGGGATGGAAGGTTAAGAGCCATAGAAGGAAGAAATGACATTGCCAACAACTGGCTCTGTAATATGCTATTTGCTATCAGTGGTAGTTATTGATGGTGCTGATTTGATCTGTGAACTTGAATCTCAATATATTCAGAAGCCGTAGAACTCTGATGAATTGAATTAACTCTTAATCTGTTCTGCAAGAATGTCATCACTAAGAGAGTTGATTTGGCTCCTGCATAGCAAAAAGATCTTTGTTGATAAATGCGCTCAGATTGAACTGCGATGGATGTTCTACTTGGGAGATCTGGCTCTCAGGTGGTGAAAGGTGGTAGCTTGGATAATGGTTGAATACACTAGACAGGCAGCATTAATGTGGTGGTGTTCTGAAAATTTGATGATATGTGAAGTGCAAGACTCTCTTCTTGACTGTGGCTAGTGATTTTGTTTGTGAAGCAGTGTCTTCACTGAATTCATTGCAAAATATTCAATTCCATTCTTGGCCCGGTGCCAAGGGGAGCCTTGGATAAGGGTCAGCGCCAAGGCTGAAATGCCATGACTGGAGTCAAGGTTGACAGGAGCTCAGCCCCGCACACGACTATGACTCTAAGCCCGTTTGAGGAGCCAAGCCATTAACTTTAACTTAACTTTAATCCAGCCTCAAGACAACGCCGACCAATATCATGCGACATCCTTCATGCCCACAGTGATTTAATCCTATCATAGGATCCCTCATGCAACTGATGCGGGGCAATTTACGGGTCGCTGGTAGTATCGGCGTATCACACAAGTCATCTCGAAGACCCTGTCCAAGGTTTCCGCAGGAAACACGTCCCACCTCCTTTCTTCCTGAGCCATGCAGCTTCCAGTCCTTTCAAATGGCCGGCACCGAAAGGCGCCTTGGCTTGGTCGTTTTTCGAGCATCGGACATTTTCAAAGCACTAACATGGCTAAGGTCGTGAAAGTTTGAACGGTCGTGAAGGCTAACTATGGGTGATTCCCCTCACCTTTCGCATTCGTCAGCGAATCATGAAGGACGTCACAGCGATGGACTGCTGCCTGATACCCTTGAAGTGGTCTTTAAATGCCATCCAAAATTCCTATTGTTTTTGCTTGGAGGAAATATCCTGACGCTGTTTGCCAAACCAGTGTCTGGAGGAGAAACATTTGAAACTTGTCTGTGATTTTGAACCAATTTACTTTTTCTCAGCCCGCTGATAAAAGATATTCCAATTACTGTAACATGGATCCCGTCCAGCCAGCCGCTTCCTCGGAAGATGATTTCGAAATCATCGATGACCAGATTCCTATCCGCCCTCGCCTGAGCACGAGCACCACTATCGCGGGAGAACGAAGTCCCAATGAAGTTGGAGTTCAACTACATCCTCTGCCAGACACCAATTCTATGATACTCTCCGTTCACCCTCCACTGCATCCCGAAAAAGAAATGCCCCATGTTCCATGTGACATTGTTCTCTGTATTGATGTTTCCTACAGTATGCAGTCGAGTGCTCCCCTCCCTACGACTGACGAATCCGGTGAACGCGAAGAAACCGGGTTGAGCGTTCTAGACTTGACCAAACATGCTGCTAGGACAATAATTGAAACGCTCAACGAGAATGATCGCCTGGGCATTGTGGCTTTTTCGACCGAGGCTGAGGTAATTTTCCCTTTTGACCACGGCCGACATACCGTATACGAAGAGTCACTAATCACTTCGCTCTAGGTCGTTTACAAGATATCCAAGATGAATGAAAGTAACAAGAAAGCAGCATTGAAAGCTGTGGAAGCTTTGAAGCCTTTATCTTCAACGAACTTATGGCATGGCTTGAAATTGGGTTTGAAGGCGTTTGAGAATGAACGCCATACACTGCAAAGCGTTCAAGCGCTTTATGTCTTAACTGATGGTGTGTACAAGGTTCTATGCACGTATTGTACATGTAGTAGGGTCGCTCATGCTAACGCATATATAAATTCAGGAATGCCAAATCACATGTGTCCGAAGCAAGGGTATGTAACGAAATTGCGTCCAATCCTGCAACTGCTGGGCCATCGTATGCCAATGATACATACATTTGGGTTTGGCTACAATATTCGATCGGGTTTGTTGCAGGCGATTGCGGAGGTCGGAGGGGGAACTTTCGCTTTCATCCCTGACGCGGGAATGATAGGTACGATTTCAATGAACCTATAATGTGTATGCACCTTCTTATATTTGAACAGGAACTGTCTTTGTCCATGCCATTGCCAACCTTTATACGACCTTCGCCACCCAAGCGAAGGTAACATTTCAGACCTCGGGTTCAGTAACGCTAGCACAAGAATTGGGTAGCAAGACAGGTCTAGGACTGCACGAAGAGTCAACAAAGGACAGCAATCTCACAGTTGCAATTGGCACTTTACAATATGGCCAATCCCGCGACCTAGTTATCCGGACGAAGAATGCAACAACAGCAGCAACACCCTCGATGGCACAAGCAACATTAACATATCAATTCCAAGGGCGTCTTAAATCAGTTGTTTCTGACGAGCAGGTACTCTCTCAGCGCACATCTCTTCCGGTCCATGTTTCCGACTATCATTTGTCTCGTGCGCGTATCTGCGCCTTTCTAAGGAGTCTCTACCCCTTGGGCCCAGATAAAGAGTATACCAATATCGATGAAAACGGTCTTAAAAATGCACGACAGCAGCTGGATCACATTATCAAAGACATCAAACAGCTTGAACATACCGATGAAGAGAATGACAGCTTAGTAAGGGATCTCGCCGGTGAGGAACCAGAAGGCCAACTTAGACTTTCCATCTTGGTTCATGCGAATTTTGCGAAATGGGGGAAACACTACTGTGAGTACCTTCTCCATGATTGTTACGAACACATTTATGAACTTTATTAATTGTACTTTTAACCAGTACTGTCACTTCTCAATGCACACACCCACCAGATGTGCAACAGCTTCAAGGATCCTGGGCCTCTCCAATACGGCAAGAACTCGCCCTTCTTTTGCCGGTGCCGCGAGGAGCTCGATACCTGTTTTGATAATCTTCCTCCACCAAAACCATCGATTATCGAAAAGTCTCCTGATGGAACAGTCAAAATCCGCCCGTCCTACAAAATGTCTCGATACAACTGCAGAAACAATCCTTGCTTTGCAGGGCATTGCAACATCCGTCTTGCCGAAAGGAACAGCAGCTTACCCATTCGAGATATTCGTGCTGGGATCAAAGTATGGACTCCGCTCGGCCCGCGCCGCGTGAGGGCTGTTTTGGCTACAGCAGTCAAAAACACCATCCTTTGCAATATTGGCTCTTTATCGATTACTCCTTGGCATCCAATTCAGGTCGCAGGAGATTGGATATTTCCATCGCATGTATCAGAGCAGAATGTCCCTTTTTCGGGAACAGTCTACTCCGTTTTGCTTGACCCTAGCCCCGTCTCAGATGCCCATGCGATCATGGTGGAAGGACATGTGTGCGTCTCACTCGGCCACGGTATCCAAGGTTGTAACGATGTTCGTGCACATCCCTTCTTTGGTAGCTACCCAAGCGTTCTCAGGAGCCTGGCATCGCTTCCCCGTGATGTCAACGGAATCCTGAGGTGTTCTGGAATGAAGCGAAACCCATTAACCGGGCTTGCTTGTGGATTTATTGGTGAAGGAGGATTCCGAAAGTCGATTAACAAAAGGCCCTTCAAGCGATCTGCCAAAGTGGGCCTCCGTTATCACTTCCAAGCCCCAATCACGGTGAACCCTCGCCGACGAACTGCTTGTCCAGCTTTTTAAAACTTGGAGAACAGGTCTATGCTCAGTGGGGCTGCTTGCTCCATCGAGGAATCAAGGGATGTGGGCCGGTAAGGCAGGAATTGCAAATTCTGATTTATGTTAATTCGATGAATATTCTTTTATTGGGTAGCTGAGCACTGACCTAGGGTCTAATATACCATACATAAGCTTTGCAACAATAGCCTACTAGGCGGCAGGTGACCCGTCCTTCGCATGAATTATATCTTGAGATAGTGAATGTATTTCACCACTTTCTCACCCACGCACTTTCTTGATCACTTTGTACCATTCCATGAATTTAGTATGAGAAGTGACTTTGTAAGAAACAAGACAAACATGAAGTGTACTGTACTGTACATTCCCATCCTAAATTGATGTAGCGGGACAAAGTGATCAAGAAAGTGGTGTGGGTGAGAAAGTAGTGAGATACGTGAGCTCAATTCAATCACGATTACTTTACCTACCCATTTAGTTATTGCTAAAGTAGGAATATTTGAATGTGCATGAACATGTACCATCAATTCAGGGTTGTTACATTGACCTGTCCTCTCTGCTCTATCTTTGGGCATCATATTGCGCCGATCCTTCACAGCCCACTTGGCTAACCACTTGGTTATCTTTTAGCCAAATGACATTATAAAGCATGATGAGATTTACATTATCTCTTGAGTGGTTCTTAAATCATGAGTTAGTAACAGCATATCAAACTGCATACAATCTAATAGGGATACCACCTCGAGTGACAATGAGTGCCGTCAGGCTAACAGAACTGCATTGGTGTTTCGACTAAATTTTTTGGTATTCTGGATGTCGAATGTGGAACGATAGGTCATTCAATTTTTACATCTCCCGATTTAAAAACACTAACTGATAGGCATCTTTCGCGTTGGTTTTCAGGCCTTGGCTCCGAACGAAATCATGTCCGGTGTGTGAGCTTTGTATTTTGCACTGGTCCATGCTCTGACAGACATGCTGTGCTAAACATAAGCCTCGAGGAATTGCTGGAACACCTGATCTGATTAGACTTCGTGACTTGCAAAGGAATTGGACGTCTTCCACGGTGACAAACTTCATATTGAAAAGGCGAGAGGAAAATAAGGCTGCTGTGGCGACTGAGAATTGATAACCCTTGCTGTCTCTGAAATGCAAGGAGTGGGCTTCTGAGCAACTAGGTAACAAAAACCTTCCTTGATTCGAAAGTGGAAAATGACTTGGAGAAAGTATAGTTTAGAATACAAAGCCATGATTATTTTTTTCGGACCTCTAAGTATGCATTAATTACACCAACTCCGTCTGATTATACATTTCTAGGAGCAAATCCAACCAAATTCGTTAAGATGACAGACAGCTGAATCAAGCGTTTGAAGAATCATGCAATCTTGGAAAGCATAACCGCAATTCACAAAAGCAAACGAAAACAAAAGAAATAAGAAAAAAACCGAAAATGCAAATGAAATTAATCCAACACCGCCCCCCTCCTCCCCCAAGTTCGTTGAAATATATCCTCTAGCGACCAATTCCCCTACTCCTTCCCGCATACGATGACAGAACCCTTCATGTCAATGGGGTTGGCAATTTGGTGATCGCCGTCCAAATCATCATAGGTGTTGCATTCATCAATTTCCGCGATTATTTGGTCGTTTTTGTCTGTAATTTGGCAGAGGCCACCACGAGCAAGCCTGGTCAGCTGGACACTTGAGGCGAGAAATTTTCCATCGGAAATGAGGGGCCCTGTTCCGAACAGTTGGGCAACATCTCGCTTTTGGTTGTCAAGCGGAATCGTCTTGGAAACGGAACGGCCAGTTCTATTGTTTACAATCTGGACTTTGACTTCGTTGTTGCTGCGACGTGAAGGAACAGCAGAGGTGAAAACAGTGAGAAGAGATAGGATAATGACGATGGAGATGTGCATTTTGTAAGTTGAGGTATGTGCGTTTTTTGTCACTTGTGTATATAGCGGTTGGAAGGAGGTGGACGTTTGAGCCTAGAAGATATAGGCTGGCAATATTGTTGGGAGGGGATTTCTTCGGCGTTGAGGTGGAGATTTTGGTTCTGTGATTATTATTTCTGATTCTAAAGCAGGTGTACCATTATTTTTAAATTCTTTCTCTCAACGGCTCCATGTGGTTGAAGGGGCGCCAACAAATAAGTGCCATCATCTTTCGGGGGATTTTCGCAACTGTACAGCCTTCTTTGGCATATCTTTATCAGCTGGGATGCAATGCAAGACATTACCCGAGGAATTACGCCAGTAAAATCGAGAGCTTGAAAGGCTTATCAACAGCATGGACTTCCTTACTGCGACGTTCGGTGGCGTTTTAATTTAAAAAAAAATAAAATAAAAATAACAAAAAATACACAGTTGGAGCGTTTACAATGGTACTTTGTGCAAAATTTGGCGTTCTAGGATCTCTCTCTTCAAACACGACATGATTTGCGAACGGGTTTTGCGCGATTACTTCGATACACTAGCTCCGTGCAGCAGGTGGACATCTCTTTCAGCAGCTACAGAATCGGGCTGTGTGGTAATTCTCGACTAGTCCATTCCTCGCTTTTGATTAATGAACAGGAACCAGGAGTCTCGCCTGGTAGGCGCCGGTAACAAGGTTTCCTGGAGTGATAAATGTCCTCATTCTCATCCCATGCATCTTGCCATACCAATATCTCTACACGCTTCAACCGGCTTATTTGTCTTGGAATGTTAGATATCAGGCGGTTAAGCAAATTATTCGAGGATTGGATCAACAATGAATGTAGTCATTGGTCATCTTTCCGTATGCAAATTGTGGCATGTGGGTTTTGCGTGATTGAAGAGAAGGGAAATCTTTTTGGTGCAGGCGACTGAAATGTCTATTTTTGGGCACATCTACAACATTTCAGCCATCATTTAATAAAGTTAAAAGTTGGTTTCCCTGCAACCTCAAGGTTCACAGGCTTGTTACTACCATCACAAAGCTCAGAGCAGCTGAATGCGTGGGCTTGGTGTTCTCAGGGCGAAAGCCCAGCTGGTCAATCATGCCGTTAAGCAGGTTTCACTGAGCCTTCTTGTCAATCGATTTTAGCCTGATTACTTGGTGGGTACTGTACAAAGTATCCGGCTAATTGCAAAAAGCAAAGAATTAATATTTTCTAGGGGCAGTTAAATCCTGGGACCCACTACGGGTGCCTGCGGCATGACAGTCTTGGACATAGAAGGCAGTGGAGTTGTGAGGTCGTGAGGCAAAGAAGAGCCCCACGTCAGGAAGGCTTCTAACGCGGGATTCCCACCAGATATGTATAACAGTACATGTACGGATGCACTGTACATTGCGTGTTCTCAGTGTACCCTGTAGGCTGTTGCAACCGTAACCGAAGAAAATATGGAGGGCAAACCACCTGCATATGACAGTGGAAGTAAAAAGACACTGACTGACTCTGCCAAACTTGATACCACACAAACACAAACACAGATTCACTCAACATCACCTTCATTTCGTACGAATTTCGTGAGTGTTTCACTACACTTGATGGGTAGGATCCACCTTCTAGGGTTGGTGGTTGCGAAATCCTCTACTCTACGTATTACCTTGTCGTAGAAACAATCAAGGAATAGTCCCGAACAAGCTTCCACCACGTCAATATGGCCCTAAACTAATCTCGATTAAGGGGGCTAGGCCGATATCTATTTTTGGTCGTCTCAACGTCAGCTCCTCTTCGCAAAAAGCAGCCCATCTCTGTATGCACAAGTATGGGATGTTCTCTCACAGATCGTCTTCGAGAATTGGCATCCCTGAGGGTAAAGCTGTGTGGAAGACAGGCATTCTTGTACAGGTAGAATAAGTCTTTAATTGCAGTGGCTACTATCCATTAAGCGCTAGGGTTTCGGGTATTTCACCATCGCATTGTCTAGCGACCCGAATAACCTCGGATAACCACTCAGCCGCTTAGTCATGTGATATAGTGTACCGGATAGAACGCCAACTAAAAGCAGTGCAACTTCAATCCCGTAGATACTCATGATGGAGGTGGAGGGTTAGTTCATTGTGCTCTGTCGCCAGGCGCAGCACTGCTCAAATAGATGTGGGTCACGTTGCCTTCTAGCGAGTGATATCACTATACTATTCAGAGAAAATGAATCCAAATCACCCTACTTTGATCACTTTAGATATTCAGAATCAGAATTTAAGTCAGTGAGAAGTCTTCAGACTATATAATATTTCTGAGTCAAGTTTACAAATTATATCACTGATTGTATGAATAAAAACGCTGTAGATTTGGAAAACAATGGCTAATCTCATCAGAAGAAGATACTCTTACTGAGTGAATTCTATCTCCAGATAAATACAATCTTTCTTCTTGAATATCTACTGTACGATAAATGACAGATCTTCTTCTTGAGAAGTCTCTTTGAGACAGCTGATTTGACATCTGCTGCTTCTAGAGTTCTTGAATAGCTCTTTCTCTGATATATACAATCTTTTTCTTTTCTTCCTTAATCCAGTCATACTCTACGTTGGTGTCTGAGACCAGTAAGCAGCCTAGAGGGTAAAGCCAAGCAAGTAACCACTAGTTATATATCACATGACTAAGCGCGCAAGAGCTCCCCAGCAAGTGGATGTACGACATAGCGATCACCGATCTTCCAACAGTGCTGGGGCGATGGGATGCGATTGCTCCTATAAATAGGACTCTCGGTCCTTTCCCTTGACATCAGCACTTAAATACACAAACTGACTAGTAGAATAAAAATTTCATTGCAAGATATACTAGTTATAGAAAATAGTTTATAGTGATTGGGAATTTTTCACTATTCTATATTTCAGTCAATCATTGAATTGAGTATCATGAGAATCTGGAGTGGGGGCCAGCAACAAGCAAGTTGAATCACACAGGAAAGCTGCTGACTGCTAATTTGTATATTTTTCAATAAGGAGTCCGCTGTTTTCTGTGCCATGCGATTGATACAGTGTACATCTGTGAGAACGGTCTTTCCACAGATTTGGTACCTAATCCAAGGAATAGGGATTGTTTAGAGAATGAGGTTGTCGATTGTGGTGTGATTCATACAAGTAGTTACTAGTATTTCCAACTAATTGTTATCAATAGCTATCAAACAGGAGCTTATGGCTTTTGTTGTTGATTTATTGGCTTCATCAAAGGCATCTCTCTGTCTTTTAGTTATTGCCAATGATGCAGTGTCGGTATGGAACGCTTCACGGCTATAACCAGTGGAAATGTGGAATGAACAACATAAGGATTTACCACTGCTTTTGGCGGGGGGTTCAAATGTTGAGCCAATCCATCTTAAGATATTTAACAAAAAATAATTTTATTCTCTTCAAACGTGTAGTCAAGTGAATTAAAGATTCAAAGTAGATTCAACCATCTCACTTCCTTCCTGATAATACTGGTCTTTTTTCAGCATACTGTACATATCCTTTAATTGAACCGTGGTACAGTTTCAACATTTCATTTAGATTAAAGGATCCGTCATACGTGGTACTGGGTTCTACCAAATCTATCACCAGAACACCGATCGTTTCAGAAGCAAGATATTATCAATGGAATAAGAACCTCTGGGAATAAGATGCTTGATAATTCCTCTGATCATAGAAGAGGAGTCAGAGCTCTAGCTTATAGTAATCTAATATAAGATATTCCATTGCAAACGCTAATATATGGTTCGATTGATAGTTTGATTGCTCTGGAAATCGATAGCATTTCGCATTCACAGACCGACAAACTGCTGACTTTCTCTCTTCCTGCCACTTTCCCTTGCCATTCAATTTGTGAGGTAAAATACACTGTTGAAGTTTAATGCGGCCCAAGTGGAGAATTAAACGATGTAAAACAGACCATAGACTAGACAGGAACCCCCCTTTTTTTGACCGTACATGTACCGTATGAGTTCGCTACAAGAGGGCCGCAATCCTGTCCGTGGATACCTACCGCACTGGTGTGACACATGCAGCACCGGGATGTGGATCATCACTCCAGTAGAAATTTGGGCGTTACATCCTGGTTGGCGAACACCCAGAAGATCTGGCATTAATATACTGCCCTGGTGCTTGAAGCTTCGGCTTTCCGGTTAGACGCAAGCTCTATGCCCGACACCAATGATGCTCCATTTTAGTTAGACAAATCACAGATAATGACCTCGGTAAAAGATATTTGGAGGAGAGACTTTGTACTGCAAACCTATTTGCTCTGTTGACAAAACTTTATACAACAAATAGTTAAAGCCCATTTCAGCATTTTTTCTTTGATAATCCTTATACTCGAATGCATCCTCAATACGATGATGGCCTGGAGAAGATCAGTGAGTATTAATTGCATTCTTCTCATTTCTTACAATTTGTTACAAGGACTAATTGACTGTTGCTTTCTTCACTACTAGTTCAAAAATTAGATGCATATTTATATCTCGATGAGAAAGGAATTCCGCAATTGTTAAATGTTTAGTGAGACTGCGCAGCAAGCTGATCTCAAGTTAGGAAATTCCACCAAAAACACCGCTCATTTAAATCTTCAATAGGACACTTCACCATTGATTCTATACAAGAATTATCATAATATCTTGTATTTGCATGTAATGTAGATCTAGAATAAACAGTCAATTCATAGCTAATAAAACGATAATAAAAAAACCCCAAAAAAAACCTAAGAGACCAGAGTTTTATTTGGTAGTAGCTAGCTAATTCTAATCGATCGCTGCTCAACTTCGAATGTTGAATCCTTTCATTTCATCAGGGTTGTTTTGTCTATCCACTAACTCTCTCTTAAGATGATTTAGTGCCAGAAAGTTCGAAGATCATAGCTTCGAAGTCACTGAACAACGACGCCGCTTTTACGTCAGTGAGCCCAGAGAGCTGGGTCGCGGTAAGGCCGCACGTTCCACGTTCGCGATCGACCCACTAGAAGAGCGTTGAAATAGTTGTTAGTGGGCCGCTTCATTCCTTTGTATTCTAGAAAATCTCATTTTGTTTCACAGGAACGCTTACCCAAAAAGAATTATCAATTCCATGCCAATTTAATGCCCCCTTCAAGCGTCTGTTTGGTATATCCTCCATCGCCAAGACGCCAGCAAGCGAATGATTCCAAGTTACATTTCCTGGTACCCCGTTTGTCATAGACAGCTCGGTCCCTGACATCTGCATGAATTGAATGAGATGGCTGTTGTCACTGAGTTGGGGCTCAAGCATCTTCGAAACTGTCTCCGGTGCTAGGAGTTTGCCATCGTTTTTCAGAATAGAAATCAGAAATGTGATATATTCCGTTGGTGTGGACCAGAGTCCATGTCCTCCATAGTCATCAAAAGGTTTGAGAGGTTGCATGAATTCTACGACTGGTACCGGGGTAGGTATAAGTCCACCGGTCGGAGCTCGTGTAGTTGACTCAGGTTTATTGTCCAGAATATATTTGTTCTGGGAGGGTCGCAAGGTGGTGTGCTTCATTCCAAGAGGCTCAAAGATATTCGCCTTGAAGTACTCTTCCAATTTCATCCCTCCATTCACGCGTTCGACAGCTTTTCCAGCCCAATCGAGGCTTGCGCCATAAACCCAACCCTCTCCAGGTTCAAAGAGCAACGGGTACGTGAGTTTTTCCTATCAGACTTAGTTTTCCTTGATGCCAACAATCTCAAGGGTATGGGATTCAACTCACAACTGGCTGAAGTCCTGTTACTGGTGTAGTTTTAGTGACCTCTCTCCATTTTGCTAACAATGGATGCCACTTGTCATAAGCAAGCCCGGATGTATGGGTTAGAAGATGACGAAGAGTTATCTTCTTCTCGGCCTTCTTGATAAGAGGTTCTCCTGTCTTTTCATCGAAGCCGTACAAAATGCCTAGATCCGACAGCTCAGGGAGGATACGCTCGACGTTTTCGTCTAAATCGATGAGTCCTTTCTCAACGCATTGCAGAACGGCGACTGAAGTGATGAACTTCGTGAATGATGCCAGCCATAGTGGAGTATCGACAGAGAACGGCCCTGCATCGGTAAAGCCAAAGCTTTTGGAATACAAAATGTCCCCTTTTTATAGTGATCACATAGTAAGTAATAAGTTTGGAGGTGGCGGGGGGAGGGAAAGCTCACCGTTTCTATCCGCGGCAATCATAGCAACCCCAGGCATAACACGATCCGGGCCATCTGCAGTCAAAGACGAGGCATTTTTCTCGAAAGCTTCCATGTTTACGCTCCTCTTTTGGGCCCTTCCCTGTTCGGAAATGTTTTCTCGGAGACTTCAAAAGGCTTCAAATCTCAAGCTGAGAAGTTTAGATCAGATCAAAAATATAGACTAAACTTATATATATAAAAAAGATATTAGGCAAGCCTCGCATCTGAACTTCAATCAACAGTGTCGAGCTTATATACTATATATACCAGATGCATAAAGCGCAACACATCTTTCACAAGCCCGAGAATATAACAATTCAGTTCGTCAATGAGCCCCGCAAATTTAGAGTTCCGAGTGACGTTGCTTTGGGCGTTAATACGCCGATCGGGTAATATTGAAGCCAGCTACGATCAATGCGTGCTGGTTGGAAAGCTCCGATGATGCTTACTCGCAACCCTCCGAGGCCAATGCCATATTGATCTTTCGTAGCCATAAGTTACATAGCTAGATCAGCCATTCCTCCTAATTTCGAAACAATTGAAGTATGACTGCCGACATTTGAGCCAAAATCCATGACAAGCGTTTCGGAGAGGGAAGCGAAGAGAATGGTTCGAACCAATGACAGATTTTCATGGCGTTGCAGAGCAGAAATGCCAAAAATTGCAAGGAGTGCCAAAAATCTGCCTGAAATAGATTTTGGTATCCGACCCGCTTGACAAAATGAAATTTAGATAAATCGTTCGTAGACACCGATAACCACTACTGGCGGCACAGGGGCCCATATTCAAAAATGGAGAGGGGCCGAGGGAGGGCCGGTTAAGCCCCCTGCATACAGAACCAAAAACAAATCGCTGGACAAAATGAAATCCGAGATCCACATAAGGGCTCAGTGTTGACCCTCTCAGCGTTTTAAATAGAAGCGTCTTCGGCGACTTTAAATGGCAAGGGGATACGCCAATACGACTTGAGACTTGAGCTATTGTAGCGCAGGAGCGTCTGGAAAAATGGACCGAGCACGGATGTAATCATGCCCTCACTTCATCACCAACAACCACTTTAGATCATCCCCAAATATCCCTGCTCTCATGCATTGAGCAACACCATGTTCCCGTCCCTTGCTCAAAGCCATCATCTTCCCGTGTTGACCTCAGTCCCAAGCGCTTGATCCATCTCTGCGAACCTACTGTTCAGCAAGATAAATCCACCTGCTAGTCAGTCTCTTGTTCAATAATCATGACTTTGTGTCCAGCAAAATATCATAACAAAAGAGGCTGTCAAATTTGGATTTTAAAGGATAATAGTCAGCAGAAAGAAGTGGGACACAATCCTTGCTTGAACAAGAGGGGATCTCAATGTGGGTTGCTTTTGATACCACCGCCACCTCACTACCACTTTATCATTTTTTGATTCCTCTGTCAATTAAGAAAATGATGGTTGGCCCCCAAATACAAGCATAAGGATGGCCTAAGGAAGTGGGACGAGGAATGACGTTAATTTCTGCAATGAGCAATTCTGTCGGTCCTATCATAACACCAAATAGGAAATTCACAACTACGACCGTCCAGGATGTTTTACGCATGCATTCATGCTGGTCCTCCCTCATTTTATCTGCTGAGTCCTCTGCTGAGTCCTGTACTTCGTCATTTGGGGCTTTTAAAGGGCGGTCAATGTGTTCCATTTTTCTATTTACTTGGCTAAGCGTTTCCAAAATAGCAGTTCCAGCAACCTTCATTGTGTCTAGGATCAGCCAATGGATATTTTGGGAACCACAATGTGTTAAATTTAAGTATGGGTACACTATTGGCTATTTAAAGGATTTGACATGCTTACGTTCAAAAGGCATCAAAATAATGGCGCATGCCTATGATGAGAGGTATCGCCTCGCATCAACAGAAGGGGTCCAGGATTGTTGCTTGGGAACCAAGCATCAGCCCAAGAGCTCTTTAGTGTTGCATCTCACATTTCTGCACTGCTGGCAGGCCCCATCTTTGCATCCACTCCATATCCAACCACTTCCTCAATTGTGGCCCTTTTTCTTGGTTCAAGGACCAACATCGACTTCATCATGTCACAGAACGCATTCTCCTCCTCTGTTGAAAAGGTATCAAACCTCATTCTCTCCCGTGGGTGCTGTATAAATTCCATGAACCGCTGGGTCCAGTCTCTGGCGCTACTGCCATACCACTGACGAAGTGTTTCTTTCACATTCTAGTGTCCATCTTCATCAAACCTATTTCTTCTTTCCTCCCACTTGCTCCACCACCGATCAGGAAGTCTACCAAGCATCTCAACATGCTCAATTGTAACCCTATCCAGTGTGATGGGGAAGGCTTCAAAGGGGGGACTGGATCCAAAAGTATCCCAGAGAGTGCATGCAAGCGTCCATATATCTCCTGGGAAAGAAAAATGATCATCTGATTCTCCAGGCTCTGCAAAGTGGGATTCTGGTGGTGAGAGTGGTGTGTGGGCACTGAACCGTCGTGTCACTCGAGGATCAAATGCTTCTCCAAAATCTGCAATCACAATGGCAGAATCTGCCAGGAAAATCTCATCACTACTGAGTCCAAGCCAAACGGGGACAACAACTTCTGAAGGAACTCCTGGGTCAAGTGGAGTGCCATCTTCACGAACAACATACTCTTTTGCTGGTTCACCGGTTCTAGCATGCAGCTGCTCAAGAGACATATCTTGCATATCAAGTGGAAAGTGAAGAAGAATATTTGCAAGATGAAGATCTGTAGCCACGTTTATATTATAATCCATACTCTCTGAGTTCAATGGAAAGGAATTTTAGCAGGTCAAACATACCGCCATGAACAATACCTTGAGAATGGATGAATTGCAAACCCAGTATAAGTTGTGAGGTGATGGTACGAGCAGCAGGGAGATGAAGAAGTCGATGATATGCAGCCTCTTTTGCTTCATGAATATTGATTTTAGCAGCATCCCTGACCAAACATTGGTGAGTGCCATTTGACCCAGAGAAGGTGAAAAAATCGAGCAGCTTCTGTGCAACAGCCTTTCTAGGGAGCCTAGATTTAGCCCTAGCTAGCTGTGAAGGAATCTGCATCTCACGCGTTCACTCAGCTGATTCTGCCGTGGAGATCTTGAGGGCAACAAGTCGACTTTGCCTTCTATCATCTGCCAGCTAGGTTGCGGCAGACCGGCCGAATCCAAGTTTATGAGCGATAACATATCGACCGGCACAAAATTCATCACCAATCATGACAGGATGGTAACCTCCGGGAACATAATAGTCCAAGCGCTCAACTTCTTCCACAAACTTGTACCTGACTCTGCTGGGTTCCATGTGTGTTGCCATACTTCTGCAGGGGTGTGAAATGGAGAATTGTGTCTGTCATCAGGGCGGCCCAGTTACTAATGGTCTGATTCTGCGAAATTGCAAGAACGCGTTGCTTGTTCGATTGGCCAGCGAAGTGGTGCTGGGTTCAGGTCATTTGTAACTAAGGCAGCTGGGACAAAAGACAGAACAGAGCAAAGCTTGTTAGCTAGCGTATAAGGCTACCTCAAGGGGGAGTATAGAGATCTCTATTCTATCGGCAACCAAGCGGGTATCAAGAGGTAGGCGGCTAGTTAGCAATCTCTATTTCTAGAGGCATCGAGCAAATATCTAGCAAGTAGTCAAATAGCTAGAGATCTCTATTCCAATAGAGATTCAGCAGATATATCACAGATAGAAACCTAGCTAGATGTTTCCATTCTAGTACGCAGTATGCTCACAGAATCTCAAAGAGCGACTAGCCAGTTAGATATCGCTATTCCAGTAGCAATTGATTGAATATTAATCAGATATCAAACAAGAAGGCAGCTAGCTATTAATCTCCATTTGAATAGAGATCTGGGGTATAGCAGTAATCGATCGGATATCGATCGGATATTCGGCGGGCAGGTAGGTAGGAAGGGAGGCAGATAGAGATCCATATTCAAATGGAGATTGAGAGGGAATATGTATCGGTAGAAACAGGTCACCTAGCATCTACTACAATCAGATCATCAGTATGCTGACCTCTAAAGGAGACTACTCGTACACAGTAGATGCCCGGGCGATTAGCGTTGATGAGGATAACTAAATCGTTACTAGAAAATAAAGATCTGAGAAAATATTCAATACGAATAGTTACTTATTTCTATAACTATAAGGAATAAAGATTAATTTCTTAATCCTTAATAAATATAAGTAACTGGCATTCAAATGAGTAAGTCGTCCTTGAAGCCAAGAAGAGACCCTGTAGTAGAAATTGATCAATCCGCCCAATGTCTCGCCGCTCCGGCAACAAAGTTTCGATCCCATGGTTAACAAAGCACAAACAGCAGGCCCCTCGTGCTGAATGAAATATATTAGATAGCTAATACATAAAATAGCTATACTAAGAGCAGAGGAGCCTTTCTCGATTCTTATACTAGAAACATTGAGCAAACCAAAATTTTTACCGCTCCTTGTTGATCAGAACCAATTGCAAATCGAAAGACTAGTATCAGAGAGAAGGCGGTTCAACGATCAGCGTTGAAGGTGGAGGACCAAACAAATGTTGACATTTCCTTTGCCTTTATTCCTTAGGATTCATATGCTTCGCCACCGCCGGACAAATCGCGGACCTTCAGCTTTCCTTTCTGTGATGTGATGGTACCTCCGCAGAATATGGCCATTGGGACCGCGGAGGCGAAACAGATCAAACCAAGCGCCAAATTCATCCCCGCCCAGCCAAAACTGGTGATCACGAAACCTCCAATTATTGGGCCAAGAAGTTGCCCAGCAGCAAAAGCCATATTATAGAGTGCATAGCCCTGGCCCATGGCACCGGGCCCCGAAAACAAGACTGGATCTCTCTCTTCCAGTTCGTCGACTGCGTGGGAAATTTCTGTCATTGTGATTACCTGAACGACTGTGATTGCTAGACCAACAAGAACAAGCAATGCCCCTAGGGTTATCTGTTGTCCTGTTGTGTTGTGCTGCACAAGTCGGAGGAGGATGAGTGGGGGGCCTGCGAGTATGAAGCCAAATGTGCCGAACACGCGCGATCCCCAACGGTCCACACCCTTCCCTATTAAGACTCCAAATAAGCACGGAAGGGCGAAGATGAGAAATAGAATTCCCGTTCCGCTTGGAGTCCAGTTGAATTTATCCATCACGAATATGGGAAGTGTCTACAACAGGTCAAATTTTTTTTACCCACATCAGTACCGCGTTTAGTATTGTGTCCACTCAACAGGTGATTGCAGAAAACGTACCGTTTCGAATGCAGTCCATACAATTGACTGAATCACAGTTGCAAACAAATTAACCAATATCCGGGAATCCTTGAGCAGGTGGTATATCATCAGTGCTTTTGTGGAAGTAGGCTTCGAATTGCCGTTTTTAGATGGTTGGATGAGTGGCGACTGTTCGTCAATGGTGTCTTCAGAGTCCGAACCCAGAGATTGAGTCCGGCTCGACGAACCTGGTGGGGATGGGTGATCGTATGAATCAGTGTGGTTTCGAGCGCCTACGATATGGTGGAGCCACCTATTCGCAACTGCAACCCTCCAAATCAGCTTCCCATCCTCTAAGAAAACTACCCACGCAGAGGTTAGGCATACCTTTTTTCTCAATCATAAGAAGCCGCAGTACGATGTCAATGCATAGTAATGCTATCGGTACCGCGAATGCTGCATAATAGCCTGCCTTGGTGAACCTATCTCAACACATAGGTTAAATGTGCGTTCAGACTGCGGCGAGGACACTGAGAAAAGAGAATATTAACGCGCGTACATGACTCCTCCAACAATTGGTCCGAATAGCACCCCCCAAGTCAATGCGAGGGAGACATATCCCATTGCTTGCCCAATTCTTTCCTTGGGGACAGTATCAACGGCCAATGCCATTCCGACTGCTCCAACGGCACCACCCGAAAGCCCTTGCATTGCCCTTGCCACTACAAACAAGCCTGGGGACCGCCCAACGAGGAATAAAGAAGTCGCCAATATCATGGCAACCAACCCCATAACGAACGGTAATTGCCGACTCCTGCCACGATCTGCAAAATAACCGAAAAGGGCTGTCAAGGGCGGGGAATATCAGATTGTTAGCATACATGTAAACTTGTAATTTATGTCAGTGCCTCCATCGTTCATCGCAATGAAATTATCCTTCACTCACGAGATCCGAAAAAGAATGTTGCGCCATATGCTGCTAAAAGAATTGAAACCCATTTTTGCACTGAAAATTATTAACCGTTAGCAAGATATCTCCATTGGATTTAAAAGGTATCGCGCTTTCAATGTATGCTCAATTTCCACCTACCATCTCCCTGCGGCACATCTGCGCGGTCGGTAAGTGCCAAGGGCACAATTGGGACAATCTGGAGAGGCAGAGTCAGAAGCATTGCCGGTTTATCAGGAAAATCAATACTGGAATACCAACCACTCCATATATAAGTGTATCCTTTCCATTTGCGTTAGCTAGACGGATCCCTTTGCATGTCAAAACTCAATTGAAGACCAACCGTGAACAACGCCGCTGAGACCACGAGCAGAATAAACCATTCTGAGGATCGAAATGAAAGGCCCCAGGGCAATTTGCTTCCGCGAGCCATATTTCTCTTTACCTGCCAACCAATTCCGGTATAATTGGCCTGGCTTTGGGTGTACACTGGCGATAAATTTTTATCGAAAGAACAACAGCATTAAGCGTTAAATTGCTTCACTGAACAGGACATAATTATATCTGCATAATCGAGGAAAAATTGTCACACTCTTATGGCCTGAGATAGATTGACGTCGGATGTTTGAGGTCAGAGGAGTTTGTCCAAGAGAAAATGGAACAAATTCGCAAACGGGAACGATTGCACCCCACTCTGCCTTGCTCCCTTCTTGTGTAGCTGTACACGGTATTTCTCTTCTGGTTGGTTACGTAGCTCAAACAGCTTCAGCTTGTGTGGCTTGATTCCTGTCGATGCCGGAGAAGAGTGGTTTTTATTGGATCATTGACTCTTGGGAGGAATCATTGCGCCCACTATTTTCAACGTGAGTAGCATCCAAGCTAAGTATCGTCGTCATTCATTATTGGCGTTTGAATACCAGCGATTTGCTCGTTGTTTTTGAAAATCCCCATATCTTTATCTGATCTTCAACATTTGGCCTGTCAGAGGCCAATACATGCGCGCCAAAACGACCAGGACCGAAGCTAGCTCCCGCTAGAGAGCAATAGCTGGACCAGATTGAAAGACGGCTGCATTGTTCTCAATTTTGGTGCTTTTATCGGAGCTCCGCAAGCACGAAAAAGAGTGCAGACTGAAAAAGTTTTCAACGATTCAGGTAGCCAATCATGTTCTTGTCTCAGAAGGAAAGCAGACAAAATCTGCAGACCCGAACGAAATTTTCGATCTGCATGTCAAGAATGGACACACCCGCCGAGAACAGCTTATCGGATTCTGGTATTGTTGGCATCGCAAAATCATGAATGGATTCCCAAGGGCTTTCCTCAAGACGGAAAAATCGTTAACTGCGTTCCTCTCTTTCCATGATGTTATTGGGATGTTCCACAGCTGGGAAATGGGAGTTGCGCAAGAATATCTTTTTTGCCTTCCACGCCAAATCATTATCAAACTGACGATTCGACACTCCTTTCACTTTGTAGCCGACATATCTTCATTCCTTTTTGGTGTATCATGGTGGCATGAGGATTGTAAAGATTGCGTCAAGATTGTAATCTCAAAGCTATTCTTATTTGTCCCTCTGTTTCTATACTATTGGACTTTCTCATCTTGTTTTTAGGCTGGTTCTCTCGGCAATTCGGGTTGCGTTCTGCGTAAAACAGGATACATAACAGAGTGCATCGTGGCAAGCAGATGCAAATACCCGCGAGTACTGCATTATCTTTGACCGAGGTATTCTGTCTGGATGAACGCCAGCGCTTGATCATGATAAGCCAAGGAGTGGAAGGGATCCCACATCGGACATCAAAACTCACTTGACACCTTCTCTAGGTCCATATCCAATCGCTTTGCTGACTGCATTTCAATGGATTTATCTCGTTGACGAGTAACAGAAATTTGTGAGCGAGCAATTCTCAACTTCTCGATTCCGGGTTACCTCCCTGACCGTTAAATCTGTAGCTTCATGTAGAATAGCATATATCCTAAATACTTTTATACCTTAGGACAAATTGTGTAACTTGATAGAATTCCCTTGAATCAAGATGCTGGTGAAATAGAAGGAGCGTAAGATGAACCGCGAGGGTTTACATTCTTGCTTGAAATATTTTCCAGCGGGGGTTGAATGTCTCTTGTATACCTCATATGCGCCACAATAGTCCGATAACATCATGATCTTAGCTAATTTCCGATCGATGAGAATAAACAGTGAGTTGATGTTGAAATTTTGATTTTTGATTTTAGAATGGGTATCCTGTATCCTTCTCATGTTCCCCAGCATTTGTTTGGAGCTAGAAGCAGACAAGAAGGAAATCTAGCTCCGATAACACAGATATAACGCTGGTTTCTATGAAGTCAGAGTTGCCTTTGTTGAAAATAAAGTGAAACTGAAAATAAAGTGAAAAGGACATAACCACAAGCCAGAAAAGCAAACGAAATAACGTTTAAAAGTATATATATATTTACCCAACACGCGAAGGATGAACCAAACTGAACGAAGAAAAGGAAAACAATAACCCCAGATTATGCCTGTTGAACCGATTTTTGCCGTTGAAGGACAAATGCTTTTGATCTTGCCTGGGCCTCAGGTCCAAATGGACTAATAGCCCTGTAATTTGTTCATAACATCGTAGTCTCATGTTGAAAAGTCTATGTGTCATGCATGCATACCCCAGCAATTGCGCAAGTGGTATATGCACGGAAAACAGAAGAGAATGGTTTTAGTAACGGTAGCTGCCCAAGAAAGGAGTCAGTCAGAATATGTTTCCGCCACATTAAAAGGATCACTTTTGAGTTTTCATCGGGACATAGCTTACATCTCAGCCTTGAAAGGGCCATCAATCTCCAAGCCCAGATACTCCGCTTGCTTCGGTGTGAGCTTGGATAACTTGGCATTGACGTGATCAAGGTGCAAAAGAGCAACCTGCTCATCAAGAACCTTGGGGAGAACATAAACACCGATATCTCGCTTGCCACTAGTGATGCCGAACTCGACGTACTTTTTGCCAAATGCTTCATCTTGAGACTTGTAAAGCAATATTTGGGCAAGGACTTGGTTGGAGAAGGAGCATGACATGACAAAAGAGGAGTGACCAGTGGCACAGCCAAGATTCACCAAACGACCCTCAGCAAGGAGGACGATGTGGCGGCCGTTTGGCATAAGGAAGCGGTCGACCTGGGGTTTGATGTTTTGAACAGATTTGGCGTTGGCCTTGAGCCAGGCAACATCGATCTCAATGTCGAAATGGCCAATGTCTATCTTTGTGTCAGCAAAGTTTACCAAAACAATAGCTCTTCCCCCAAGGATCACTTACTGCAAACAATCGCGTCATTTTTCATGACGGAGAAGTGTTCCCCGGTCAATATATCACGGCATCCTGTGGTGGTTACGAAAATTTGCCCGATAGGGGCGGCTTCCTCCATGGTGGTAACTTGGAAGCCGGAAACAGCCGCTTGAAGGGCATTTATGGGATCAATCTCAGTTACAATGACACGCGCACCCATACTGTGTAAGGCCTGAGCACATCCCTTCCCAACGTCGCCAAATCCAGCAACCACTGCAACCTTCCCAGCAATCATGACATCGGTGGCACGTTTTATTCCATCAATAAGGGATTCTCTGCACCCATAAAGGTTGTCGAATTTCGACTTGGTGACAGAGTCGTTAACATTCACAGCAGGGACAAGAAGTTCGTTGTTCTTCAACATCCTGTACAGGTGGTGGACACCAGTAGTGGTCTCTTCTGATAGTCCATAGCAGTCCTTGAGCATCTCTGGGTATTTCTTGTGCACGAGTGCGGTCAAATCACCACCGTCATCAAGGATTAGGTTGAGTTGCTTTCCATCCTTGAACGCAACTAGCTGCTGTTCAAGGCACCAGTTGTATTCGTCCTCGGTCTCACCTTTCCAGGCAAATCTGTAGGTGTTTCAAGTTAGAGGCCGTCCCACGGAGTAAAACTGAGGCAACGAGGAATCGAGAAATTAATAAACCTACACTGGAGTACCTGAGGCAGCAATTGCAGCTGCAGCGTGATCTTGAGTGGAGAAAATGTTGCAGCTTGTCCAGGTCACTTCCGCACCAAGGGCTTTTAGAGTCTCGATCAAAACAGCGGTTTGGATAGCTGGCATCAACCATTAGTTAATAAATGCTCAAATGAAGAATTACAACGCGAGTAGACGTACTCATGTGAAGACATCCGGCAATGCGAGCACCAGCCAATGGTTGGGCTTCGGCGTACTTCGCACGAATGGCCATGAGACCAGGCATCTCCCCTTCGGCGAGATCAATCTCCCGGCGGCCAAAGGCGGCCAGTGACTAAAATGAAAGAAGTGAGCCCAATGGATCAATTAACCGTATAATAGGTAGAACAGATAACTTACGATGTCAGCGATCTTGAATTTGTGGGCTGGGGCGCTCATGATGGCTATGTGTGGTGAAGGATGGGAGGCGGGGTAGTTGTCTGCAAAGTAATCAGTCAGTCAGAAAGCTAGAAAATCAATAGAAGAATTTATTTATACACTTAATTTAAATACAGGAGGTAACAGAAAACGTACTTGAGAAGATGATAAATAGGAAATACCGGAGAAGGTGGAGGTATATCGAAACAGGAGATGTTTGCTGAGATGATGTTGGATGTTTTTTTATTAACTTCGGGAATAATAATCCCACCATACCGCCAAGTGATCGGGCCGCTGTTATTCCGGTCAAGACAAGCTAATTTTTATGGGCGATGAAACGTGAAGCCCAGGAGCTATGGATAGAGAAAGGAATGAATGTCCACGACAGGTATACTGAGAATGTCCCAGAGAGGAACGACTATAATTGGAAAATGGAAACCGAAATCCTCCTAGCAATGATGAAATCATCACATTGGCCTCCTTTTTCTTCAACATTGTAATATTAGGGTTGCGCCCGAATTATTGAGACCAAGGACTCAGCTAACAACACTGCAAATTCGCCATTGTTGATATCACATTCTTTTTTTGACACTTTGATACCGCTTGATTCCAGCCCCTTCTCCAACGCGTCCCAAAGAGCCTTGTCAGCAACGGGGTCATCGAATGGGCTGTGAGGAGTTGACAGGAGACTAAGGCCGCCGGTGGGCAGAATGACCTCGACCAGCTTTGGATTGACAACATGGTTCCGAAGTTGTGTCGCGATAAATTCGCCAATCTGAGCGCATTCCTCTTCGCTAGTCCTAACTAAAGTGACTGTAGGGTTATGCTCGTAGAGTTTGCGGCCGAGGAACTTTTCAGGAACTGTGCTTCTCGGGCCAAAATTGATCATATCGCAGGCGCCCACGCTGACAACCTGCGGGATTCCAGCCTCGGCAGCCGCACGCAAACGGTCATGGCCAGCAGAAAGGATGCCGCCGAATAACTCGTCTGCAATTTCCGTTGTAGTCGCATCGATAACAGCGTCGATTTTCCCTTCTCTAACGAGCCGCTCCATTGCTCTGCCACCGGCGCCAGTGGCATGGAAGACATAAACCTCGTAGTTGTAATTACTCTGGAGGTGAAGTCGGATTAGATCGACACAGGGGGTTGTGACTCCGAACATCGTCACGCCTATCCGTTTCAAGCCGGTTGCAACTGGTTTGTCCACATAGGCCCTGTGGGATGTCGCCATGCCCTCGATGGCCCCAGCAGCATTTGCTACTATTTGATTCAATATTGAGTTAGTGCCTGCGATATCAACGACACTATACATCATCGTGATGTCTGTCTCCTCTATGAAAGGTTTCACGTCTCCACTCGCCATCGTTGAAACGATCAACTTGGGGAATCCAACTGGCAACGCATTCCGCATCGCGCCCGAGGCAAGAGATGTGCCACAAGACCCGCCAATCGAAATGACTCCGTGGATAACCCTACGAGAATAAAGGTCTTGTATATAGGAACTGGCGCATTTTATCATGTATTGGATATACTCCGTTCTGGAGAGCGGTAGAATATCGATGCCTGCTCCTCTTGGTGGAGATGTTGCGGCAGCATTAATAAGGTCTGTATTTCTTACGTCAATTGATTCGTGCTGACATGGATTTCGGCCCACATCTATCAGTAATGCTTTGCATCGATTGCGTTCTAATATCCGATCACGAAGGAATAGCAGTTCATCGAGCTTCGAATCACAGGTTCCAATAATAGCAATAGTGGTTAATGTTTGGTGAGTTGTCATCTCCACAAATTTCCACTTTGATACGAGATAGGCTAGTGCTCCTCAAGATGCGAGCGTATGCGAAATGTGCGAGAGTGGTGAGGGGCTTTAAATATGAAGAGGAAGAATTCCGGGAATCTAAGCTTGGAATTCAATCAGCAAGGGCTGGTATCTCGTTAAATCTAAATTCAAAGTCAGTGAAAGTTGCACCTCATTTGTTGGCTATAGATGTGTATAGGATGAACCACCCCAAACTTGTCATGAGTACTTGTCGGCGGAGTAAAACAGCTACACGCTGCTTGACGTGCACCGTATTATGTGGCAGGTATTATCGCAAGTAAATCGGCCTTACTGACAGAAGGTGTGTTCCTGAAATATTTTTGAAAATTTTCTACCTGTGGACTGACTGACATTTACATCATGTAGGTGATGTGGGGTTGAGGGGAGCCGCTGCTTAATAATGTGCAACGGAATGCCAGGCATAAAGTCCACTTGATGATACCTGACACTTACAATTATCTGCTGTAGTCTCCCTGGAATATATCTAATCAACCGAGTTTCCACCACTGTCTCTGTTGGCTTGAATAGTAGGCTTGCCGGCGGTATTTGTTTGTGTCGACATTTAACAGAATCCCCACCTGACGCTGCACAACGGTCCTTGTCATCGCTAACTATGCCTCGCCCAACAACAAGAGCTGAGGTTCTTCAAAAACTAAGGGATACAATTTCTAAAAATGAAATAATTGTTGGCGCCGGAGCTGGTGGGTGCGATCCCTATGTCTCTACTCTTAAACACACATCTAATGAACTTTCAGGTATTGGGCTTTCTGCAAAAAGCGTCGAGAAGGGGGGTTGTGATATTATTGTCGTGTACAATTCTGGCCGCTTTCGTATGGCTGGTCGTGGCTCATTGGCTGGAATGATGCCATACGGAGATGCAAATCAGATTGTTGTCGAAATGGTGAGTTGTAATGGAACATATAGTATACAAAATGGCAATTTCAATTTGAATCGGCAAGTTGATAATGGATCCAGGCAAGTGAAGTCCTCCCTGTTGTGGAAAATACCCCCGTGCTAGCTGGAGTGTGCGGTACAGACCCATTTAGGTCCATCCCTCTTTTCCTTGCCCAGCTTAAAGAGATCGGATTCTGTGGGGTTCAAAATTTCCCAACAGTTGGGCTTATCGATGGCAAATTCCGTCAAAATCTTGAGGAAACCGGGATGGGCTATGACAAGGAAGTTGAAATGATCAAAATTGCACATGAGCTCGATTTGGTTACCACTCCGTACGTATTCACCCCAGAGGATGCAGAAAAGATGGCACGAGCGGGCGCCGATATTATTGTCTGCCATGTCGGGTTGACCACTTCTGGAGCCATCGGGGCGGCCACCGCGTTATCCTTAGATGAATCCGTGAATATCATCCAGAAGATTCGCGATGCTGCTGTCATAGTCAACCCGGACGTTATTGTGCTCTGCCATGGCGGGCCTATTGCTGAACCTAAAGACGCCGAATATGTCCTGACGCGCACCAATGGTGTTCACGGTTTCTACGGCGCAAGTAGCATGGAACGTTTACCCGTTGAAATTGCGATCAGGCAAAATGCAGAGGCGTTCAAGAAATTGAAAATAAGCCAACATTAGGAACAGACCTGACAAGCGAGAAGTTGTGAAAAGTAACTGATATTTGAAAATATTTCAATGCAAAACATGATTTTTCAGGGGTTTTACCACTACGCCAAAGGATCAATTCTTGAGATGGGTATATTTTTGCATGTTTTTGTATCCCTTTCACACCCTCTCACTATGTGTTTCCTTATTTTGCTTCATGAGTTGTGGCCCAGTTCAAGTGATAAGAAAGCGTGATTGAATGTGGCAAAAAAACAGCGATTCCTGAACAGTCCAGCTGGCGATATGTACCAGAACAAACAGATAAGGAGAGCTTAGCAAAGAAGGAATGTAACAGCAGGGAATTAATGCAAAACAGAGTGGCTCGCGTCCATGGGATGTTCTCCTGAAAAGCTAGCCAGCTGCCTCCCAAGAGAGTCTTTATATTTACTTTAGTCCATCCTCTTTGCTGAAAAATCTTTTCTAGATCTTGATGGTATTGCCTGTCCCACTCTTCCTCTTCCTCTTCCGGTCCTTCACTCCGGCCAGGTGGGGAGACCTGGATCATCTGAATTGCACCTAGAAGCTCGCTAAGAGGATAGACAGATAGACACCAGAGAACTCCCAGTCCACAATCCCCACTAGACAACCATCACGAACAAGCATGTTGCCAGCATGGAAATCCTCATGTACTAGGACCCAGGGCTCAGCATCAAGAGTTTGGAAGAGTTGAACATTGTTTGAAATATTCTCTTTCTCAAGTTTCAGGGACTCAATAAATTGGGCAACAGTGACCTTGTCAAACAGATCCATTAAAATATCATTATTGTCTGCATGGCTGTAATAATATGATCATAACAAGATAGGATATAATCCTTGCTATTGGAGTATGGTCCAATATTATAACAATCATGAGAGTGGAATTTAGCCTATGTAAACAATTAACAATTGCTCCGTTTAGAAAGGAATCGCTAGACTACGGACTCACTCGACCCCTACCATTAAATATTTTGCCAGCCTCAATCGTCGGTCTCAGTGTGAGAATCTGGGTCAAGACCTCCAATAAAATCAAATCGCATTTTCCGAGCTTGGCAATAATGCAGGCAATGCTCCAAGTAATTGTTGCCTTTTGATCTTCAGATAGCCGTGGCAAGGCAATGCTTAGGCGCTCTTCATCAATAAATTCCTGTGCAATAAAAGAATGCCCAGGTTGATCATCCCCGTGAAGAACTCTTGGTGCAGGAATATCAGGTAGGTTTTTGCAAAGGAATTGGAGGCAGGCAACCTTGTGACGAAGTTGATACAGGTGAAGAGACTGGGCCGACTCCTTTGGAATACGCAGTACACCGTTTTGATTTACTCGTGTGGTTGATGTCTGTAGCAGTTTTCTGTATTAACATGTAAGACACCACTCTGTGTTGAAGGAGCGAAGCTGGGCTGACTTTACCAGGAGGTATATCAATAGCCATACTTGATTGTGTGCACCACTCGCCAGGTATTTCAAGGGATTGATTGATGTGTCAACTCCACTCAGTCCTTCAGCAACCTTTGCGGCAATCTTCAAAGCGCCAACCTTTAGTAACTCAATATCCTTATTAGATGATAAGCACCTTCAACATGAGAAGATTCTCTATGGCCAAAATGAATGATTTGACCGGTGGAGTAGAGACAATCGATTCTCTATGAATCAACCAGGTTTCTTTTGCACTAAGTCAGTGCAGCGGGTAGACTAGTGGGGAATGTGACATTCAACAGTGGCAGTTGGTATTTGTTTGTTTTATACCCGCAATCAAGCAGCATAAGGTTGTTGTTCTCGCGGAAGATATCGAGTGGTTTGTGAGGCATAAGGAGCTGGTGAGAAAGGCGGGTTTCTACAATCCTTGAGAAGCTAACAATACTTTGATGAAACATTAACCCGGCTAAGGCCGGATATAGCATCCAAAATCGCCTCCTTGTTCATTCCTCATTAGAGACGATCAAAATCCCTTTTCCCATCTCCAACGCCAGTTTTCACCTTAGAAGAACCTCATTGACCCGAACAAAAACAGGACTCCACGAGTTATTTATCTTCCACAATGGAACTCTCTTCTGAATTCCATTCCACGCTTCTTGATGTGAAGCAACTAGCCGCGTACCCGAATCTCGAGGCACTCATGTCCATGGTGAACGAGGGATTCCACATTCGCCATCGCGAATTGTTCGCAACGGACCAAAGGGGAAGATTTGAGAATGTAGAAGAATTAGTCGACAGCTTAGACGCTGTGGGAAGATGTTGCATCATCACACAATCACAGCCAGATAAGGACCCGAGGGTAGTTGCTTGTAGCATGATAAAGGCATATCACGAAGGAGATCCAGTATCGACACCACCACTGAAGAACGGAGATGGCCAAGAAGTTTCCTCTCCCAATGGGACAAATGGGACGACAAGCAAACTACACGATCAGCAGGCGACACTTGCCGCCCAGCGAGTCAAAACTGAGGACTCTGAGATCGATATCAGATCCATAACGGACTGGGAACTCGCAGTCGTGGTTGTCCGCCAAGATCCCCAACTAAGCAAACTCGGTTTCGCTGTTCGATGTGTGTCGCTCCTGGAACAAGATTTGATGGAGCGGCTGGAACAGGCCGAAAAAGAAGATGCTAAGGGTGCAATCGCACAAGGGCGACAACAACCGTTGACATTCTGGGTAAAGGCAACAAAGGCAATAAATGGGCCGTATTGGGAGAGGAGAGGGTATAAGACTGTTCGCACAAAGACATTTCCCAAGGGGTTCTGGGGGGCATACAGAGATTTCGAGTTTGCTTGGATGAAGAAGTGTATTCTACCTCGGGCGATTTCTAGTTCATCATGTGGATTGGAGTAAAGCAGATATAGAGCATCTATTTATCAGGACCAGGTAATTCATGTATATTGCGAATGCATATATAGGAGTTTGTACGCAATCAGATGGCGGTTTCAAGAAGAGTGAAATAGAGTTGCAGTTCCTTATGTGTTTGTAATTGACATTGATGAAGAGCTTATTAAGAACACTCTGAACTCAGCATCATCTTCAGTAAAATATCTATTCCCACTCACAGGGAAATATTTATAGAAGAGCTTATGAGCTGCAAATATGTATGTCTAGAAATTAGATAAATACTAAGGTTGAATATGAGATGCCCGTTTTATCATTTAGAGAATCCTTCTGAATATTCATTCCTTCCACTATTGCTCAAGAACTTGCATTGTACAGTACAAACATTGATATAACTTATCTAGGGAGCCCCGTACATAGCTGCTGATTGACCCTGAAGGTGAAGGACATCCATTGATTTTGGTAGACGAATATTTCGGAATTAACAAGTTATCATCTAATCCTTGCGGGGCGGATATCCTTTTGGGCAAAGAATCGATCAGTTTTTTCTTTCCTTCTTTCTGGGAAGAAAAAAAGAAAAAAAAGAAAAACAGGAGGAGTAAAGAGCACTCCACAGGCTTTGCTCTTCTGTATCTTTACTCCTATTTCAGAGATCAGTGTTGACTACAGATGAGGCGTTATACCAGCATAATCTCACATTGCTTTGTGTGCTCGCTAGGAAGCAGAACCAGGTGCCCGTTATCGACTCTGTTGCAGGGAACCCTAGTCTTGATGCCGCCAGACCCCTCAGTTCTCTCTTCGGACCGTTGGGCAACAATACAACAACGTTGCATCCGACATCTTTTTCCGGACATTCGAAAAGTTCTTCTCCTAGGACTTGTATTCCCACCTTGGCCGGCTCCAACCCTGTATGGACAGCTGAGCCAAGCGTGTTCCGGTTCAAACTCCCGCCTCAGATATTTCTAGCCTTGTTGGTGCCAGCTGCGTGAGGTCCGTGTATCGGAGAGTTTTTGCAATTGGAGAATAATCCCGCCTCGGATATTTCCAATTGAACTATCATAAAGTTTAAGGAATGGTGGAATACGCTTGCACATTACTAATTCAATCAGGTGAAATCAGCTCAAAGAGTACTTTTGTATTGATGTTTGTTCGGTGTAATTAAAGCGTAGAGAAGAGTAAAATACCTTGGAGATACCCTCTGCTGCTGAATGAAAGCGTTTGCAAACCTGTTCTGATGTTCTACCCGATAGCTGTGCTTTGTAAGCGTAAAGCATCACCTGGTGAGATATTCTTTTTATCATGAGGAGCGTTTTCGATGGATGTATCGGTGTTGTCTAACTATTCTTCCAGCCCCCAGTGCTTGTTCCTTCGCCACTACGATGAATTGGCAAGATAAGAAAATCCACGTGCACGCCCATTCCAAATAGTCAAGAAAGCTGAAGCTGATTTAAGTATAAAATTCATCATTCGGAACGTCAAATTTGATTTCAAAAGCTATCTTGATAACATCCCAACAAACCGATTCAATTTTTTCAATTTTTCAATTTCCTTTCCACAACGCTCTATAAAATGCCTACCGTTGTCGGAAAAGAGGTTGGCCCAACTGGCTATGGCCTCATGGGTGAGTCGCCAATCCCACTCTTAGAGCTATGGGGCATTCGCTCAACCATTGGCGACGGAAATAGGATTCACATGGTGTGCACAACCAACTCCGGAGCCCAAATATACTGAGGCAATGAATGCAGCATTATCCCTTGGGGCCAACCTCTGGAACGGCGGCGAAATATACGGCACCCCGGAACACAACTCTCTTCACATCATCCATAAATTTTTCACCCAACACCCAGAGGCAGCTGACAAAGTTGTCCTTAGCATCCAAGGAGGTATGGCACGAGACGAACTCGCTCCAGACGGGTCTGAAGAAAATCTCCGAACAAGTGTGGATGAGTGTTTGAGGGTCCTAGATGGCGTAAAAGAGCTTGACCTGTTTCACATCTCTCGATTGGACCCAAAGTACCCAGTAGAAGAAACCATCGGCCACCTCGCAAAGATGGTGAAAGAAGGAAAGCTCAAAGGTATCGGCCTGAGCGAGGTGGACGCAGAAACCATACGACGGGCGTAAGTATCGACATCCAGCAGGCCGGGGAATGCATCTAACTTCAAGTATCACAGGCACAAGGTCCATCCAATTGCAGCAGTCGAAGTTGAACTATCGCTGTGGAGTCCCGATATCCTTGAAAACGGAGTGGCGACGACCTGTGCAGAGCTTGGAATACCCATTGTGGCTTACTCTCCGCTGGGCAGGGGGGCACTGACGCGCAGGATCGCCAAGCCCTCCGACATTCCCCAGGGCGACATCCGTAATTACCTACCGAGATTTCAAGAGGCCGCTCTGGCCGCCAACCAGAAATTTGTTGATGACGTTATATCATTTGCTGAAAGAAAGAAGATAACCCCCGCTCAGGCCGCATTGAATTGGGTCAGGACCCTCAACAATGACAAAAACATGCCCACAATTATCCCGATACCATCAGCCAAATCGAAAGAGCGGGTGTCAGAGAATTTGCAAACCCTACCTCCATTTTCTGCTGAAGACATGAAGGAGATCGACGAGTTGATCAAAGCAAGCAATATCATTGGAGACAGATATCCAACTTATTAAAAGGAAACAAAATGGAGAACAGAAAGGATCCGCTAACTCGGGAAGCTTCATGGCGAGGTAAGGAATGTGTTGCTTGATAATGCATTATTTTTCACATTCAGCCTCAGTGGAACATACTATATATTCTGGGAAGTTAGCCAATGCTTGTTACTCAGTTAGAATTATGATGTAACATGATATTAGTATTTTGAGGTTCAGATCAAGTGTAGGAATTTGTGTCAACAGTCAATTTCACAATATAAAATGGAAATTGTCGGTATTGCAGAATTCTCTTATTCATCCGTTGGTAATTAAGAAACGTATGTGAAGATGCAAGAAAATGGAATCTCTTACCAGAATGAAGTTCCAGGGAAATCATTAGAGTTCCTCAAGAGCTACTGCATCCATTAAGCAGTAGCTGGTACTCATGCCAATGAGCATGTCTTGAATAACTAGTATCACGGGATATGAAAGGGTTTTTACATGGAGAGTCATAGAAGGTTGGAGGGTTTTTGTTGCTGTTCTGAGTTTTTATAGCTCGGCACGTTGCACGTGATGTCGGACCCATCCAGTTTCATCAGATATTCATTGTCCAAAATGGCCAAGAAAAAGATCGCAGTTGTTGTTGCGCTTGTGCCTAGATAATTCCATTCACCTCTTTTGAAAAGTGGATTAACACATTACATCCCTGGCCCTCTCAATGGCTGACTCTCCCGGCTCCCCTCTCTCCTCTCTTGCTTCAGAGGAGTTTGCAGAGGACATGAAGTTTGACGACCATCCTCACTCTCCTGTCTCTACGCCACAAATGCCTCCTTCAAAGCGCCGTCGAACTGGGATCTCCTCTTGGGATCGCCATACCCCTATCTCATCAGTTCACGAAGATATACCCCCAGCATCCCCTTCTACCTCGATCTCTTCCGATAGCTCCGGGGAGCTGCCAAACTCGCCTCTGACACTTGCCCTTATCGGCGGCGGCGTTGAAGACGACTACAGTGGCCAGGGGAAGGACCAAGTCACCGTTTGCCAATGGGAAGGATGTGATGCGAATGATCTAGGGAACATGGATGCGCTTGTAAAACATATACATGAAGATCACATCGGATCTCGACAAAAGAAATACCTATGTGAATGGAGCGATTGTGCGCGGAAAGGCCAGACTCATGCCAGCGGATACGCATTGCGAGCGCACGTGAGGAGTCATACCAAGGAGAAGCCTTTCTATTGCACTCTGCCAGGTGCGTCCCTTTTTCTTTAACCCTAGAAGATATGATCAGAATTGCCAAATTTTCAATGTGCCTGACAAGCCCCCCAAAATTATAGAATGCGATCGTAGCTTCACGCGTTCGGATGCCCTTACAAAGCACATGCGAACGGTTCATGAAACAGATACACTTCGCCCTACAGATACCACTGCAAAAGGGGCCAGTGGAACTGCTACGGGCGCAACTAGAACACCCCGAATCAAACTAAAACTCACCCAGCCAGCTAAAGACGGTAACATTAGCAACGATGGAGACAAAAGCGATATAACGAAAGATTCCGACCAAACAACAACCCCGTATCTGAGCGCAGAATTAGGCTTCGACGAACATGAGCTGTCCCTTCCCCCTGAGCAGCTGTGTCATCTCCTGCGTCGCCAGCTCCACTGGGCGGATCATGAAGCCGCCCAGCTAAAGCACGACTGGGAAATAATTGAACCAATGCGAAAGGAGTCATGGAGCAATAAAGAACTCATCTTCGAGGACGTTATACATGCTGAACTTCGAGTGTCCAAGTCCGCTATCTCAGCAGAGGACCTTGCTATTCCTCCGGGGACGAACGGGGCGCTGCCAATGAACGAAGCGTCATTGTCAGTGATTGCGAGCAAAGGACCCCAAGTATCGAGATCGAATGAACCTCCTGGGTCACATAGGCTCGATATATGATCTTTCCTGGAGAGGGGCCTAGTTGTTTTGATCATATACAACGACGAATTCTGTTTTACGTCACCAATCTTTTTTAGTCTCTCACGCTCTGTCTTTAATTGTATCGTTAAAATATACGAATAAACACCTAAGTTAAGCGGATTGGGCGAAAACTCCATTTTCCCTTTCCGATATTTCAATGGAAAGCGGCGGGTTTTGCTTCGATGAATTTATTATTGTATTAATAATCTAGCATTTTGCAAATCAATTTTCAATTTCTACTATCCCGCTATTGCTGAGGCTCTTACTTTCTTGTTAGCTTTGATAACTCAATAATTTCTAGAGGGTAGAATACGTTACACATAATTCTTCTGTTCCTGGCCCCCCCTTTACAAGACGTGGGCTTAAAAAATTAAGCAAAACGTCCGTTGACTCTACCCAACCAACATGGGAAGCCTACCTCCTGGAGCAACGAGCAACGAGCAATCAAAATCATATTACAGTAGTTACTGATGGAACCTTGGAAATCCACGCCAGTCGGAGAACGGATCATTACCATTTTGCGACTTCTATCACCTCTTCAAGCAATTGCTAAGCGTAACCTGTTCCTTGACTGGGAACGATTCATATCATCCACTTCTTATGAAATATAATATATATAACTATCTGAGCAAGGGCGAAAACCCAACACTGAATCAATAGAACCAAGCTTCCTTGCCATTTCTCATTTTGTTCTTGTTTACGCCGTTCCGACGCCCCAAAACAGGAGGAAGAAACACTTGCTCACTCCCTGTGAAAGCAAGGAGAAATAATTAAAAATGTCCACAACGCCCCAACATGATAGCCAGCAAGGAAAAATAGCCCAACACGTGAGGTATATACATTACAAAAGAATCAAGATGTATGAGAGCGGAAAGAAGGTGCGGGACACCGTGATATATAATCGGACGATATCTACCAAAGGCGAGGAGTACTTTAAGAAACTGCGTAATCAACACAAGCTCTCGCTCTCGCTCTCTAAAAGAGAAGCGGCTAGAAGACACGGCATCTAAATCCACGAGGAGGGTGAAAAGGATGCATGCTGCAAAAGGGAAGAAGAGAAAAGCAAACCAATTGAAAATCAAACTAGGGGAAACAAGCACTGTAAATAAATAGAACTCGTCGTGTAAATCGCTCATACACTCACTCAAAGAATCCAGTACATGAAAGTTGTTCCCTGAAGGGCTATCATTGAAAGAAAACACCGTCGCCATGCAGCCAGAAAGAGAGGAGAACGAATCATTGACATGAAGGGCGCGAAAAAAGTAAAAAAAAAAAATAAGAAGAAATAATAATAATCACAGAGCAAAAATGACAATAGAGGAGATAAAACATGATAAAAATATAACGGAGGCAAGATAGTAGACTGCCAAACACTATGCTACTGGGTAAGTCTAGCAATGTAAGTTCAAATAACACAACGAGAGAAAAACAATGCATATGCGCAATGGAATGTGATAAGTATGAAATATCCCCTTCGGAAAAACTCCAAACTAGAATATATGCTGTGCAAAATGGACAAGATGTGGATAGGAGGAATGGAAGCCTACAACCTCTAGCACCCGGAAGAAGGGGCACATTTCAGGGAGGCAAAACAGAGATTTAAATTATGAAAAAAAAAGAAGAAAGAAGGAAAAAGAAAAAAGAAAAGAAATAAAAAGACAACTCAGAAGGGGTGTCGTAAATAGGGGTAAATAGTAGTAGCTAGTACAAAGACATGAAGAGCGTCCGTGTCTCATCGCTGTTGGGTCGATTCAGTCTTCTCAACCTCCATAAGACGATCGAACATGTTATGCAGCGCAGCTGCTGGTGTGGCCTTGTTGGGCCAATAGGTCGCAGCAAATCCCCTAATATAATTGGGTCAGTAAATGTAATTAAAGACTAATCATTTCCATTAAACGTAGGCGGCAAAGGGCATAGATATGCTACTTACCACAACCGCTCTTCTAGCGAAGCTCGTGCTTCGTTCCCATCCAAAGTGCTTCGAATAAACCGGCCAATGAGAAGCAGCAACCGTCGCAATTCGCCCGCCCGATCCGACTTGCTTGGCATGTTTTCTTTGGTGACCTGAGATACTTGCTTGAGATGCGTTTGGATGGGCTTGAAAATAACCTTGAGTATTGCATCGTTATTGTTGTCCATACTGGTTCCAGCGCTGTCGTTGTTGCGACGGTGACGATCTTTCTCCTCCCCGCGGACCTTGATTCGGGCTTTGCTGGAACGATCGCGGTCCTTTTCGTCTCGCCGGTGATCCTGCAGACGTCGATGTTTGCTAGAACTGTGGTTGGGCCTGTTGTCACCTGTAGGGTTGTTCGAAAGATCGGCGCTCTCTCGAGATTTGTGGACACGAGATCGCGATTTGTCCAAGTCGCGGGCTTTGCGAGGGAGGGATGGCGAAGGGGATCCCGAGACACTACCGTTCACATGGCCTCTGGAATGGAGGCTATTCTTCTTGTTATTGCGATGGTGGTTCTCCACAGCTCTCTTCGCAATAGCGCTAGCACCGTTGCTTATCTTATCCTTCAAGACCGACAAGAGGTAGTCCGCGCGACGGACCAGGTGGACAGCTCCGGGAGATTTTGTCGTACCCTTCCCACCACCATTCATGCGCTCCGCTTTCCGGTCAACCCGATGCTCCTCGAGGAAAAACTTGTCAGCAAGCGCAAGATCGGGGTCATCGCGGATCTGTGCCCAGGCACCATAGCCATGGCGGGCTATTCCGACACAGAGCATACCATCTTCACGTGCACCCCAGGCGCAGGAATAGTCAGCGCCCTTCGTAGCTTCAGGAACGCGAAAGCTCTGGGGGTCGGCTACATCCGCGGTAGCCTTCTTCAGAATTCGCATTTCATTTGGCCTCTCAACGATGGTCTCAGCATTAAGCCGTTTAACGCCCTGATGGTCGAAAAGGATGGCTTTCCGTTCTTTCTTGGTGAAGCTTTTACCTTCACGCTCAAGGGCATTGAGGCGGTTATTTTCCTCTTTCAATAGGGCATGGGCCTTCTCGACTATCTCACCCAACGCAGCTTTCACAACATCAATATCTCGGCCAATGAGCCGTGCTTCCCTGATTAGATCATCTTGCCGATCATTGATGTCGCCATATCTAAGATACGCGCGGATGAGATGTCTATATTCCTTCTCGCTGAGGGGCCTGCTCGGGTCAGGTGGCGGTGGTTCATCAGACACATCGTCAGCGTTGATATTGACCTGCGCCCGAGCTCGTCTTTTCGCTTGGCGTTCCTGTCGCCCGTCCAAGGGCTCTTTTCGTTTACGCGGCTGACTTCGTTCAATCTCTTGAGCCAAGAATTGCTCATGCGCTCGAAGTTCCTCTTCTGCTTTGATTTGCTCGAGCTCCTCCTTCGGAATGATCTCGTCCCACGTAAGTTCGTCCACCTTAACGTCGACAAACTCAAAGGCCTTGAGAAACTCCTCTCCACCATCTGCCTCCATACCTTCGGCTTGTTCGGTTTTGTGCTCTTCAGCATTCGCCAGGACAGAGTCAATATCTAATTCTTCTAACTTCTTCTGGTTGCCTGATTGTTCGAACATGCGCTGGCCGCGTCGCTTTAGAATGCGGGATATATCGTCGGAAGAGGTCGGTTCACTGATCTGGTGGCCTGCACGCGCCATCTTGTCTTTGAGCTCAGTTGCTTCCTTGTCAGTAACTCCTCGTTGGATGGTAATAAATTCGAGAAGCAGCTTATTTCTTGCTCTTTCGAGAACCTCCTCTTCAACAGTATCTTTAGATACAAGTCGATAAACGCTCACAGGTCGAGTCTGTCCAATGCGATGTGCGCGTGCCATTGCTTGAAGATCGGCCTGGGGGTTCCAGTCAGAATCGAAAAGGACAACAGTATCAGCAGTCATGAGGTTAATCCCCAGACCTCCCGCACGAGTGGAGAGAAGAAATGCAAAATCACTGCTCTCCGGGGCATTAAAATGTTCAATAGACAGACGTCGAGGGCCGGCAGCGATCGTTCCATCTAGTCGTTGGTAGGCGTAGCCACGGACATCCATATAGTCAGCTAGGATGTCAAGCATGCGAACCATTTGGCTGAAAATTAAAACCCGATGACCGTCCTTTTTCAGTTTGGCCAATAGTTGATCTAGCAACATCATCTTTCCGCTGCTCGTTATGAGGGCACGCATCATTTCTTCACGGCCGGTTTTCCCCTCCAAAATGCGAGATTCTGCATTGGGAAACATAAAAGGATGGTTGCTAGCCTTCTTGAGCTCCATCATGATATTAAGAAGGGATTGCTTCTGCCCTTTACCGCCTTGGTTGAGGGCAGCGTAATTTTTCGTCAGTATGTTTTTGTAGTACTCTAGTTGGATGTCGGACAATTCGACTCGAATGATCTTCTCCGACTTGGGAGGTAAATCCGACTCGACCTTCGATTTGGTCCGTCGAAGCATGTAAGGCTGGATAGATTTGGTAAGTTCCGCTAATTTTACACTGGCCGCTTCGCAACCTAGATCCATGTCATCGTCAATTTGTATCAGCCCAGGGTTTAGAAAGTCCATTAGAGCAGAGAGTTCGCCTAGGTTATTCTGCACCGGCGTTCCCGTAATTAGTAGTCGACTAGGAGATTTGAATTCAACAAGCTTAGCATATAGTTGCGACTCCCGATTCTTCAACCGATGAGCTTCATCGACGGCCATAAATTGCCATTTGATTTGACTTAGGAAGGCGGCGTCCACAAGAACATATTCGTAAGTAGTGAGAAGGACATGGAATTTAGGTCGTTTAATATTCCCATCAATCAATAATTCATATTCCTTTATAATGTTGCGAGAGGTTTCGTTGCCATTGTAAACCACGTAGTTCAAATCTGGTGTCCAATTGTCAAATGTTTCTGCCCAAGAAGGCATTGTTGAGAGCGGCACAACGACGATGAAGGGACCTTGTTGATGCCTGACATGCCGCAACCAATTGATAAAGGCCACTGTTTGGACGGTCTTCCCTAAACCCATCTCGTCTGCAAGAACCACATTTCGGCCACGAACCCAGTTATAAGCCATGAAGTTAACTCCTTTCACTTGGAATTCCTTGAGTTCACCGTTCTGAACAAAGCTCGGGGTGCCGTGGATGGGCTCGAATGGGGCTCGAGTTGAGGGGCTTGATTCGGCTTTACTAGAAATGGGCGGGTGGGAGCAACGGTCGAGATAGCGATCGATCTCCCGCTGAGCGATCTCGCTGACTAGGGACGCGGGTTCCCATGTACAGCAATCATAGAAAAGCCGTTTCCATTTGACGTAGTACTCTGTTGCACCGTCAATCTCGCGAGAGCCGATAACACGCTCTGCCTTTTTATAATCTTCTATGGCATCCACATCACGTTCCCGGTCGAGGTTCCATTTCTCCTTTTCCTCGGGAATGATTTCAGGGTCCCTCGCGTATTGTATTTCTAAGGACAGGGTCTTGCGTACGTAGTTATCTAAGCGACGCACACTCCTACAGCTGGCAAGGGATTCCACCGTCTCCCATGTCGCGTGATAATGGGATTTCCCTTGCCATTTAATGTAGAACTCAAAATCGTCTCGACTAAGGCCGCTCCGTGTGAGGTCAACGCCCTCCTTAAACCTATGGTTGAGCACTACATCAATGGCCGGCGTTGTATCATCGACTGCAGTCACCCAATCCCCCGGCGTCATCATTTCCGATTCATCTTCAAATTCATCATCGTCATCATCCTCATTATAATTAGATACTCTATTTGCACGTCTAGTTGAAAAGCGAATTTCGGCATGGGTAGGTATGAGGTTATCCGACTGCGCCATCCGTCGTCGTTTTGTTTTTGAGGTTCTATTGCGCGATCCGTGATATTCGTCACCGTCAGAATTGGAGGTAGAATCAATTGACTGAGAAAGAGAAGGTTGTTTTGAGGGTCGATTTGGTGTACGACGCCTCCGCTTTGAGGGGGGGGCGACAGCTTCAGAGTCAGAATCGGATGTAGTCTGGACATTTTGACGAATGGATCTTGCACGACCACTTCGACGTAAACCGTAGAGGCTGGGGTTATTTCTTATAAAGTCATCATCGATAATGGGAGATTTTCGTTTAGTGCCCCTCTTCAGGTTGTGGGCCGATGAGTTACCAGAAAAGGACGCTGGAGGTGCGTCGGAAGCGTCTTCAGCAGCCGAATAGCCTTCATCCTCACCAATAAGGTGTTCAGCAGCTGGAGAAGCATGTCCATCCACATCATCCTCATTGTCTGAGGAGTCCGAACTCATCTCCGCATTAAACTCCTCCGCGGCGTCCGACTCCGCATCCTCGCTCGGGTCATGATCTGCATCTTCGTCGGAAGGATCTTGCTCGTCGGCAGTTGTTTCAGCCAAGTCGCTCACGTTGTCGAAGGTCGGTATAGATGGATTCTCATCTATGGCATGAGCATCATTTATAACGGGGGACTGGTGGCCGTTTGGCAGGGTAGATGTCATCGAGGCGGACGGGAGCACCATGCTACTGACTATGGAACAGGTCAGCATTGAAGAGCAATTATGGGAGAAAATCCAAATTCGAAGATAGCACGAGCTACAGGATACATATGCGACTGGGGATATGACTTGTAGAAGCTCTATAGATGGTATAATAGGGTAGCATGACTAGATTTGATGGAATGTATGGCTTTTATCGATGGTTTGATGAAACGAGTTTGACGGAATTGATGCAGAACAGCGGATGCAGAATAACGAGCCATCAAAGGAGTAAACCGATTCTACAACAATCACGGCATCGATTCCATCAACATAGCAAGTAGCTGAAGATGCTCATCATCAAAACGAAGAGAATCCAAGCGGAGCAGGGTTCGTCGAAGATCGAGGGGAGGTACACAAGCGAGCCGCGGTAGCCGTATTTTCCAGGTGGACCAAAGGGAGAGATAACTTACGATCCATAGCTTGGTGGCCCCGAGGCAGAAGTTAGGAGCCAGCAACGATGAGTGCGAATAAAAGAGTGTTTGTGGTGGGTGGGGAGGGTGGGAAGGGAGTGAAAGCACGAGTTTGGCGGAGAGCGAGTTTGGAGGAGGGAGAAAGAGAGCGAAGAGTTGAAGGTGGAGGTTGAGAGCCGCCGCCAAGCTTGGGCCCCGAAAAGGGCTTAGACCCGCAAGTCTGAAGTCGACTAGGCCGGATATAGTTTAGTGTCGCCGACAAGCGACCCTTCGTTGGGTGACTCAGCAGCACTCTGCCCGGTGCGGAACGTGCTCTGGTTGGCTAGCTGTGCGGATCGGGAAATTCACGTGATCCACAGATGGACGCAGTTGGCTCAAGCTACTAGTACTGGGAGAGCAATTTTGATGGGATTGAGGACTGTAGTATTTTGGCCTTATCAATGGAGGTATACAATAATCTCATGGTTGTAGAATATCCTTGCTGTAGGCCATCAAAAACAACTTGACGGTTGCAACCGGGACGGAGACAGTTTATAAAACAGTAAAAAGTGTTCAACCAGTGAAATGTGCTGTATTTGAGTCTGACTAAACCATCGTACTTATCGCACATCTCAAGATCCCAAAAATCCCCTCCAACCTTCCCACAACAACCTCTCCCGAATCTCTTGCCGCTCTCTCGGTTTTTTCTTTCCCTTTAGTGTAGTGCTTTTATTCGTCATATTCTTGTTTTGTTGTTACTTCTTGTGAGGTAACATATCCATCCCATCTTGGGCATTTTTCGTAGCTTTTTTTGCTACCGTCATAGCCAGCAACAAAATCCCCTCCTTCACATATATTATCTTGACTTCCACCAACACCTAAAAATATTTACTTCACCATGTCGGACAAACTAACCAGGTGAGTATCTAACTCCCCACAAGGTTGTTTGGGCAGCTAACTCACCGTTCGTCATCCAGAATCGCTATTGTCAATGCGGACAAGGTGTGCAAATATACCCCACCACACCCCTCAACAATTTTTCCCCTAGAAAGGGAACAGGGCAAATATCACAACACATGGCTAATCGACTATTTTCTGTAATTTTTGCAGTGCAAACCCAAGGTAGGCCCGCGCTCCTTATATCTTCCACGCTATTATGTGCAATGCCCCGAGGTGACAAAGCTAATATCCTCCCAAGAAATGTCGTCAAGAGTGCAAGAAGTCCTGTCCCGTCGTACGCTCCGGCAAGCTTTGCATCGAAGTCACCTCTGAATCGAAGATAGCTTTCATTTCGGAACGCCTCTGTATAGGATGTGGTATTTGTCCAAAAAAATGCCCGTTTGGTGCCATCCACATCATCAACCTGCCCACCAACCTCGAGACACAGGTGACCCATCGGTATTCAGCCAACAGCTTCAAGCTTCACAGGCTGCCTATGCCCCGTCCAGGACAGGTTCTGGGTCTGGTTGGAACCAACGGTATTGGCAAGAGTACCGCTCTCAAAATTCTTAGTGGAAAGTTGAAGCCAAATTTGGGCCGTTACGATAACCCACCTGATTGGGAGGAGATCCTGAAATATTTCCGTGGTTCCGAATTACAAAGTGAGATATTTTGTCTAAACGAATTTTTTCTTTCCCTCTTTTTTCTTCCTATGACTTTCAAACTGGACAACAACTAACACTTCTCTAGATTACTTTACCAAAGTCCTCGAAGATGATTTGAAGGCCGTTGTCAAGCCGCAGTACGTCGACCAGATTCCCCGGGCAGTCAAAGGCCCAGTCAAGGAGGTGGAGCCGCTTATCAGAGCACGCTCCCAAATGGACAATATGGAACATATCATGAAAGAGCTTGGTTCGTTGTCCCTTGCTTTTCATCCCGTTGTGCATTAAGGTTCCTAATCAAGCTGCTCCATAGAACTCAACCAAGTCAAGGATAGAGATATTGGTCTCCTGTCTGGTGGAGAACTTCAACGCTTTGCCATTGCCCTTGTCTGTGTCCAGCAAGCTGATGTGTAAGATTTGTTCTCCATTTTGTTGGTGCATTTAGATGGGCAATTAACATCCATTTAGATACATGTTCGACGAGCCATCGTCCTACCTGGATGTCAAGCAACGTCTTAGCGCGGCTCGTATTATCAGAGAACTTCTCCGACCAGACGACTACGTCATTGTAGTTGAGCACGATTTGTCTGTCCTGGATTACCTTTCCGATTTTATTTGCGTACTCTATGGCCGGCCAGCTGTGTATGGTGTCGTCACTCTCCCTTCTTCGGTTCGGGAAGGCATCAACATTTTCTTGGATGGGCACATCCCCACAGAGAACCTGCGATTCCGCGAAGAATCCCTTACCTTCCGTATCGCGGAAGCTGGGGACGACTTCATAGCCGACAAAGGCAGAGCTTTTAGCTACCCAAAGATGGAAAAGACCTTGGGTAGCTTTCATCTCACCATCGAGCCTGGGAAATTCACCGATTCCGAAATCATTGTAATGATGGGAGAGAACGGGACCGGGAAAACAACATTTTGCAGAATGCTTGCTGGAGCGGAGAAACCAGATGGCCGCACATCCGTCCCTCCTATGAACATCAGCATGAAACCACAGAAAATCACACCTAAATTCCAGGGTACTGTTCGACAATTGTTCTTCAAGCGCATAAAAGCAGCTTTCTTGTCTCCTCAGTTCCAAACCGACGTCTATAAGCCGCTCAAGATTGATGACTTCATCGACCAGGAAGTCCAAAACCTGTCCGGTGGTGAATTGCAACGTGTTGCTATAGTTCTCGCTCTTGGCATCCCAGCTGATATCTATGTAATTGATGAACCCAGCGCCTACTTGGACTCTGAGCAGCGTATCGTCGCTGCACGAGTCATCAAGCGTTTCATCATGCATACCAAGAAAACGGCTTTTATCGTCGAGCACGATTTCATCATGGCAACCTATCTTGCTGACCGTGTTATCGTCTTCGATGGTAAGCCATCCGTCGATGCCAAAGCCAATACCCCGGAATCCCTTTTGACCGGATGCAACAAATTCCTGAAAAATCTGGACGTGACCTTCCGTCGCGATCCAAACAGCTACCGGCCACGAATCAACAAGCACCATAGCCAACTTGACCAAGAACAGAAATTAAACGGAAATTATGTAAGTTCCCTTGTTTATTTTCCCCGATCTTCCTCTATCCACCTCCCCCCTCATGGTTTGCTAATTTAATTTCGAAACTAGTTCTTCCTGGAAGAAGAGAGTTGAAAAGGGCATCCCACGAGATCATGACCGTGATGGTCCCCACAAGCGGCGACGACGACAACGTAAACGACACTTGGGTAAAAACGGCGTTGATGTGCTAGCATTTTCCGGCGTTAGCAAAAGCGCTGGTCGCCGAAAGGGCGGACGCAGCTCCCTAGGTCTTCCTGATGAGGAGTCATCAGCTGATGAGGACGATGATGATGACGACAATAGAGCCTGCTGAGAACGGCAGCACTTTGTTTGGATCCTCCCCGAGTGGCCGTATTCTTGTCGCTCCCCTACTTTATTGTCAAGCCCGAGTTCAGAACGCTTCAGTGCAGAGGGAATTTTTCTTTGAGGCAATCTTCATTTCCTATGGTTCCCGCCCCTCGACACATCGGCTAGTGGAATTGCTACATCCTACGATACAGAAAATGGGTGGTAGTAGGGCTGTGGAGTGATGGTTTTACAATTTGCAAATAGGACAGATCGGGATTTGAGGAAATTTTCTCCTTGTCAATCTGGATTTACATTCGGAGGGAATAAGCTGATCGTCAACATAAAACAAAAGGACGGAGAAGCTACCTAAACAAAGCTGCTGAATATACCCACCTTTTCTTCTGCTTTTCTGACCATTTACGTGACGAGTGATTAATTTCACTCCTCTTTTGTTGTTACCTTTCTATCCTCCACGCATATAATTTTTCTTGTTTGATTCTTGCCCCCATTTTGTCTTTCTTTTTTCATTTATTTTCAAGCTATTTAGCAAATCCCTCCATGGCTTTGTCTGGTGGTGCTACCCTTTCCGACGCTTCCGTTTCAAGACAAAATTTGCTAGTCGGATTCTCCATGCTCAGACATGACACAGCCCGTTTTTCTTCAAAGGACCCCGAAACAAAGGTACTTCCCGCCGAAGCTACATGAAGCGTCGTCGATGTCGCAGTTGCCCTGCATCCTCCCTACTTACTGACTCGCACTATGCAGGGCCAGTTCTGTATAAGAGGAATCCCCGTTTCAAGAAAGGAATGAGGGAAACTTGGAACTCTGGGGCAAGCTTTGAACATAGTTACATGTGTAGATAGCTTTTGTCCAATCCTTTACTTTCGCTGACCCGCTGGAGGAAAAAAATTCAACAAGAAAAGAAAAGAAAAGAAAAGCAAAAAAGGCATCACTCTCCACACATTCACATTTCATTCAATCATCCACTCATTAAATAATTAGTTAATATTTATCATGCCTGCAAAACTCAGAAGAAATAACGTCAAGCTAAAATTGCCCTCCCTTCTCGTTCACTTTATTTCTACCTTAGAAATTGATTGGAAAAATGCAATATGTACTTGCTGTATATTCTAAGGGCAGTTGATGACAATGCCTGTTATTATTACTATCATTATTAAACCATAGATGTATGCAGTCATAAACTATGACATCTACCTGAGTGTATCTCGGGAATTTTCTAGTACAAACAGTTCTTATTTAGAGATGCACTTATCACTTGCAATAACAGAAGACAATGTATGTACGTAGCCCCCATCAAAAGGTAGTGTCAGAGTACTCGGGAGAATATCAAATCTTGCTCAGCGCCTTCAAAACATCAGACATGGAGAAATATTTCTCCAATTTTGCACACCAAGACACCTGTGGGTTTACAACGAACATCATGCTTGTTCAGCTTTAACTCCCTCTCCTCCCGACAAATGAAACGAGCATGATAAAATAGGTAATAATGGCAACCCTTATCCTAGCTAACATAAATGAACTTCCCCTCTTAATTTAAATCGTATCGCGCAATAAACTCCCTTCCCGCCCTCCCTTCCCTCCGCAGCATTACAATCATAACTCCTCACTCCTCCTCAATCTCCCCTTCCTCACTACCGGAATGCACTGCCCTTTCCTCTTTCACCTCCTCCGCCGTCCGCTCCCGCTCCCGCTCCCGTTCCTTCCGCTCTCTATCCCTATCCCTATCCCTATCCCTCCTAGACCCCCGCCCGCCGCCCTCCACTGCCCCATCCCTCCTATACCGCTTCGCGCTCCGACTTCCAATGCTATCCGTCTCACTATCCCTACGCCGCCTGCGTTCACTAGTAACCGTTCCCGTGGTACTCCGCGTCGCCGAGTCGCCAGTAGCACCACTATTGCCACCGCCATAGTCCAACTCGTCCCGACTACTCCTCGGGTCCGCGCGGGATCGATACAGCCGCTCACGCTCATCCTCCCTCTCACGCCTGTCGCGGTCATAGTGGCTAAGCAGTGGACGGCTGCTGGGCCTTTCCCGCTCTCGGTCCCGGTCGCGGTCTCTATCTCTATCCCTGGCCCCGTCACGATCGCGATCGCGATCACGTTCGCGGTCTCGCTCCCGTCCGGGCGGTGGGGAGAGTCCACTGGCTTTCCGGTAGGATCTCTCGCGGTCGGCTTGTGCTTTGCGCCGGTCCGCTTCGTAGGCGTCCGGTTCTGGTGTGTGGCTAAGGCGGCTAGCGCTCGCGCCTCTGCGTCGCTCACTGCGGTACCCGTGGCTGTCATTGCGTGCATCGCGATCGCGGCCGCGGTCACGATCTGGGCGATCTGAACGATCGTAATGTTCGCGACGACTGCTGGCGCGATCCCGCTCGCGTTCTGCGTCTTCTTCTTTGTCTTTGAGGCGGCGGATGACTTTATCGAAGGCGATGCGACGCAAGTCGTCCGTCTCGAGTGTGCGGTATTCATCTAGTTTCTCGATACGAGGTTTCACTTGGTCCCAGGTGTCGGAGGCGCGGACAGGCGGTTCCAGATGCTTGATGCGTGACCGGAGGGCATCAATGGCCCGGCGTTGATGGCGATCTGCTGCATGCTTCTCGTCTTCGCTGCGTCGGAGGACTTTCTCTCTGACGCGGTCAAAGATCAAGTGTAGGGTGTCACGATCAATTCTTGCAGTGCGGCGGTCGGTAGCCATGACCTCACTGAATTCTTCGAAAGTAGTTTTCGGTGTAACTTCGTAGCGAGTATCCTGCCCACGGTGTTAAGGTAAGTAACATAAAAAAGGACATTCGCTCAAGGGGAAGGCAGGGATAACTTACATCCAAAACATCCAAAACATCGTTTCTAGGGCCTCTCAGGGCTCTCTCCTCTTCTTCCACAATGTCCCAGAACAGATCAAGAGGCGTCGAACCTGGCTGACCCAGCATAGCAACATAACGGAGGTCACCCTCGATTACGGGCAGAATATTCATCCACTTGCTGCCAGCCTTGATCTTTCCATCTTTCCTAAGTTCCTCTAGCAACTCTATAAATTGCTCTCTGTTCTTGCGCTCTCGTCTGGCCTTATTGGCTTTTTGCTGCTGGCGAGTGTCATTGAAGGTTCGCTCTAGGGATTTGATATGGTTCTCAAATGCAGTTAGAATATCCGATTTCGTCAGGGCTTTGAATTTATCATCATTCTTAACCCTTTCATTCGACTGGATAATCCCCTGCGCCTCGGCCCATCTGGTATATGGCTCCAGTTCCAAAGCGTTAAGAATATCCGCCAGGTCTTCCTTGGCAGCCTTGCGAGTAGCAGCTTCCCGTTCGGAATTCTCCTTCTTAAGCTCAATGACATACTCCTCGAACAGCTGCCGTCTCTCATTCTCATCACTCGTGGATCTAAATATCGTTTCGCCCTCTATAATAGGCCGGATAGTCTTCCAACGCGAGAAGTGCTTGATCTCCGGGTGACTTCTCAGCATCGTACCAAAATCCGCACGGAGTTTAGCCAGTCTCTCTTTGGCGCGGTCCTTTTCCTGCATGCGAACCTCAAGGGCATATTTCTCAAACGCCGCCTTGCGCTCCCTTGGGTCCCTTAATGAACGATATTGCGGATCCTTGATGATCAATCGCATTGTCTGTTCCCACGTCCATTCTGGCTGTACATTGCTGCGTCGTAGTAGCTTCATAAAAGCAGCTTCAGCCTCTTCGAAACTAGGATATTCTGGCTCAGTCTGCTGGGCGCCAACCGTAGATTTTGCCACCATACCGTTGGTATCAGGAGGCCCGTAGTCGCCACGTCGATCCAACACACCCCGGTCGTGGTCATCTCGTTCACGTTGTTGGGGGTAGGTAGGAAAGGCTGCAGTGCCACCTGCAACGAAGGTTGGAGCACTAGAATTGGAATTGATATAGTTAGACGAGGCGCAATGAAACTGGGAAGGAAGAGGTGAAGCCTTACGCAGGAATAGGTCGTTGAGGAGGTTGCTGGGCAAGGGCGGTTTTATAGACCTCAGGCATCTCCCATGAGCTCTGTTTCGTCTCGGTATTGTACCAATACTTCCGGCCACCCTCTGCGGTATATTCCTTCCATGGCTGGTTTGCCAATGCACGCTGTTGAGTTTGAATATGCGTCAGTAAACTGAGTAGGGGTAATAGGTAATAATATTCAAAATCTGCTAACCTCTGCAGGAGTCATAAGCTCCAGTGGTTTTGTCCATTGAGTTGCCTTGGTCTGGACATTATAGTAGTAGACTCTACCATCGGAATTTCTAGCTTCCTGCCACAGCGCAGGCGGCGCTGGCATACCGTTCATGACATTCATAGCTCAGGTAAGGCGAACCGCTATATATGAGGGCTAGCCTTCCACCGTCTACTGCTCTCCTGAATGAATGAAGGGACAATGCAGCGATGGAGCAACAACTTGGGATGCAAAATGGGTGGCAGAAAATCAACTAGGGCTGGGTGCAGAGACCATAGACGCTGAGAGTTTAATTTACTCCTAGCATCTTTATTTTGGTCAACCGCTGGTATGTTATTATAGCTATGAATTTATAAGTTAATTGACGAAGATTGTTCAACATCATTATTCACCACTTCAGCAATGTTTCGAGATAACGACTGTTTGCTTACCAGTGCTGGGCCATGATTATGTCTGTGCTGCTGGCCTGTCCCGAGCATTAGTATTTTGACAACCTGCATACAAAAATATGGCCCCTGAGGAATTCCTGCATGGCGCAGTGTTGGACACAATAGTCCCCTATGCCACCCAGGTCAATCTCGAAGATGCTCTAAAGGCTTCAAGTCAAGAAGTTATCGAAGACTCCTCATCGCTCCTCCCTACAATCCGCCAGCGCTCTCTCCTGTTCTTTGGTTTGTTCAGCTTCAACCTCCGCACCACTTAACCCCTCCTTTCCAATGCTAGCTGCAGTGCAAGAGTCTTACTCATTCTCAGATATATTGTTGAATAGATGAACTTCTCCCTGTATATATCGTTCTACGCCTTACGAACTGCTCGGAGCATGCCCTGAAAACTCAGCTATCCCGATTGACGGTCCAAGTGGAGGCATATGCAGCCAATGGAGTTAATGTCGAGGACGGCGAGGGCGAAGGCGCGCAACAACAACAAGCTAGAGACGTTATATTTTCTGGCACAGTGAGCGATGACGAGGACCCGCTGGTGATTGTCAATGAAGTCGAAAACGCGGAGGATGTAGTAAACTATGTCTATGTCATATGGAAATTGGACACCTTTCTCAGTCAGTGCAGCTTGGATTACTTTTTCAGAGATGAGCAGAGAAGAAAGAAAGAATTGAAAATTAAATGTAGTGGTGTGCTAATAAAGGTTCATTGAAGGTCGCCCACGACTCCGGCTCCAGCAACCATCTGTTGTGTTTAGTGCCTCTGCAACCTTAAACCCGTTGAATGCTTCATCTGGGGATTACGAAGATGAGTACCTACCAAGCGGCATACCGGGGTCTGTGAACGTTTTTCAGTCCCTTGCCAAAAACGGCCCTCCCGACCAGTCTAAGCCACAGCCATTCCTCCCCGCGTCGAGACTGTTAAGGGTCGTTCCAACCGTTCAGCAAGATGCATCATCATACCGTGTGCAACAGATAGCCCAGCGACCCCTCCGTATCATACCTATTGCCAGTGCGCGAATCCGGTATTCGCGCCTCAATACCTATTCCGGAAAACCCACGACAATCGCCAGCCTTGACTTTGAAGTGACCCCTTTTACGAATTTTGACGTCATACTGGAGAAAACGGATGTAACCCTCTTCGACGGCCAGGTCGAAAGCCTAACCTCTGATCACGGATACGCTCTTCCAGTAACCTGCCGTCCACGAGATGACGTGACATTTGTATATAAACTCACGCCGTTGCATGGAATGGAGGGAGCCTCATCCACCACCGCGGCCGTTTACGCTTTAGATATCTCCCTAGAGGCAACAATATGCGCATCGGATGAATGCCAACCCAAGATATCTATGAAATGGCGCACCAACGTCGACTTCTCCCTGCCTCTCAACCCGTCCTTCGGCGCGCCTAGCCAAGTTCTCCAACGAAACAACCGCCCTGCCAGCCTTCCCATGACGCCGAGTCAAAGTGCCAGTGGCAGTGGCGGTGGTGGTATAACGCCAACAACAGCCCTTAACCCTAGCGCAGCGACACTAACCACGAATCGACGATCCGGCTACACATCTGCTACCGACTTAGGCGTGACCATCTCCTTCTCGGGACCATCCAGCGTCGAAGTCGGCAAGCCATTCCACTGGGACGTATTCATTGTCAACCGGTCGGAGAAGTCGAGGAAATTTGCCATGGCGGCCGTGCCGCGGAGGAAACGGGCAGATGTGCGGAGCAGCAGACATATTTCCCGGCCGTCATCGTCGTCTGTTTCGAGTGTGCGTCGGGACGAGCAAATTGCGGAGGCAGTGACGGACGAGAATATCGTGTACGCGATGCAGAAGAATGCGATCCCGTATGATACAGAGGTGATATATTTGAGTACAGATATTAGGGTTGGGTGAGTTTCATAAATCTCCTTCGAATGTTTTCTCTTTTCTTTCTTGTCTTGACCTTACTTTTTTTCCTTCGCTGCGAGCATGATACAGATGCCTGGGTACACAAAGCAGCTAATTGACAAGTGAACTTATAAGCCCTCTTCCCCCCGGTACATGCCACTCCACGGAGATGAAGCTTCTCCCATTGGTCGCAGGAGTGCTGCATGTCGAAGCTGTCCGACTGGTGGATTTGAACACCAATGAGTCAATGGATATAAGAGACCTACCGGATATTGTATCGTTCGACAGACATGTGTAACAAAACACTTTGTATGACTACCCGCCGCTGATGCATGTAGATAACACAATATAAAAAGAGGGTGCATTTCCCTTGCTAATGCCTGGGTATAAGCTGTGCTCTCTCTGCTCCTTGTTTATGCAATAGTATTATTAGATATCTACATTAATTACCCCGGAATCATAAAGAAAAAGCCCGTGCAATATGTAGAATACCGCTATATACAAAGCTAAAATTAAAAAAAGTAACATCTCCATCCGTAATGAAGTCAATCAATGTGTTGTTGTTGGGCCAAGTGTCACCTCGCTTCCCGCTGCACCGGTCATCCATACCCAGGGTTGGGGATCTTCCTCACCAACAAACCGCCTCAAGACCTCGCCTCCTCGCCTCCTCCTCAGCTCCTCCTCACCTCTTCCTCACCTCCTGCATCCCCCTCCTGCATCCTCCTCCATCCTTCTCTCGTCCTCCATCCTTCTCTCTGCAGTGTTCGTTGCCAGTTTACTGCGACCGCCGACCAGCAACCAGCATTGCAGCCTCCACTTTTTCCCACCCGCCCGAACCTTTGCGTCATCTACAAAAGCATAAATATCCCACCCAGTGTCATCCTTGGATGGGCTCGAAAACCTGCCAGCCTTTTCTTCTTCGTAAAATAGGAAGTTCCATTTCTGTTATTTCCTTTCCCCATCCGCCATGATCGATAAAGTTAGACGGAACGTGCTTGATGGCTTGAACAGTCGATATATATATGGCCGCTGGGTGAGTTCACGCAAACAGCTTGTTTTAATCTTCTTCCAAAGAACACCATACATACTCGGACCCAAAACCTCTTTTACGCAAATTTTTTTCCCTCTTCGGAATCAATATTGTTATTTTTGCTGGAGCTGTGGCTGACCCATAATCCATCTGCTTGACCATGCTGAAATAGCCGCTCTTGCATACTCTTGTCTTCCTGATTGAGATGGCAGTCACGATGAGACTCGCGGCGAAGTTCAACTCCTACTATGCGGAGAAGCCGGGTAATTATGATTATGCCCATACGCACTGAGAAGCGGTTTAATGAGCTTGGCTAACAACACTTTTTTTGGCCAATCTCCAGTTTTGACCACGATGGTCACCAATGCTGTAAGCATCATCGCTAGTCATCGCCTTTCCATCCGATCCGTTCTGCGTTGTTATATATATACCGCTTCTTTTACATTCAACTAACTAATGCTCTCCAAAACCAATACAGGTCCTAGGTGGCATCGCAGATACAGTAGCTCAATCCATAACTGCCGTACGGACACGCATGGCAACCCACCGACGCTCCCGCAGCAATGCCAACGACCCCAATAACGACCTGGTCTCCATCGAAATACACAGCTTAAATAAGGAAAAGCCGCCCGCGGTCGGCGAGCTGGGATCCTACAACACCAGACACCTCGCAACACCCTTTGACTTCGAGCGGCTGACGCGGTTCATGGCGTATGGCTTCTTCATGGCTCCCATCCAGTTCCAGTGGTTTGGGTTCCTGGCGCGCTCCTTCCCCATTACCACGACGCACGCCACGGTGCCGGCGTTGAAGCGGGTGGCGATGGATCAGCTGATTTTTGCACCGATTGGTATGATCCTACTTTTCCGTGTCATACACAACCTACATCTTGGTTGCCCGTGTTGGCGATTTACCAGGGAACTAATACGACAAAAAATTGCAGGCCTCCTATGCTTCTTCACATTCATGACGGTGGCAGAGGGCGGGGGAAGACGAGCGATCGTACGCAAAATGCAAGATGTGTATACTCCAACTTTGAAGGCGAACTTCATGCTCTGGCCGGCGGTGCAAATACTCAATTTCCGCGTGATTCCTATCCAATTTCAAATTGTGAGTAGTGGTATTACCTTCCTACTTGAACACCGTCATGTCCCATTATGAGGTTCTTCGGCATTTTCTAACTGAGTCCCCTTTTTTTTGCTTCTTAATTTACCTAGCCATTCGTATCCACCGTCGGGATTGCGTGGACAGCATACCTATCTCTAGCCAACTCCGCCGAGGAAGAATAGAGAGAGACAGAAAAAGCCGGTCTGGTGCTAGACGGAAAGATGAAGGTGGAGCACGATTTTCATTTAGCTTGCCGTTAACCTGCATTTAACCGACAACAAGTCTTTGACTTTTTTTTTTGAGCACGATCGCCATTAACATTACCGGTTATTTACTTTCGTGGGACGCTTAGCTGGTCTGAGATTTTCTGCCCAGCGTTCTCTCGGGCCACCTCTTTGTTTTGGGTTTGGTCGACATGGACGGCCAGTCAAATTGACTGGTGATTCGACTTTAAATTCTGGAGTTCCTGGCTGGGATTGTGGAAACCATTGATCTTATACATTGTGAGACGATTGTTCCGTATTACTGCTTTCCGGAGTTGAGGTTTTTGTTCCAGTGGGGTTTCAGTCCTTTTTACCGGAGTCCTTCAGGCGTTACGAGGTAGATTTGAGCATGTCAATTGGAGCAGTTACGCATTTTTTGGAAAAAGACGAAAAAGAATTCTGACCATCTAACTACTCCTAAGCATATATCTAGAATCCATTACTACTACTTACTGCGCATTTCCCTCAACAAGAAGTGGCTCGAGATATCATTGTTAAGGCTGCACATGTAGAATCCCAAACCGTACCCCGCTGACGAAAACATTCACCAAATAGTAACGAAAAGCAAGTACGATAGGAACAATAAGAACAAACAAAAATGTAACGAAAGTGAATCTCCATGTATTCCACTACGCCTACTCGTTATCTACGATCCTTCCACAGTTGCTGCTTGTTGCTGGTGGTCAATGACATCACATCCCCCATCAACCCGACGCCGCCCGCAGCCACAGCACAACAAACCCCACCAGGAACGAAAAAGAATCCCGCCATCGATTCATCAACAAAAAACCCCGACGGGGACTTTCGGATTTTTCTTGGATAGACAAGGTCCAATTCCATTCGTTGCACACCAGGTTCGTCCACTTACTCCCTTTCTTTTCAGTTTCTAGGATTAACCCTATACTTGTTCCTACTAATCACAGTGGCATAGAAGAGGGGCAGTACCACGAGTCCAAAACATTATACAAAAAAACAACACGCTCCAAATAGCAACCATGTCTCTCTCCAACAAATTGTCCGTTACCGACGTCGACCTCAAGGACAAGAGGGTGCTAATCCGGGTACGTGTGCCGTTAAGACACCTACAGGGCACGTTTAAATTATGCTTACCAGTAACTTACATCCCTCATACAAACACAGGTCGACTTCAATGTCCCCCTCGACGAGGACAAGAACATCACAAACAACCAACGAATCGTCGGAGCGCTTCCAACCATCAAATATGCCATCGACCACGGCGCCAAAGCCGTCGTGCTCATGTCCCATCTCGGCCGGCCAGACGGCAAGCCCAATCCCAAATTCAGCCTGAAGCCCGTCGTGCCCGAGCTGGAGAAGCTGCTTGGTGGCCGCTCTGTGATTTTCACGGAGGACTGCGTCGGCGCGCAGGTCGAGGGGCCGGTTAATAAGGCCAGCGGCGGGCAGGTGATTCTGTTGGAGAATCTGCGGTTTCATCCGGAGGAGGAGGGCAGCTATAAGGATGAGCAGGGCAAGAAGGTTAAGGCGGATCCGGCGAAGGTGGAGGAGTTCCGGAAAGGGTTGACTGCGTTGGGGGATATTTACATTAGTATGTGCCCAAAAATCCTCCACCGATATTTTTTTGGATCTTCTTCTTTGTCTTATTTTTTTCATTTTCTTCCTCCTGTCCCCAATTTCACCAACCGTTGCATAAAATATACATCTTCTAACAAACGAAACTCTCAACACTACAGATGACGCCTTCGGCACTGCCCACCGCGCCCACAGCTCCATGGTGGGCGTCAACCTCCCCCAGCGCGCCGCCGGCTTCCTCGTGAAAAAGGAGCTAGAGTATTTCGCCAAGGCGCTCGAGAACCCCACGCGGCCCTTCCTCGCCATCCTCGGCGGCTCCAAGGTCTCCGACAAGATCCAGCTGATCGACAACCTGCTCGACAAAGTCAACACGCTGGTCATCTGCGGCGCCATGGCGTTCACCTTCAAGAAGGTCCTGCACCACGTCAAGATCGGCAGCAGCCTGTTCGACGAGCCCGGCAGCAAGCTCGTGCCGGACATCATGGCCAAGGCGGAGCGGAACGGCGTCCGCATCGTCTTCCCCGTCGACCACGTCGTGGCCGACCGCTTCGCGGCGGATGCGAACGTGCAGTACAAGACGGATGAGGAGGGGATTCCGGACGGATGGTGGGGGTTGGACTTTGGGGAGCAGAGCGTGAAGCTATTCGAGGCGGCGATCGGGGAGGCGCAGACGATCCTGTGGAATGGCCCGCCCGGTGTGTTTGAGTTTGACAAGTTTGCGGGCTCGACAAAGGCGATGTTGAATGCGTGTATTGAGGCAGTCAAGCAGGGGAAGATCGTCATTATTGGCGGTGGGGATACGGCGACGGTTGCGGCGAAGTATCATGCTGAGGATAAGCTGAGCCATGTGTCGACTGGTGGGGGGGCTTCGTTGGAGCTGTTGGAGGGCAAGGACTTGCCTGGCGTCAGTGCCCTGTCGAGTAAGTGAAATGGGGTTTCATTGTTCATTGCCCCTCTGATCATCACTTTTTATTTTATTTTATTTTATTTTATTTTTACTTGGGAGGAAGGAGACGACAGGAAAACGGGGTCGGGGAAGCGGTTTATGTAAAGAATGAAAAGGAAAGAAACCAGAGTGTATTAAAAAGATATAATGGACCAATCGATAACCAAGGTTAAAATTTGGATGTTTTTAACAAATTGATTAATTTCCATTGCAATTGTAGTATCTAGCTAGATATTTGGGATGGTCTCTGTGCGTGGTCGTTTTTTCGGGATTTTGACGCTGGCTTTTTCATGCCCCTTCTTCATTGAAATAACTCGCAAGATAACAATAATACAATACAAGAACTAAAATGATATCAAGCGTTTCGTCTGCTCTACCAACTTCGTCCACAATCACTGCCTCCAGCTTCCTGAAAAAGTTCATCTGGCGACTTTGGGAGGATCATGTCATAACATCCATAGGATGCAAAAGACGGCTCATTCAATTGGGTGAATCGGGTATATTTCGAAGGTGTTGGCTGGAGGCGGATTTACCCATGTTGGACCCTTCTATTCTTGCTAGGTAGCCAACCCGTTCGAAATAATAAAGAGTTAGCTACAAGCGGGGTGGACAGAGGAAGGCTTGATTGACTTGAAACCAGCCCGCATGACAAAAAGGGGGGTTTGAAGGTTTTGGCCACAAATACCTTCTCCAGTATGAGCAAAAACCGTACAATAAAAAAAATATAACTATGTTCAGAGGCGCCACGAACCGATCATTATTAAAAGGTTTTCGAATATACATATATCGAAATGGATTGCATCTGAAAACGTGGGGAATTGTGTGAAGAAAAGGAGAAGACGGAAGGAGAATAGAAGATGAAAGGAGGTCATTGTCATCACAAATTGGAAACCACCTTGCTCTTAGGTGACAGCCAGATAGTATACTCGAGCTCCAACTCAGCTAAGGGATCACCCTCAAGAGGCTTGAAGTCTACAACCAGATCATTCTTCACCGCAAACACCGTATCGCTACTTAGATACTTATCGTCACGCGGGAAAATCTGCGTCGTGACGCTCTTGTACTCCGGGTGTGTGATCATCAGATGGATATGCGCGGGGCGGAAGGGGTGCCTGTCCATCAATTGCAAGAGGACTCCCGCGGGTCCGTCAGTGGGCAACGAGTAAGGGGTTGGATGGAGGATATAGAGATGATAGGAGCCGTCGGGCCCAGTGCGGAACTTGCCGCGCAGGTTGTTGGGTTCCTGGTTGTCTGGGTCCTGGAAGTCGTACTTGCCGTTCGAGGAGGCTTGCCAGATGTCGAAGACGGCGTTGGGGATGCCTCTTTTTGTAACTGCGTCGGCGACCCGGCCCCTCATCAGGGCGACCCGGCCATTGTGCGGGCTGCGGATGATGCTATCGCCCAGTTTGCGGAAGGGGGCGTGCGGGCTCCAGAAGGGCCCGAGGATAGAGGAAGAGGTGGGTACGTCATCGCCAGATTCTAGGATAAATCTCTGGCTGATTTCATCGATGAGGCTGGTAGGCTGTATTAGACTTTCTATTTCTGTAAAGTAGGAGTTGTATACTACTAATGGTACTAGTAGTATTTGGAAACACTCACGTTTCCAGCCCAATGACATCACAGATGCGCTGTCCTTCATTTCTTGTGGGAGTGCTAATCTGGCCAATGTTGTTTATGAAGTCCACGCCCATCAGCCATTCGTCACTGGTTAGATCGACTTCACGAGCAAAGTCGTGGATGTGACGGATGAGGCAGCCCAAGACCTGTCTTGTCCTTGGGGCGGTTTTGGGGCCCATGAGGTTGATCACGGCAGCTGTGAAATCGGGGTCATATTTGGGGATGCTTGCACCATTTGTCTTGACCCCGTTTGTCCCAGCACCATTTATTTTGCTGGGCATATTGGCTTGTGGACCTGGTAGAACTGGAGCGGAGTGGTTTGTCTCGTTCTAGATGAAGCTGGGTATGAGGAAATAGCCGGATCCGCTCGGGTTGAGCATAGGCAAGGGAAAGAACAAAAAAGAAACAAATCCAAGAGTGCAATCGCGGGGCATTCAATAAGGAACAGCTTGCCCTTAACAGTGAAGATATGCTTTTTTATATCCGAGTCGACGTGGGGCTGGCCAACTGCGGTCGGCAGCCTCCGGCACATTGCTCGGCTGTTTGCTGTTTGCCGTTGCTCGCAGATCGCGGAGAGCAGAACAGCAAACTGGGAAAACGCAGTCGGGGACAATGGGGCTGGCTCATTTTGCCTCCCTGGTCTCGTGCGCTGGCAATGATGTATGTGCCGTCATGGACGGGACAGAGCGGACAACAGCATGTGTTGAGTGTTGAGCCGGCGAGGTGCCAACCCGGCATCAGATGCTGGCTGACTCAGCAGCAAGTACCGAGCGTGGTTGCCGGCGACGGCTGTGCGTAGGATCATGTGTCGGCAGCCAGCGAGAGAACACCAACAGCAATATCAATACGCAAGGAGTAGCAGGCCTCGTGCCTGAGTTGGGCATGCTTGGCTTGTTCTGGTTTCTGGCCTGTCTTGATGTCGTTGTTTTGGCAAGCTACATACGAGTACTTAAGTCGCCTGGCAATCGCATTGCTGATGTTTCTTTGTTCAGCTGGGGAAGATATTAGTACTAACTTAGGAGCTCAGATTTTGGCTTCTCTAGATCGATACGTTACTGCATTGGTTCACCCGGTTCACTAGTTTGTACCCTGTCTGATTGCACCATTGCGGCCGTCAACATGAAGCACCATTTAATGATTGGCACCTGGACTCCCCCAGGAAATATATACACCGTGGAATTTGACGACGATTGCCTGACTCTCAAGCTGGTCAAGAAAACCGCCATCCCCGAGGATGAGCCTATCTCGTGGATGACTTTTGACGTGAGGTCTCCTACCACTTAAGACATACATATATCCTAGTATACTAGTATATATCCCTTTCTTTGTGCGGCCTGGCATGTTGCTGACTGCTTGGCCGTCGCGTCATATCATTGATGTCTCCAGCACACGAAAAGGAATATCTACGGGGCGTCGATGAAGAAGTGGTCGTCTCACTCCGTAAAAGGACCCTTAGATATCAGTCACAGTGTTTCGCACCCCTTAGCTGGTCACCGTACGTCGATTCGTAAGAAAATCTATAGACAAAGATGAATTAACACTCACACATCATAACCTTCCAATTCCTACAGCTCTAGCTCCCAACGCCGATACAAACACCAGAGCCATTTTCGTCCTCGCAGCAAAGAAACCTCCCTACAATGTGTATGGAAATCCCTTTTACAACTACGCGGGCTATGGAAACGTCTTCTCCGTCACCACGGACGGCCAACTCGATAAAAATATTCAAAACTACGAATATGACCCCCACTCCAGCGTGCACGGTATGGTGTTCGACCCCGCAGAGACCTACCTCTATTCTGCAGACATGGGTGCAAATAAGATATGGACGCATCAAAAGGATCCGGAAACCGGAACACTTACTCTAGTCGACAGCCTTGAGGCCCCAGGAACCGCCGACCACCCGCGCTGGGTCGAGATACACCCCAGTGGTAAATACTTGTATGTGCTAATGGAGGCTGGAAACCGACTGGCGGAATATGTCATCAATGAGAAGACACATACGCCAGTATTTACGCATAAGATATACCCGCTGATCCCTCCAGGTAAGTTTGTAACAAAGATAAAATATGGAGATAGGCATAACATTAAAGCCCATTTACCCTACAGGCGTCGATCCATCCAAGAAATACCGCTCAGACGTCGTATTCACCAACCACAGCGGCTCGCACCTCTTCGCAACCGCCCGCTCCAACCACTTCGACGTCACGGGATACATCAGCGCATTCCGCCTGGGTGCTGCAGGTAATATTCAGAAACAGCTATTCATCAACCCGACACCGACGAGCGGCGGCCACTCGAATGCCGTCAGCCCCTGCGATTTCAGCGACGAGTGGCTGGCGCTAACGGACGACCAGGAAGGGTGGGTGGAGGTCTATCGCTGGCGCGGTGAGCTTCTGGCACGTGTTGCACATTTGGATGTGCGGGAGCCGGGGTTTGGGATGAATGCGATTTGGTATGATTGATGGATTGGACTTGTTCGGCATTTACCGCTTGAAACAATCAATTATGGAAACTCTATTGTTTCATGTGTTTATCCAGTGCATCCAAAGTGTCAATTGCCAAAGAAATCTTTTTCTTCTTAGTAGTTAAAGTAGTAACTTGTTACCACTAGTTACATGACGTCATACAATTTATTTTATCTCGGTAAACTCAGCCACTTTGCTCAGAGTTCGAACTGATCCGAATTTCTGCCGCCTTCTGACATATGTGCCGCATACTAATCCCAAACAGGTAATTTTTTTTCAACTCTTCACATGGCATCTGAGAAAAAACAGTTCCTGTTTGTTAGCAACATACTTACATTTTTGGAGATATGAAGTGTTTGGATGTATGTCAGCAATCAACTTTATCTGCTAAATAATTCTGTATCACCACAAGTGCTAGATATATCATTTATCTCTTGATAGATTTAATTTTCATATCCATATCTCTAGTTTATCTATACGAAGTATCTCATTGAAAAATGCCACTCAGTTTGAATACAGTTACGTTTTTAAAAAAAATCAAAATCAATAAATCAAAAAATTAAGGTGTAATAACCAATCACTCTTAAAATATTACTAGTATAAACACCTCTCAAAGCTAGATATAACATATAAAAATCTCAAGACATTAATATTGATACAAATATACTAGTATATAATTTTCATATGGTTGATGTGTAGGCAGTGAGCAATTTGTGTAATCGCTAGATCTTCGCATCGTCGATTGATATCATCGCTAGATGGATATGACCACTTTAGGCAAGGCCATGAGAAAACGTCCGTACATAGGCCACACATCATTGGATAGTTACTTGAGCGGCAAAATTCGACACTAACAATTCCGCTGATGATCCAGGCCTCCTTGATTGCCGAATGTGTAGAACCAGAGACATGCCCCTGGCGATCGATGGAAGAGTTTTGAAGGAATCATTGTCCTCAAGAACACATCATTTTACGATTGGAAATCGATTTTAGAACATGCAACTTCGCAACGCCCTCCGTTCGTTTCTCACTCAGTATTTGCCCTTCCGTTTGTACAGTGCCCAACAGTTCAGGAACATAACAGGATCCGTCCGCCGTCAGCTGGTTAAAAACTCTAAGGATGAACTATTTCAGTATACTTCGGGAAGATGGATGTACGTCTTTACTTCTAGGGATATCCGTCCCAGGCTGACAGCGCAGTAGCTATAATGAGCATCTGCGGTTGACGGAACGTTACCTCGAGTTCGATATACCTGCCCTCCAGAAGGCCATTGCTGCCGCATCCGGACATTCCACTTCTGATATCATTTCATTTTTTAAGCTTGCAGAAGGCGGATTCAACCGATTATTTCAAGTGACATTTAATGACGGGAATCGCGTTATCGCTAGAATTCCATATCCTTCCACCGGACCCGAACACTACGGAGTTGCTAGCGAAGTGGCGACTCTGGACTATCTTCGGTTGCATGGTATCACTACGCCTAAAGTGTATGCTTGGTGTTCAACACGGGAGAACCCTACATCATTATGGAAAAATTGAACGGCAGCCCTCTGGGAGATGTATGGTTTACGATGACACCAAAAGAGCAGCACGGAATCATGAAGCAGATTGTTGAGTGGGAGACACGATTGATGTCATTGAATTTCCCTGCGTCTGGTAGTATATACTACCGAAAGGATATTCTCTCGGAAGAAGGGATCCCGCTGCCAGATTGTAGCGATCACGAGTTCTGCATAGGTCCTATAGCACATTACAGTTGGTGGCACGAAGAAAGAGTAGTGCTCAAAACTGATAGGGGCCCCTGTAAGTGGAACAACTCCAGTAACTGAACTGAACTGAATTTGTTGATCCGTTATAGGGTTGTCATCCAACGATATCTTTCGCGCGGTTGGGGAACGGGAGTTGAAGTGGGCCAAAACTTATGCGAAACCTCGCCTTCCCTACGAACGCCTCTACAGAGAGATCCATAATTTTTGTCAGGTTTCCCCGGATAGTCACATCGAAAATTTGTCTGATTACCTAACGTTGGCGCGATGCCTTGGCTTCAAAACGGGAAGCTCACTAAATCGGCCGGTTATTCGCCATCCTGACTTCCAGCCGAATAATATTCTCGTGTCGAAGACGAATGAAATTATTGGGTTAATTGATTGGCAACACTCTGCTATTCTGCCTCTTGGACTTGCAGCGGGGATGCCAAAACATTTCCAGAACTACGGTGACCCCGAGTCAGAAAAGCTCCTTGAGCCTCAGATAAACCTTCCGTCGAACTATGACTCCCTTGACTTACCTGAGCAAGATTCAGTTCGGGAAACCATTCGAAAACGCCTGGTTCATTTCCTTTACGCCGCTTTTACCAAGCGTTTGAATGAAGAGCATTACGATGCAATCTTTAACCAGTCTGTCATATTGCATCAACGCCTCTTCGAGAGTGCGGGTACTCCCTGGGAAGGAGACTCAACCACTTTGCGGGCTGACATGATTCGTGCCATACAGAGCTGGCCGACTTTAATCACAGAAGACTCCCTAGAGCAGGATAAAGGGTTATACACTGCGCCTCCTTTCGAGTATCCAGATACAGTTATTCATGACACTATCCGGATAGATGCGCAACAGAGAGAAGCTGATACTGCGATGGAACAAATGCGAAATGTTCTTGGTGTGGATATATTGGGCTGGGTACCCAATGACGGCTATAAAGCTGCGAGGGAAATGGCTCGGGAGATGAAGGCCGAAATGCTTGAAGCGGCCGAAACACGTGGCGATGTTTCTGGGGTCCAAAACCACTTTCCGTTTGATGACTTCAACGAGAACTCCTGAAATAGGCCGTATGCAACATACATCAAATGTACATGTACGTTCACGCAAGGCTGTTGATGGTAGAGTGGTTGGCTATATCAATATGCCTGGACTGTCTTGTCGTCTACGCCTCTATCCACCCCGAAGCCTCATGATTCCTGAAACACCCGTCATTCTGCGTATGAATAACAATGCGTCCAGACGGGTAATTCCTCGGACGCTTCCTGGCCCGTCGCAGTAGTTCTTGAAAGTGATCGGTAAGCACGATCATCCAGCAGCAAGCAGCGGTAAGGTAAATTCGCACGAACTGGATCGTTGGGTGACGCCATGAGACTGCCAAGCACCTCCAAATGGTGGTATTGCTGGTAATATTGTGGAGGAATGACTTTCGTCTCATTGCGGATAGACAAGCTTGACAAGGTCAGCGTGCTGGACTACAATGTAGGTGGGAAGCAAAGTACATTGTTGGCCAATGTTCTCGTAGTGATGTCAAATTCCGCCGCTAAAACTCCGACTAAATTCTTTCTTAACCTGTTCCCTTGAAGGCTCCACTTCTGAGAACAACTGGGTTCAGCGGTAACTAGAAAATGAACAGGGCGCATCCCGTATTGTTCTTTCATTTCAACTACGTCAAGGCATCCAGATGATCTAGTCCCAAAGTATAAACCAACATTTTCAAACAGAATACCTAACCTAAAAGAAATGGATAACCAGGGACGCTGTTGAAAAGCGATACTATTACGCGTTCGTCAGAAATAACAGGCCTCGTGGAAAGGCATTTGTCATGTTGAACGATAGAGTGGCTAGGTACATTGGAGACCATTTTCAGCGTTGATTTCACAGTGTAATTGAATGGGCAATTCTGTGTCGCGACTGGGTTCGTCCAGCTGCACCTGACCAGCTCGGCTGCCCGCTCGGCAACAACTCTCGGGCCATCGTCAGTGACGCAACTTAGAAGTCCACTGACAGCCATTGGATATAGACATCACTCGGTCAAACCATCTTCTGCAGGCTGCTTCACCAGAGAGTCCGGGTTTTACACCTGGAAGCCACTGCGCTCTTGTTCCATGGCAACTTAGGATACAAATCGTTGGGAATTATACTCTATCAAGTGTATCCTTCAAAAAGTACAGGCTTCAACTTTTGAATGAGAACGAAAAGAGCGAACTTCAAAAACATAAAACCGATGACAGGCAGGCACCATGGCGCCAGGGCTACTCTACGTTACAATACAGCCGAGAGACAACCTCTCCGCCGCTCAATTCCACGACTGGTACAACAATGAGCACGGCCCAAGCCGCCTTCGTCTCCCCTTCATCAAGAATGGTTTCCGCTTTCGCGCCACTGACATCTCAAATAAACATGGTCTGCCCACCTTGAGCTGCCCAGTGTCATCCCCGGAATGGCTTGCCATTTACGATGTCACCGACATGGCCGAGCTGAAACGGGAACCGTACCTGCGCCTTCGCCGTGACGACGTCAAGAGCCAGCGCGAAAAGGAGACGATGGCGAAGATCACGATTGACAGACGGCTGTACGACTTTGTCGAGAGCAAGGAGGTGGAGGGCTACGTGCCGCTAGACGCATTGGTGGAAGCGGAGGTGGAGGTGAAGACCAAGAGAGTCCTTGTGGCAATTATCCAAACCCTGCAGCCAGATAAGGAGATGGAGTTCAACAAATGGTATCACGAAAAGCAACTTCCTCTCCTTTCCCAGGCACCCGGGTGGCTGCGGACGCGACGATTCGTGAGCTCCGCCGTCGAGCCTACTGCGACGACCAGGGAATATCTATCATTGCATGAATACATGTCCCACAACGGACCTAACGGGTCAGAGTTGAAAGCCCTAAATGCCACCCCATGGTGCGAACAGGTTATGGCAGACATGGTCAAAGATTGCTCTGGGCACGCCTATGAGCACTACTACACCTTCGGCCCCGCACCTCGCGATCTAGCCTCTCTCGCCTCAGAAACTGAAGTGGGAGCAACGTCCCCCTTCACTTCCCCAGATGGCCTTACGAAAACCCTCCCCATATCATCACTGTCATGTCCTCCTTCTTCCTCCCCCACCCCCCTCCCCGCCATCGAATCCTACATCACCCTTCCCGACGGTGTCACCCTCCCCTACCGCCTAGAGGGCTCCACAAACCCGCACGCCCCCCTCCTCCTCCTCAGCAACAGCATCCTTACCCACCACCGAATCTGGGACGATTTCATCACCTCCTTCTTCGGTCCCTCCCATTCGAACACCCAATACAGAATCCTCCGCTACCTCGCCCGCGGCCGCTCGCGCCACTGCGGCCAGCAACGCATCACTCTCGACGTGCTGGCCGCAGACATCATAGCCATCCTCGACGCCCTGCGCGTGCAGCGGGCCGCGGCCCTCATAGGCGTCAGCCTCGGCGGCGCAACGGTGCTGAACACCGCGCTACAATACCCGGTGCGCACGGCGGCGTTTGTCGCCTGTGACACGAATGCGAGGAGCCCGGATGGGAATCGGCAGGCGTGGGGGGAGAGGATTGCGATTGCGGAGGGGGAAGGGGCGGTGTCGGCGGAGAGCGGGGAAGCAATTGTTGGAAATCGGTTGGCGGAGGCGACGGTTCGGAGGTGGTTTGCTAGGGGGTTAGATTGCGATGATGGGAAGGGAGAGTGGGAAGAGAGGTTCAGGCGGGTTAAGGATATGGTTGGCGGGAATAGTCTGGAGGGGTTTCGGAGGGTAGTAGAGGCGCTGTTGGAGTATGATCTTGTGGAGGAGATGGGGAGGTATGAGGGGGGCCCAGGGGCATTTTTGGCTGGGGAGAAGGATGGGCTGTTGCCGAAGACTATGAGGGACATGGTTGGGATGATGCGGAAAGGCTCAGCGGTGGAGTTTCTGGTGGTGGAGGGCGCGGGTCATTTGCCGATGGTGGAGAGGCCGGAAAGGTTTGCGGAGTTGGTTAGTGGGTTTCTCACGGGCCGCAGATCGGTATAAGTAAAATAATAGGGGGGGCCTATGTTCCACACTACTAACTTAGGGTTGCAGCGACGGTTGATGCTGGATTTCTTTCTTTTTAAAGTTATCACGCAGTATATAAATTGTTTGAGACAATTTCTATTCTGATAACAAATAGCTAAAGGAGGCGCATATATGTATGTAAAATGCATATAGTACATGTACTCTGCATATGTCTCTCTGTGTAGGTAGAGAAGCAAACCTCACACACGCACACATTTATCCCTTATCTGATTGTAATGCGACAAGTGAAATGGTGTTTCTTACTCTTCCTCTCTCCAGCCCTATCTAACCGTTTATGAATGTACTGTACATGTACATACAATGGCAGTGGAGAATATGATGAGTTAGAACTCTGTACAACAAGAGTCAGCATCACAGGGTTCCCCCAAAAGATGGAGAGGACAAAACAACAAGGTGAAATGCTGCAAATGCTTCTAACTTGTAAATATAACAAAATAAAAAGCCTGTACAAAAAGAAAAGAGAGATGGAAATAAAAGGAAAGCTTTCAGTTTTACAGTACACCCAGCAAACAAAGCAAGAGCAAAAGCAAAAGGAATAATGTGCAGGGCAGCAAGGGAAAACAAACCAAGAGAAACATTGGGACTGGGCTATGATTTCTTTCTTGCTTCTTTCTGTTCTTTTATATTATTTTTATCGTATTGTATTGTTTTTTTTTATTCCCGTACGAAATCAAATATTCTCATCTTCATTATTCTCCCACGCTCGTCGTTCCGTCAAGTGGTCGGCGAAGTAATAATAAAAAAAAGGACCTTAGAGAAAGCGTAGGAGCACCGCGGGTTTTAAAAAAGAAAAAAAAAAATTTGGAAAAGTGCTATGAACCCTTCGCCGCTTCGACCTTTTTTAGCTCCTCCCTATAAAAAGGCAAGTCAAGAGCGACTTGGTTGTTAGAAGATCGACGACAAGATAATATAAAACGGAACGGAACAGAGTTTTGAGATTTAGGAGTTTCCTTTCGTGCGGGGGATGGGAGATTTTGTATCCCTACTTTAGTTGTTTCGAGAAATCTTCATTGTTATCATCGTCGTCCCAGCTCTCCTCCCAGAGGTGACTGGAGGTGTCTCCGCTGGACGCGAAGCCAGTTGTTTCAGCTTCATCTTGGGGCCAATCTAGTCGCAAAAGAAGAGCGGAGGAATTAAGGAGCGCAAGACGTTAGCATTTCTTCGCAACTCAAGAGTGTTTCCGGGGGGATTATATCAAAGCTATCGAGGCTGTTCGTTTGAGGTATCCAGAAAGTGCTAGTGGACTGCTGGGCTCTTTTGCCGGGAGACAGAAAAGAGGAAGTACCTTCGACCGGGAAATCTTCAAACTCGTCATCTTCTTCTAGAGCGGCGGGCTTCTGTTGCTGGGATTGAGGCACAGCTTCAGGTTGTTTTTGGCTTGCGGGTTGCGTAGATGTGGCTTGGGCGGACATGGTTGGGTTGCTGCGATAGCGTTTTCGGCAGGACGGCACTCGAGATGGGGTTTCCGTTGGCGGCAGAAGCTTCTCCGCAAGATGGGGGTATGGTGTTTGGCACGAGCACGAAATGAACTATTTTGCTGTCTTGAAAACTTGAAGCGTTGCAGACTGATATTGATATTGACATGACGCTGCGAGGTTGATGTGAAACCATGTGACATCCGGCAGCCCAAACGTGTCAAACATGCCAAGGTCCTGTATATTACGCCCGTCAATACCATGGAATGTCACGCAGCAAGTAAACACTCTCAATCAGGGTCGAAATCCCCATAATCAGACCCTCTAAACTGATATTTTGAGAAAGGAAGAGTTGGTTCTCCACACCAAAGTGCCGGTAACAATAGACGCATGAATTTTTTAGCGAAAACCCCATCCCAGCAGTCGTCGATGAGCCCCATCACCACGCGGCCGATAAGGTGTCTACGATGGAGCTATGTATGGTAATGGCGTAACTCTGCAAACCCAGCTCCAGGCATCCTTATTCACTTCTCGCTCGGTCTCCGCGGCGGCTCCGGCGGCGATTTCATGATCCGGCTTCAACCTCTGCTTTTCGTCTTTTGCATCTTCTCACTCTCCCTGCGCAGCCTCTCCCATGCATGCTGCTGTTTCTGAGACATTGTTGTTCCGTTCCCGTATGCTCTCTCTCCTTCTACAATGCTTGAGCCGTCGTGAGCTATATATATCCTTCCTTTGGTGCGCCTTTCCGCAGGTTGCGGGTGGCATTTTTTATCTCATGGGATACCCATATCTTTTCTAAGTTATTGTTTCCCTTCTATATGTCCCATTTCAGTCTACTGCGCGGTATATTTGCACCTTCAATCTATTCTATAACCATCCTTTCTCCGGAATAAAAACGCAATGTTTCGTGTCGGATCATGGCTGTACAACAAGGCATCTCCGGCGAGTGTCTCCACGCAGTCTCTCGACGCATTGGCAGAGTCGCAAGAGCGTAAGCTGCTATGACCCCTTATACGTCCTCCCAGTATTTTAGATCCGTAGCTGATATATCCGTTGTGTCACTTGGTGCATGCAGTGCAGAGTGCTCTTCGAGGTATTTAGATCTTCCTCTCACCCCGCCAAGCCGCAAAACCAACACCCTTGAGATCAACCCCGCTGATACGATGCCAATGCAGCTGCTACCTTTATCATCAACGATGATGTTGACGGCGCCGAAGAGGGTCTAAATAAGGGTGATTCGTCATTTCATAAGGTGTGTATGCGCGACGGGTCGTTCACAATGTGTTTTGTGCGAGGCAATTGGTTTTGCTCCTCCCTTTCTTGAAGCAAATTAATAATACTATGAGTGTCTCTATTTGTTGTCGCATAGCTGGGAAAAGGGATCGTCTCGTTCGTTCGGGCCACTTTGGGTTTCGAACAGGAAATCATGCGCCTTGGTATTGTTCCCCGCCTCTGTGATTTCCAATTCCAGTTCCTTACAATGTCTTCTCTCCAGCGGGCGAACGGCTATCGGAGGCGGAAACGTGTGCGTCAAACGATTATCAAAAAGCTCAACATAATTCAAATGCCCCCAATGCATACCGGTCACCGATCTATGCCCCTGGGACCGAATTTCTTCTATGTCGAAGTATGGCTCAGCTCATGGCTGCTCTGGTCGGCGTCCTGAACGAAAGCTTAACGGAGAGCATCAAGGCTTTCTATAAACTAAGGAAAGCGTACATCGCATTAGATAATATAATGCAAATGGAGGAGAAGTACCTCCAGGAGGAATCCGCAAGAAAGATGGCCTCCTCTAATATCTCATTGCCACCTAACCACTCCCTTGCGGTGCCCACAAAGCCATTAGTAAACAGAAGCGATACATCGAAAGCCCCCGGAATCACCTCTGACAGGGCCTCAGGCTCCCAGCTCGGAAATGGTAAGCCAGACGAACCGCGGCTTTCCAACGATGCCACGGCGTTTTCTTCCACAGAAGCTGAAAAATCATCATCACAACCTCCAGAACCACCTCCATCTCCCACACAGCACCTGGATCAGGATCCCGACTCCGATTTATTTACGAATCCCGTAGATGCATTTGTACATTCCGGCGCAAACCTCTGCTTCGGACTTTTATTGCTCCTTATCTCGATGGTTCCGCCTGCGTTTTCAAAATTGCTCTATATTGTGGGCTTTAGAGGAGACCGGCGTCGGGGGCTTCGGATGCTGTGGCAAGCTAGCAAATTCCATAACTTAAATGGCGCAATTGCGGGTTTGGGACTGCTGGCTTACTATAATGGTTTTATCCGGCATTGCGACATCATCGACGACTGTCCGAGTGAAAATGAAGACAGGGTCGACAGCTATTCGGAACACCGACTCACTGCTTTGTTGTCAGTGATGAGACATCGATTCCCCCATAGCCATCTTTGGCTCTTAGAGGAATCTCGGATGCAAGCTGCAAAGAAAAATTTAGGCGCGGCCCTGGAGCTGCTCTCTGGAGATACTAAAAGCCCTCTGAAGCAGGTTGAAGCGCTATGTGTGTTCGAAAAGAGTTTGACTTCTATGTATCTTCATAAATACGAATTGTGCGCGGAATCATTCATCGAGGTACTGGGTCCCAACCACCTACATCTCCATATCAAATTTTACTTTAACTTGACTGTTTCTGAACCTTCCTGACATGTTGCCGCTTAGTGTGCTGAACTCAATTCGTGGTCCCGAGCTTTGTATTATTATATTGCTGCATCGGCTCATCTTGCTATCTACAGGCAAAATGCCCTAGATTCGCCTACGCTAGCCAAGGAGCATGCTGCCAAAGCCCTTGAGTTATTCCAGAAGGTTCCGTCGCAAGCGGGCAAGAAGAAATTTATGGCCCGACAGCTTCCATTTGATGTCTTTGTTACCCGGAAAATCTCAAAATGGGAATCACGCGCCAAGGAATGGAATGTTGACTTTATCGACGCGATCGGCGTCGACCCATTGGAAGAAATGATCTACTTATGGAACGGGCACAGCCGCATGAACGAGGAAGAACTTCGAAATTCGCTGAGGTGCTTGGCGTGGTCGGAAAGCGAGGAAAATAAACACTGGGATCGCGAAAATGAAGACGAGTTCGCGATTTTGGCTCTCCTCCGGGCTTCCATATTCCGTTTTCTGGGAAGACATGAAGAATCGAAGAAACTCTTGCGGTCGAAAATCCTTGTTCATGACCCGGCAACATTCAAAGGCCATTTGAAAGATGACTGGACTTGCCCGACAGCCCACTACGAGATGGCAGCGAATTTGTGGATGGAACGCTACTCATATCGGCCAATTTGTTCCACTGCAGGAGGTGTCCCCGCCAATGGCTCGCAAAGTCAGTCCGAATCTACCTCGGCAACGGAGACGAACCATGTCCCCAAACCGTCAATGTCAATATCCTCTAAGACAAGCCACGAATCGAACGAAAACGCAGAAGCTCATGATCGGCGGAAGGTCCGCGAATGCAGAGAATGGATTGAGAAGGTTGCGAAGTGGGAAACGTACGAACTCGACGCCAGAGTCGGCCTCAAAGTGACCGTGGCAGAGGACACATTACGGAAGTGGGAATCGGCCAATCCGCGCTAAGAGAGATCGTTTGTTTTTGTTTTACAAATTTACTTTGTGACGTCACCAAGTCATCCCGTATATAGCTTTATAGATCGGAATGCGGGCTTTATTACGGCCAATTTAGCTCTAATTTTACAGGCTCGCTGTCCTGGAGCACACTCTTCAAATAGACATGACACAGCTCCTGGCTTTATTAACACGTGACCATCAAGTTCAAGATCCACGGGTGCAAGCCTCGGCTCTCAGACCCTCGATTCTCCCGGTTAGCCGATTGCCGAACGACAACCCGTAACTAGATCTCATGAGGAATATTTATCCCAGAGTCAGAGAGGCTCTATTTTAATATATTTAATCCCTTCTACAGTATTCCTCTATCTTAAATGTTTCACTCTACTCAAGCGCCCGAGGGCTTTAAGAAACGAGATGGCATTGGCATCCTCGTCACAACGGGCCGGCAATGACGTAGTGCCGGTTGAACGACAGATCTCAGAGAAGAGCAGGCCTGGATATGATGATAATGATGGTGACGATGATTATGGTCTCAATTACTTTGAAAACTTGCCACGAAATCGAACTTCCAGTATCTCCACACACCAATCCGCCAGCTTGAGCAGAATCCAGTCGGCAATCTCGACTGTCTCCCAGCATTACAATGCCACCCTCAACCATGTCCGGAGTCGGAACCCGGACCAGATGCGGCCTTTCACCCATCCGCTGTCGCATCAAAAGACGTCACGCGATACCCTCGTTGACTTTGATGGGCCAGACGATGCGTATCACCCGATGAATTGGTCATTTCGTAAAAAGGCCATCACAACATTTTTATATGGGTTGACGACAATGGGTATGGTTCTTGTTGGTCCTTCCGTGGCAGAGGCACACAGAGCAACTGAGCTAATATTTTCTCGTCTCTTTTCCCTTACAGGTTCTACATGGTCCAGTGCAGTGTAAGGCCCAAGCCTCTATTGAAACAAAATTGGCCACCCATCATTCGCCTTCTCTCTTATAACTAGGGGAAATCATCCATTGACAACACCGTCCAGCTATTCGCCCGGAATCACACAAGTTGACGCCGACTTCCATATCTCAGAAGAAGTGGGGGTGCTGGGGGTCAGCTTGCTGCTGTTTGGTTTTGGTCTGGGGCCTTTACTGTGGGCCCCGCTATCCGAGCTCTATGGGCGCAAGCCCGCAGTCCTCTTCCCGTATTTTCTCGCAGCGATATTTATGTTCACCGCCGGCAGCGCAAAGGACATCCAAACGGTTCTCATATCCCGTTTTTTCTGTGGTTTCTTTGGCTCTGCACCTGTCACTAATACAGGTGGGGTGCTGAGTGATTTGTTCCCAGCTGAAGAGCGAGGTGTCGCTATTGTCGGTTATGCGATGGCTGTTGTTGGAGGACCCAGCTTGGGACCCATCGTTGGGGCAGCTATCGTGCAGAGTTATCTGCGTTGGAGATGGACGGAATATGTGAGTTTCGGTCCTGGCCGAGAATTGCCCACTCCCCTTTTCCACCTGCTCTAATAAACCCCTTTTGACTTCAATATCCCACCCTTAGATAACGGGGATAATGATGATTCTGTTCCTTATCCTCGATATTATATTCGTAGACGAATCCTACCCTGCCATCCTCCTTGTCAAAAAAGCCCGTCGTCTCCGTTATGAAACGGGCAACTGGTCGCTACACGCTCCCCATGAAGAGTGGGATGTCAGCTTCGCCGAAATGGTAAACAAATACCTGGTGGTCCCCTTCCAGCTTTTAGGCACTCCCATCTGTTTCCTCATCGCTATGTACGCCTCTTTCGTCTACGGCATATTATACCTTAGTCTATCCTCCTTTCCTATCGCCTTCATAGAAGTCCGTGGCTGGAGCCAAGTTGTCGGCCACCTGCCATTCCTCGGCTTGCTTGTGGGTGTCATCCTTGGCGCAGGCGCCAATCTATTTAACCAGAAATTCTACCTGAAGAAATTCCGCACCAACGACCGGAGACCAGTTCCTGAAGCCCGTCTTCCGCCCATGATGGTCGGCTCCGTGTTCTTCTCCGCAGGCCTATTCATCTTCGGCTGGACGTCGCCACCGCACATCCCCTGGGTCGCGCAGGTAATCGGTACAGTATCCATGGGCTTTGGGTTCTTCACAGTCTTCCAAGCAGCCTTGAATTACCTGATCGATACATTCCCGACCGTTTCGGCTAGTGCAGTTGGTGCCAATACGTTCCTGCGCAGTTGTTTTGCGGGTGCGTTCCCATTGTTTGCTAGGGTGATGTATTCGAAGCTCGGGGTACCGTGGGCGTCGAGTCTTCTGGGATTTGTATCGCTGCCGCTGATCCCAATTCCGTATCTGTTTTATTTTTATGGGAAACGGATAAGGGCGAGAGGGAAGTGGTCGCGTCCTTCTGTATATCCGCCGTGAATTTTCTCTGGGTATGGCCGGGAAAAAAGAAAAAAAAATTGATACCATAAGTTATAATCTTCTTTTGTAGAGTTACAAATCTAGAGGCCCAGATGTCCGTACGTTTTCCTTGAAAAATAAATGGATAGCCAGGGTGTACGATACGTTAGAAAAACTTTCTTTCATTTGATGGAAGACATGTTTTCTGTATCTGCCTTTTCCTACCTAGTTATATATATTACCACATTTCGACCAAAGGTTGCGATTAGCATCCATGCTTCTCTAGTATTACTCCGAATCCTCCTCTATATTTCCCAAACATGCATTCAAATTGCGGGCGATCACCTCATGTTGCTTGTGGGCATAGAAATGCCAACGGTAAGACTTCAAAAGAGTGATAAAAGGCCGTCGATGCTGATTTTCAGGTCATATATTATAACCAATTCGATGCGAAGAAGGTAAACCATCTATCTGTATGGGAGGTTTCGAGGTTTCACGGAGTTCTTGGTGGTCCATTAAAGTCACATGATCTCGCGACTCAGCCTCGGGATGATCTTTCTGCCTACTTCCGCATCGCGTCTGCAAGGGCAAAACAACGACATCCCATTCTTGGCTCCGAATTTCTGCCAGCACAACGTGCCCACAGCAGCCTTCTTCCCCCTGTCTGTGCACTATTGGTGGGGTTTTCTTCTCATTCAAAGCATCCCCCTTGACTTTGCAATAGGAGTTGGTTGTGAACTCTAAGGTTCAGACGCGTCCTGTGTTTTGCCGACGATTTGTTTGTTTTCGTATTTTCCCCCTGGCGGCGGAACGAAGGGTATTGATTGATCTGTCTGTAAACAAGACAGCCGCAGGTATACCACGAGCAGAAGCAGCCAGACAGCAAAAAGAATTATGACGGTAGAAGACGAGAGTCAAAATGAATATGAGGAGAATGGCCTCGCGGGACCTGGAGCACCCACACCTTTGACTGCATTGGAGGTGGGTTTTGATATCGCATCGGCTGACTAACTAAAAGATTTTTTTTTGTCTGTTGTCGTACGATTCGTTTCTCCTTGGAGATAATATATGCTGTATGCTGCATGAATTAAAGAATTAAGACTAAAAACTGACCTCTGCGCTGTGGTGTTTGTTTGCATTAGGGAGTTAATGGCCTGACTGCACGAGATATCAAGCTGGTGATTGATGGTGGGTATCATACCATTGAGTCGGTAGCCTATACGTATGTTGCATATATATTCCTGCTCTTGTTTTTTAATATTGCTTGCGTTTTTGAGTCAATTATCTTACTCGATGTACATGTTGATACAGGCCGAAGCGAATGCTGGAACAGATCAAAGGCATATCCGAGCAGAAAGCGACGAAGATCCTTGCGGAGGGTATGTTATATTGTTTAGTTATGTGATCCGTTCGGATTTTATACTATTCCCTCCAGCCTGACCATATGTGTCGTAGCTTCAAAAATCGTGCCAATGGGTTTCACAACGGCAACTGAAATGCATGCTCGACGAAACGATTTGATATGCATAACAACAGGATCGAAACAATTGGATACTCTACTGGCAGGTGGCATCGAGACGGGGTCCATTACCGAGATTTTCGGAGAGTTCAGAACGGGGAAGAGTCAGATTTGTCATACGCTGGCAGTAACTTGCCAACTACCATTTGACATGGGCGGCGGAGAGGGGAAGTGTCTGTATATTGACACTGAGGGCACATTCCGCCCGACCCGACTGCTTGCAGTCGCTCAGCGCTATGGACTTGTCGGCGATGAGGTTCTCGACAACATCGCATATGCCAGAGCTTACAACTCTGACCACCAACTACAGCTACTCAACCAAGCGTCGCAGATGATGTGTGAGACACGGTTTTCCCTCCTCATCGTCGATTCGGCCACAGCTCTATACAGGACTGACTTTAGTGGTCGAGGCGAGCTATCGAGCCGGCAAAACCATCTTGCCAAATTCATGCGGAAACTGCGGACTCTTGCTGATGAGTTTGGCATTGCGGTTGTTATCACCAATCAGGTAGTTGCGCAAGTGGATGGAGGGCCAAGTGCTATGTTCAACCCAGACCCAAAGAAACCCATTGGAGGCAATATCATTGCGCATGCTAGCACGACGAGGTTAAGTTTGAAGAAAGGTCGGGGAGAGACTCGTATTTGCAAGATTTATGATAGCCCTTGTCTTCCGGAGAGCGATTGTCTGTTTGCGATTAATGAAGGTGGGATTGGGGATCCGAGTCCGAAAGATTTGGAGAAGGATTGACCAAACGATTATTAAGGGCTTAGATGGTTGAAATAATGTTGGGGAAGCTTTTCTTCTCTATATATTTATCCCGTTTAACGGACTCTTAACGCTTTCCTTTTCTAATCTTTTGTCCATAGCATTTCGGAACTGGCGTTCGGGGGAAGCCAAAGGAGAGAGCGATGTTTACTGATTGTCATGAATAAATTGATGGAGTCCAACTGTGAGGGTTTGTTTTGAGTTTGAAAATCATACACTTGGTGCTCTAGAAATATTTTTAGATGAGTCTTACTTATATTGAGGCATACTATGTAGGGTTATTATATGAATATAAATTGATTCCAGCGTTGTTGATGATACTTTACTTCAATACCTGCAATTGTGTTGTGTAGCTCTTTACTGAGCTCTTTAAGCGCGGCTGGCGGGCTCCCAAACCTTAAATTTTTATCACGCAAGCTTGCTTCAGATGCATATCCACCTCTCCCACACTCAACATCCAGCCATGGGTAGTTAGAACTACCAATCATCTGCAATTAAAAATACCCTCTGATTATCTCCATGCCCAGCATGCTCAAAATATACAAGGAGACTAGGGTCGACACGCGACAAACCGCACCGGCATCAATTGTAAACATCCCAATCCCATCCTCCAGCAACGGTCACAGCAACCCTCAACAGCGACGTACCAAATTCTCCCTCTTACCGTCGACTTCTAATACAGCGTACTCAGATTACACGACGAAGGATGAAGACGCATTCGTGAAGCGCTATCTAGCCTCACAGGGTGCAGTCTATTTCCGCCAGCGGAAAACATACCCACGCAGCTTCCTCTGGCGAGTCGTAGGCGGCAACGATGATGGCAACGATAGGTTTCTCGAGATCAAGTCTGTGGACTTGACAAAAGGTGCTAGCGAGTCGACGACTACGGGAACGACGACCTCTGCGACGAACAATAGCAACAGTAACAACCACCCACAACCACATCATGAGGCAAACCTACTACTACGGCTCGAGTTCCCGGAGAAGATAATACCGCACGGCGTTGCGCTGGCGGATTCGGAGGATCATGAAGTTCTGAGTTTGTTCGTTGTCACGAGGGATAGGCACTTGTACACCATTAGTCTACGGCAGGAGTTCTTTAGACGGGTCGCAGCGATTGATGAGAACGTGCCCGATTGGTGTAAAGTGAGCTGCCCGGCGCCGTTGGCATTTGCGCATCCTCACCGCTTGCATGCGAGCAGTCCCCAAGAATTGTTTATTTCTTTGGATAGTGGGGCCCTTTTGAGGTTGACGAGGAAAGCAGGTGATGACGGTACGCATTATCTAAAGATAGCTAGATAGCTATATAGCTATCTTATGATAGTAAGATTTCTTTTTGCTAACTGCTATTTATTTTTACTCTTGCATAGGATCAAATTGGTCTGCGATCACCTTCGATGAGAAGCCATGGGGCTCCTCGCTGCGTGGACTCGTTAAATGGAATGGTCACCAGCAGATACGCTATGACGGGCGAGTTTTGGATCCAAATACTTCAAATGCAATTGCCACAACCTCTGACCATGCCTTCGTGTTCGTCGTCGGCCTCAATCATACATTAAAGATTTGGAATTTGGCAAGCCATAAGCTGGCTGCATCGAGGGATTTATTAAACCGGACAGGCCAACAGCAAGATGTTGCACCTGCAACGCTGAATCCGTCTGAGTCTGCATTTATTCGCGTTTTCAATGCTGAAAGGGCGATCGAGGGTGAAACATATTATGCCGTCACTTACTCACCTCTTGACGACGGCCAGTTTAAATTTTGGGTTGTGAAGGGTGGGTTGGGATCGCAATTGGAGGTAGAAGATCTTTTTCCAGACTCCAAATTGAAACCTGTGGACCCGGACCCTTCAGGCAGTGTGTTTTGGAATATTGCAGATTTTCAAATAAAGTCTATGGAAGAAGGAAGACATATGGTCCTTTGGGTACTCTGGAGAAACAACAACCTCTATCAAGTTTACAGCCTGCATTTTAACCTGGATGATTTGGAATCGGCATGGCGCCGTAATTGGACCGGAATGGCCTTAGAGACAAGCAGTGACGAACCGCCCCCGAGTTTCCTGTTATCTGACATTGCGGATCCCGCGGAGAAATGGCTGGAGTATCTTTTCTGTCCCGGCAGATACTCTCATGAAATCCTTGCGACATCTCTTGCTATTTACCAGGATGCGATGAAAATCAAACCGACACCTAGAAACAACAAAAAATTTACTCCCCTCCAGCAACAGCTCTACTCGACCATTTCGGAATCGGTGACACTCCGAAAATTCAGCGAGGCTGGAGTCGACTATACAAAGTATCGACGAGAAACAGATACCAAATGGCGGCAGTTTTGGCAGATTGCCGATGACCTGAATGGAAAACGAAACGAGGCGATCTCACTAAGTTATGACGCGTTTACGGATATTCCATGGCTACTCTTTTCTGATGGGTGTTGCCTTATCCGGGAGTGTAGCGGCACAGAGCTTGTCGTCCACAATGACGGCCATGCGTTAAGAGATCATAGAAGAACGTTGGAAGACTCTTTACATCATAGAAATTTGGACAAGGAGTTGAGAGACTCAGATCTGGCGGCGGCACTTATTGCAGCTGCTGCATCATTTAGAAAGAAATTCACTCCAGAGCTCAGTCATGCCTGCGCAACCGCATTAAATGCGGAGCTTTTTACCGAGCCTTCTCTATCGGCGGCCCAGCGGATTGCTGCGTTTCATGCACAGAGTAAATTCGCCGAGCTCATTACAGATGATATGTTTGATAGCATGTTTGCGAGTGTTGAGATAGCCATCGGGTTTAAAAAGCTCACCACCGAACTCTTTCTTTCAATTATCGATACGATGCCCCTTGGATTCCCGGGGAAGGATTCTGAACTTCTATCGACAGATTTTGGGCGGATGGTAACTGTTCAGGGCGCTTTGGAAACAATAAGATTGAACAAACAAGTTCTATATGACCTTCTACTACTGACCGTTTTCGTCGAGACTGAGTTGACCCAGGAAGATGGCGTGCTGTTTGACGGGGTAGACCTGTTTGTGACCCTGATTGAGATGCTAAAAGAATATGAGATGATGATCTGGTTGGGATCAAATGTTCGACCGTGGCATGGAAATCCACCCCATGGCAGGACAAGCAATGCGATGTCACCCGCAGTTCCCGAAGGGACAGGCGCGGACAAAGGAGAGCCCCGATTATCCACCATTCTTGAAGACCTTTTCGCCTGCCATATCAAGCCACGCCCGACATTCGGCGTTCCTCAAACGTTTACCCTCACCCAACAAATTCGAGACGTGGTGTCTTGGATCACAAGACAGGGTGAAGTGTCGTTTCCGAATGTTTTAGTCTTTATTCAATGCGACCTCCTGGCTTCGGGTAACATTGACCTAGCCTCTGACTTCTTACGCTTCCAGCCTAATACCGCCTGGTCTACTTACGTCAAGGGAAGACTATATGTAGCGAAATCCGAGTTTGATGCAGCGACTATCTATTTCCAAAAAGCTGCGTATATCCTTTGTAAGTGCTATTTGAATATGACTTGTATAATGGAAATAATAATTCTTTGCTAACATAAAATATGTATTTTCAATGTAGCTCACGGAAAGGCAGTTGGGAACCTTCATGAAATGTCTTCCAACCTTCTTGATATAATATCCGTCAACAGCTTTTATAACGGGCTGCCTAAATACTTTCAGCACATTCTTTCCCTTTTCGAGCAGGCACGGGCTTTTGCGCATGTTGCCGATTTTGCCCGCCTTGCTCTCCAGGCTCTGGAATCTGACCCAAGGAAAAACGAACCTGACTCTGATTATATATATCTCCGGACTGATCTTCTTTCCCGTCTGTTCCATGCATCTCTAAAGACCTGTCGTTTTGATGAAGCCTACTCTGCACTCTCACGATACACAGATGCTGCATTGCAGAAGTCCGCTCTCACCGCTTTAATCACCACAATTCTGGCTGCTTCAGGGCCAGGTATTGCTGGCCTCCAAAGGATTCTTCGATTTCCGATATCGTTGGCGCCAAATCTAGCCTCCCACGTCGACGAAATCCTCCTATCGCTCGCGAAGAAACAATCTACTCACGGTCGATCACAAGGACAAGCCCTACCCACAGCAACATCTTGGCAAGAAAATTCCGATATCCCAGATTACCAGCGCGTTCTCCAAGCCTACCGCGTGGCGCGCAATGATATCCGTGGCGCAGCAGAGGTGTCCTATCAAGCCGTCCAGCGCCTACGCGAGATGAGGGATCGCGGTTTCTACTCGACACGCGCGTTGATGATGCGACGAAACGCGAACGAAGCGGCAGCAGCTCAACATCAGGAAATTAGTGAGGAAGACTTGGAAAGCAAAAACCTGCGAAATGAGCTCCTGTCTCTGATAAACCTTCTTGCATGTATGGATAAGAATGAAAATTATATCCTAGTCGAGGTTCCTACTCCGCAGCACAACGCTCATCCACGAGGCGGTAGCATCATCAACAATGCTGCTGCTGCTGGTGATGATGATGATGGCGATGGTGATGATGGCTCCGCATTCTTAGATTCTACCATGGCGACAAAGTCCCCGCGGACCTCTTTTTCACTGCCGTCCCCCGCGCACGATGTTACTTATTCCCCACGCTCAAGTGTTGGTGCGGGTGAGAGGAAATTAAGCATAACGTCATCGCAGCACTCTACAGGCCAGCAATCAAAGCTTCCTAAACGTATCATCGTTACATTGGAAGATCTGCGAAAGGAGTACCAAGCGGAATTAGACCGAGTGAGCAGGATTGAGAATGGCGATTGGGAATTTGGTTTTGTTGACAGTGGGGCGCCGGATATGAACGATGATAGTCTGAATAATGTGGAAGCGATGGATCTTATGTGATTTTTTGGTGGTTTTTTTCTGGTTTTTTTATCCTGCTTATTTCAGTGGTTTAAATCACTTAGAGTATTGTCTTCTTCTCCCTTTATTGTTTTGACAAAGTAGGTAAGGATTACGGTACTGCTTGCAACTAGGCGGCCGCCAGCGAATCTGTATTTGTAGCAGGGTTAATGAGTCTTCATTTCATTTTCAAACTTCCTTGCATGGTAATGCGAATAGGGAATCAACCATTCAGAACTATTTATGCAAGTCGATTCAGTGAAGAAATTCGTAGCAGAGACATTCATAACAGTGTCCAAATCTACAGAATGTATCATAATAGTTGCCGGATGCCCTGGGAGCTTCTCTGAATTGCGTGAGGACCACCACTTGGATACTGCCTAGGATATATCCATCGAATCTCCATTTGAATAGCGATCTCCAGCTAGCACTTAGGTCGTCGTCCTGAAACGGCGTGCTTGAGAAGAAGAGAACAAAAAGGATATTTATAGTCAACAACCTGTTAATTGCCTACGTGCAGAGAGGAGAAGTGAATCCTGAGTAAGGGGACACCAAGTCAATGCTCTAATCTTGTACGGAGTACTCCGAAATCTGTGAGATTTGTTCTAGCCTGGATCAATGATCCCTATTGCAGACTAGCGGAACGCCAGCAGTATTGATATAGAGACGTCCAGCAAAATCATCTCAAACCTTTCAACATTCCAAAACCACATCTTTCCTTGCTGCCATACATCCGTGCTCTACTAACCGCTCCGCCATGTTGGTGACCGATAAAGAAACCCTCAACCCCGCTATTCCGGAACTGCGTTCAAAATCCTTGGTAAAGCGGCCGTGTCGAGCGAACGAAGGGCAGTAATTATAACCATCTCATGTACTCATCGAATGGCAAAGATTCTTTTTTTTTTTCAAGTACAATAATACCACAATGGCTGAAGCGCATACGCAACTGTTTTTCTTTACTCAGATTAAGGCCAACCCGAATTCAACAATTCGAATTCCGGAAATCTCTCATGCATGGGAAAAGTCCGGTGGCTTGGTCTATATTGTCTTGGAGCACATCGATATTGAGCATTTTGCATCAGATGAGCAGCGATCCCAAGCAATAACTGAACTCATCTCCATCAAACCACCGCCTGGGAGGTTTGGAGGCTTTAGTGGGGAGCGTATTCGACACCCGTTCTCCAACGACGGAAAAGCTTACATTATCTCCGGTAGGCAACTAGAAGCATTCGTTAACCGGGTGAGCGCCGCATTATCAACTGATATTCCCACAAGCAGGCACTGCGATCTCATACTATGACATTATGCTAATCAGCAGCTGACGGTCTAGGTCCTCACATTTCTCCCAGACGCCAACAACTGTTGTAAGACTGTAGATTTTAGCAGCAAGCCATTGGTCTGCTCTAAGCCGATATGTATCGAGAAAACTTCCCTGTGGATAGCAGCGGTGAGCTCCGGGCGGTTGATTTTCAATACACAGGCGTCTTACCCGCCAGTTTCATGAGTTTTGTTGTGGATACAGAATCCAAGCATACATTGCCGGGACCTATCAGGAAGACAATCCCGGTTAAAAGATCAAAGAACCTCATACCCATGGCTCGGGCTTGCAATCTTCTCCGGATGGCTGTTTCTAATTTCTGTGTGGTCTATATCTTTAAGTTCTAACGAAGACTCAAAAACACTACTGACGGTTACCAAATATAGGCCACGACGGTGCTGATCAGAAGTTACAACAGCAGCGATGACCTCTTCAGAATTACCACGTAGTCGTATACTTTGCACAAATTTTACGTGCCATATGGAATAGGGTTCATTTTCACTAACATCCACTGTCAAGCGGTCACGCCCAAGCGACCAATGGATCTTAAATAAGGGAAATATGTAAGTTAAGGCAGAAGTTTGATAAGTACTTAAAACCCTCGTTATAGATCATTGCGCGCCACGGAGTCAAACTTCCACATGAATCTCCCATCGAACAGGGTGACCCGAAGTAACCCTAGGAGACCTCTTGATTGCATCCATCACATCCCCGCCTAGCACCTGCGCACCCGCAGATTGAATTTTACTATTCTCGGCCGCGTAAGTGCGGCTTGCCATTGACTTTCCATCTCACTTCAGCGGAAAGTGTCGTGCCTCGATGGAGCGCAGGGGCATGTTCTTGGGGATTCAGCGTCGCGGATCAGAGTTGTGACCTCGAGGGGCTGGAGCATGACATTTGCGAATATTCTGGGAGGGAGAAAGCCGTGCTTGAAAGGATAGGTAGTTAACATTAGTATGCCAGTTACATATGAGCAATTCCTCACGGTAGTTCCGTTGTGTCAGTGGTGGAGAGCGAGATCTGCGCCAGCTGGCAGATTTAGCGTATTTACGAGGTCGGGTTTTCCGATATGATAAGCAAATGTCCATGCAGCCATGCCTGAAATCTCAGTCTTCTTTTTCAACTTCCTGACATCACTTCCAACACTTATGCATGCAAGAGTTACATGAGACTTCTTGTCTTAAATACCGTTCTGTTTCGGTGTTACAACAACAGCTGGTCTTTTAGCTCAACAAAGACTCATCTGACAAATGCCAGCACCCACTTTGCCTGCAATGAGAGGAGAGTCTCAAGTGTCGCATTCCAGTCCTTTTGTTCTGTATCGGATGGATGTAACGGATCAGACAAGTCTTTCTGTTTCTCCCTTGTCACCCTGCACCATCTGATTGGAGATGTTTCTTTATTTTTCATTGATTTATTTATGATGAGTTTTTTATTCTCATTTTTTTTTTCTTTGTCTCTGACCAGTCAGACCTCAAAGATCTTGAGAGATCTGATATCTAGCCATTTCATTTGACCCCTGCAACATCTCAGTCCGGGGGGAGTGATGTGTCTCGACATGGGATTTTGCATTTAATTTATTCACCATTCTTGCTTCTTTATTCTTCTTTCTTCCGCCACCTGCTTAAGTGTGTGTGCCCTTGCATAAGTAGTTGTGCTGCCCTCCTTTCCACACTTCCAAGAATAATGGAAATTTTCTTTCTATGGAAGCATTCTCATTTACTTTTCTATTTGGAAACTCACGGGAGGATATCCTTTCAAGTTCTTATATCTTCTCTTGTCTTCCTAGGTTACTGATTTAATTAATAACTTTCGTTTTCATTCACATTCGAGCCATGTCGCTCCGGTGAAATAATAAAAAATGATGCTTTGGGACGTGAAGGGTTGTCCCTGAGAGCATTTCCCCGCGAGTACTGCTGAATGTGCTGTGTCTGCGCTGTACATTACACATTCCATCTTGCTGTTTTATACTCGTCGTCTTGCAGTCGAGGCTCTTTCTCCTTTTTTTCCCTTCGCGCGCCTTTAATACGCTTCCACCGGGTGGAAGCGACAAGTGAGCGGACAGAAGAGCCACACCTCCTTCGTCCCGGCCACAAACGAAACATCCTAATAACCTCGACTCATTTCTATTTCTTTTCCTTTCCTTTCCATGCTTCGTACATACTTACATACATATACATAACATACATAGCCCCTGCTCTCCGCCAGCTCCCATGTACCTGCGCTGTATCACGACAGTACTGCCGGTCCGTACCTCATTGCTGTTCCTGTCTTGTTCCCAACCTAACAAGCATTGGCTTTGACTACTCCTCTCTATCCATTTCTTGTGGATGTATTCATTCTCCTCCGGCTCCCTGGGCACCTCGTATCAAGGATAACTCCCCCCCCTCCCCTCTCTCTCTTTCTCAATGTCAACGGACCTGCATATCGATCGAATCAGCATCCGACGTCACGCACCATGGAATTTTTTGTGGATTGGGCGCTGTGGCTGAAAATGTGCTTTGTGAGTTTTTCCTTCATGTCCCATGGTTGTATTTCTATGCACATACCTTGTGCTGCCCAACTTTTTTTGCGGTTTTTACCTCGTTTCGTTTCGCTAACCGTCTCATTACCAAATCCCAGGTCCTTGGATGTCTTATAGTACTGTCCCCCTTTCCCTCCTCCACTGAAAGTGCCATTACGGATACTCCCATTCTAACACAAATGCTTTTCTTCCGCTTCTTTTTAAACGACAGTTCCTTGTACTCATATACGGTACCGGGGTTCACATCTATAACTCACTGCGACTAAAAAAACTCACCGCAGCTGCCGCAAGGGAAGAAGCAGCTGTACGTACTCCCGGAATGCTAGAGATCGGAAGTGATGATATACCCTTCGGTTCGAGGGCGATAGAACGAGGGATCGAGATTGAAGGGATTTGGATCTCACATCACAACACACCAGTGGGAAGCCCCAGATGGGGGCTAACGCCCGATCCTAGCAGGCCGGCAAGTCTGGGATCAAAATCGACTCTTACATTTCCCGTCACTCCTCTTCCCTCCAGAGGCGGATCCGACTACTTGGCACCCAGAACAGCGACTCTTGGCTGTCGCAAGCTGGCTTCTGTCAGCTCACCCTTGCCCTATCCTGAATCTCATGATAGTGCGAATGTGTCGAGTTCGGGGATCAATGGCAGACGGGCGAAGAGTGATTTTTTTCATAGGAACGAGCAGGAAAGCGAGTCCGAATCGCATATCTCACAGAATGATAACAGGTACTCTGGATTCGAATTTGGTGACCTGGGTGGAGTGGAGCCATCGGATCAGCAGCAGACAGGCGACACTGGTAGTATAAATTACCTCACAGAGGAAAGTGGCAGTGGTGTGGAGGCTCAGGGGTGGGGTTCTACACCTATTGCTACTGGTATGTGACCACACTCAACACTCTGGTAATCTTGCTACAGAGGAGGCAATGTTTAAATTGGAAACATACAGAAGAAAGCTGATGATTGATCAAAATTCGCGGGAAAAATTAAATATACCATAGCATCAGAAATCCATCTACCTTTACAGGGCCACTCTGGCGACTCCGTGGTTATTGAAAGCATAGCCGGAAAGGGGCAACTTCGATCAGTTAGTGGACCACCATTTGAACAGCGCACTTGAGCCCGATAGAGAACCCCCGGGATTATTGAGGGACAGCAACATGGCGACCCTACATTCTGCGTACCCGCAGGCAGTTCGGCATTGCAGAAACGGGCCAGCAGGAAAATGCTCGAAGTGGATGTGTTGAGGGAGATAGCAACGATCAAAAGGATTGTGTACCCCGGTATAACCATACCGTTGAGAAAGCTTCCTCCAGCCCAGGTAGCGTGAGGGTTACAAGCGAGAGGGTGGATTGCGGTACAAATCCAAACTAGGGACATGAAATTATTCTTTTTTTTTGTAACGATACAGTAAATATAGTGTTTGAAATGGGACAGCATGCGGTCAGTGCACGGAAAATGGTTCCATTGCATTTTGTATATCAAGAGGTGAGGAGGTAAATTATATCCCCCATTTTTAATTTTTTTTTTTCGTTTAATATATATATCTTCTTTTTCATTGCTACTCTTCTCCTGTGGTATTATCTCTTTTTCCACGTTCTCTAGTTTGTACAGAAAACCACGGCTGGCCCTTCATTGGATAGATAACATAACGGGAATGGTAGATGGGATAGAAGAGTGTATTCAGTTGCCGCGTAGAAGATCGAGATCGGGTTTTCGTTGTATAGCTACCCGTTCAGATAAGATACCAGTATCCAGACGTTCATTCCTCATACACTGCATGATCAGTTTAGCGGTCTGTATATATAATGAGTTTCTATCCAGTGATAACTTGACATAAACTTCAACAGTAGCAGCACATACAGAGTCCTAAGACTAATGAGTAACTATTAGCATCATTTGAGAAAATTAGACAAATTTCGAGAATAAATCTCCTGCTAAAGATAGCAATGATAAAAGAGATATATATATATATATATTTAAAGAAACTATGTGCTTTTTTTCTCGGATATCATGGAGAAGCTATCTGGTAGATGATAAATTACTAACAATTAGAAATGTTTTTGATGAGATAACTAAATGATGGCTCTGATGAGTAACTAGTATGAGTCGATCAAAAGACAGCATCACAGCATTAAAATATCTTGATATTCCTGTGAGCATCACTGAATGTATATGCATATTAGGTTGATTGATGGATTGAGCTATATATAGTTAGCTACCAGCAAGTCTAACGATGAAAATCCGCTGATCTGGCGATTAATAAGCCATTCTATTTTGCTTGCTTTTTCAAACGTCACGCACCAAACAAATATTCTACAATCACCTCATCACCAGCATTCGGACATGTTGGCTGTGTTTCCAGCAAATCTAAGAGAGTTCCCTACACAGCAAGCTCCGTTGAAATTGCGATGCCAATTCCTCCGGATCTTGTAGTGCTGACATTTTTGAAGTGTCGCTTCTCAAGCTTCTCGGCAAAGTCAAAGCCCCATTGTGATGGGATAAGTCCGAAGATCGTTCCGTCCGTTATATCTCGGAGCTGTCAAACAAAGGATGCATGGACCGCACCGCTGACTCTAATTGGTTGTGTTCATACTACAATCTCCGCTCAACAAAAAACTCATTGATCTTTGGTACGGACGTAACAAGACCAAGAAGCGGCCAAGCCATGATCGCAGATAGAGAGGAATTTTGGTCTCTTCCCATGATGAATATAAATCCAGCCTGCATCTCTCGATTGATACTTCATCGAACAATCATTTACAAACTCCTTCTCGACGACCTCTCAGTCCTCATTCGACAGAATTTCCTTTCACAATGCATCTCAAATTTTTGACTCTCATGTGCTCAGTGGCAGGCGCCCTGGCAGCAAATGGAGTTTTCAATCAACCGAAGGGCAAGTCTTTTGTCACCATTGAGTATCAAGTCGGCTATCCCATCAACACCACGACGCCAGCCGGCGTGGTTGCCACCGTCCCAGTTTTGAGCGGCGATATCAAAGGCAGATTCAATGGCCACATTGTGGAGAACATTACCTCATCCGTCGAAGCGTATCTGGACACTTGCACAGGGAGCTTCACTGTATGTCCATCAGTGTGACACAAAATGATAAAACTAGGCTGACTTTCCATTAACTAGTCTTTCGAATCCCGTTATCTTTTTGAGAACGACGCCGGGGAGCACATTGTAGCCAAGGTTGTTGGCACCACCTCCTATTCCAAGCAGGATCTTCACGGATTGGGCTACGCGTATGTGTCTCCCATCTCCTGAAGCTATTTATCATCAACTAACAGCACATGCACAGTACATTCAGCACGGACATCAAAGATCTAAAGTGGATCAATACTGCGATGTTTGTTGCTGAGTGGCAGGGCAGGTATGGGGGGCGAGGAGCTGAGATCGAGATCTTCGAGCTCACAACTGGCGGCCGGGTTGATGGCGAGCCCATTTATGCAGCTCAGCCATCCAAGATATAAGTGAACGATCAGCCGGGTTTGACTCAGCCGATCCTTAACAGAGGCGCGGAACTTGTTAGGGCTCTCGAAGTTTGTTTGTCCGTGCAGGGGCCACACAGGGTTCAAACTTTGTTTTGGGCGCTAAATTTCTTGGCAAAATCCTTCTCAGGGACTCCGTCAGCACCAGGGCTATGGTGAACGAGGATGAGGAGGTAAATGCCTTCAACTGATTTTTATGACAACTTTTTTTTTTTAAATTATCACTGTATATTGTATGATTTAATACTGTACTTAAGTATAGATTTTATATAATGGCTATTATAGATTTATATATATATATATATATATTTTTCGTTTTCTATATAATATAGATTTAGAATAAGCCATAGTTATTTTACAACTATATAAATTCGAGGACATTGTTAGAAGCTTGGAAGAGATTAGAGATCTAATTGAACATCCGGCAAGATCCTCTTCTCAAACTTGAGATTTAACATGTATCCATGGATGGATATCTGTTGTAAATTTCAGTCAATGGCGATTAACTTTCAATAGAAGAGCTTCAGCACCCTCAACTGAAAGTAGAGACTGTAGTTCACTTTTCAAGTGCATTTGCCGGGGTGGCATCACGATTTTCAATTCTATGATCTTCACAGCCCCATAACTGCCAACTGTTCAACACACCACCACGTCATTCTTGATCCACATTCACTGCTGATGTATCTAGTATAGATAGACGTATAATAATATACTTTCATGCAATTGAGAACCTGATTGTCAGGATGTGATTTCTAACTGCAAGTTATTTGTGTCCCTGCCATGTTATATCCAAGGGGAGGGAGGATGGAATCTTGGTTATTGATGGATCAAAGATCCAAGGATCTGGGTCAACTTTAATGCTACAAAGTCTACTATCCATTGATTCCTAACTTTTTTGCCCTGGAGGAGGAACCTTGGTCCCTGTCTGATCATGTGAGCCGAATCCAGGGCTGGTTATTAAAGTTCCCATTGTCAGCTGGAAGTGGGTGGGACGGATCGAGTACCACATACTGACTGCTATACACATATTACTAGTTACTATACTATATCACTCGGTCATTGACCCATTCCTGGACTTATATATCACCGCCTCCCAAGTTCCCATCGCCAGTCATGCCCCAGATTCGAAACTTCTTCCCCAAGCGCCCCGCCGTGAACCTTGTGCCGGCTGCCAGTGACCCCCCAGTTCTGCAGAATGTGGTGGGCAATGGCCCGAACGGATTGCAGCGGACATCATTGACTCTCCGACGCAGTGTGGATGAAAAGCCCAATGAGTACAAAATGAGTGGTACGCTATGTATCTTGAATTCTGTATCTCCTGTCGATTTAGTTTTTGTCTAACAGGATATATTACATTTCGTGTTGCAGTTGTCAATGATAACGGGGTCTATCTTCCGGTAGGATCCTCCAGTTCCCAGTAATAAATAGTCACCTATAGATATTTGAATATACCATAATGCAGCCGAGTTGACAAATCCTTTACAATCAGCCCTCACCCACAGAGAAGAAGAGCTTCTGGCGCAAGCCATCCTCGCAAAATAACACAAGAAGCCTCGTCGATGAGAATGAGCCGTTCCCTATATCCCGAGAATCCTTCGACTCCTATCGCCGTTCATTCGTATAGACCACCCCCTCTCTTGTCCCGTCCCCCGTCCTCCAAGCAAGATATCTCCACTGAGAAACAGAACCCCATCTAACTTTCTTTACCAATTTTCTTCTCCCAGGACATCTGCGCCCGCTCCCCCGTCAGCCAATCCGACAGCGGCCTCTCCCGCACCTCCTTCGAATCCCGCCTCTCCCGCCCTACAACAACTCCTCGCTCGACAATCAGCGGCTACACCTTCGACCCTCCATCAGAGTCTCCACATGAAGTGCGGGGTCAGCAACAGGAGCATGAGGATGCAGATGAGCAAGACCAAGAGCAATTTGTAGACATAGGTCTGAATGACGATGCGAAACTGAAGAAGAAGAAGGGCTTTTTGGCCCGCTTGGGGGACAACGTGATGACGGCTTCTATGCCTACTCCTAATACTTCTACTTCTACTGCAGCTGGCACTGGCACTGGCGGAGTGGAAGCTGCGGATAATAACAAGGTTGGTTCGTCACATTTGAGTTTGGGCTTTCATTTGCCTGGGCGGAAGCGGGAGCAGAGTGATGGTGCTGGTACTGGTGCTGGTGCGATTCAGGTGGCTGAGCTGGGAAGCTTGAAGATCCCCGTTATGGCTGATGCCAAGTGATATGAATACGGCTGTGCCGATGATGAATTGATCACGGTGGTGAATCAGGTCGGTTGAATGATAACGGGGAACTGCGTGTCTTTTCACGTTTCACGTACGCTTCTTGTAAGAAGTGTTGTTTGTTTTCTTCATAAGAATATCTCAGACTTTGGATTGGGTGGTCTGTTTCTATTGGACATATTTGACTCAGGGTTGATATCTGTCGCTTCCTATTTCATGTTTACGGCCTTGAGGGAACTTTGGGGAAACGGTTTTGGATCTTTTTGTTTACCTTGCGGTGTTATATGGAAGCCTATTAATATTACTTACACGAATTATAAACATATATCTATAATACTGATGACCGATTCCAGTGCAGAAACGTTGGCGACTTCTTAAGGTAAATATAGACATAACTATAATGTGCCCATTGAGCGTACCTCCTCTTAACCAGAGACGATGGAGCGAGCAATGTTTGAAACGCTACAAAAAGCCCCTGACATATCGGTAATGAAGAATAAAGAAATTGTCAAGACGCACACGTTCGTGCACTCCCAGATATCTTATACATATCTCCAATCTACTTTAGTTTCTTGAAGATGATGTCTGTACATTTACCGCACTGCCTCACTGACCGGCTGTGTAGTTTCGGGAGATATGCTGGGTTAGTTGTTTTTTCTTCATTCACATTAATATTGTTGTTGATGTTTCCAGTTGCAGTTCACAAGACATATATTCGTATCCTTCTTGCAGGCTGGATTATATATCTTCACGTGGAACGCAAGACTAGTGCATTCAGGTGCGTGAGAGTGTAGACTTTCCGGCTTGTTCTCCCTCTGAAGTAATAGCCAATCCCTTAGGAGATGAAAGTGGGAGAGTTCGATACCAATGTGATCGAGCCAAAATACATAGATCTGAAACTCGACAACGTCAGGTCACTTTTGAAGACATGACCATGTTTGGGGATATCATGAAAGGCCGTTTATTGGCGAAGGCTAATTTAAAATAATCCATCGGATATTTTGGCAGGAAAATCTCCGTAAGAACGGTTGATCCCAAATCTAAAGATAACAGGTTCCATTCCCACTGCTTTGACGGGAGAGGAGGACATAGAACATCAAGTTGAAGGCGTCTGTTCTCCTGTGACGATGATGTTTGCTTGGTTTCCTTCTTCAACAGGGATGAACATGCAATATACTAATATATCTCACATTTTTCCCTATACGATAACATGTCCCGAAGCAAAATGGTATCATCAACTTGAGATCGCCCTAACGAAACCTTGACTTAGCATGCAAACAGAGCAAACATTTGTCCTGGGGGAAAGCAAAAACTGGAAAAAAAAAATATATATTCAGAGAACCAAGCTCGGCAAGGCACTAGCTGATGTCCATTTGCTTGCCCTTCCCCGCCCCTACTTCAGGGTGAAAAAATCATGGCGGGGATTAAGCGCAGATTCGATACTGCAGATGGTCGTGATGGTAAACGGACAAAAGTTAAAGATGGAGGGAGAGTGAACAAAAACAAGCCGGTTGTGGAAAGCAAGTCGAAGTCGAAAAAGCCGCAGCGAAAGGTTGAGAGCAGCGAGGATGACGAGGATGACGATGATGACGAGGAGGAAGAAGATTTTAATTTCAGTGAAGAGGGAGTAGATGTGGATGATTCCCCGTCTGACAGCGAAGATACCACTCAGCCTCAGAAATCGAAGACTCGTTCAAAAAGTTTGAGCAGTTCGGAAAAACAGGCAAATGGAACTGGGGGCGGTGCTCTCTCTGTAAAAAGTATGTGTTCCTAGAAAAAAAAAATCACCTTTTGACTTATGTCTAACCCAATCAATTCCTGTTACCAGGTGGAACTTCCTCAAAAGAATCACACGCAAAGCAAAAAGCGCTTGCGCAGGAACGCAAAGCCGCAAAACCAAACTCCGACCTTATTGCCCGCTCCAAGAAGCTTTGGGAACGCCTTCGCCGCAAATCACACGTACCTCTTGAGGAGCGCAAAAAACTTGTCGCGGAGCTATACTCTATCATCACGGGACGGGTAAAGGAGTTCGTTTTCAAACACGACTCCGTCCGTGTCATTCAGACGGCGCTCAAATATGCCTCTCCCCAACAGCGCAAGGACATCGCGAAAGAATTGAAGGGCGACTATTGCAGCCTGGCGGAGAGTAAGTATGCAAAATTCTTGATCGGGAAATTACTGGTTCATGGCGACTCGGAGGTCAGGGATATAATTATTCCCGAGTTTTATGGACATGTTAAGCGGCTCATGCGGCATCCGGAGGCGTCATGGATCGTGGATGATATCTACAGGACTGTTGCGACGGCTACTCAGCGGGCTATGTTACTTCGCGAGTGGTATGGAGCTGAGTTTGTGGTTTTCAGACCTGCGGATGGGGTGCCGGAAACGGCAGATTTGGCGGAGATTATCTCGAAAAACCCAGAAAAGAGGGGCCCTATTATGAAATATCTTCATGAGTTTATCAACCATCTCGTCCAGAAAAAATTTACTGGGTTCACGATGTTGCATGATGCCATGCTTCAATATTTCCTCAACACCACGCCTGGTAGTGAGGAGGCAGCAGAGCTTGTCCAGCTCATCCTGGGTGACGAGGAAGGGGACCTCGCTAAAAATTTGGCATTTACGAAGTCGGGTGCCCGACTGGTATCTCTATGTTTTGCATATTCGAACGCCAAAGACAGAAAACTTCTATTGAGACTTTACAGAGGCACAATGAAAATGCTAGCCGGCGATGTGAACGGACAGGTGGTCCTCCTTACCGCTTACGAGGTCATTGATGACACAAAACTCTCATCTAAATCGATATTTCCAGAGCTCCTCAACCAATCATCTACTGCGGAAGCTCGTCACGAAGAGCTTCTACTTCAAATTACTGACCTCACCGCCCGGATCCCCATCCTCTATTCTTTTGCCGAGGATACAACACGCTGGCTCGTCACAGACCCAGATCACAAGAAAATCCTCGATGAAGTCCTAGCGATCCGATCCCAAACATCCAAAAAGGACCCGAATACCCGTCGCCAAGAGCTCGTCAAAGCCGCTTCACCAACCCTGCTTGAATTCATCGCCGCACGTGCAGACTCTCTGGTTGAATATAGCTTTGGCTGCCAATTCATCACAGAAGTCCTCTTCAGTGCAGATGGTGACAAAACAGCCGCCCTAACTGCCATCGCGGCTCTACCAACGTCTAAACCCGAAGCCCTGAAGAACCCATCTGCGGGGCGGATGCTGAAAGCACTCGTCCAGGGTGGTCGGTTTAACAGCAAGACCAAATGTGTAGAAAAATTGCAGCCGCCGTTAAATTTTCACGGTCTGCTCTATGAGCAAATTGCGGCAAATGTGATGGCGTGGGTCACTGGGGCGAATCCGTTTGTGATACTGGCTCTTGTCGAGGCGGAGGATTTTGGGAAGAGAGGGGAGTTGGTGAAAACCTTGACGAAGCACAAGAAGGTGTTGGCTGAGCTTTCAGCGAAGGAGCCGGCGAATAAGGGGGAGAAGAGGGGAGCCGTTAGCAGTGCGGCAAAGTTGTTATTGGAAAGGGTTGGGTAGCTTTTCTGAGATTTTTCGTTTCAGTTTCCGTTTTGCTTATTTTTTTATTCTTTTTTTTTTTTTTTCCAAATTAGACGGGAATATAAAGTATAATGAGGCTGGGGCGGAGCTCTTGAGAAGCACTCACTCATCAAGTGGTGTTGTTCCTCAGGTCTGACTGACAATTGTTAGTTTACGAAGTTCCACACAAATTTCCATCCGGTCTGATCTGAGCAGGCATGGTCGGTCGATCTATTTAAGCATTCAAGCGCGGAACTTATTTTCCCTTTCTTCGGTGGAACTTGAAGGTTATAATTTCGCGAGTTGCACATAGTACCCACGTGTGTCAGTCCCAGCCCGAGACCATCTAGGTTACTCGTTACCATTCTTGTCAAACCTCATACCCTTCCCCGCCTGGGAGAATTATTTATAACATGTAGGACGGAAAGTTATCCGAAGTGATTACTCTGAACTGGGCTTTCTGTCATATGGAGCAAGCGTCTGGTCGGAAGGGGTGTTGGGTATGCTAACGGGCATTATTCCTGACAATGAAACAACAGTAGGGTTGGTTTATTCCTTTACAGGCATTGGTATTGGCCATTTCATGACGCTCTGATTGGATTTGGCTTCTTTGGCCTCAGGGGCTACTAGTACTCTACAATAAACATATTCCCACAAAGGCTAAAACAAAGTGTAAATATAGGTCGGAATGGAATCGAGATAAGGTTTGAATGTCTAGATCTGTGTCCTCCATCTAGTTATCTATGTTTTCTAACTAGTCAACTACAAGCTATGTCTTCATGCTTATGCCATATCAAAATATATAGTTAACTATGCGGATGTTGCTTCTGTCGATCGTCTCTGAGGCTCAACTTTAATCACCCCAGTCCATTTTTGGCCAACCTCATACTAACATCCACGCTCCGGTCAAACCTCCTTCGAACAACATCCTCAACTTCATGCTCCAGTATTTTAGTCTCCAGCCCTTGCTTCGTCTCCGCCGCGATGTCAATGCATTGCTTTGTGCTTTGATACCAATTGACCCATGCGACATCCTTCTCCTCGCTATTCACCCCCTAACTCCGTCGCCTATCCCATTCTGAGTTGAAAGCTAGCCTAAGTCAGATCCACCCACAATTACTACGACTCTCCTTCCCCCCGCGCATGCATCTGATGAATTCTCGGGCGTACCACTACGTAAAATAGCTGGTGAGTCCTGTAGTGACGCGCACCGGCAGCAGGTGGGGGCAGGCAAACAAAGTGCAGGGCCTGTAGTGCCCGACTTTACCAGGATTGATTTCTGCAAGATTGGCCCGAACAAAGGAAATTGTACATCCTCGACCGGGTTGCTGCATGCCCCCAATCCTTGCGCCCCTTATCCGCGCCGTCAAATTAGTCAATAACCATGTCTACCATGTCTCGTTCGACCTTGGCTACAATCACCTCCTTTGAGAGCCAACGGAGTTCTCCACCAGCCATCGGTGCTCAGAATAACCAGCAAACGCAGGAGGAGCAGCAGAACCACCACCGCCACCACCCTATATCACCCACAGCTAATAATAATTCTAATAATACCTCTTCCTTCCCCTCTCCTACACTGACAAACCCCGATATGATTCTCCCTTACGACGACATCGAGCGCGAATGCTCCACCCCTTCGCCCCCTTTTCGACCCTTACAACTCCCATCGCCGGAGCACTCTGGTTACCGTCGCAGCGTCTTACAGGAAGAGAATGGATTGCATGTTTCCTCTGCGGGAATCGGTGTAGCGGTCTCTGCATCGAACAGCGCGCCCAACAATTATCAACAGCGGAACGCTCCTCCGCGCAACAATTGGGTGTTTGCAGGGCATGAGGTTCGCCCGCCGTTGTCGGATATTGGAGAGGAGGAATCGCCTACGCGTTCCAGATGGGATGGAGATGATGAAGAGGCACAGGGAAATGAGATGACTTTGGATAGTGCGCTGGTTTTGAAAACTCAATGGCACAATAAAAACGATGGGACCCTAGGGCAAGACGTTGGATATGGCGATCACGATCATGGCAGTGTCGCGGAGGAGGATTCTGCAAGCTGCAGTGCATCCAGTTCGACGGTCAGTGCTCCAAGTGAGATTCTGGACAAATGGGAAGAGTTTCGAACAGATCATCAGAATGGGGATTCCCATAGCGGGACACATCTAGAGAATGCGACAAAGGAGCTCAACCAACGTTACAGCCAAGAGAGCGACCGCTTATCACAGGATTTTACGGGTGTCGAATCTTTGAGGGAAACGAGGGATATGAAGGCTATCAGAGAAGAGAGGGGAGTCGATGGAGAAATCGACGTGGAGATGGATGATGAAATTTCCTCTGCTATGTTGAGCAAGGAAGCGGAACGGATTCTTGAAAACGCCAAGAAGAGACTGACGGTTTGTATTCCCCTCCACCCCTAGAAATTTCCTTACAATTGGATTGATCTTGCATAAAGGAGACGAAGCCCAAAAAACTGACAGGTTACGATTTTTATCTAGCACATGGAAGGTAATCTCAGTCGAGCCCGTACTTCTTTTCGCATGAGTCCATCACCTTCTCTCTTGATGGGTACATCTCCCCTCAACCACCGTCAATCTACGGGTAACATGGGCAGATCGTATTCTATCACCGAGAGGCGGGCTCAAACTAGCCTCGCTGGAGCACTGATGCGCCAAAGGGTTTCTCAAGATTTGATTGCGAATAGTTCACATTCCAGGGGCTTGAGCGATGTATCAGTTCAGTCAGCACAAAGCAGTGTGGCCAATAGAGAAAATATGCGACCTCCATTCCGCTCTTTCAGCGCACTTGGGTCAACGAACGCATCGGGTTTTGGAGCAAGTGACATCTCCCGCCATGATCGATCCGAGGCTAAAACGACATACAAATCGCCAGTGTCTACATTCAACTATATTCCCGAAGATCCATCTGAGCCTACTAGTAACAACGTTTCACAATCAGACTCTCCACATTCAAAACCGGACTCACTGTTCGCACAACGGAATGGTAACCTTGAAAATACACCTCCTAATCGTGCGAACGGCGTTCCAAAAATCTCATCGGTGGAGGAATTTAATGCTACGTATCCAGCTAGCATACCATCTCGTTCCCAGTCACAGCTCCAAGTCCGCGGCCTTCAAGACCAGATGCAGGATCTTAAAAGCAAGATCTCGACCCTCAAGGTTCAGGCACAGGAAGATAACGTACGCCGACGGAGTCTCCAAAGTCTTCGCACTCCCAGCCCGTTCACGGCGGCGGAGCAGTGGTATACAACTGCTGGTGAATATGTTGGCGCGCGTGGTAATGGTGCGGATACCTTCTGGAACGAACAAAGTAATGAGAAGAACATCGGTGGAAGTACAGCCCAGCCACACCCGGCTCCCCTCAACACTAGTCCGTCTCCTGACCCGGAGGTGGTAGAGGAGCCGACACAGCAAATCATCTCGGATAGGGATCGCCCAGCCGACCAGAAATCGATAGTAGCCAGTCTCTATGAGGATGCGGACGAAGAATTTGACGATGATGATTCGGATGATATTGACCGAGCCGCCCTCGCTAAAATCCTAAGTGAACCACTTGACAGCCCAGTGTCATCTGATGAGGATATATATGAAGACTTTCCGCCTGTGCCTACTGTATCAGAAACTACACGTCACGAAGATCGAGAAGACGCATTTGACTATGAAAACTTTTTCCTACACAGTGCATTGGGAAATTACTCAAGAGATAAGGCCTACCAGCGCCGTCAAAGTTATAGCTCCACCGGATCCGTGGAGACTACAAGGCCAGGGAGTCAGGCAACTGTTTACTTAGACACGTCACCACGAGGCAGGAAGGGCCATGTGCGAAATAATAGCGCTGATACAATATCCACGACAGCTTCCTTTGAGACAGCTACGGAAGGGGCGGAATACGGCGACGACAACGAGGATAGCGCCGACGAAATTGAGAAAGCGTTGTACGGGAGCATGAACGGGAAAGGGATGAAGTATTCCCACTCCGGTATATTCTACACTCCCTCTTCCTTCTATTTTTTGAACCGAACTAATGAAACACAAATTTACTAACAAATGCTTCTATCAAAAAGACCTTCAATTCCGCCAACAATACCAAGACTCCCAAACCACCAGCCGACAACAGACTCGCCAAACCGTCATCTACGCTAACGGCTCCGTCTCACCCACTCCTCTCTCCACTGCCTCTACGCCGCGCGCATCAATTAAAAACACCAGCTATAATAACAAGAAAGGCGGCAGCCATCACCGAGGCCACAACCGCCAGCACTCCAACGACGCTTCTACCTCACTTCGCGAAGCTGCTGCACACTTACGCTCCCCAACAGTCATGATATCCTCTCTTATATCGTCCGCCGCGACACAATTGTATACGTCAGAGTCGGTAGGCGACCAAGTAATATTCGACGCGCGGCTTAGCCAGGATGACACTAAAGTGATGGAAGGGCTTCTCCAGAGCCTGGGCAAAGTAGCGCTACAACTGCAGTTGTCGTCTAATAATAGCGATAAACGGTCGAGCGCGGACGAGAGGTCTTCCGTTCTTTTCCGGAGGAGGCTGGACGCCGCAAGGAGGGTGTTGGACGGACAATTAGATGTTTAATTTATGAATTGTTAATAGATTGACCCTTTGGTTCTCATGTTTTTCTCCTTTTTATTGAAAGGGAAAAAAGGATGTGGTTTTCTGCATGATTTTTAATTCCCCCTTGCTCTTTGGCTTCTTTCATTTTTCTTCCATCTTAAGTAATTTTCATTACCATTCTGGATATCCCCCCTTGTTTTTGTGATTTTGTGTTTCTCTTCGGCTTTTTTTTTCAACTTGTGTGAGATACCTCGTAGTATGCCTGCTATTCTTATACAGTCAGCGTTGATTGCCTTTTTCCTGGCCTTTGTAATATACTCGTTTTTGTTCCCTCTTCTCGCCGGGTGTTCACCACATCAGAGTTCACTAGTTTCTTTTCCCGGACGTGTTCAATATTCACCCATAAAATTCTCCTCTTTTCTTCGACATCAGCAATCCCTTATGGATCCTATGATATCAACGCCCCCCCTCTGCTCTTTATTAACACCTCGAACCCTTCCAGTTACACCATTCCCTTCTTCTCTCGTTTTTCCTTCGTCCTCCATTTTATTACACCTCTACTACACCAATTATCATTCCTCGTGTCGTAGGATCTACTAGTAGATTCAGATCGCAGACGCCTGTTTCCTCCAAACCCGCTCTCACCATTGTTATTTATCTTATGAGGTATATGACCATTTATCGAATGTGTTATTTCAACTCCTTTTCTACTTTTCCTGATGTTGATGATATACTACTGCAGTATACATTTTCAAGCTGATCCCGGGTCAGGCTTGATTGAGGTTGCGCAAAGAAACTTGTACATATTATCATCAAAGTACCTCCGTAGATGGAGGAGGACAGTAAAATTTTAAAATGGCTGCAAATAATATATTTTTCTCTTCGACAAAAGAAAACCTTAAGAAAAAGGAAGAGGAGGCAAAAAAGGAAAGTATGACCAGGCCGCGATTCGAACGCGGGAATCTCTCGAAATCAGGGATTTTAAGCGAACCTAAACCTGACGCCATAACCACTCGGCCACCTGGCCTAACTTTGGTAAATGTTTTGACGGGATTGGCATTGTTTAACTAAACACCAAATCTTCCTGGGGATACTCCTTTTACTGAACGTAGTCATAACACCTTTTGCCGAAGGAAAGAACGACGGAGACGAGAAGGGAACAAGATACAAAGAAAGCTAATAGATTTGATGCTGATAGCACTCCATACATATACTTTACAAGAATTTATCCGCCAGAAATAACTGGTTTAAAAAGAACGAAAGAAGCAAAAGAAATAGTAAGGAAAAAGGCGGAAAACAAATTAGGCAAAGAGGAAAAATGAGCAATGATAATACCATCCGTTCTCTGAATATACCTCCCGAATCCTTAGCATTTACAAGCCAACCACCCCACCCCATGAACAAGGGAAAATAATATCACAATCAACCTTTCCATTAGCACGTACAGAACATAGCACATAGCCGCCCACAGGAAAGAAAAGGAGGTGGGGAACAAAGTGAAGAAACACTGGCTGCAATACCAGACAGAGCCAACAAAGACAATAATAACCTGTAAACTAGAGCCATCAGAGGGAGCAAGAAATGGATGAAAGGAAAACATTGATAACCCCGAGCCCGTACAAGATAACGTAAAACAAATGAAAATCGACAGGTTAGAGCAAGAACACACATGAATACAAAAGGATGTATATAGCTAGAATTAGGTAAAAACGCCAGATATGCAATGCAAAAACTTTGCCAAAAGAGAGAAGGAAAAAAACATATAATTATCCCCTTCTTCCTATAAGATTTGATATGCCATTAACGAATATCCCGGTTCTGTTTTTGACCCTTTTTGGGTTTGGCCATTTTTGCCCTTCCGGGCGGGGGAGGAGTTTCCCGAGTATAGAAAGCATCAAAAATTCAATAGCGTGATCATAAACGTAGAGCAAAGGTAGAAAGAGACGAGAAAGTGAGAGAGATGAGAAAGAAAACGGAAGTACAAAACGCAGCATACAGCTCGTAGACACAGGACCTCCAGAGTCAATGTACAGAACGCTTGTAAACAGTGTTAGAGTAAACACGGGGAATTGGGATACAAAAAGGCAGGAAATAGCGGGAAAAACGAAAAAGAAGGAATGTTTATCTTGCAATATTTTCCGACAGCCTTCAAGCGCTGGCCGGTCGGAACAGCTGTGTACAGTACAGCAAGTCAAAAGAACGTGGATTTGAGGCATCGAATTCTTCCCTTTGCCGTTCTTGGAAGAATTCAGCTATTTAGACAGAAACGAGATGGTTAGTTCACGAGAAATATCACATTTTAAATAATGTTCAATATGACTTTTGATAGAGAAGCTAGGGTAATAAGGTCATTGGATATGGATATAGGATGCTTACGCGAAATACTGATCGCATTGAACCATTTGGTGACATCTGGGTCGCTGCTGTATCCAACCTTTAGGTTTCCCGTTTCAGGATCTAAGGTGCAGTCCGGGGCTAGAGAGCGCATGCGGAGATGGGTGGTGACAATATCGGCAAATCGATTGTTTTGGTCTGCGTATATGGCGGGTCCACTTTCGAGTGGCCACTGGATTAAATATGTTAAAATTATATAACATGGGTCTTAAAGGGGCAAAAATGGTACCATACCTGCTGCCTATCCTGCTCATTACTCTCCCATTTTCTGAACAGCCACGCCATCCGTTCAACACAATTCATCAATACAACGGCACCTAGAAACGTGCGGAAGTGCCCACTGCGTTGTTTTTGAAGTAGCCGCTGCTCGATTTTAGTGAGAACAACCTTGCTAATTCGTCCTGCAAATCTCTCTGTGGCAGCACGCATTTGGGCACAGATTAGAGCATACGAGTTTGGGTAATTTGTTTCGTCGATGGCGGTGCAGAGTTCTGTGGAAGTTGAAGATATTGGTTGGGTGGAAGATGGTGGGAGAGTTGGGTTGAGGAATATTTTCCATTTTAGTTGTTCCGTATCCACAAGGATTCGAGTTGCAATCCAAAGGTCTAACACCCCGGCTAGTAATTGGTCCTGTTTTAGAATAGTATTGCTTAGTATTTTGCACAAACATTTCGTCTCGTAAATTTGGGTGAAGATTTGGAATAATTTGGGTTGCTTACAGCCGTGTTCTGGTATAGCTCCCAAGACAAAGTAACGGATTCTCTGATAAAAGTAGACGGCTCTGATTCGAAATACTGAACAGCCATCGTTTTCATGTAAGCCTCCACTTTCGTAGATAGCTCGTCTATATCTCCTTCTAATATACGGATGTCTTGCTGCGCTTGGACTCTTGGTTTTTCGTCGGCCGTGACCCCAGGAAGATCAGGATCTACGTGTTGAATAGGCTCTATCTGGTGGTGTAGAGCACTGAAGGTGATGAATTTCGGGGGTTGGCTATCAAAGTGAAATATCTCAATTCTCCCCATCCCAAGGTCAAAGGAAAGCTGGCTTTTGACTTTGGTAATGTCGTGATAAGCCAATGTCGTGTGAAGGCCTGTTCATTGCACTTGAAATTAACATTGTTTCTTGGGCTTATCTGTCATGGAGGGAAGTCTTCACCTGCGGAGTAAGCCGTTAATTGAGTCGGTAGCCGATCTCTAATGCAGCATTCCATCCATACTCGAGGATGTTGAATTGCCTGACATTGTCTACATGGATCTTCTGAAGAGCACTATAGCTGGGAATCAGCAAGCAATCCCCCCAAAACATTTGTGGCGGCAAGGGAGACAAAAGGCGTGGGTAGATAACTCACAGTTTTCTTCAGCATCCGACATCGTAAACAAGCGCCCATTTTCCTGACCAATTGGACTTCCTTTCGACGCTCTTCTGAGAACTGCGCTCTAAGTTTATGTTTCATTGGCTTGCTAGTTTCGCCAAAATTATTGATGAACCCAGAGGAGTCCTGTGGACTCGCATGTATGGCAATAGGTCGAGGGTAAAAGGCGGCATGATGAGTATCAGAGTTGAAGTCCACCTAGAGTATGTTAGCTGTTTTTGTGGACAGACTGAAAGCAGCATTTCTGTATTTAATCCAATAGAGGATATAGCAACGGGGTAAGAGCCCATACATCATTATCTAGAGACAGGCCTCCATCCTGCGGGACCATCTCATTCGCAGATGCGGCAATCAACGAGAGTTGTGAGGACTGTCCGGGGTCAGGAGTATGCTCGCTAGCAAGGGAGAAACTGTTATTAAGGAACGCCATGGCGGTCGATGATTCTGCCGAATGGGTGTCGTAGGGGTTAGGCGGCGGAGAGGACGTCGCAAGTGCGGCGCGAAGGTCAGCCTCTAGATAGCCAGAAACACAATTAATGTGAGCAACTGAACAGCCAGAGGTAATACAACACAATTCTCGACGGAACTCGGGACTGCATACCGATATTTCGCTGCTTCCCTGCGCTGGATGTTTCTAGTGCCGGATCTACTACAATCGTCTTCTCTCCTAAAGGATTTCCCCCTTCTTCGCTATTGTTATTGGGATGCTTCCCATCCGAGGCGCCGACCTGTCTCGATGCTTCCGCAAGAACATTAAGTCCATTAAGACCACCACCAATCCCGTTGAAAACCGTCTGCCTCCCTACATATGGCAAGCTCCCAGGTTTCCCACGTCCAATGCGTCCATTTCCATTTACATGCAGCTTCTTCCCGCTGCTCCCTCGTCCTCCGCGTTCAGGTCCCGCTCGCCAGAGATGTAGCACACGCTGTTTATCCGCAACTGAAATGGCCTGGCAAGTCTTCACCAAATGGCTGAGAAGGCTGTCAGTGCGGCCTTTGGGGAAATCTTGTCCGCAGGACTTGCAGGTGTGTTCGTAGCGGTTGCTCGAGTCCGCGAGTTTGGCACCGCGATGGAAGAATTCGGAAACGATTCCGTTTGGCTTGCGCCCCATCTTCTTGTTGTATGATATGATGCTCCGAGGCTCGCCGTGGCTTGTTTCTGCGTGGGACAATATGTCTTTATTTGATCAATGGTAATGGAGTATTGGAAGAAGAGACAGGGTTGTTGCTTCACTACTCGTAGGTGTGGATATTCAATTTCCAGGGAAGATCGCAATATGGGAATGTGACAGGAAAAGATCGAGAGGCAAACAACAAGCTGCAGAAAGGCTTTCCATCAGCGAAAATGAACAACAAAAATTCTCGGGAGCAAGTGTTTCCCCAATGCTCTTTGAAATATATCTTTCTGTGAGCCTGCGACTGACTGATAAACTGATAGAGTGACAAAAGTCATGGCAAAACTTTTTGTGAGAGCGGAATCAGATGTCTTTTTGCAGACCGCCTTGGGCCCGGATAAACATATTCTCCAGTGTGTGAGCCAAGTCACTGGAAATCACAACAAAAGCTTACTTGGGATAAATATGGAAGGACGAGGTATTATTACCATTATCATTGCCACTAGATATACAATATAATTAGCTCAATTAACTAGCAGATACGGTGGTTGGGCGGACGCCACGGCACACCCAGTATCTCGAAGATCCTCTTCTCATCTCGACTCTCAAGAAGATGTCCACGGTTCAACTTCACCCGGTTCTCCCTTCGCAGTATACCAGCGAACAAACCCCGCTGATTCAAGCACATACCCTTCTTACTTGCCAACAACCGCAGACTCCGGTTAAAAACCTCGTTCCCGGTGAAATAAATAAGCGCCGCGCCTATCTCATCCCCTGGCACATACAGAAAATCAATTCGGCGCCAGACGGGGCTTTTGCTTCGCGGTAGTGCACATGTCCCATGCCACTTCGAACTCTCCCCTCGGTTACCCACTGCAAGACTAGCTTGCAGGTAATTTTGCTGAAACAAGGCCGGGATAACTACATCTGTCATCAGAGCGCAAATATCCGCCTGTGAAGCACCGTCCTTGGTAATAATGAGATCTATATCACCACTGCTCGCTGCGCCACGTCTATAAGACCCTCCTATTATGACTTTAACGGCCGGATCTACTTTAAAGAGTAACTCCTTTACGATGGCTCCATGTGCTTCCACCTCTGCGCGCGGAATTCGTTGCAGAAAGTCATCATAATGTTCAATACCAATTCGCTGGTTCTTAGTCAGGCATGCCCTAGCCTTCAGATCTTCCAGCGACTGGTAACCTTGTTGAATCCATTTGGAAGCCTGAGTAAACCCCACTCCGTAAATATTGAGGAATTGTGAGAGAAGGACGTCATGTGGCTCGGTGCTCGCTTCTTCGAGTCGTCTAAGTCTGTTCGTCCAGACGATCTCTTCGATTTTGGCGGCAAGTCGCTCACCAATGAATGGCATTGCAAGCGCTTGCTCTTTCGTGACTATCTTCTCTTTCTGCTTCCGCAGAATACTGATGGCCTTTCGATACGCAAGTGCGCGCCATTCATCTGAAACACGGTCGTAATAATCCGACATTTTCTGCAAAATCTCAATGGTTTGAGCATTGGGATTATTCTCGTCTGTGTGTCCATCGTGCTTGTGCATACAACTAAAAGTCTCTTGCCATTTCGGGATTTCATGAGATCGATTCTTTTTCCTGGCCTTCTTTCGTTTCTCAGTTTCCGAATCAGAGTTTGAATGTGCTTCTTCTATATTTGAAGCCGTGTCTAAATCCTCTTCGTCTGACTGATCCAAAGGCTGTTGTCATTTAGCATATCGCTAAGATAAACAGTGAGAAAAGGGCGTTCTATTTTCACTTACCAGTTCCTTTTCTACGCGTGTTTGTTTAATCATCTCATCTAAAATGTCAGGTCCTGTGTGAGAGAGCTGCTCCACTGCACCATCGCAATCATCTTTACGATGACTCTCAGAAAAAAGTGATGGCACTGGCGGGCCGTGAAACTCTTCGCCGATTGGTGGTGATCGGGATGGAGTGGGGGTTTCCAGATAATTCCCACTCCGAACAGGTTTCACTCTTGGTGAATCGCGCACTACAGGCGCTTCAACTGATTTGATGATTTCTCTATCATCAACCGGAACTCCACGGACACGGAAGCGAACATGAGACACACTCAAAAGAGACCCGCAGTTGATACATTCAGAAGGGTAAGATTCGTTTACCAGAGAGACTGAAGGCTATGAAAATACAGTTAGAACAGGGATGTTTGAAGTTGCATCCACTGTAAACGTACCGGAAAAGAATCTAGCTTCAAATACTTCAACACATCAGTGAACGATATCATCTTATCCGCTATCACATGAGTGACAGTATCACTCCAGGTGGGTGAGCGGGATGCTCCAAATTCAAGTGCTTTGTTGATCCGCATGCGACGTGCAGGGGAGATGTCGTCGTTAGGGATGAAAACTGAGTGAGAAATGTGTCAGCATCCGATGGTCTTTTTAATGGTCTTTATACTTTGACACAGTCAACAACACGACAAGGGTAAGACTGACAAAACACCATCCCCCTGAATATTTGCTGATGTTCCGGACGAACCCGGATGGTTGGCTCGCGTCTTCTCCTGGACATCGAGGGCTTTCCCGCAGCATCATCCGCTGTTGATCTCCTTTTCGGAAATGCAGATCTCGCAGATGTGGACTTGTCGGATCCCATAGTATTAACAATATCCTGTGCGTCAGTGTCCTTTTGGCGTTTAAGACTATGGTGATCTGGGAGGGTGTTGCTCCTTTCTCGTCCAGGAGATCGTGAGAGTGTTCGATCAGGGGAGTTTCTCTTCCTTGCTTGCTTCAATAGCACTGCTAACTCATCAATCTCTTGAGAGCTGTCGCTGTGCCCACTGAAGTTATAGAGAGCGTCGCAAAGCTCTTCCTTGTCACTTAATTTTCCGACGTTACAGCACTTGTTTTTCTTCCTGTCCATATCGATATAGCATAGGAAGGCAGGTGCTGTATCCCGGTAGTGTCATGTATGATCTCAACCCTTTAGATATGGGAATATGGCGTTGACCCTGCGCGAAATACCATATTGCTTGCTGTCCTATTGAACAACTATTGTTTCATAATTATGTGGTGGTTTCGGCAGGAAGGAAAGACACACACATCTTCTGTGTGACGGAGCACGGAAAAGGCACCAGGTCACGTGGCTCTCTACCGACTGCCTTTGGTAGACTAAATTTCTCACGAGCGTACGATTTCAAACTGGGAGGCGGTCAGGCAACAGTGCCTGCGCTTGTACATTTCAAGTTTATTTTCAACAATGTCGAAGCCACTCTCATTTTTAGTGGCTCTGAATTCATCATTCTTCCCCGCCAGCACTCGTTGCCTATTGTGCCGATTTCGAAGTTCGCAACAACAGCTCCAGAGTCGAGATGCATCAACATCCAGCTCACCCACCACTCTCTCCAAGCACGCCGGGACCCCGCGAGTCAAGACTTCTCCTAGTACCAACAACAATAACAAGGATGTGACAGACCCATTAACAGAAGCAAAAGGCCCAAAAGGGGAATTCACTCCGAAACCGCTCAGTCGCCCTCTAGGACTTCCTTATCCCCCCCAACCGGGGCAGAATACTGGTATAGACAACAGAACTCTCCGACAACGTCGGGACGATTTTGTGGACTATGAGAAGCATATCGTCCGACGGAAAGAATTGTAAAGACCCCTTGCGAAATTTGTACTGCGGAATGAAAATCAGACAGAGAAGCGTAGCTATACAAGTCACAAACGCAACTAATCATTCCCATGTCTTGGAAACTCCTATCTATAGAGCCCGACAAGCTGCCAAACCCTACTTCCGCGAATGGACAAACATGCGCTATCACAAAGGCAAAACCTTCATATCCAACAACCGTCTCTTCAAAGCCGACAAGGCCCTCTACTTCCCCAACATATCCGGCCGCACCCTCTCGCCTACCGCACCCATACAAGACACAACTCCGATCCTCCGCGGCAAGGTATCGGTTGTGAGCATATTCTCTAGCCTCTGGGCTGAGCGTCAAGCCGCTTCATTTGTAAGCCCGCTGAAAAACCCAACATTACACCGGGTCCTAAAAGATGCACCCAAGGAGGCACAACGGGTCGAGATCAACTTTGAAGATAATGTGCTGAAGGCGTGGTTGATACGTTTGTTTATGTGGCGGATGAGAAAAAACATGCCAAAGGAGCAGCATGAACGGTATTTCCTCGTGCGGCAGAAGGCGTTGACGGATAGCCTGAGGGAGCAGATCGGGATGATGAATAGCAAAGTCGGATATGTATATTTGCTGGATCATGAGTGTAGGATACGGTGGGCTGGGAGCAGTATTGCGGAAGAGGGCGAGCTGGACTCCTTGAATAACGGACTGCGGAAGTTGATAGATGAGAGAAGGGTATGGAAAGGTCTCAATGCCCTGTCGCGAAATGCAGATGGGCGCAGCTGAGTGAGTTATTCCAAAGAAATGTGCATAACAACACTCGTACTCTAATATCCCCTTCGTACACAATGAATGATGTAATATATTCAAAATGGATGAAAAAATACAATTGAAATGCCGTAAACAATTAATACATGCCTGTAGATATTGGTGTCCCACATAAAAGAAAAAACGAACAAGGCCGACTCCATGTCTTTCCAGCCCGCAGAATATATATAACGACATGCAAAAAAAAGCAGCGACCTTCATTACCGGAAGAAGAATACCATCAAGAAACAAACGCCAATAAATACACCGAGGATGATCCCATCTCTCCTCCTTTTAGCCCCAATCTTATGTATCAACGAATTCATCCCAGGAACATGACTCGCAGCCCCAACAATCCGCCGATTGATCCTCGCCAGCGACTCCCGCTGAAGGCCAAAATTCTCATTAACAGCGTATGCCTGGCTAAGAACGCTATCCATCATATTATGACTGTTTTCGAGATGGCCTCGTTCCTCCAGCATGTACTCTGCCTCCGCATTGTTGTTATTCTGGTTCGATGATGCAGAAGAGCGATAGGCGTTGATGTCTGAGCGGACGTTGGAGAGCAGGTTGGCGCGGTCGCGGGTTTCAGCGATGGCGGAGTTGAGGCGTTTGAGTTCACGGCGGTGGTCGCGGAGGATCTCGCGGTGGCGAGAGAGGTTGTTTTGTTTCAGAGCGGAGGAGGTAAGAGCTGATTCGGAATCGAGGAGACGAGCGAGTTGGGATATTAGGGCTTCTCTCTGCAAAGGATTAGCTTCTTCTTCTTCTTCTTCTTCTTCTTCTTTTTCAGTAGCGCGGAAATAGGGTATCATAAAGATCATTTCGCCCGTACCCGTTCTAGGATTTCGTGGATTTGGGATTCGGCTTTCACTTCGTCTTCTGAAGGGTTCATGGGCAGCTGTGATAGGGAGGCATATTGTGCATAGGTGTGGAATAAGGTTTCTGTCTGCGACAAATTGTGTTAGTATACACTCACTACCCTAGAGTACGATATTGGACAATAAAGCAGATTTAAAGACTAGTTGTTACCTGAGTCTCAAGGGAACGAGCCTGTTGTCGCAACTGAGCCCATCCTGTACCTGTTGCGGTCGCCATATGTGACCCCAGACGAATATCTGGTTCGGCAAAGGAGTCAAAAACAAAATAGATGCACCACGGGTACCAACAAATAGCAATTCTCAAAGTCACTTCTCTAGCTCATCGCAAGGCCATAGCTGTGACCTGCTGCTATTCTCATTAAAGATGCAGTAGCTGATGATCAGCTTCCAACCTTGGAAGGCTGATCACTATATTATCACGTGATAAATATCGGCCTCGCCTATTTCTCCGGCTCCGCACTCAGCCCTAGTCCCACACAGAGCATCCAAAGAGCAACATTTTGAATCTTCAACTTCGACGACATCTAGTAACCCTCCCCTCCCCCGACCGACATCACACGACATCCCGCCATCATGGTATGTTTGGACTTCCAAGCGCGATCAGGATTACTCAACAATGTCTTTGGGAGGGATCTCTTCGCTGACAATTTTCTAGTCGACCGCCAAGGTGAAGACTGGCCAGCTCTGGGGCAAGAGCAAGGACGAGCTCACCAAGCAACTAGATGAGCTGAAAACTGAACTTGGTCAGCTCCGTGTGCAGAAAATTGCTGGGGGTGCTTCCTCCAAACTCACCAGAATGTACGTTCTATTCCGGATCACTGAAAAATGAAAAAATGCGTCCCCGATTTTGGTGAATTTGAAGAGGCAAAAAAATGTGGTCGGGCTGGAAGCGGGCAAGCGTAATACGGAAAAATAGAATAAAGAGAGGGAAAATAGGAAAGCGAAATCAGGGCAAAATGATATACGGTTATGGAAGAATAAAGGAACAGGCTTGGCTGACAATATGACCGACGGGGTATTTGCTATAGTCACGATTTGCGCAAATCGATCGCGAAGGTCCTTACCGTCATAAACGCCAACCAGCGCTCGCAACTGCGCCTTTTCTACAAGAATAAGAAATACCTTCCCCTTGACCTCAGGCCAAAGCAGACTCGCGCCATCCGGAGACGGCTGTCGAAGCACGAAGCCGCCTTGAAAACGGAGAAGGAAAAGAAGAAGCTGATGCATTTCCCCCAACGGAAATATGCTGTGAAGGTACGGATGATGCCTCTGCGATGGTCAATTTTGGTTGGGAGATTTATCATTCATAATATTCACATGGTTCTGGTATGCTAACGTTTTCTGGTTTGGCTAACAGGCATAGGTATGATAATGGGATGCGGGGGAGTTGGAGAGCGTTGTCGTTTTGCTGTTTTGCTCTTGATATTTTTCTTCCTCATATCGGTTGAGAAATTGAACACATGTATCCTAGACGATGCAAATCGAGTTGGGCAGCAATTTCACGAAGTTTTTTTTCCCCCTTATGGTTCAAAACACATTTAATGAAAAGCCTTTTTATCTTCCTAAATCTTTTCGTTGTCTCATATTTATTTAACCTGTCTCTACAGCGCCCAACAATCTCACGAAACTCAACGCCCGTGAACCTTTCTTCCTCCCATTATAGCCTATGCCGACTCAGACAATGGGAAAGCTGCGTACTACTCCCCCGCTTCCAGACACTATAGCACAGGTTCACAGTTACCAAATTTAATATTTCCAACTCCCACTACCTCCCATGAATTCATCCTACTTCCAAGAATGATCTTGAAACGTCTCTCGCCATATATTCGTCTTCGCAACCCTACTTTCCACTTGATCCACTTGGGGCTTCTAGAAGCTTTATTCTGATTGCCAGGGGAAAAATTCGGATAGGGAGATCAGCGCGCTGTATCGACATGAGATGATCTGGCTTCAGACGGATTTCTAAAAAAAAATTGAAGGGTTCAAAAAAAGGTTCACACCCCCAAGCCCATATTGGCTCGGGAGTGCTACGTCCTCTTACCTACCCTGCTCTCGCAAAGCGCGCTGGGTAGGAATCGAACAGCCGACCATCCAGTGGTCCCAAACGGGGGCCGGTTTCCCCGCTCGACCACTGGGGTCAGCTGTTCGTTGATACTGCACACATTTCTCGGGGTTTTGAGTCCATATTTTTTGGCCGTTTTTAGCAGTGTTTGGTGAATGGACGAAGGCATGAATACCAGCAGGATCCACTAGTCTTACACGGTTTACTGGTTAACCTTGAATGTGTCTACTGCCTAAAACTCAACACGCGAGCAACACATTTCTGTCCACTTCCACGGTTCAGCTACTTCTCTTTATGTATGTAGTGGCCAAGAGTGCCTCCATCGGTGTTAAAATTACGCAGGTTTTAAACAGGAACGCAATCGTTCTCTTCATATACATTTTACTCCTTTTTCCGCGCGCATCGCTATTATAAATTTCCGAAGAAACACCCCACGCCCTCTCCAAACAATAGAGTACATTATCCCAAACAGGATTAAACTCCTTGTGTGCATGCTACCTATACACCGGAAGAGGCAGCCGATCCAAAGCTTCCACGTTCTCCATCGCAAATGTGCCGCCGCAAACACACGTTCTCAGAACCCCAATCTTCCCAATCAATCTATACATAGAAGCCGACCGGGGCAACCAGGTATCCTCTGAAACCTCACAACAGCGTACACATCTTCTCTTCGCCACCGTCGGATCCGGCAACCTACTCACATTCTTCTTCAAAATATCCACATCGTGTGTCCGCTTAAACAGCTCTGTACGCTTGTCATCCCCTATCCCAAGCCAACTGTAGTCATACAACGCCAATGCCATCCTGTCCACCTCCGATCGCACTATCAACGGCATTGTCTCTGTCAAAATCGACATAACAGCCGGCTGGAGTACCGGCGGGATGCTGCATGTGATTAGCATCTCGCGCTCTGGTGCGTTTCGTTCCGCGTTTCCAAACCCGGCAGCTTCGTAGGAACGGGTGACTAGGCTGTCGATGTGTGTGAGCATTTTCTCACAGACATCGGGTTTTAGGGAGGATTGCTCGATGGTATTGTTGATGCTGGCGAAGAGCTGGTAGGACTCGCCACTCAGGTTGCTAGCGGCTTTGAATGCTAAGGGGAAACGGCTGAGGTAGCGGAATATATGGCGGAGGAAAGAGCGTGGGACGCTGGAGAGAACTAGGATGAGGGAGGGCGATTCGTATGTTTTGCCTTGTTGAAGGTTAGGATGATGTTAGTGTCGGGGTTAAGATGGAAAGGGCTGGTGGACCTGATGGGGAAGATAGGTCTGTATATTTAAAACTCACTTGGTAAAGAAAATGAATTTCGATCAGGAGGGATCGTATCCTCAATTTCGAAAAGGTCGTTGACCAAGTATTTTGCAAGATCAAGGATCCACTTGATGTTCCCCAGAATCATATGGAGAGCTTCTGTGGATGCGCATGCGTGGCGGTCAGAATATTTGTTTTCTCATTTCTCTCGCTTTTATATATTGGAATAGTTATCATACCTGGCTCAGAAGGGGTGAAATCCCTGCCACTCTTGAGATAATGCGAAAATGTCAAAAGTAGCACCATGATCTGTCGAATGTTTAATATGATCCATGACACAGCAGAGGAAGAAGTTCGTCGCTGGAACCGGGATCTGAAGCCAAGCACGGCTTGCATCGTAAGTCCCTTTTGGATGGATTGGTTGTTTACGAGCTTGTCGTGCTCGGTAAAGTCGACGCTCATGAATAAGATCGAATACACTTCGGTGACGAAAGATTTCTGCGCCTCTGGAAGAGTAGTAATAGTTAACAGAAGGAGCAAACGTCAGCCTGCTTGAAAAATTTGGTATCCAAAACACTAACCCGGGTTGAGCTGCCGCACAATGACTGTAAGGATATCATCCGCACTGGCATCGCTCCCACACGCCCGAACATATCCCAATGCCAATGCAGCTATTGCGAAAGTGAATTTGCCTTGAAAATGACAAGTTTCAGTGTCTCATTACGATTTATCAAGATCCACGCGGAAGCCAACAGCTTACCGTTATCATACATGTCGTCATCCATACCAAACGAGTGCTCCATGCATCGCAAATGCAATTGGCCCTCCCCGCTGAGGACCACCGCCAGACACCCACTTGGCGAAAATGCAATATGGAGACCTTGGACGGAATTATAAGTATGAAGTCTGGTAAATATCCGACATTCGATGTAGCGAAGAAATCGTGCGGAAACCTACCTGACGCGTCGATCGGAAAGGTGAATCCGGCATTAGGCATGCTTGTCACAATGTTATCGTCTTCATTCTCAGTAATCGGTCTCATGGATCTAGCCTCGAAAAATGATATGGAGCTATCATCTTGTGTAATGGCAAGTACGCTGCCAGCTTCCATGTAGTCGATCGAGACAACATATCTATCGAAATATATGTCGTCTAGTTTTCTGAAGATTATTTTAGGCTAACAGTTTGGAGATAATTAGTACGAAGGGTCCTATTGTCAGGGCAAGTAGAAGTTCGTTAGGCACAAACGGTCCGTGATTGGGATCTCACCTTGGGGCTAGAGGCCGTGTTCTTCGACACCACATTATCGAAATTTGGGTGCAGGGCCTGGGCCATTGTGTCCAATTGCCAGCGAACAAGGATACTCGAGGGTCCAGAGGGAGGTGGTTGACCAAGTTGACTCTGGGCTGGAATGGATGCAACAGCTATGATGCAGGGGCCCGTAGCAGCCTGTGTGCCGGGAACGGCTTGAGGTGCGGTGATTATCTCAAGATGGGTAAGGTTGTATATTGAACCATTCGGGGATGGGAAGCCCGTGATATTGTCCACGTCATGGGCTTGCGGGTGAAAAATGGCACTGAGGATTTCAGTCTTGGTATGCAGGATCTGGAAAGCGGGGGTTGGAAACGCAACTGGGCCACCGCCTGGTTTCATGGTTAGATCCCATTCCGGAGGATCCCATTTGACCTGAATCCGGTAAAAATATAATTTCCCATATGTTGAGTAGGCGGCAATAGAAATCCCACTTCCTAGAATGTCCGGTTTCAGGATTTGTACAGGCTTTAGAAATATACACTTAGTTTTTCGTTGGGGAGAGTTGTTTATCTTACCCTCAGCCGGCGCCAGAGCAGCATGTGTCAGTAGCCCATCAAGATATCCAACCGCTTTCAATTCCGTGGATATCTCCGCCCACCTTGAGTCAGGATTCTGATATATAAGTTTAATATGACCAGATTTTGTCACCACAACGAGGCCTGGTTTATTTGCAGGATGCAGCGGCCCCAAAGGACGTCGTCGGTACGCCGGATAGTTCCACCTATCATTCGCCCGTGTCGCTTTGTGAAAACCAAAAAGCTAGAAATATTGGCGGTTGAGTTATGTCAACAACAATCACAACGTCAAAATTGAAGAATTAAGAAAAGAAAGGAGAAATCATTCACCGGCCGGTTCAGGTTTAACCACATCAAGCCAACAGGCTGCGACCAGTCATCGTCAGCATCCATCGAGGCCTGACGTGTCGGATTAACAGTATTCAGCGCCATCATTATGGTGACAACCGAAATGCGACCACAGCTATCCACGATGGCCAGCTCAGAACCGCTTTCGTTCCAGAGAAGATGGACCATGGCATGGCCGCCATGGATGTCAGCGATCTGGTTAATGGGGGATTCTTCACTCAAGGTCCATTTGCCATCAATAGGGCTACAGTGAAGGTAACGTAGCAGGACTTTCTGGCCATCTGGTGAGACATACGCAATTGCCCCAAGCTTTGACCATGCCACCTTTCTACTTAAGTGTTAGCAATTCAACTTCATGGGGAATTGAATCAAATGACCATTTTTTTAATAAGGGGGGAGGGGGACTTTGAAGAGCATACTGAGAACAGCCCGAAAGCCGAAGCTCGTCTATCCTTTGGGGTAAGCCTTTGATGGTAGGTGCCGCATCTCCCAGCCCCAGCTCTAAAGAAGTTGGATCCCCGAAAAGCTCGTCAACATCAATACTGTCTTCCATAATCAGAGGCATCCTAAGATTTACCCCTTACACCCCTAGCGAAGCTACAATACGCAGCGGACAGCTCTAATCTTGCGTGTCGCAGCACGCTGCATGGAGTTCGGATCACAACGTGATATCCCTCCAAATGATTAAGCTTTAATAACAGAAATTATATATAGACAGATAGGCTTGTCGATGACAGACCAGCCAGATCATATAGATCATATATAGTCGTCGCATCCATGATGTTAGGCGGACCAGCTTGCTTGAGTCTTGGCATCGCTCAAATAACGGAGTAGTCAAAACAGATCATGTGACATCAAGTTTTCCGTGTTTTGGTAGCTGGGACAACCGCGGAGACACTAACTAAATGCGACTAGAAAAGTGCTGTCCACCCCTCAAAATATGCGCGTCATGCCACTTGTGCTCTGCGAGATTGCAACATTCTGGCGGAAATATGCACTGGAGGAAGTCGATGTTCGATGTTGGGATATTGGCAGGCTAGGGCAGCAAATTGTCGTGAAAGGTGGATGAACCAGCATCTTTTGATTCCTTGTTACTTTTACTGTCAAAATTTAACACGAATGCTCAACTCTTCAAGAAGATCGTTGGATTTTAAAATTGGACACCGCTAATTTTCGTCCCCTGTTCTCTCACTACATCCATTTAACTTGGGCCCAAGGGGTCACAAATCCAACGGTATCTTTGGCACGGTGAGCATATCTCAGGAATTTCAGTTTCGAAACCTAGTCAAGTTCCAAAAATACTGTTTCTAAAAACTTTGTTGAGTCGCCTGGAAGCTGTAAATCACAACAACAACAAACAATCCCTTGCCTCCCAAATTCAGTGCCCACCATTGAGAGCACAGGCTTCAATGGATAAAAAGCGGAGGTAGATGGATGCGGGGAAATGTTCAAAGAACCTGAACAATGACTATTTCTGAGGGAGACAAGGTATCGAGACTGTAGATCTGAAGTAAGTGAATAGGCCTTCGCTAGGTTCTCATTTTAGAAATACAGTCCATTCAACACAGATTCCTCTCCTCCCAGTGCTGCAAGCCTCTCCACCTGCAGCCCTGGCGCCCAAGTCAGCCGGATGTCAGGAAATTGTGATTGTTTTGTTTTGGTTTTTGTGTTTGTAGTCAAAATAAACCCTGGCCAATGCAGAATCGGGACTAGCGCATCCGGAGTTCTTGCTGCGGCTCTGATCCTTCTTCCGTCGTCCTTGTCCCCATCCATCCCCTCGCTAACCTCCAACACCACGTCTACCATCTTTTCTGTCCAACAGCAACACCAGTCGTAGCCACCATTCCTATCGACTGAACGCCCATCAAATCGCGTAGCTTACCCCATGATTTAGCCAGCCGTACGATTTGGCGGGCCTGTTTCTTTATCGCTTCTCTCCCCTATATTATACACGTCGTCACGTCACGTCCCGCCTCCAATGGGCTACCCTTTCGACCCCTGGGGGGATTCCTCAGACCTTAGCTCTCCTCCAACATCACCATCGCCTCCTCCAGGTTTCCTCCCATCTCCTCCACCATCCCAAGACAATTTTGAGCCCAATTCAAACGACTCCTTTACCGCGTCGCAAGACACCACACCTCCAACCAAGAAGAGGAGGAAAGTTGAGCCGAAGCCGAGGTCAACGAAATACCTTGATTTAACCTTGGTTTCCACAACTCCCACGGATTGCTTTGCAAGCCAAACGGATGAACTAGGCCTTTTGCTGAAGGCTCTTCAGAAGAAGCGTAAAATCGTCGTGATTGCTGGAGCTGGAATTTCGGTTTCTGCTGGGAGTGAGTACATCTTGGCTTTGAGTACATGGCGCCTCTTTGCTGACGTGATAATTCCATAGTCCCTGACTTTCGTTCTGCTCATGGTCTATTTAAGACGTTGAAAAAGGATCACAAACTGAAGACCTCAGGGAAGCAGTTGTTTGACGCGTCAGTGTATCGGGACGATACGATGACTTCGTCTTTCCACGACATGGTTCGCTCGTTATCTGGAATGGCGGCCTCTGCTCAACCTACAGCTTTCCACCACCTCCTTGCCAGACTCGCAAAGGATGGCCGCTTAATGCGGCTGTATACACAGAATGTTGATGGCATTGAAACGTCGTTGCCCCCTCTGGCAACTGAAGTACCTCTTGGCGTCAAGGCACCGTGGCCGCGAACCATTCAACTACATGGCGGACTTGAAAAAATGGTCTGTCAGAAATGCAGGCATACATCCGACTTCGAAGCAGAACTCTTCCAAGGACCTAATCCACCCTTATGCCGAAAATGCTGCGAAACAGACCAATTCCGTACAACCACTGGCCAGCGGAGTCATGGAGTTGGCAAGCTTAGACCGAGAATAGTTCTCTACAATGAACATAATCCTGACGAAGAGGCCATTGGTTCAGTTGTTACAGCTGACTTACGTGCCAGACCCGATGCTCTGATAGTAGTTGGCACCACCTTAAAGGTTCCAGGGGTTCGCCGAATTGTCAAAGAAATGTGCCATGTTGTCAGGGGACGGAAAGATGGAATCACCATGTGGATAAATCACGAACCAGTCCCTGTCGGAAAAGGCTTCGAGAACTGTTGGGATCTTGTCATCAAAGGTGATTGCGATGAAGTTGCGAGACAAGCCAACATGAAACCCTGGGACGATGACAGCGATGACACCATTCAAGAATGCACAGAATCAGACGTGGAACGAGTTAAACAGGAACAAGGGCCCTTCTCCGTCATCATCCCTACACCAAAGAAACTTCAAACGAATACTGGTATCCTCACACCCTCATCCAGTCAGGACGAAGCATTCAACATCAAGGACCAACCGCCAATTCCCTTCCCCCTTACGGAAAAGCCAATTAATAAATCTCTGTCCTCCATATTATCCGGGGATCCCGGTCGAAAAGCTGCTAAGCCTAGGAAACCAGCTCAGAAGAAAGAGGGAGTTCCAAAGAAAGCCAGAACGACAAACGCAAAAGCCCAACCAAAGAAAATCGATCAACAGTTCCGCGTTGCCAAGTCGAGTAAGCCCTCTGTCACTGCTAAGAAGTCGGTTAATCCTAGCGAAAACGATCTCACTCAACCAATGCATTCTATATCGCCTGGTGCGGCTCGTAATAATGGGCCCACGTTCATCGAGACGTCTACCTCCCCGCCGTGGAAGGACACTGCCACGATCTCGCCATCTGGCGCCGTCCCGTCTGACCTTGAGAGAATGTTAAACTAAGGATGTACAAAGAACAATATAACAGAATAAACTCAAGACTATGGCTAATGGACACGTGGTTTTGGAGCATCAGTTTTATTTTCGAAGCGGATCGGATTCGAAGCACAAATTTTGCATTCCGTCACTTTTTTCTCCTTCCCATACTGGTCCCCGCCACCAGCTATGATACATGATACCTAAATAGATCTTTTCAATACTATATTGCAACCACCGCTCCTGCAGAAAATTCTGGTGGCCCTCATTTTCTTTTTCACTTGCTGGGACTGAGAGTTAATGGTACAGGTTGGCTTGGCGTTTGAATTATTATTATTGTTGTATTCCTTTTGCTCCTTTTGCTTTCTTTCTGTTTTGTTTGTAGATTAGAATAAGGAGTTTGTATAGTGGATGGAGATTCTATGTCGCATATTTTTCTCCACACCTTGTTTCAACTTTCAAAAGCTCCACTTGTCAAGACTTTTATATCAAAGGCCGAGTGTCAGGTTATGCTTGGCGACTTTTCTACCTTCCACGCAGCATTTCCTCATTTTTATTGTTCCCTGGTCAGAGTGGGCTTTTTTGTTTCTTACTATACTTTTTTCATTTCACTCTTCTTATACATAAAGTATTCTGTAATATCAATGTGAATTAGTGAAATGCATCGGAGCTCTTATGCACATTCCTGTTTATTTGCACTCTATTATTTTTTCTCACACAATTGGGGTGCAGGCATTTACATTCTATCTAGAGCTCATCAATACATATGATATCTATCATCTACTTCCATACTTGAATATTTTGGTGAATGGATTGTGCAATATTCTCAACCACATTGTGAGAACTTTACTGGTGTTTAATATCATTGATATAACAAATCACCAATCATCAATTGTAGTGGTAACATCTTCAAGTTACTTTATCTAAACACTCTGATATATTCTGAAATGGTTCATGCAATGCAATGCACTACGTTGCATATTAGTCCCATGATATTAATAAGTGAACAATAAATCTGAAATCCCAGAGACGCCGTGGTTGCCATAGCCCACACACCTTTACACCTCACTCAACAGTTCCTAGAAAGCCAACAACTGCAAATAAAAATATGAGAATAGTTATAAAACATAAACTCAGGAGGAGAAAAAAGAGAGCAAGGCAGTGAGTGACAAAGAACCAGAGAGAACAGGGGACAAAATGTTGACCTATGACCCTAAGCCGATATATACCCAAATCATAGCCCATCGCTATCGCTTTCGAGCCCCGAATCTAGGTCTGGATGCATTCCAGCCTTCCTCCTCTTCGCCGTATCACTCGCATCCCCATCGATATCAATCTCATCTCCATCGTGATCACTATTTTGAGTAGCTTCGTCCTCATCTTCTTCCTCCCCGTTTCCCCCTTCTTCCTCCTCTTCCTCCTCCTCCTCGTCTTCTTCTTCGTCCTCATCCAACACATCCTCCTCCATTTCCTCCGTCTCATCACCATCACCACCACCACCACCAACCTCACCAGGCTCCCCCTCCACTTCAGCCAACCCCCCATTACCAATCCCAGATCGCGACCTCCTAATTGCCATCTCTGTTGCACCCTCTCCACCCCGCTTTAGCCGCTTAGCACCTGGTTCAATCCCATCCTCAACATTTCCAGCTCCATCCGCAGCTGAAGCGGCGCCTACGTTTCCTGCTGCACCGGCACCTGTTTCTATCCCCATCGTCGCAGCCGTAGTGGCAGCGCCAGATTTGCGATCCTTCTTGCCCCTCCGCTTCTCTGCAGCTGCTTCAGTGTACACGGCTAGTTCGCGCTCGAGGCGCGGGAGGAAGGCGTCGAATTCTATTTGGGAGAGGGCGGCGAAGACGTCTTGTGGGGTTATGGTTTTCTTCTCGGTCTCTTCGTTTGCGCTAGAGGTGAAGAGGGGGAATGTGTTAGTTAAGCGATGAAGAAAGAGGAAAAATGGATTGAAAGAAGATGTAGGACGTGGGATAAGGATGTTAGGGCAGAGGTTTTAGGTAGGAATGGGATATAGGTCTCCCCAGCCTCTTCTTCTTCCTGCTCCCCCTTGTGCATGTGTGTGCTCATTGCATATTCGCTAGGATCAAGGGCAATAGGAAGCAGAAGAATGCCTACTGTGATGAGAGGTATGAAACGAATACCGTAGCGGCCTTGGAAATTGCTAACAACGCGTCTTTCTGTATCGAGGTGTTCGGAGGCAAAACACTCTTTGCCAATCGTTGCGTGAGAGATCGCGGGAGGAGGTAATCCTATGCAGCGATCCATATAAAAATTTTAGACACTATTAGCTCTCCTGTTCCGAATAATACAAAGCTAGGGTTCTATATCTTGGAGATTAAGTCGGATTGATCCAGCATTTGCATTTCCGCTCCAGCGCATCCGTCCCACGCACGCATGACGGGACCTCCGCCTGAAACGGAAGCCAAAGAGGAAGGAAAGGAAACAAGCAGGCAATTGACAGGATATAGAAATCTCACCTCAACATTCACGCCGGTCTCGATAGGGTCTGTACCGCTCCCGGCTGTTTTTGAGCTCTCCGCCGCCGCTTGCTGTTCTTCTTCATGGCTGCTGGCCTCCGCGACGGAGGATGTGGATTTCCGCGGTGACATTTGGGAAGGGGCCGAGACGCGAGTAAAATTATATTCTCCTATAATATATATGGGTTGGATATAGATGAGGATCGTGGACTTGGGTTATTTTAAGGGAGCAATGTGGGTTGTTGTATCCTTTTCCGCTTTTTCTTAATTCGCGCGCGAGAAATGGTCTCCGCTACACGTTGTGCAAAGATCGGCTCGATGCAGGAGGGGCGGGGATATGCGACGCACTATACAATCTCGCCGACGTAAGAGATATAGAAGTTAATTTGAGATAGATATAATTACTTTTGTTGGATATTTTTCCGTTCTCTCCCTGAAGGTTGCAGGACTATTGTGAATGGGATGTGGGGGATGTCTACATCTGCGCTTGTTTTGATTTCGGAGAGTAAAATGGTTGCTGGCTGAACGCGCGGGTTTCAATTTTTGGAGGTGGAACCATTCTATTCTTGGAGCAAAAAGTCACAAGAACTCTTGGTGATAAGAAAAAAGTAACTATATATTCTAATTTTACATCATTCTTCTCAAAGCTTCTTCAACTTATAATCATTTACTTTTCCAATATATATAAATTCAAGATTTTGGCCTGTGCTTTGTAGTCTTGGCTTCGAGTGCGCCTGAGGTTCGACTAGAATTGTAGCGTACCATGAAGGCAATCGATAGATATATCCATACAACGGGTGTGGAAGGAAGAAATGGAGCTGTAGAGCTCTATTAAATGCAAATCGTATGAATGCAGTAAGTCGTAAATAACATTAGTGACCTATACATTAAAACCGTCTAAAGCGCCTTTAAAAAATCGTCCGAAAACACTGTAGAAAGAAAAGAAGAGAAAAATGATATAGTAGGAAAAGAGGTTATTCCATAACCATCTCATCATCCTGCTGAGCACCGTCACCCCATAGACCCTCCAGTTTGAACTCCTCCGCCCATTCTTTAACAATCTGCTTGGTATCTGTACCGCTCACCGCGGCCACGTTGCCGGGGCCGCTTGCAGTGGGCAAGGAAGTAGCTCCTGGAATAACGGGGGCTTCAAGCCATCCCTGGATACGACCATCCCGCCAGTCGTTAATCACTGTCATTGCCGCGCTGCTGATGTTAGGAACACCGCCTTTACCAAGTCGACCCCGCTTTCGAGCAACCTGGATTAGAAAATCTTTGGTCTTGTCTCCATCGGTGGGGAAAAGAGGAGGGATGCCGTAGACATCGAGCATTTTGGAGAAGAGGGCAGGCGTGGAGGAAAGTCGATTCAAAAGGAGAGTGACAGCGGGGATAGGATCTGAGATTTGTTTGGGAGGGATGGCGTTGAGGAGAACGAGACGAGCTTCCTCATTGATCTTCTTGGCCGATTTCGTCCTTCCTTTCTCCGCGTTTGGAAATACTATTCCCGGAGAATCGATGAGTCTAAGCTTGCTGTCAAGCTTCACCTCTCTAATGCCAGTAGTAACTCCGGCTTCAGCACCCACTGGGCATGCCGATGAGGAGCCCTTGTTCAGCCGCGCAGTGAGTGCGTTTATAACCGATGATTTGCCAACGTTAGGATACCCAATGATACCGACAGATATCGACCGTTTCAATTGCTTGCTGTGGGCATAAGACTTCAAAGCTTTGAGCAGAGTTTCCGATGTGCTTTTAACGGTCAATTGCTTGTGATCGAAACTGTGGGCATTTGGAGCACCCGTCGATGCCCTCAATGGTAGGGTAGGGAAATATCTTCGAAGGTAGAGCATCCAGCCTTTCAAAACGGGTGGTGGAACAAGATCGATCTTGTTCAGAATCAGGATAAGTCTCTTAGATCCGCCATCTGCGGCAGTAACCTCTCTTTCAACCTCCTTTGATCTTGTTCCTTCCGGGTCTCGAGCATCAAGAACGTAGAGTATGACGTCCGCGGTAGCTACAACTTGCTTAAATACTTTGTCAAACGCCCGTCTCGAAGTCTCCTTCGGCGCTGGCTCCTCGGAGGTTATATCCATTGAGTCATCGAAGAGAACACCGCCATCATCATCCTTGTCGCTTTCATGATCCCCGTCATCCTCATCCATTTCGTCATCCGTCCCATCGTCATGGCCGTCAAATTCCACCGCTCTCGCGCGAGCCGAAGCAAGCAATGCAGCCATAGGATTCGAATCGTCACCATCCTGGTCCATATCGCCATCTACCAACTCATCGTCCTGGTCCACATCCCGGCCCAAAATTTCTTCGTCCTCTAATTGCGTATCCGGTAAGTTTTCCGCGACGCTTTGGCGAGCTTTTCTAGCTTCCTCCCGTATCCGTCGATTTTCCTCTTCTTTCAACCGTTTTTTCTCTTCGATTTCGTGGAGAATCTTTTCTTTATAGGGGAACAAATTAGGTATACCCGGATCCTTCTTTAGTTTTGATCGCCATTCAGGGTTCTAAATTAAAACGAGAAGACAGTTTATTAATTGGTTGACAACGACTAGATGTGACATCTTATTCACCGCAGGTAGCATTATCCGTATGCGAGATTGAGATAAACATACCTTTTTGGCCAGTTTTCTCAACTTCCTCTGCTTCGCTGCACTGGCCTTTTCAATTTTATGTCGCAGCCTCACCGGCGTACGCTTAGATTTCTTGCCTGCAAGAAAAATTTACACGTCAGTATTATCGGATTGCGAACCCAAAGCGAAATGAGAAACTCAGGACAACTTAGGCATACCAAGCTTGACCATCTTGAGAGCCTCTGTTTCCAAGATTAGTCACAAAAAGGCCGTATATATATCGAGAAAGGAGAGCACGGATATCTTGTCTACCGTCTCTTTTCCGATTTTGTGTGAGCAAAAAGACGCCAAGATTTCGCAGCGCTCTGCTCGATCGGGGAAATGTATATCCGTGACTGCGGTTATAAAATGCGGGGATCCAGATTGCCAAACAGTACAAAGAAGAAAAGGGCGAAAAAAAATTATATTGCAAGGGACTTATACGGCGATGTTTCATTTCCGTTAATAGGGCAATGCTCTGTATCTTTTAAATTATACCTCCAGAGGCTGTTACAATATTTCAGAGCTTGGAGAGAAGAATACTAGTATCTTGTCTCACCCCGCTGTCGCAATGGGATTCTCCGCGCCGGCGCAAACCTTTTCATTTGACGGCCTTCTTTTTGACTTTGATGGGACCATTATAGATTCAACACCTGGTTAGCTTTGCTCTTCACTCTTCTGCGCCTATTCAAATTAGGCTTTTGGGTTTCTTTTGGGTTCACTCGATGTGCTGACTGTGACATAGCGATTATCAAGCACTGGCACCGGTTCGTACATATTCAGTTTAACACCTCAAATGGATCACCAGATCGATCTTGTACATGTGTATATAATGTCGATATTGTGTATATCTGTGATTGGTCGGAAGGCAACTCTTTTTGTAATGGGATCCGTCTTAAGGAGTTTCCCGCAAGCTGATTGACATTTGGCAAAATTCAGACTAGGTGCCGAACTGAACTTAGACCCTGAAGTGATATTAAAGACATCCCATGGACGAAGAAGTATAGATGTCCTACAGATCATTGCTCCGGAAAAAGCTAACTGGGAATGTAAGTGGGGGGCTCCAACAAAATTAGGAAATAAAAATAAAATAAAATAACCACCCGCTTTCTCTATGTTCGTCTAACTAAAAAATCAATTCCAGACGTTAGTTATGTTGAGGGCCGGATCCCCAAGGAGTATGGCCAGGATGCTGTGGAAATACCTGGAGCACGACAGCTGTTAGACTCCTTAGATGAAGCAGGAGCCCCCTGGGCTGTGGTTACCTCAGGGACCAAGGCTCTTGTACACGGCTGGCTGGAAGTGTTGAAACTTGCGTATCCCAAGTACATGGTTGTCGCCGAAGATGTAGAGGTTGGAAAGCCAGATCCGCGGTGTTACCTGATGGGCCGCTCACGACTTGGCCTGGATGACGGGGCTGAGATGCTTGTGGTTGAGGATGCACCTTCAGGTATCCGGGCTGGCAAGGCTGCAGGTTTCAAGGTCGCTGCCCTTGCTTCGACGCATAAGATTGATGATCTCAAAGAGGCTGGGGCAGATTGGATCGTTCAGGATCTGCGTAGTGTTACACTGAAAGGCTGCAATGGAAAGGTGGAAATTGAGATATCGAATGCTTTGCAGTGATATATTTGTTGTTCCTTTTTTTTTCTCTTGCTCTCATTCCTGCCCTTTCCAATTTCAGGGAGGAAAATGGGTTTTTCTTGAGGTCTATTTTCCCCTTTAAGATAAAGGATTGATGCCGCGTAGGAGGAGACACGACGGACCGATATCTCGTGGCATGGATGGTCAGATTTGAAATACAGCGATGTTTCCGCACATGGTATATGCATTGCTGTCCATCTTGAGCATGCGCTAATGGCTTGCTCTCCTGCTTTATTTTACTTTGAACTCTTACCGCATCATCATTGCACTGGTAGTCATGTGGCTTTCGGGCCCTTGCATTGCGTCCATTAGAGGTTCAGACGGTACATCTCACGATTCCCAAGTTGCTGTTGCCATTGTTGCTTGCCATTTCGCTCTTGCTCCCGGTTACCCACACAATCATTTCCAGATTCCATGGCAACACAGAGATCTTCACTCGGCTTGGTGCAAGACCGAATCCTTGAGGCAGACCGAATGCAAACAATGCGCACGTACGACGCCGCTGCCGTTGTTACATAGGGGGCTTGTTGTCACTGGATCTATGTATGCTTTTTGTGACGTTTAAATTCTCGAAAACAGTGGACTCAGGCGACTCGTATTTGCAGAGATTGCAGTTTCAGAATCGCCCAGAGACGACTCCTCGAACAAAGATTGTTAACCATCTCGCTACGGTAGCCTGTAGTCTTACCGGTCATATCGCAGAAGAACACTCTTTTGAATCTGCCCTGGTCCTTGTCATTGTGTCTGAGGATAACATAGAGGGTATCAGAAAACGGTAATAAAATGGTCCCTTAAATTAAAGGTATGGTAGGTAGCAACCATTATTCATGACAGCCAAATGTGATGTGAGAAAATAACAAACATGGATGGGTATAACGAGATTATCAAAAACATGACATCGAGTCCAAAAAACCCCATTTTCGAACGTACACAGGAGCTGAACCGTAAACTAGAAGATATTGCGAGAGCCCTAGAAACACAGCCCTCCGCTGCCTGTCAACAAGATGGTGTTCACCGCTGAACATTCAGAACTCCGCGCTCTGCGGCCAGCAACTCAGGCACTTGGATGTCTGAGTGCTACATTACCTTATCCCAACCATTCTAGAAGTGAGAGTATCTGTATCAACCATAGACGCTGGGTTTAAGGAGGCTTGACCTTTAAATTGCTGCTTGTGTGCTGCTTCGATTTCCAGCATGCGAAATTCCATTCATCCATACTGTTTTTCATGCCTAGGGCAACTGTAATTTTGTCTGTCAATGATAAAACTGAACATATCGGTATCAACGGGATAACGGGGGGGAAATAGTAATGTTGTTTTCAACCACATATCTTTTGCAGGGGGAGTACGGAAATCCATTGAAAATGGGAGCCGGGGGGGCATGGCAAAATTCTCTACACGATTCTATATTTCTGGCATATTGAGACACAATGCATGAATTCGTGGGGGTTTGCTCATGGAAAGCTGATCCCCCTGTTCAGATATAATCCGTGCAATGAAAAAAAAAAAAACGTAAAGCCAATCCATGCCTCACATTCTTCCTTCCAGATCAATCCGAGACTCTGGAAATATTTATTTATGATCTCTCTTTCACGCGTGGGATGGCATCTATAACAGAATTAGAGAAGATTTAACAAGCTAAAAATATCCATTTTAGGGATAGTAAACCATGCGGATCATCCTCACCCCTCTGCCGGCGCAAGGTTCGAATCCACACAAGAAGCCAAACCACCCCAGCGGATCCGGGATCTTGAATATCCCTGTTCAACCTCAAACAAGTGCACCAGTGTAGCCATGGATGTAATTGGACAAATGATTCCAGATTAAATCAGAAAATTTTTCCGTCCGTATCTTCAGCTCGGGGGCGAAGCATCAATGCCTGTAGTATATGTTATATGGATATCATATAGGGAGGCTTAACTTATATATGAAGTATTTCCTATTCCCGTGTCTCAACCTAGTTTTAAGAACAGGCAGTCTCAACCTAGTCACAGAGAAAGCTCAGACTCGCGTGATCAATCCAAAAATATAAAGTAACGTAAAAAAAATAAAAATAAATAAACATAAAAACAAAAAAGCGGGGTGAAGTGGGTGCAGAGAAGAAAGGGGGGGGGGGGATATAGGGGAAAAGGCCTAACAAACACCCCTTTACAGAGCGCACAGAAAATCGTATGTACTGTAGGCACATTATACCAAAAAGCCAAAATCTTTGCGCAGTGACTTGATGATTGTATCCCGCCTAAGCAGCCTGATGATGATAATGTCATTGGCATCCCAGGGCCCCCTAGCCAGGGCCCCCGACGGAGCGCGGCCGAAACGAGGACGGGATGCTAACCCATGTGCTCTGCCAGGGTCACGTAGTGCGATCAGCCCCTTCCCATGCCATGCCATGCTATGCCACACTTTGTTTGACATTGAGCCTTATTACGCAGCATTATCAATTCTCATATAATTATTACTAGTAAGTTACCTTTCCAGCACATTGAACATTGGACATGCTTGTTTATTCCGTTACAAGGAAAACGGATGTGCAGGGATACGTAAGGGTAATTAAGTGGCCGAACGGTGACGACTGGAAGGCTTATGATTCGAAAAAAAAAAAAAAAAAGGTACGCCGTATGAAATGGCGATCAACACTCAAGGCATATCTCAAGCGCTGAAGGATCAAGATATCCCTGTCGGTCCCGGTGTGGTGGTCCACCAATAGGGGCAACCCACCTTATATCAAACGGGCCAAGCGCTCCTCACGGCCCGGCTGGTCCAAGCTCGTGAAAGGGGGACGAGCAGAGTGCTCTGTCAGCCATGATTACCCAACAGACATCTGCGACGATGCGCTGCCACTAACTAGGTGAGATCGACGGTGTCAGCTTCAGTTGCTGTTCTTTTGTGGTAAAATTTGGAATCATGAGAACAGGGATTGTGGATGGTTCAATTTCCATTGGAAAGGCGAAGTGTATGGCCGGCGGTAAATGGACTTTCCACCAAGAAGAAAAGGAGGACATACGGAACACTGGCTACAGTCAAGGAGTAGTAAAGTTGTGATTCTCTCTTTTTTGACAGTCGCGATGGACACGGTAGCTTGAATTTGGGAGGATCGGACATTTTAACAGATGAGGTGGTTGGTCCGGAGAATACGAGAGGAAGAAAAAATTCCAATTGGCACGGACAACAGCTAGGCCACATGAACCTCGATATCCACAGTTATGGTTGCACCCTGCCTATAAGTGTCGAGTATTATTTGACGTTAGCATCATCCACGCCGTCAATGGTCGTGTTAAGAGTCCGCCAGGACCGAGACGCCTCAAAATCGGCGATGAGTTTATAGACGCCATAAAGGCTGTCCAAGTCACTTTTCTTTTTGGCTGGTTAAGTGCGAGAAAGACATTCCGCTAGACTTTGAGTTAGCGCTCTTCCTATCTTCTATCCTCGTCAAGGATGCCTAAGCTGGGTTTCATGTCCGTTTCTCTAAAATATCGTTTCGGAGCCACGTTCAAATGGTTGTCGCCAGCAGCCCTCACCGCGTGGCACAAGCCCAAAAATGATTTTCCATTCAAGAGACCAGAACGACCTGCCATTACAGAGCGATGGTTGGTGCTGTACCCACATGGAAGTCGGCGATTATTTTTTGCTCTTTTGCGCCAGCAGAGCCTCACAAATTCGCTGAGACGTGGGGGTCTGAGCTGCTTGCCTGCTCCATGTTGTTTTCCCAGCGGATCAATTGTATCTATCACTTTTAATTCTTCAATGATATTGGCCTACCCTAGCAGTTAATGAAGCTCTACTAATTCGCTCAGAAAGGCCAGGATAGAAAGAGGTGCGGGGGAAGTCAATAATGAAAAACCGTTTTCTTCTTCATCTCCGCCGAATAGCCAGCCGTTTCACCGTTTCAGCCAATGTCATTCTTTCTCGGCCAGTTTTGCTTCTCACCATCATTGAGAACTGAACCTTCGAATCTGTGTTGGTTGATCATCGGACATCGTGAACGATGCATTTCGTGCAGTTTCAGTTGCCGCGTGAGACAAGCGAAAACGTGCGGAGCATCATGAAAGGGTTAGACTTTTCGGAGGCTTCAACGATCGGTCCTTTGGTGCCACAGGATAAACCTTTTACAAACCGACCCGTTGATATGAGAGCTGTGAGTGGATAATTCTGAAGTCAGGGTTTGGGAGAAAAAAAGTAAAGCTGTAGCCAAGGGAAGAGGAAAAAAAAAAAAAAGAAAACAGAGTAGAAACCTGGTTAGACAAAGCACTGGCTTGGCACGATCATGGTGGTTGGAGGATAAACAGCGTCCGTTCTGGACGTATTATTATTACGCGTGATGTTTACCTAGTACATTATAGCTTTAAAGCAAAGGCACCGAGAATACCGGGTGAAATCAAGGGAAGGCTGAAGGTGATATTTTCGGGTATCCGGAGGCGCGCCGCGCGGTCATAGCCCAAAATATCAGATGCGTTCCTACGGAAAGGAGAGCAACAAGCGAAAACCTGTAACTGCACAGCTATAGCTTGATCATCTTCAAAAGGCCATCGAGTCCAGACTAGTACCTACTACGAATTCCCAAAAAGAATGGCATCTCTCTTCTTGCTTGCTCGCCTGCTCGAAATGATGCTGACCCGGACGCCGTTTGTTTGGTGAAGTTTCCGCATTGGCATAGATCCACATTCAATCAGCGTGGATGTCGATGCCTCACGAGTGGTGGTTGACATAAATCGCAATGTCAGGAGATCGAACGTGAATCAGAACGAAAGTTCTGCATGCCATGTAGTTCAATCTAACATCTACCCCCCATCCCGGTTCATAGTTTGGAAATTTGGCGCAGGAGACTGGGAAGACCTGGTGGAAAACATTATTATTCTTCTTGTTCATTTTTTTTTCTGTGGAGCACCCCCATCGTTGTTGGTCGTTGTCCAGATGTCCGGATGTAACACGCACGCACACGAGGTAAATAGTAGGACAGATAAGTTTGTAATATTTTGGAGATAGTTACAGTGCATTTGTCGCCCATTTCAAAAGGTCTCGTTGTTTGGCAAGTATTATCTGTAATCACACAAGCTCAATTTGAAACTGATGGCTGAAATATTACAAGTATGATCAAAGTTTCAAGTGGATGTTGCAGCAAATCGGCGAGTAGCTTCCAATGCTACTCGCTGCAACTCGGTATTTAATCTGTGGCCGTTTTGTGGCGAGTGGAAGCCGTCGGAGGATAGCCGCTTGTATATTTAAATGTATGCTTGATGGATCGGGTTGGTCTCGGCGAAATTGCACATATATATAAAATCAATCTATGAAGTTGATGCTGAAAATTCACCAAAAGGAATACCATTAGAATCAGTGAACCGAAGAATGCAGCTCGCTCCTTGACTAGGAGTAACTGATGAATTTTGGCGCTGTTTCTGAATGGGTTTCCATCGCTTTGCCAACGCATTGACCGGAGGCGACTGGGGAACATGGAGTGGTGACTTCAGCCAGCCGCGAACTTCAACAGCCCCATTAGCACGGGGAACTTGGTGAAGGATTTGACCTCATACTAACCAAATTTAGCCACTAGATATTTGCCAAAACAAAGCGCAGCGCCAGTGTTTCGTAAAAACACTCTTGATTTATTACCTCCCCGATACACAAGTCTCGACATCACGCGGGTCTTTGATCGAATTGAATTTTTTTTACTCGGGATGAAACCGGGGTCCTCAAGGGCTGGTGAAACAAGGCAGATCATGGCATTTTGGTTGGTCCAATTAGCCCCTATGCAGACGCACGACAGGAGTCGAGCTAACGCAGGAACAGAGTACTTGCTGCGATGTAGTGTACGCACCACCTGAGCTTGTATATAGTGCTCCGACGGAATAGTCAAGGTAGAAGTTGGCAGGAAGAAGCCACGCCGGAGCTCCCTGAGGGGAAAAAATCTTCGGAACGAGTCACACATACGTTAGCGTCGGGCGTCAACGGGGGAACAGTGCTGGGGGACGCGACTACTTTGGGGCCCTCTTGTGCCTTGTCGAATCCGTTAGGTTGGATGCCAATGTGGATGGCGTCGGGGGGCTTTGTGGAATCGGTTCCAGGGTCACAAAAGCTACGGACTCAAACCGCCACGGAAGGCGGATCGGGAGAGTCCAATTGGCAATAATAATACTGAAGTACGAGGTTGTGTTCTTCCCGCCATGATATGAGCTGTTTGATGAAATAGCCCCATGAATATAATCCGGAGAGGCGCAATCGGGGGGGAGGGATGAGAATAATGACAGCGTAGTGTCCATCGTTGATCAAAAACGACTAATCCGTAGAATGTAAATCGTTGCAGATCCATGTCCTTGCCTTGATCTCAGATCCAGTAAAGGAGGAGTACAGAGAAAAATGAATTACAGTCGTTGACGTCAAGTGATGGTTGCGCATCCCTGCCCCTGTCTTCATCCATGGGTACTCTCACCCTGGGGTTTTGAGTGAAAAAGATTGCCCCGATAAACTCCATTCGTCCAGCGCACTGTGCCCGGGTCTCGCAAGTTCCGCCAAGTTTCCCCAGACGCGATGCGCGATATTCAGGTTTGAGTTCTTGGAGAAAGCCGAACAGAAAGGGGTCACATGGATTGAAGCCAAGCAGGCGGCCCAATCATCGAGTCATCGAAGTCATTTTGGGCTTACAAACTGTCGCCATGACGGGAGCTAAATCAGAACTATTTTCCCAAGAGACAGGGTGAACGGTGCATTTCCCGTGTGAAGGATGTGTGCCCGATGCATCTCCGTCTCGAGATAGATCCCCTCTCGACAACCAATAACATCCTCGAAGTCCAAGATCGTACGTGCAAGCATTCGACCAGGATGCCGGGCAGACAGGGAATAGTTTCCGATGAACCCTGCCCGCCCGCGATTTTAAGAGGCCCCATTATCTGGCACTTGGTGGCCGGGGTCCCTGTTGACAAATATCAGACACAACGCTCCGTACATCGATGATGAAGCTGGATTACGGGTGCATGAGCGGAGCAATGCAGCGTAAGCCTTGGTGCTCCGGAGCAGCCTGCCGTAAGAGCCCCCAGCCTGTATCCTTGGAAATCCAGACAGGCTTAGGCTTATCTCCAGCCTCCAAGCGCATGGAGCCCCGTAGATCGACACCGAGGAGGCTTTTTGCGACTGACCAGCGAAAGACCTGGTTGGAAGCGGCCTGTATTTTTGTATTTTATTCCCTGGCCAGGAGGCGATATTTCCGTGCTTCTGTCGCTGTGTACTCTGTATGTACAGTACCGTAACTGATTCTTACAAAGAGCCGCCCCCAGGTGGCCTGGCTGGTACCAAATTGTCTCTGGTGGTTGCACACAACCCGATGTACAGTACCTGGCCTGGGCTGTGATACCGTCACATACGGCCCGTTCCCCCATACGGGGCTCATACGGGCGGGTCAGGGCTACCAGGTACCTTGCAGCGCCAGCTTGGCCCCAGGTACGGGGTACGGGGGCAAGTACTGTACCTGAACCAGGAAACCTGGTCCTTGTGCCTGTACCTGTACCGTACCGCGCCATCGTTCCCCTCCCGTGGCTCCGTCTGGCTGACTTTTTGGCTCTTGCTCTCTCTCATCGAACGACAACCTCTTCTCTATCCCACACTTGTCTCATCTCAGTCTTTTCTTCTTTCTTTATCTGTCTGTCTCTCCTTCGTCTCTCTGTCTCTGTCTCTCTGTCTATCATTAATTCGTTTTCTTCTGTCTCTTATTCTGTCGCTCTTTTACTGTTTTAATCCTGGCCCCTCGCCTCGTCACTCATTGCCTGACCCGACGTCTCACATCCAACCCTTTTGTCACTCCTTCGTAACAACGATATATTTCCTGTCCACCGCACCACTACATTCCTTTCACCACCACATACCTTTGGAATATCACACACCTCAGATGAGATAGGCTTCCTTCCACGGCTGCCTGCAGTGCAGCAATCCCAACTCTCTCTTTAGTCCCACCTGCGATCACATTCGTCTGCTCTCTATGCCCACCTTTGAACATCATGAGCTACCTCCATCATCCGTTTCCTTTTAGCGGGCATCATGCAATCCCCGTGGATCAGCCCTTTGACTATAGAGTCCCAATCCGGCACCCTCAATTAAGCCATCCTGTAGATACTTATCTGCTCCCTAACGCCCCCATCGATCTCGCGGAATATTACCACCAAGCTGCTGCACTGGAAGACTTCGAGGAATACACGGAAAATCTATCCCGCCCACGATTAACAAAGGATCAGGTCGATACCCTTGAAGCCCAGTTCCAGGCCCATCCGAAACCAAATAGCAATGTCAAGCGCCAATTAGCGGCACAGACAAATCTCACTTTGCCAAGAGTTGCTGTATGGAAAAATACTCCTACCACGTTTTTTTTTTTACAAAAAAAAGAAAAAAATCTATTCGGTTATTGGAAGAGAGATTGCTAACTGTGAACGTCATGTAGAATTGGTTCCAAAACCGGCGGGCAAAAGCAAAGCAACAGAAAAGGCAGGAGGAATTCGAGAGAATGCAGGCGAGTGGAAACGGCGAACAGTGGAAAAATAACGACACCAAGCAGAAAGAAGGGGCTTCAAAAGAACAATCGGAGCGCCTGGAGTCATCCGCGACCCCTACCCAACAGCCAGATCCTAGTTCGTCTTCTCTGAATCCCAGCGAAGTGGAAAAGGAAAAGCAGCAGCAAGCATCCAATTCCATCAGCCAGCCCGGACTCCCCGAGCCGCCCCAGAAAGCCATGAAGGCAACTATGCCTGTTAGCGCCCAATTCAGTCAGCCTGGGGAGGATAACGTCCCAAGACACGGGCCCTCGGATATCAAATATCATTTTCCTCAGTCTTCTCTGGGGAACGATGATTGTGGCACATTCCCTTCTAACCTGTGCGGATGGAACGGAATTGAGGATAATCATGCCATTTGGTCTTCGTCGCAAGACATAGAAGATCATATTGTTTTTCCTCATTTAAATAAACCCCATGGCAATCCGCTCGAAATCTGCGTTTCCGAGAGCCAGCAATTTCCCTGCATCCAGTTCAACCACGAGCCCGGTGAATGGGAATGCCATAGTATGCCGCATTTGATGGGGAAACAACGAAATAGTAGCCAGGATCTAGGCGAGGGCTTCCACCCAATACCGTTCCACGCACTGCAGTCTCCGCTTTATCCGGATGAACACCGGCGAGGTTCGAGCTCCTCAGAACAGTCTGAGCTCGCAGACACTCTATTCCACACTGAAATAAACAGCATGATTGAAACATCTCCTCGAAATACTCCCCATTTGAACATGGCACAGTTGCGTCATCAAGTCGATCCAACTACCAATTGGCGGTATCCCGAGAAAGAAGTTGATATTGCCGCTCGACGAAAGCGACCTCGACCGGCTGCTATCGGAACCCCAGCCATGTCACGTTCGTACGGACCCTCCTCCGTATCTCCAACCACTAGGATTCAAGGTATGGGTGCCGGCCATATCCTTAGACATGCGAAATCCACCCAAAACTTGAGTCCTAATCGATACCCAGGAATTCGAAAAGCTTCCGTTGCTCAACGCTCCCCTCTAGGTATAACAAGCTTTGGAGAAGCCAGCCGTTTTAATTGTGCCAATACCGCAGACCTGATGTCAACCTTACCTGGCCTGGTAACGACCTCTTTGGCTCCGCCAACTCCCTTAACACCAGAGGATCTCCAAACCCTTCTTCCTCCAACCCCGAATGACAGCCAATACTGCGTCTCTCCCACGGACGATATGGGATGTGCAAGGCTTTTCCCCATGTCCCAACCTGTGCAAGTGCACATCGAATCCCCTCCCACGACCCCGCTACATTTGGGAGTTCAATCGCACCTGCAATTTCAGTCCATGGGCGTCCCGATGTCTACGCCCTCACAGCATACACCGTTCCAGGAGTACCAGCTCTCTATCCCGACCAATCCGATGAGTGGTGGCCACTGGCCTGATGCGTCGTCAATGTCATCTCCAGAAACTTCCCATTTGCAGCAGCCAACAATCCATATGCCTCAGCCAACCCATATCTCCCCCATTACCTATGGGGAGTCTTTGGATTCTGGAAACCCTGCCCTCGTTGAGGACATGATGACAGGCCAACGCGAATCGCCTCACTGCGCTGTTAAAAATTGCAACACACCGACCGCATCGTCACCCCAAGGTTCCTCCCCAGGCTCACGGAGAGTGACCGAATTTCTGATCCAAGAATTCCCAGAACAACAGGAAGCACACAGGCGGGCTGCTGAACAGCTCCCCCCTCAGAAGCCCATGAACTATACGTTCTCCAACCACACGCCCAATGATTTCTAGCATCATCATTTCCTTGTCTAGAATTGTGGTTAGCTCTCTGAATATTAAGTACCCTCAAGCCATTCACATCTGATCGCTTGGCCAGCTCCTGCTTTTACGATTTCTAATATAAACTTCACGTTCATACATGATCTTAATATCTTTTAATCTTCCCTCGCTTGGCCTGGTTTTACTACCATCACACGCTACCAGGCCCTCTTAATATTGCTATATCCAATCTTACTTGACTACTTGGAAACGTCACGCACTTTATACTACTACACTACCATTAATACTACTAATTCTAATAACTATGAGAGGCGACCTGCTTCAGGCCCGGTTCTTCCCTTTTGTCGTTCTTTCCCCATTACCATATACATATCATCCCCCCATCTCTTCCTGTCTCTCTCTCCTTTGTTTCATTTTGTCGCTACGGAACACTCTTTTGGTTTGTAAATGACATGCGGAAATGGAAATTTTGGTGGTATCCCCTGGCCTTCGTCTTGCTCATTTCATTTTTCTTCTCTCTTTTTGCTCACCAAGCATATGTCTTTGGTAATAATCATTTTTAATTCTCTGCCTACTTAATTTTCTCTTTCTTTCCACGCTCATGCTTCACATTTTCCATTCTTCCTATCTCTTTTTCCTCTTTATTTTTCCTTCTTCCCTTCAAAGCCTAGCCTTTGCCCCTTTTTTTCACTTCTAGATTCTCACCATTTTTAATGCTTTACTGCATGTTTAATTCCCCTACAATAATTTTTTTTAATATTAATAATATCTATTATGTTACTATTTTTCTATTTCTTCTCTGTTAGCTACTGTTGCTGCTGCTACTTCTCCCTTCTTCATCGCTCATCTCTTATCCTTTCTCCTCTTTCACTTTTGGAAAAAAAACATCTTGGTTATTCTTTCTTTTATAATATCCCACATGTATTTTTGTTCTTGTTCATGGTTGTATTGCTTCATTGCTTTCTTCTTACTAGCTTTTATTTCATGTCTTTGTTTATTTATTTGTTTTCTTCTTTTCCTTTTTTTGTCTTTTCTTGAGGTTTCAGTCTGCTCTATGATATACACGTCTTATAACATCTCAGCCACTTCATTTGCTTATATATATACGTACAACCAGTTTCCGCTTATAAGCTCTGCAATAATATTTATTGTTAATCTAATATAATTGGTATATATATATGTCTTTGAAGTCTTAAGTGAAAGAATATAATGCTACACAAACTATGCTCTTGCTATTAACAACACATAATTCTATGCTTTACTCCGTTCTGGCAATATATTGGATTAGAAAATGGATCACATTCGGTTCAATGAATCAATCAAAAAAACTTAGTTAATATAATAATTCAATGCATAAGTTAGCTGGAAAACGGATTTTGTTATATTTGAAGGAAAAGAAAAGAGAAGAAAGAAAAATAAACATATATAAAAAGAAAGTTAAAAAAAAAAAAAAAAAAAAGAAGACGAAGCATAGGAAGGTTGAGATGAAATATATAAATAGATAGATAATAAACAACAAAACAGACATGAAAGAATAAAAATGCAGACGAATACAAACTATGCCAGAAAGACAGAATGGGAAACACGAAGAGAAAAAAAAAAGGAAAAAATTCAGCTGAGAAGAGAGGATGGACATCTAATTAAATGAGTTAAAGAACCTCACATCAACAAACAAATGTATATATAGTGAGTACCTGAAATAAACAAGTGTGATATAAAACTATAATAGAAGAGGGAAGAGAAGAGGGAAAAACGGTGATTAAATAATACTAAACACTGAAAGATGCAGATGAAGTAGATTGCAAGTGAAAGCAATGATTATAATGATGATGATGATGATACGGATAAATCTCGCACTTCCTTGAGTAGCTTAAAGAAGGAAGGAAAAGGATGGAGGGAGGAAGAATAGAAAATATACACAATTTAAAAATGAGAGGGAAGGAATGTGTTTCTAAATTAAGAGATTCAACAAATAAACGGGGGGAACTGGTGAGTATGAAGAGGAAATTCAAAGAGAAAGGTATTTTTTCACACAAAAGGATAAATAGACAATAGATTGAATAAATAATGGCATTAAGTAACAACAAGAAAGGGAAACATTGAATAGAGAGGTATATAGAAGAGTAGGCAGGCAAACAGTTACGAGGGCGAATAGATCAAGATGGCTAGTTGCAGCGAAAAATAACAGGTTAATGATCATCTATACTCGGTAACAATTATTGCGTTAGACGTCAATTTAAAGCCCAGGCTAAATAAAGAATAGCCAATTTTTTAAAACAAAAGATAAAAGGTTTCTCGGAAGGGGAATATGAAGCCATGAACAGGAGAAAATAATGAGAAAGACAAAAGAGAAGCAAAGGGGAGGAAAAAACAAAATGCAGGCCATGAGTGAAGAGGAGTAGTCAAGACGAGCGAAAAAAAGAATACAATGCAAGCGACGAGAAGCGTTTTCCTTGTTGTTTTTTCAAAGTTTCCTACCCCACTGGTCACATCACAGCTTTCCTCAATACGTTGATGGCCAGCCGCTCTGCCCTGAACCCGGTTGTGGCTGCCCACCAGGTTGCAGCGATCCTCCGGTGGTGGTGCTGGGCCATCCTGGTATGGAAGCGCCGGTGCCCATGCCCATACTCATTGCCGATGGTTGTTGATGAGGTGCGGACATGTATTGCTGTGAGCCAGCCATGCCATGCGACGATGGGTATATAGCGCGAGCAGCAGCCATGTTGGAATACGCAGCTGCTGAAACACCCGGATAACCCATCGCGGCAAAATTCTGTTGCTGTTGCTGCTGCTGCTGCTGCTGCTGCTGGTGGGATGGGGATTGTGCGTGAAGCTGTGATGGTGGAACACGGTGTTGATGGCGTGGAGACTGAGAAGGGTGTAGTGGTTGTGTGTTTTGAAGATGTGGGGAAGGGGATTGTTGTTGTTGTTGCGGGTGCATCTGTGGAACGTATTGTGACATTCCAATCGAGTGGGAAGTAGACAGAGGAGATGGCTGTGGCTGGGGAGGTGGCTGGCCCCAGAGCTGTGGATTTTGAGAGTAAGGATATGGTGAAGATTGACTTGGGCTTGGAGAAGCAAGAGAGATGCTAGATGAGCGATGCTGAAGCTGATCAGGGCGCATTCCCTGGGGCATTCCTCGCAGCGGAGATTGGGATATGGAGGTCTGTTGATGGGAAGGCTGAGAATAGGATTGTTGAGGAGTCATCATTTGTGTGTGAGGTAGAACGTTTGGGTGCTGGTTCGCATTGATGATACCAGATGTCATTTGTGGTGATTGGAGGGACTGAGGCACACCCAGGGTCTGCTCGACCTGGACAACTGGCGATTGACTCGGAACGGGAGTTTCACGCTTCTTATTCCAGTGTTCTTCAAGTCCTTTCGCACGATATCCACGCTGCTGATTTAAAATCTTGCTAAAATCAGCAGTATGAGTTGCCTGGTTCATTATTTCTGCACCACTGCTAGGTTGGGTACGATCATGGAATGGTTGCCCTGTGGGTTCCTGTCTACGTCGCGGTATGGAGTTGAACTCTCTCAGCCTAGGGTCATCCGCTGGCGCCAAGTGGATCATGGGAAGAGGAGTTAGACTCGCTGGATGGGGAGGCATATCGGGCGGGATGCCGTCGATACGTGGGCCGTTGCTATATATGATATCGCTTTGACCCAGATTTGGTATCAATCCTGCATTCGCGGCTTCAGCAGCAGCGGCATCCCTGGCCTTGGCAGCTCCTGGTCTTTTCTCACCCGCCATATCATCTTCAGTAAAGCCTTGCTTTCGCGCCTTGCTCTCCCAGTAATCATCGCGAACGCGGCGTCCCTCGAGAATTACCCTGCTGCCAAATTGCCGAAACATGGATCTCGCCGTCACAATCGCGATCTGTCGAGAGCGATAGGAGTACGGCAAAATGTCCTGCTGGATCAAGGAATCCTTCTCTGCTTGGCTCGCAATGATTTTATAAAGCGATCTATTCTTGTTAAAGAGGAGATAAGAGTCTCGATATCCTAGAACTCTAGCACATTCCGTGGCCAGCATGAAGAGTTTTTTGCCGCGGTTTGGGACACAAAAGGTCCTGCATTTATACTTGCGTTTGTCCTGTGGGTATCCCAGCGCGTCGACTTTCTTCTCGCCATTTTCGTCAAATTCTTTCGGGATATATTCATCTCCTTCTTCCCCTAGTTGGTCAGTGGTGTGGTCTCTAACGGTAGGTAGTGCCTTGACTAGCGACTTTGTGGGAGTGGTTTTTGCTGGCGGAGACGTCTGTGCGGGGGTCGCGGTATTCTGTGGGATGGGTTGCGGAGGGAGTTGAGAAATCTGTGTTTGGGAAGGGGATGATTTCGGCCTTTGAGCTGCTGGGGTGGGAGCGAGGTTTGTTGATGACGAGGCTTTGGGCGTCTTGGGGGGCCGGCCTCGTTTGCGACGGCCATGATCATCCGGTACTGTATAAATGAAGTGAGATATGGGAAGAGGACTGGAAGCTACATAGGTTGGGATGCCAGAAAAGAAATGACGGAAACATACCATCCTCTACTTCGCCTTCTGCGGGCTGATCGCCATAATGTTCTGTTGGCCTACTTCGTTTTGTGCCTCTTGGGCTTGCGCTAGGGTGGACATTGGAGGTAGTGATTGTGGAAGGGTCGGAAAGACCAGATTGCGAAACAGTAGCTGATATAAGGGAGTTAGCATTATATTAAGAATAATATTGTCACAGTGCTGAACACGGAATCAAGAAGATCGAAGGTTGAAATGGAAAAAAAAAAAAAATAATAATAAAAAAATAAAAATTTTGGCGTGGGAAGAGGGGAGGATTCAGCCAAAACGACTAGATATCCGCGACTAAAGAGCGATCGAGAGGGCCAAGGGAGAATGAGAAGAAAGAGAAAATCGCGACCAGCGAAGGGAGGTTATTACCAGGCGTGTTCAAAGCAGCAGGGTTGATGGTGCCGGAACCATCGATCAGATCGGAACCCATGCCGTTCATCGGGGTAGAAACGGAATGTTGAGCGGTATACATGTCTGCTCACTTGGAGGAGAGGAGATGGAGCAGGCCAGCCAAAGGATCGACAGAGTTAGAAAAAGAGCTGGATCGTTCCCTCGAGGCGCGACAATATCGGCTGAACCAGACAACCGCGAGGCCCCCGGGATTTCTGAGTGGTGGAGACGAAACGACGAATGGAGCGAGGGACGCCGGACGGGTTTGGGGGAAAATGCGACGAAAGGAGCGATATGTAAGCAGGGAACGGCAGCTAAGGCCAGTGAAGAATCCAGTTGCGATGTGAGGCGTGAAAATGAGGCCAGTGGGATAGAGCCTGGGTGGCTGGTGATGTGTTGGCGACGCACACGATGCGACGCGGGTGGAGAAGATCCTTCCTCAACGGTGCGATGAGGTTGCAGAGGGGAGCTGCACCTGAGCTGCGCGCAAAGGCGGCGACAGAGGAACCCAGGCAGCCGATTTTAGCGGGCGCGAATATCGCGTTTAGCAGCGGATTCGCTTGGCCGGGCACGGAGGCGAAGAACGAGGGGGCCACATGTGCGGGAGCTGGCGATGAGAGGACGCCGGGGGGGTTGGAATGGGGTATTATGGTGATGGGCGATGGGCGATGGGCGATGGGTGAACTGCGGATGGAGGCGACAGACGAGGGAGGTTTGAGGTCGACGAAGCCGAGCAGCGCCCAGTCGATGCGGATGAAAAAACGATGACGATAGAGGTAAACGACGTACGGTAAGGGGGTAACAGTAAGGAACAGGCAAGGTAAGCGGATGACAAGACCCAGGTAGGATGGGGACGGCCAGCCGGGCACTCTGGTGCGCTGGGAGCGTACGGCCGGGGTATGGGAACGGTACAGGTACGGTCAGCGTAAGTTTACGGCACGGTACGCGGGCAAGGTACGGTCAGCTGAGCTTAGTCAGTGGCCGTGGTGCGGCTCTGCTGGGGTCTGAGTCAGCACAGCCACAGGGCACGAGGATAGGGTAGAGCAAGAGGAGGTTTAAAGGGGAGATGGACCTGGTGAGGTTATAAGGGGACGATAATAAACAATATAAGTAACATGTATACACGGGGCAGAGTGGCATCCTTCTTTCCTTCTTTCGTCTTCTTCAGCGGGCTTCTCCTGTTCTCCTGTGCTTCCTCTGTCAAGGTCTTCCGCTTCCCTTTCTCGTCTTAGCGCAGGATCGGTCTGCTTGAGGAGTGGATATTACGCAGTAATTTTCGGTTTTCTGGTTAGTTAGGACCCTCTTCCTCGCCTCAGGAGTGCAGCGCTCGGAATCGGCAGAACAATCCGAATCGAGTAGGGCGGCGGCGGAAAGACAAAAACCTTGGAAGAATGGAAATCAAGTCGCCAGCTTCACCGTTGATAGGCTAGGAAGCGGTGAGCGGGTTGGAAGAGGGAGGAACGGGAGTTTGTATGGGGGAAACGGAAGGGAATGGGCCCTGCACGGTGCAAATAGAAAATCTGGGGACGAGAATTCAAGTTGACGGTGGTTGATTGGCCTGGGGTCACTGGGGTGCTGGGGCTGCTGGATGGGACTGGGGCGAGCAAGGTCGGGTTACTGGGTCTTGCGGCGGGCGGCAGAAGGCGAGGGCAGGCCAAGTCTGGGTTGGAGTTCCAGGGAACAAGAGCAGTGGGAGCCAGGCGGGGAGCAGGGAAACAGGGATGACTGGAGCAGAAGGACGCCGGGGGAAGGTTAGTACGAGGAGGCACAGGGCAAAGCTCACAGCCACAAGGAGGGGTTGAGCAGTAGTTGAGAACGGTGCTCTCCGCAGCACGCAGAACATACGATGGAGTAATCTGTATCTGGACTGCGGACGAGTAGATATCGAGGAACCGGGAGGGGGACGCCGTGCTTTAACTGGCTGGCCGGCAGGGTATTGGGACAGCGGTTAACTTCAGTGCTTTTTGTTGCTTTTTTTCTTGTTCTCTTGTTGTTCTCTGCTTCCCAACACACACACACACACACACAAAAGCTACGGTGATCCCTTGCGTCGAAGTACTAGCAATAAGAATGGCGATCAGGAAACAAAGGCAAAGAAAGGCCACTTCGACTCGAGAGTTTAATTTTCCTCGAGACCTTGGATTGTACCAACGAAACGGCGGCCTTTATCTACCCTGATTGGAGAATCCCGACGCAGCTAACTTCGGGTTCGAAGTTCAGGTTCTAACGGGATTGACGGAAGGGGGAAAGTCAACGAAGAACAGATTTGTCAGATGATTCTTTTTTTGCAATTATTTTACTTTTTTGGTTGTGTTTAGGCCGACACATATGACAGGGTTTTGGGGAGTCTCATCTCAAAAAAGGCCTTCCCAGAGAACGAGGAACTTCTGCTCTCTCTTCACGGACAAAACCACTGAAGGAAATGTGCTGCACAATCTACAAACACCATGGACCTCCAAAAGTTAACCTGGCTTTCTTTTTCCTTTCGGAACTTGCTGGTTTCCGACGGTTGGCCATTTTTCCTTTTTCCTTTTCCTTTCTTTTTCCCCCCTCCAACTCCAACTCGCACGCACTGCACTTCGTCCCTTTGGCTGGGATGGACAGAATAGGCAAGAAAGACACCACCCCTTAGTCTGCATCCTGCACTGTCCTATCAGCGATCGCCGGGCTTGATTCACCATGCATGAAGGTTTCCCCGATGCGAGGTGAAAATGGCCGATGAATGGCACTGCCGCTATTGCTCGGCTATGATTCGACGCGCATGGTTTGCCAGCGGCTTGGCCTTGGGGGATCAGGGAGGGAGGATGATGGGTGGGGAGAGGCGGTGCGCGCATTGTCTGCACATGCCCATCAAGGGCTCTTTATCTCCTTCGCTTGTCCTACTCGGCACGGCAAGGCCTGTTCCCCCAGGTATACTTGCATTCATGTACATGTACCGTACATACTTGTACAGGCACCAGTGCACGGTTAGGCGCTGGGGATCGTTAATCACTCCAACGAGTGCAAAGCTCCACCCGACAGGGAAGGATATGCTTTGGTGCGCGGCATGAAGACGAAATGTATCCCTGTTCCCTTGCGTTTGCGCAATCAGTTTATCGGTACAGATTACAGGGTGACAGGAAACGAGAAAACCAAAAGAAACGAAGCCCTGGCTGGTGTGTCCCCTCCAGCCTCTGCAAGATTGCATGCACAAAGGGCGATAGAATACATCATTGTGCACCACCCCGTACCCCCCCAAAATTGATATTTTGGTACTTGAAAATGTACTTTTTAGTGACAGCCCGAGAGAACAAGTTTCGCCCTTTACTTCGTTTCGGATGCACTGACCCTACAGATGTAATTATTTCTGTGTTGAGTGTTAGTCCTCCAACCTGCTCTCCCCAGTAAGTGATGCAGGGAAATTAGAGCTCTTCCCTTCCCACCCAATCACAGCACGATCGCATTCAACTCCATCTCTTGCAAGTTGCCTCCCCAGAACTTGCACAGTGCAGATTTATGCCGTCGCGTTCCATGCCTTGCTCGACAAAGTTCATGAAACTCAATATCGCTTCTTCAGGATCCCAAGACAATAGATTCCAAACTCGCCCTTGCGACAAGATTTTCCCCCGTGTTTTGAAGACAAGGGGCTTCATAACCGAACTACCAAACCGCAACTTAGCAAGACAAAAGACACTGGGCTTTCGCTGAATTACCCCGCAAAAAAGGAAAAAAAAGAAAAAAGGAAACCACCACACACAAACGCCTCGCCGAACTCCCTCAGCATTCCATCCCCGTCAAAGCCCACTAAGTATTACCCCTAGGAAACGCCTCAAATGCTGATCGAAACAAGATTGGGTGCGACCTCCGGAGTTTGCACGCCCTGGTCCTTCCCGAAGTCATGGAGCTTGTGAATCGCTCGTCTGGCCCGATCTTCCCGCTTTCACCATTTGCTTTGGTATTTGGTTTTCGATTTTCATCCATTCTATCTGTCTTTTGATTTTTTGCGGCGACGCTCTCTCCGTCCTGAGGCCTTGAGAACCTCCTCTCTGGAACTCGAGCAAAGTTCCTATTGTTTGCTATTCTTCCTCGCCTTTTTCAACTCCTTCCTTCACCTAACTTTTTGGTAAGTCAAAGAAACTGTGGTTATCAACAACTAAAAGGAAAAGAAAAGGGAAAAAGAAAAGAAAAAAAAAAAAGCAACAAGCGCGCGGGGATTTTTCCTTTTTCTTTCCCACTCCCCTTGACTTCCACCTTTAAAACCGGGCTGGGGTGTGTGGGTGCCTGGAACCAGCGAGCGATGTGTACATACCAAGTCCACTGAGCCCCGTTTCCCTTCAACGGAGAAGAAGTGGGTTGGTTGGATCGCCCGCCGTGGACCCCATTGCTCCAGTCTTCCCTTGAGGTGCCTGATTTGGCTAGCTGAGGTGAGCTTGGATGCCGAGATCCTGTGTAAATTTGGAGAGAGTAGCAAAAAGGGGAGATGGAAAATAATTCCGAAAAAAAAAAGAAAAAAAAAAGTCAACATGGCGACGAAAGAATGTTTTTGATATTCATACTCGTTCAGGCTGCGGCAACAGGTGCAAGTTCCCAGTTGCTCATCGAGGTTTCGTTTCGTTTTCGAATCTGGATTTTTTTTAAATTCTATTTTATATTTCTATCTATACATGTATATGCCTGAGATATGAGTTTTTGCGCGATGTAAGAGTTTCCCCTTCCCCAGTTCATCCGATCTCCGATCTATGGACGCAGTATTGTACTGTACCTGTCTGTACGCTAGAGCCCATTTACACGCGGCCATCACTACAATCACACAAACTGGAGGTAGCACAAGGGGGAGCTTGGGGAGGAGACCGGGGGAAGGGGGAACTGGCCGGTCGCCGGCTAGCGTGCGAGCTCCTTTCTTTCTGCTCTTCCTAATAAAAATCTCGTTCAGTTTACCGTTCTTCGTTACTGCGGTGTTGGTGATACTGGTTTAGCCATGCATCGCGCTGAGGAGTAGGGGTTTTTTTTTTGTCTGAGATCGGGAGCATGCGTGACGCGACTCGAGCTGATGTTCTTCGAAGTTTTGACCAGGCCCCGATGCAGGGGGGGGGTTTGTTGGGTCCCGGAGAGTGCGGAGCGGGTATGGTAGTTGGTAGTTGGTAGTCTTGAAGGGATCCTACTTCCGCCTGCTCGGGTAGTTCCAGGTGAGTTGAGGGAGCACAGGTAGAGTTAGAGAAGAAAAGCTGCGGCTGTATACATGTTGCACAGTACTAGTACGTATGAGCCAGTGGCCCGTGGGGCAACGAACTATCTGCGAATCGCCCTTCTCTGTGTGTACACAAAATGGTAGAGCAACAGGAAAAAGGGAGTATAGGAGCGTGTCGCCTGTCACTACATTCGATTTATGTAGGTACAGAGTGACATGAGGAAGTAGAGCAGGGGAGGTTCGACGTTGATCATGCATGTACGCAAGGGAGATAACTAGTTATCGTTACAGGTTCCCGAGGGGTTTGAGGATCTCATTCGATGGAATTCACTTCGTGAAGAAGTTGAAGAAGTTGAAGAAGTTGAAGAAGTTGATGGCGGCAACTACCTCCTCCGTTTCCACGGATCCTTTGCTGAGATAGGAATTGTCGTTGATGTTTTGTCCTTGCTCAAGAGAAGAGCGCAAAGGTAGTAATCGTAGTTAAACTGGTTGGTTAAACAAAGCAGGATAACTAAGTTCAAGGTCCCACCAAACAAAGCGTAACTAACTCAACCCGCATCGGCCAGCCTTAAAATCTCCATGCCCCACCCCCGAAACTTACCAACCTCAGCAACAACCTCAGCGGCCTGGCCTTCATTCGGAATGATGCTCACTAAACCTCTCAACGTTAATCCCTGTATGAGGCTTCTCCGATCAGCAAAACGGACAAAAATACATGTATCAGTCTAACCGAGCCCTGTCACTTAATCATACATCTATACTCATCTGACCATTGCGTCAACGGCTCTATTACCCCATTTGGGCCACGGGGGGGGCCCTTTTTCTTTTCAGAGCACAAAAACCTCGGAGATCCGAACGAACTCCCTGCGGATTTGACAATTTCTACCTTATTTGACTAGCTATATAGCACTTTCTGGTTGCTAAACTCTGATCTTGCCAAGGTTATTGAAGTTTGAGGAGAGCCAAAAAGAAAAGAAAAGAAAAGAAACATCGCCTCTCCTGGAGGTGCGCGATGCTGCTGGGTTCTACTGTGTATGCAGGAGTAGATAAGACAGTTTGACGGCTGGGGAACTAGCTCTCTATCCATGGATATCCAGTCGTGTAATATGTGCGCCGTGCATGTGCTTGAAGAAAGTTTATTTACTGTGAATCTATTCTTTGGACATTTAATTTCTTTGTCTCTACGCTGAATGTTGTTGACTGAACTTTTGTTCCTACATGATGCAGTGACAGGTAGCCTAGACACTTTTTGCCTGGCAAGGTAACGAGCTAGCTAAGATTTTTCCCACAAGGATGGGAGAACGTTTGTTTGAATGGGGGCAAAGACACCGGAAGCAAATTATTGCCAGGGGTTGATGCGCATATTAAAGGCCACTCTAGTTATAACTGCCGAATTTATCATACTCTTAGCACTTGCGTTCAATTTTTTGCGTCGTCGGCTCATCAATCCCCCCGACCTTCAAAATGTACCGTACCTGTAGCTATCATGGCATTGCGATTTCCGTGGAAAATAACTGAGAATGCAGGGGCCCTCCCTGCAAATCCTTCCAGCTCGTACTCCCTGAGTCATAAGTCCAGAAGACTTAAACCTGGCGAATCCGACTGCCATGGTAAAGACCTCATCCAGGGGTGGAAGTGGTTTTCCAAGTGGACAGGGGTATCAATCACATTTGACAGCTTAAACTCTGGGTGAGTTTCCTTGAAACCTCTTTTTGGCTTTTGCGCTTTGACAGTTGGTGATCAGAAACGTGGATATCCTGTAAACATCTCATCTAGTTATTCTTCTGCGGAACAAGCCACTGAACAGGGGGGGGGGAGGAAATATCCCTTTTCTGCAAGATGCATAGCTCCATGAACAGCTCCATTGAAATGCCATCCCTTCTTTTCAAAATAGATTCCTCAAAATCAGTCATATTTACATACCGTGGGCAACTCACTTTCTCCCTCACCTTCGATTGCTCGGCAAGATATATACCTGGATATCTGATCAGGTGGCTTCTGGGATGCTGCCTCTGAATGGCTCCAACAACTTTTGACAGCGGGGTTTTCAGCTCCGATGGAGCTGATCATCTACCTAGACCCTAGCCAAAGATGCTGTCATGCGCGCGTAAATTGAGCGGCCTGGCCCGCTCGGAGCGCCTCCCATATTCTCCCATCTTTAGAACCCCCGATTTGTCGTGGAGCCTGAAGTAGCTGAAAAATGCCATGATAACCCAGAGGGTGGATCGCCTTCCAGCTCCTCGTAGTGGCCGCCTTACCTATAAATCAGTCAGTCAGGTATTATTCGATTTTTTCGCAATAAATGCTACCCAAAATTTCGACAACAAATGGGAGGGCCTTGCCCAGTCTTTTTCACGACTGCCAGGTGCCGGGTTCTGTTTAACTCCACCGATTTGCGGATGTTTCATAACGTCTCTTCTGCCGGCTGTGCAGCGTCCGTGGGATAGCGGGCCTAAACTTGGGACGTCGGGATATGCAATGCACACCTGGTGGCATGTATGTAATGTCGGTTTGCACGTATGGGCGTTTTGTCATCCCACCCTTTTTTTTTTTTTTTTTTTTTTTTTTTTTGCTATGCTTCTGTGATTTGTAAAGGATGGAGTGCAAGTTGGGAACGAATTTGCAAATTCATGCAACTGGAGGTTTATCCCGACCAAGAAGATATCACTTGAATTCTTGCGAAGGGCTGCTCAACTTGGGAGCGGGGAGATCACTCAACTTTCATCTATCAAACGGAATACTCAATCAAATAGAGAGGCTTCTTACCTCCGCGCGTTCTTATCACGTTGAAAAGGGCTGTCAGAACTGCAACCCGCTATTTAAAATAAAATTTCCTCGGTTTTCCCTGTTGTTTTAGAGTTCTCCCACTACCTCTCCACACTGAGATAAGAATAATGAGAATGACCTCAAGGAAGGTGGCTAGGAGGAGTGGAGTTCGCCTGAACAAGGATTCATTTGAACCAGTGAAAGCGATTCTGTGTGGGAGGTTTTTAACACAGCCATCCCCACGGGACGATGATGATTTTCCCTCCAAGGGCACCCCCCTCTCTTATTGCACTTTTTGGCACGCTTTCCTCCAAGCTTCGTTATCAATGCATGGCTATATTTTTCAAAGTTAGATTGTTGTTCCTCCTTACGGCAGCAGCCGCATCGCTGATCGAATTCCGATAAAAGTGAAGAAGCATGACTGAGGCCAGAGCAAAATAAGAATCAAAAGGTGCATGCCACTCGTGCAGCAGAAAACCAATGGGAAAATTGGGAGCGACATTCCCACATCCCACACACCCAATGAAGCTTGTGAGATATATCGACTATTAGTGTGAAAAGCGACTGATGTCTTTAGCTAAGTTTTTCGCTCGAGGGGATGTGTTCGGGAAAGCAAACTGTCAGAAGGAAGAGTATTCGATATCTCAACTCTTCTGCTCGCATGTCTGAAGGATGCGTGCGATACGAATCAGTCGACAAGAAGACGTCGCATATCCACGTTGAATGGGCGGGGCTGGTGGGATGTTAGCCCTCTCCCTCTCGAGAAACCCAAAAGGGAAAACATGGACGAAATGGTGGGGCCGATTTGTATGGGCACCTGGGATTTGAAGTAATATGATATCAACGTCCATTGGCGTCAAACTTTCGAAGACAGAATGCATTGGGTTAGCGACCTGAAAATAGGAGTGGAGAGGTATCAAACACGATGTGATGATGATTGCTGGCAGACCTATGAGAATTGCTTCCCACCCAACAGCTGGCATCCTCAGCTGGATATCAGTTTGACGGCCATATTCGTGGCATTGTCATGCCACGAAAGCCTGAGCCCATGATTACAGTGCTTCAAGCATGGCTTGAGCTGAAATCAGGTTTTATGCACCGCTCTGGGGCAAATTCTTTGTCGGTTCAAACACCACCTCACGGATGAAGCAGCCATGGAATCGAGTCAACACCCTCTTTTGATTTAAATATGAATATTTTATTCTGGCTGGACTGGTCTCCGCCTGATCCCAGCTTGCCAATGCCAACTGTCCAAATTGACAAGTTGGTTTTGTTTTAACAAAAATAGAATTTTCCTCGTTGCGCCTCATTTGGCTTGTCATTTGGACATTCCCCAACGAGATCAAGTTCCAGAACGAAGCCATTCGAAGGAGATGTTTCTGTTCCATTGGTGAGTTGAAACAAAGTTAGCAGTTGGCACAAGTGCAAAACTGGCACGTTAATTCTTGCATTGACAAGGAGAAGTTCCGCTAAAGGTTTCCATGGCCAGATGTTCCAAGGAAGAATTTGTAGTCGCTATTGCCAGAACTTCTATCCTTCTAAGAAAATCGATGGTATCATGGCTACTTAGCCTGCGAATAGTTTCAGTTTCGGTATTCTTTCTGCCCTCGGTAAAGTTGAGCCATATTTTGGGGTGGGGGTTTTGTTCCTCGACCTCCGGGCAAGATTTAGAACTCGAACTGGCCCTTTTTCAGTTGCAGGATATCGATGCAATTGCGTGAAGCGAGAGAGAGAGGATTCCAGAACGTTTGGAATCCCAACGTATCTGGGAAACGTTGAATCAACTCTCCAAGGCGACCTATCATATCTATGGATGGAGAACGAGCCCGCGAGCCCACCTCCGTTCCACGCTTTCTCAAGGCCCAGACAAGACTGAGAGGTCTCGCAGCCAGCCTCCACACCTCTCCACCCCCCCAAAAAAAAAAAAAAGAAAAAGAAAAAAAAAGAAAAAAAGAAAGGAAGGGAAGAAAGAAACGCCGCCATTTGGAATGCGACCGCGCTGCAGGCGTCTCCACTAGAGAGAATCCTACTCTTCTAATCGTCGCAGACGCAAAAGCATCTAGTCGCCTCATTCCATTTATCCCACCAGACCTCCGCTCTTTTCAGAATAAGGGCGCTAATCAACAGTGAAACTTTTGCTGAAGGTCCACCTTCCTGTAGGGTTTTGTCTGTTCTTCAATGTATAGATATACGCTGCGTATATCTGATAACTCTTGATAGCTGGACGCTACACATAACATGATTTGTGTAAAAGGTGTTCTCTCGCGTACGGAGAGAGTTTACGAGACCTGTCTGCAATAGTTACCTGCACTCTCTTTCCCGCTCACGTAATGGCGAATATCTTTATCAGAATCTAAAAATAATATATATATATATATACATAGTATAGACATGAAAAGGAACGAGAACGGTCCGATGGCTGTACAACGCTTCGGGTAAATATTACCAGGGATCGGAGCGCCATAAGGCACGAAAAAAAGAAAGAAAAGAAAAAGAAAAAGAAAGAGAAAGAGAAAAAGAAAAGTGGCGGTGCGTGCTCCGTAGATTGATACCTTTATCATCCTTTGAGAGAAGTAAATCCCCAAGTTAAAATAAAAGGAGGGACGGCCAGGGCGGGGAAGTTTTTTTGAAACTTCATTCTGAAGCCGTAGAGGGCCACAGGAACCCAAGGAGCAGGGCACTCGATATACTCAACCCAATCACAGTGCGGCCGGACTTGGTGACCTGCTTATTGCTAAACCCGCGACCCAAATCCCACACCAGGTGTCTGACTCCGTTGATGCAGTGGAAGGTGAACGGGAGTGCAGCGGTCGTCTTCAGCAGGACCTTCGCAGCGACGGGAAGGGTTCCAAAAGATGCCGCCATGGACGTGGAGTCAATGTGCCAACCCAGCCAGGGGGAAGCAGCATATGCTGCAAAAAAGAGATAAAACGGCCCCGAAAGTAGCAGTCCGGTGTTGCGGTGCAAGAGGGAGAGCACGGAAGTGATCTGTGGTCGGTAGATGGATATGTGCGGCGAGACGGGCCGGTTCAGGCGCTGTTTGCGAAGGAGATCGTTGGGATCTGAGGGTTTCGAGGACCGGGCAGCTTGCGCAATTGGGCTGTTGACGATGTATCATTAGAAAAACCGAGCGCGCTCTGCATTGGAGTCCCGCTGAAGTTTCGCGGGGCTGATAGAGGGATATCGACGAGGGAAAGTAAGAGGTTGAGTATGTTATTACGGGGTCTTCGCAAACTGACCTCGCGTGAATATGCTTTGCATGGGTAAGACTGACTGGGGCAATATAGTTTACTGAAGTCCGACCAAATGAGCTGGCCGCTGCGAGGGATTGGGGACGTATGTATTAGCGGTGTCCTGATATCCATTACGTGAGTTCAACATACATCGGCGCAGCGAGTGCTGCATAATTCTTTGGGAAATCATTGCGCGCAGACTGGCGAGAGAAAGCAGTCAAGGATATGTAGAAGAGAGGTTTCGGACGAGGCTTGGACCCGAGGCTTGGACCCAGGGCCTGCAGCTGCTTGTTTACTCTGGAATACTGTGCGGACGCAAATATGACAAGCATACTAGTAATTAGCGCGCGGCTGTCTCGAGAAAGTGACTTCGGATATCCGATGGGAGGAGTAAGTCTGACCTATGCCGGGCCGTCCTCATGCAAATTGGCCCTCTAGAGACGAGCTGCAACAGTTAGTTCAACCGGGTCTACTGATGCGCTGCACATAGCATTCCAGAGACAACTACCGCCCATTTGGTATAATGTGGGGCGGGATCATGGACCTTGGTTGATTCAATGGCTTCAACGATGAGTTTAGCAAGCGGGGGTGGGGCGTGAGTGGGCCTCTACCACGCATCGATCCCTCTTGGTCCTTCAGAAGGGGCAACCCATCTTAAGATATTTGTTTACCCGAGATGGAGCATTTATCTGTCTGGGTTTCTTACGTGGACCCACACAATAACCAGGTACATGTTGCACGCCTGTCAAATACAGAACGACCGCCTCATGTGCTGTCAGCGTTGTACTCTTTGCGATGTCCATAATGCCATATAGGACCAGTTCTACATACCACGAGAGAATGGCAGTGTGTTGATCCACGGTAGGTTGGCAATTTCTGCTGACCTTGGAATGCTTCGGGGTTGACGTGCTAGATTTAGTGCTACGGACAGCTCTTTTTCATTAGCATTTGAGTTCCTTTTGCCATGGGTTTCTCTCAAATGGCTACCACTTTCCCCTTTGCTTCCTTTTCTTTCTCTAGGTTATCCACCGATATATATAGATATATAACTCATTCATTCATCATCTACTTTCTATGTCAACGTTATCATCATTCGGTCCAAAAGGAGAAAAAAAGGAAGAAACCGAAGAGAAGAGAAAATGAATGAAAGCAAGAAAACGATGTAAACCACAGCCACAGAAACCCAAACCAAAATATATATTCCATTCGTCTGTTCGTATGTCGGCCGTGTACTCTAAAAGGTTCTTAGTGGTCAAGAGAGATGGGGGGAAAAAGGAAAGAAATTCGCGAACACCAAAAAAATATGACAGAGTACGATTGACAGGTTAAAAAAAATGAAGGTCACCTAGACAAACAATCCTATCACAAAAATGTCTTTTTTACCTTTGTTTTCTAAGGCAATGCAAGTTCATCATCATCATCGTCAACGTCGTCATCATTCCATCCCAACTGGTCATATATAGACTTCTCTGGCGTGGCGTCTGCTGTAACAATATCAGTATTGGCCATGGGATGGGTGCTGTGGTCGTCTCCAGGTGTAAACCCAGCAGCAGCAGCAACTGTGTTCTTTATGGGTGTCGTGAAAATTATGGCACCTTGGTTGCGTTTTACTTGGATCTCATTATGGCGGGAGAGAGATGGAGATATAATAGTTTCTGGGGGCTGGAGGTAGGAGGGAAATCCTGCGCGGGGCGGCGTTTCTTGGATCGAGGAAGTTACGTTATTGATATGTATAAAGGGAAGGTGATTATTAATTTTATTATTACTGTTGGTTCCGTCGTTGGTGTTACCGCAGTGGGCAAAGTTGGGATGTGATCTCGTTTTCCGCAATGTACTCGGCGACATTTCTTGTTGCTGCATGAATGCCCTACTCGTTTCCGGAAGCTTGGGGACTTTGAAGACTTTGAATAAATTGCCGGTTTGCCTGGGGAGCGGTGTCGAATCGAAGTCATTATCAGTCAATATCCCGCTGTTCGACGGGCCCGATGAGAGTCGTGTAGATGATCTTGTGGGCGTCTCGTGAATAGAGCTGTGACGGGCATGTTTGGAGCTGAAAGATTGACGTTTCGGGGGATGGCTCGGTCGCGTCGAAGACGATGGGATGAGTTGAATATCGTCAGATAAAGCGGCTGAAGGAACGAGTTTCTCATTCGATAAAGTCAGTGCCCGGCTCATGCGTGTTGAGCTGCCGCCAGTAACAGTATCAAAATCCTTTCTCCTCGACCCTCTAGGGGTAGCCATAACCTGTACCCCCTGGCCCAATGGGTTTCGGACGGGATGCTTTGATTTCCTTGTGTTACACATGGACGCTCGTTTCTCTACAGTATCGGCGAAGTCTTTCGCGACGAGTTCCCTGTTGGGTTTTCTCAAGGCGTTGATGGCTGCGTCGAGTTCTTTCTTCTGCTCTAGAAGCGAATTCATCCGCTTTAGTTTAACTTCGTGCTGCTTAGCGACGGCGTCAAGGTCAATCTCGCGATTATCCACACGTTTTGGCTTCTGGATACCTCCACGTGCACCTGAGATCGAAGATAGCAATGGTGGTTCGCTGTTTTCACGCTTTAACCCATCTAAACTTGGGGTAGTGTTGGAACGAGAGAGCGACGGTGCCCTGCTCTTTGAAGCCATTTTTTCATCAGTCAAAACACGTTGCAGCGTGCGTTGTTGCGATTTTTGGTTGTGGGATCGCTTCACCGAGGCTCCCGGCTGTGCAGATGAGCCTGATTTTGAGCGAGAAATCGCAGGTCGAGTCGGAGAAATAGCAATCAGTCCGCCCAGTTTTCGGCTGATGGTTTTACACTGATCAGGAAGACGACCAGCATAAAACGGAATGATGACCTCGGTACAAAAGTCACGAAGCTTATCATTCCCTGCTGTCTTACAGGTCGACTCACTCTTGCCGCCAGCTGATGTTGTGAGTATAGTGTCGTTGAAGCTCACAGCATGCCAAATGCATAGCCTATCTACGAGCAATTCAAGTAATGTATTTAAGTCCTGTTGTTTTCTCTCCTTTGTTCGCCTCTGGGGTTGGCTAGTCTGAGCCTCCGTCGTCGCTGGTAACACTTGGGTTGTTGTGCTGCTATATGAAGCTTCCAATGAAATTGTCTCGAGGATCAAGACAATCTGCAATTGAGTTTCTCGTAAACGTAAATCACTGGTTAGTCGTCTTATTTCCTCTTGCCTAGAAGTGTGCTGCGGAACGGATGTTTCAGACAGGTCTCTGTTTCTCCACCACCTCCTAACGAAATCGCTTTCTTCGGGATACAGTCCATTCTTTCCAAGTTTTGCTTTTTTGGCTTTCCGCATCCTTTGTTTCATTGTATTTGCCGGGATTTCATCATCAGACATTTCCATGAGGAAATTTTGTATCGCTTCTGGAAGAGAGTCTTTATACTTGAGATCCATCTTTTTCACAGGCAGTATGCACTCCCTGTAGAAATTCGACAGGTGTGTGGGCTTCATTGACAAATTTTCATTGGAAGATTGAAAGCTAGCCCGGGCCCGAGAAAGGGGTCCCTTCGCAAAATATGCCACGGAAGTCTAGAAAGAGTGAGTAGATTGACACATATACTATTAATAAGATAAGAGGATAGCGGGAATGAAATACCTTTGAAACATATAACGCCTCCAGATACTGCGATCTGAGGTTATCAAAAAGCTCCTGGGGGGATTGAGTAACTTTCGCTTCCGTAGGTTCACACGGCCCAACGCCAATTGCCTCCTCAGGCTGTGTATCGGGTTGAATATCCTTGTTAGTCACTTGCAGAAGACTGATATGAGGAGCGCCTGCTTCTGAACGAACTGTATCCCTCCGGTCAACCTGTTCGTCATGTGCAATGGAAAGTCCAGAAACAGAACTCAACCCACTCGTCTCAAGACTAAGACTGTGTGCCCCCCTTTTCCCGCACAGCTTCGGTCCAAATGCAAGCGCCACATTTTCCATAATAGCCTTCCGCGGCCTGGAATATGCAAAGAATCCAGCAGCTGGATCATAAATCGTCGCCTTCTCCAACCAATCACCCTCTTTCTCGCCCCGACCACCACCGTAGACATTAACATCACCGACTACCTCCTCGCCCGCTCCTTTCGCAGCCGCAACCATCAAATCTCTCTCTAGTACCCAACTCCCCAGCGCACATATGGCATATACCCCCTTCTTAACTCTCTCCACAACATACAATTCCTCCTCTCCCTTCCCCTGAACCTCCCCATCCTCTACAGCAAGCCGCGCCGCTAAAACGACAGGCCCGCATCTTCGCTGCTGCTGCTGCTGATGATGCAAATCCAATTCCAGGGCCGAAATGTTCGCGACGAACAATCTACCAGATTGTATGCGTTTCGCAGACGCCGGACAGGGATCGAGCCATGATAATGGCAATTGAGATCTGGGGAGGAGGGCAATTGGGATCAACTTTATGTTGTCTTGTGGTAGCGGCAGTGGCAGTGATTGCGGGGTGTGATGATGGTGCTGTTTGTTAATTTTACTTATGTGAGCTTGATATTTGCAAAGTCTATATATATATATTTTAAAAAAAAGGTCGCAGCACGCAGCAGGCAAACAGCCTGGAACCGGGCGGGATCTGAGGGATCGTAGGGGGGGGTGTGGTGATTCGACGGAAGGGTTGGGAAAGGGAACAAGAACAATACTTACCCGTATCGTAAACGCAGAACTAACGAAGGCCGCTCTCGTCGTCTCCGTCTTTGAAACAACGCTACATCCATCATGGGATATTTTTCTCCGTTTCAGTAATTGCGGTGTTTGTGCCTCCTCTTTTCTCTCCTTCTCCTGCGTCTTGAGCGAGTTCAATAAGGTCGGAGATGCCGGTTCAAGCACAGCAGTAGCAGCAGGGCGGGAATGCGATGATGCCATTCCAGTTTCGACGCGTCCACGTCTTGGTGGACATAATTAGTTGTGTTTTAGATGTGTATGCGTATGATTCCGTCTCTGCTTTTTATATACAGGCAATGGTTAAAAGATGTAAAAATGGATATTCAGGGACGGAGTAGGAATATAGTGTCATCTGAAACTCGTATGAAGTCACGCTCCATCGCGTTCACCGTGCCGCCAGACGCGTCACGTGGTTTTATCCGGAGCCTTCCAAGGTTAGCTGGTTGTATTTGGTTGCTATACGCTGTGCAGTCTGTGCTAGGAAGCCTAGGCTCCGTTCTATTGCTTCTATTGCTCAGGTGGTTTACATACTTTTCTTAATTGTACAAGAGTTTTCATAACTTGCTCCATCATATTTCTTTTGACACATCTAACTATGATTTTAACGGGCAAGTATGAACATAGCACATGCGTGTGTGTGTGGGTGTTCCAGTCAGATTACAAACAGGTACTGTTGTCCTATACAACAACACAGGGGGTTTAACCACCCCTTGCGATAAACCGAGAATTGACCCACCGATTCCAGTGAGGGCTTTAAAATTAAAGCAGCTCAAACCTGGACCCTAGCAAGTCATTCCACCTAGGAAAAAAGATATAGTAAATTTTGGGGAATAGATCAAAGCTGAAAAGAAAACACAACATCGTGTCCCTGTCTCTATATCTTTGCCTGGTGGAGAAAAAGATGTTGAAGACTTTTACTCCGCAAACGCCCTTTGATGAATAAACCGTGAAAACGAAATCATTAATTGGTATCATATGTTGAATTGTTCTTCCAAAGCCTTCTTCGCAGATATGTGAGGCTCGATATGCCAAAAGTCATGCAAGATAGAATAAATCTCAACTGGAGGAGGGGAAGTAATGGACAAGGAAAAAGAGTATTTTGTTTAGTCTATGTGGGCGCTTTGAGTTGTTGAAAACAAAGCAAAATCGTCGGAGTCATGATGAATCGTCCCGCTTATGCGAGAAAGAAAGCAGGTGTAAACAGCGGACATCTAGAATTTAAGGGTCTTGGGTTTCTCCCATGAAAAGTTCTGGTTGGTGAAATGGCCGTATTTAGCGGTTTGGAAGTAGATGGGCTTGGCCAAGTCGAGTTCCTGAACAATGACACCGGGTCGTAGATCGAAGTTGTTCCGGATGATTTGGACCAATTCCTCTGAAGATTTTGAGGATGTACCGTATGTTTCGACGTATATCGAGAGGGGTTCTGCAATACCAATAGCGTATGAAAGCTGGACAAGAGCGCGACGGGCGAGACCTGCGTGAACGAGCGATTTGGCGATCCATCGTGCAACGTAGGCAGCAGAACGATCGACCTTGGAATAGTCCTTGCCAGAGAAGGCACCACCGCCGTGGGCACCCCAGCCTCCATAGGTATCGACGATAATTTTCCGGCCGGTAAGACCGGCATCCCCCTGGGGCCCACCGATGATGAATAGACCTGAGGGTTGGATATGGTAGATAGTGCGGTCGTCGAGGAGGTTCGCTGGGATGGTTTTCTTGACAATCTGCTCCAGGATTTGCTTTTTCACATCCGCCGTGCTGATGACTTCGCTGTGTTGAGCGCTTATGACGACTGTGTCTACACGGAGGGGCTTAACAGCGCCATTATCGTGAGCGTATTCGACAGTGACTTGGGTCTTGGTGTCAGGTCGGAGCCAGGGAAGAGTGCCATCAACACGAGCATCCCTCAAGGCCTTGTTAAGTTTGTGGGCTAGCTGGATTGTCAAGGGCAATAATTCAGGAGTTTCATCGGTGGCATATCCAAACATGATACCCTGGTCGCCAGCGCCCAGTTTCTCTAGAGCCTCTTCGTAGTGGAGGCCCTGAGCGATATCTGGCGATTGTTGCTCAATGGCAACGAGGACGTTGCAGGTTTTGTAATCGAAGCCCTTAGAAGAATCATCGTAGCCGATGTCTTTGATGGCATTCCGGATAACTTTCTGGTAATCAAGGTGGGCCTTGGTGGTAATTTCACCGAAAACCATAATCATACCTGAAAAAAGAGTGTTAATTTTGACAAACACTGGTTCAGCTGACTGGTTTTAAATCAATGGAACATACCGGTTTTGGTGGCTGTTTCACAGGCGACCTGTTTGAACCATGTTAGAAAAAATTTGCCCCGATGGTTTTTCCCCGCCTCGCATGGAGGGGTAGTACCTTGGACATTGGATCCTCAGCGAGACAGGCATCGAGAACAGCATCAGAGACCTGGTCACTACGAAAGCGTCAATGGATGAATCATAAATGAAAGATGCGATAAATAGCATACTCACGCAATCTTGTCTGGGTGGCCCTCACCCACGGCTTCTGAAGTGAACAAAAAAGTTCCCTTGGGAACGCCGTTATGAATACTACCCATTGTGGAGGGGTTGGAGGGAATGGAAGGTTAGGAGTAGTTAGGTAGACTAGGGAATAGAATACTTATACAACGAGGCCCGCAGTGGATAGGGAATATGAACGAGACGAAGGCCAGAAAGGGGTGAGATGGGAAGGAAGAAGAGAAAAAGCTGAAGGGAGAAGAATCCCAAATTTGGGGTCGAGTGCCAAGAAATGGTGCAATCCGCCCTATTAGGAAAGCGGTGTATCTTGGAAGAATAAACATTATTTTCTATTGTTTCTCGTTCGGCCAGCAAGAATTGTAAACAAACATAGGTGCTACAACAATACTGTGACAACTGTTCCGATGCAGAATATCAGGATAAGATACGATGTTGTCTTGTAGGGTTATATATCTGGAATTAGCATGATGATAACCTTCGTCACAGTGTCCGGCTCCTAGTCTTACCATCGATGCCCCCATCTTATCTACTCGTACCTCTCATTTTGGTATAGACACCTGCAGCAAAAAAGACACCCTTCACAATGTCGAAATTCGGTGTCCTCGTAATGGGCCCAGCTGGCGCCGGCAAAACAACCTTTTGCACCGCTCTGATCCAACACCTCCAAACCACCCGCCGCAGCTGCTTCTATGTCAACCTCGACCCAGCCGCCGAATCCTTCTCCTACGAACCAGACCTCGACATCCGCGAACTAATAACCCTTGAAGACGTAATGGAAGAACTAGGTCTAGGTCCCAACGGTGGCCTAATGTACTGCTTCGAATTCCTGCTCCAGAACCTCGATTTCCTAACCGAGGCCCTCGACCCGCTCACTGACGAGTACCTGATCATCTTCGACATGCCAGGCCAGATCGAGTTGTACACACACGTCCCGCTACTTCCGTCTCTAATACAACATTTGTCCCGCGCGGGGCCGTTGAATATTTCGCTCTGCGCTGCTTATCTATTGGAGAGCACCTTTGTCATCGATCGCGCCAAGTTCTTCGCAGGGGCATTGAGTGCCATGTCCGCTATGATCATGTTGGAGATGCCGCATGTGAATATCCTGAGCAAGATGGACCAGGTCAAAGGGGTGATTGGGAAGAAGGAGTTGAAGCGCTTCACAGCTGTAGACGTTCAATTGCTGTATGAGGAGAATGAGGGAGGAGGTGGAGGTGGAGGTGGGAACACATATGGAGACGAAGAAATGACAACTACCACAGTGGAAGAACCCACATCTACAAATTCATTATTGAGCGGTGGTTCGTTTAAGCGGCTCAATCGGGCAGTTGGTCAGTTGCTTGACGACTTCAGTATGGTGTCATTTTTGAAGTTAGATGTTCAAGATGAGGATAGCATTGGTAGTGTGTTGAGTTATATCGATGATGCGATACAATTCCACGAAGCGCAGGAACCTAGGGAGCCTGCTGATGAGCTGGAGGGGGATTTTGAGTGAGCAAGTGGGGACAGATGGCCTTGAGCAATGTCCATACAACAGACTTTTATATGACCCCTCTGCAATTCTCCCACGTTTATGGCCCAGGAGAGAGGGGCGCGCGGGTTTCCAGACTATCGACGGTTGAATTCGATGTGTGTTCCCATCCCAGTATCTACTTTGTACGACCGCTTCTACGGAGGATATCGTCAATACCTCTAGCAACGATGCCACGATGATATAACTTTAACATGAGGGACGAATTGAGCGCCGGCAACAGTAAGAATCGGCCAATATCAAAAACTTGCGGATTTGGCTTGGAAAAGAGCCATCTGCACTATGAGTCTAATGAATCCAACAAAATCATGTATATAATGGAAGAATATGATGACACTGAATCATAGAAATCAGTCTTTGCAGCGCCTCATCAAGAATCCAAATCCAACTTCCAATAGAAGTAAAAATGAATTTCTCCCTCCCCTCCCCAACCTAAACGTGTGCAAAAGCGTACGAGGATAGTGAATAGACCGAGATAGAACTCAGAACCCGCGAAAACATGCTCTGTATCTCCTCAACAAGAGGAGAATCATTTCACCCATGGACCAACCCAATCGCTACTTCTTCCGCCCACCGAAACCCACTCCGTCAAACCGAATCCCAGCCCGTCCTCTTCTGCGCCTGAGCCCATCGCGCGCCCCCATAGATTGGCGGGACCCGTTCCCGACCGGGTCTCCGTCCCTCTCCACCGCTCGCCCACAGCTCCTCCACAAACCCCTGAAACAACCCCAACAACCACCCCGCCTCTCTGGCAGCCCTCTCCCACCCAACAACATACACGTAATACGCGGCCCCTACCACGGATCCCCAGAACACGAGCCGAAACACCAACATGACCCAGAACGTGATGATGCGGCGCGCATAATCGAGGACTCTGAGCGAGATGAAGAGGATGAGGACGAGGATGAGAAGGGAGGTGAGGTCAGGTGGGGAGCTCAGGAGGGTTTGGAGCGGGGCGAGGAGGTAGGGTTGAAGATATTGTCGGGAGATGGAGTGGAGGTGTGTGGAGAAGATGGAATAGTAGGAGAGCACTTGTAGAGAGAGGGAGGAGGGGATGTATGTGTCCACATTTTGGAGGGCCGAGATTAGGTATTCTGTTTTAGATTTTTTGGGTGCATTCGTGGTTATTGTTAGTTGTAGTTATTTGAAAGGTAGGTCCACTCAAAATGCGGGTTGTGTAGAGGAGTGTATTCCAACGCACCTTGTATCCCTTCCATGATGACAGATACGATTATGTCGTATTGGTATGTGGCGGGCTAAATAGATGTGAAAATTGAGATCGAACCGTAGTCTTTATTTTTTATTTTGTTCTTCCAGATGTGCAGGCGTTTTCCAGCGCAGCCTGTTGAAATAGTGGGGGGCCGGGATCTATTTTGCGCGTGATATATAAATACATATATGACTCCGACGGCAACTTGGTGATCCTTTCAAAGACCTTTGGAAGTATTCGAAGAGCGCGATAGACTTCGTGCGGGCGGTCCACGCAGTTTTGCAGTTGCGACTTGAAGGTAAATTCCTTAAAATCTACCAGCGAGGGCACGGTAGAAACAGAAGCTGATGATCCTGCCAATGTGGCGATTTAACGCCAAGAAGATCTTGAGATCTGGAACGTGCTAGAAAGGAGAAGGTAGATGGCAATAGAATGAAAAGGGCATTAATTTTAGCAGTTAGAGATGGCCAACATGCATCCAATGCTGTCCCTTCGGCGGAGGAATAGGAGGTAGGAGGGAAAACGCGACCAGGAAGAATTGGACGCGTGCAAACAGGAACAAACAGTTTTCCAGAACTTGAAAAGTTCTGATTTTAACCACCAAGTTCAACACCAGTGAAGTGAGTAGATGAATTCCTTTACCTTTTTTCTCCGCAGGCATATCTGTTTATCTATCCATGTAGGCTCTGGATAATTTTCATTACAGTAAGTAGATCCTCTGAAGCCTCGTCTGTCATCATAGTTAAAACTTCATCCGAAGTAAAAACATCTAAATATATAAAGAGTAGAGAAACACCATGCTGCTCATAACCCGCCATATTCACATAAAAATAAACATAAAAAATCGAAATATCAAGGGATATATATATATATTTATCTATACACCTCTCACTCACCACCCAAATGATTCCTCAAAGTACTCCACATCCCTATACCCCTGCTTCAAAACTGCATGGACGGCCATCCGAGCTTCGTCCGCCATCTCCGCCGGTCCACAGACCAAAACTGCCGTCCTCACACGCGTCCTTTGATCGCCAGCCTCCCGTACACTGGCCATGATTATATTCCCTATATCTGGCCTTCCGGGCTGGATATCAATCATCGGGAACGTAGGACAATCACTGTATATAGCGGCCTTGTTATCTATGCCATCAAACGATGGCAGGAGAGCCGTGCCCTCGTCCGTCATATTTTGCTGGGATCGCAAGTCTATGCTGTAGGAGGGACGATATGTTTGCGATTGTGATGAGGCGGTGTAGTAGAATTGAGTGGTTATATCTGCTCTCCTGAGGGCTGGGCCAAGTTCGCGGGTTGCTACCTCATGGATAAATGCGGCTTGTCGTGTGGTCCACACAAATGTGATATTACTCGTTCTAGTGCGCGGAGGATCTATGGGGAGATGTGGTTCCAGGAGACTCGTTGAAGAGGAGGGCGAGGAGGGGAGGCGGGAAGATACCGATGACTGTGCTATGAGTATAGTATCATGGGAGGGCATTGATCCTGTGCGCCGCAAATGCTCCTCGATATGTGGAAGGGCAGCTGCAATACCAGTGCCTCCAGCGATGAGGATGACGTTTTCGAAGGTATGGAGTTCGATTGCACAGTAATATGGTCCTTCTATCAGGAAACTCGTCGTTAATGACTGTTTTGGCGATTTGAGGCACTCAGATCGGAGACGTTTAGTCCAGCCATTAAAAGGCCGTATCCAGAACACAAGTTTGTATTGTGCGTCAGTGAGGTCCCCCGTAATGTTCTTCTTGAACGCTATTGGGGTGCCAGTTCCGGATTGTACCGAAGTGCTCGCGGAAGATAAAACGCTGCTCTCGGCGGAAGGGTAATGTTCGACATAATTACCCAGAACTGTCCAACTGCCAGCAGTGAGAGGGTGGCTTTCATATCCTTGCCATCGCACTGGTTGGTAGATGTAATAATGGTGGCCTGGTTTGGGATGTAAGTTGCAAGATCCGGGCGTAATCTCCAGCTTGATGATGTCCGATGCTTCACTGTACGATACCACACTCTTTGTGTACGCAATCGATTTCTTGTGGAGGCGCAGATGAAGATTGCAAGATGTTAATCTCGCGAGACGGGCAAATCTCTCTAAAGCCCATATAACGACGACCGGCCACAGGTACCGGTCATACAGATTGAACTTGCCCTTGAAGATGCTTGTGTGCCTTCACGATCATAGTCAGTGTCTTACTTGATAGTTTTGACATATTGAGACGTGGTTAATGAAAGGGGCATTGAATTACATAAACAGCCCGCAAATAATAACAAGTGAGAAGGTGATATGAATGATGAGGAATATTTCGTAGTAATTCCGTCGTAACCAAATCGATGAAGATACAAGTAGCAATGACATGCACACAGTCCCCTATCAGAATTCCAATATCAGCTTTCGGAGTTCGGTTCAAGAGTTTACTCAAAGACTTTAAGGGAAAGGATACAGAAACTTACAATGACACCCATATACCACCATGGTGAGGGCCAATATAAGGAATATGATCCATCTGTTTTAAGGCACAGAAGAAATTACCAAGTCAACAAAGAGCTTCCAGCTAAATCCATGGATGTGGTAAATTCTCTGACCTTCCAATGTGAGCACCGTATATCCAATTGAATGGATAATAGCCTGGATTGTAGCCACCCTGGCAATTGCCCGGTGGAAAATATTGAACGTCGCGAAGCTCCATCCCGTCGCCCATAGGAATGGATTGTTGCGGGAGCCGAAGAGCCAAAGAAGAGACAAGTTCGCATATGCCATTACGCCAGTTCTATCTGATACATATCGAAATGCTTGAGTGAATATATCGTCCCAGCTAAGAAATTCGAGATGCGTTATTAGCTGGCATAGAGCGATCGGGCCGATTTCGTAACTCACAATAGATTTCCTCTGAAAACGTCATGCCCAACACAGGTAAAAATGAGACTGAGAACGTAAAATAGAACTACCACAATTGCTACGGCACGTGTGGGAATGGCGCACCAGTAAAGTAGTCGTTGGTGGTGAGTTCCGAACGCCGCTGGGATAATGAAATAGGTTCTAATCCAGTGTTGCATCCGTCTGGAAGGGGGGAATAGGAGAGAGCTTCGATAATCGATAATTGAAGCGTGGCCTTCGGGATCACGTCTTATACCGCGCCACTGTGCGCCAGAAAAGTAGCTGGAGAGTCGATTCAGTATCCCTGATAGGAGCACGATACCCCAAAACCAATAGGAAAAATATCTTTATCCGCGATGTCAATAATTAAAGAGACAATTTCAAGGAGGAGGTTTTTGGCTGCTTACCCAAATGCATGATGCGCCCACATTTCGAACTCCCAAGCCCGCTGTCCACCACGTCTTGAACGTCAGCATCTATAACTATCAAATAGAAAAACACCCTCCATCAAGTCCTATTCGTAAAAGAATCACCGCAAGTCCTCAGAAACACCCAAAAGAACACAACGAAAGGATGACCGACTAACATTCGTCCTAACTACCCTCCAATACCAATCGCGCGAAACCACCACTACCTCATCCAGCTCCACACTCCTCGATACCTCTCCATACTCCACCACCCGCAAGCTACTAAGGTACCGCTCCGTCAGCTCTGGTTGAACAGTATCATACGGAATCCTTTGCAGCCCATCCTTTCTACAGTCGTCGTCGAGGACCTCCAACCCATCTTCGATCTCCGTCGATGAGCAATACAACGTCGCTGCAGCATATATGGAGTAAGTGCGCAGCTTGTTGGTGCATGCATCTGATTTCTGGGGTGTGGATAATGAGCCTGTGAACGAGAGGCGAGATACGGCTTCGGCGATGGAGAGGATGCAACGAGTAGACTCTATGTCTGAGGCTAGCAAAAAGCTGGGTACCAGGAGTATGAGGAGAGGGGTGAGGAGCCGCTGGATGTACATTGTTTGTTCTCAGCTGCCTTATTTATAGTTTGCCACGGCGTGTTATTTGGATAGACGATTCTCCCAATTATTATGATCACGAGCATACGACAAAGAAGTTTCGAATGATGTGGAGCATATTGTCAAGAATCACAGAAGCTTTCAGTAGGGACATTTGAACGGGAGCAGAAAACGAGAGAAAAAGAATCCCAGCACCAGGAACTTGAGGAAGTCAAGGGTGGATGTCTTGTGAGAAATAATCAACTCCCCCCACAAATCAAAATCAAACTTAGAAAGGGAAAGGAAAAAGCGAGAAGAACGCAAGAAAGGGAAAAAGAAGACCATTCCCTTGCGCCCTCGCTTTCCGTCTCTGGAAGATGAGGAAAATTGTAAGATCGGGCGGAATCAGCTAACCCGGAAGGACGGACCAGATCAGATAAGAAAAAATAGCCGGAGGGGCGAGCAAAGGAAAGGAAACGGAGAAAAAGCAGCCAGTCGCCGCCCACATGACATGAATTATGGCTTGATTAGTGTGAAGACGCGAATTAAACCTGGCCGTGGCATTCCTAGCCAGCCCCCCCAGGCCTTGTTGGAATCATCATTATCATCGGTCAGCGGGAGGAGCAGCTTGAAATCCACGGTTCAAAGGGATTCAGCAATTCAGCCAACAGCATATCCCGCAGCCACATTGTGGTATTGTTCCTCTCTTCCCAAGCCCGGTTTATCGAGGTTGATGTATGTACTGTACTTGGCCCTTTCGTGGCAGTCATCCTCAAAAGGAATGGGACGCAAAAGGTTGGGCCCTGCACTAGCGCCATCAGATAACTTTAATACATGCTTGATCCAATGGTACGGCGGATCTGATAAAGGGTGAGGCAAAACCCTCCCTCCCCCCGAAAATTAACAGAAGAGCGGGACTATTCTCAAGTGAAAACAACCCTAAAAATGTGTGTGTGTGTGTGTGAGTGAGAAAGAGGGGTGAAATAAAGCAAAAGGAAGAGGAAGAAGGAAAACATACCATGCCATGACCGAAAAAAAAGCTAATTCTATCCGATCTTGCCGCTTTCCCTTTCCCTAGTATGTGTATGCAAAACGGGGCTATAGCGCTCCAGCCATCGATTCCCCAGGCACTATGGCGGAGTGGTTAACGCGATGCCCTGCTATTTTACATCCCAAATCGCAGAAAATTATCCTTTCCGTTGGGTTAGGTTTAGTTAAGGCATTTCCTTCGGGAGCGCAGGTTCGAATCCTGCTGGTGTCGGCTTTCTATTTCTATTTCTTTTTTTTCCTTTTCCTTCTTCTTCTGTTTCATTGAGAATAAATAAATAATAAATAAAATGAAAGAAGTTTTATATAAACTCCTAACCTCACTTTCTCTTTTCTTTCTTTCTCTCTCTCTCGTCTGTCACAAAGGAAGGACCCTTGCGGACTCCCCCTGAACAAAACGTAGACAACTCCCTCCTGCATACTCTGACCAAGTCCAACAAACTCTATATTTTAGGCGGGTATAATTGGAAAATGGAAAGGAGGACAGTGGGGAAAATTAAGAGGGAGAGGGGAAAGGATTACAACGTCCCCCAAAAGTAAATGAAATGGAGATAGATAAGAGAAAGAGCGATAAAATCTCAGAAAGACGAATGACCTTGTATCATCAATCAGTCAAAATATTACACCACCTAGGAAGAAGAGGGAGACGGAGGGAGGCGAAAACCATAGTCCGCTTTCTTCCAAAGGCGAAATAATATTTATATATAATAATTATACATATACATATACACATACATAGTAGTACAACAAATCCTTGACACGGTTATTAAGGCCAGACAACATGAGAGAAAGGTCGGAATCAAAAGAAAAGAAAAAAATAGACCACTAAACCCAAATATGCCTCTCCGCCAAATATGCAAAGTAGAATCATAAATGGAGAAAAGAAAAGCAAAAGAATTCACCCGCCAATTGAAACCTAAAAGTATGCGGGGAATCTCCTGAATTCGTCACAAAAACAACAGAAGATTAGCAGGGGGGGGAAAAAAGCTAGAAGAGTTACAAACGTCGTTAGAAATGACAGAAAGGTCAAACAACAACAACCAAACAGACATCCCTTCAAGCCAGCAAAAAAAGCAAAGGGGTATAAGTAAGCGACGCGTAGACGGTATTGCTTGCTGAAGCCAGAAAAGAGAACCCATATATATTTTCGCGCCAATGACGAATAAATATATATAAAGTGTAAATAAAAAATAGAAAAAGAAGCAAGACGCCTGGGCTAATGCAAGCAAGAATAAAAGGGCTGGAACTGGAATTGAGGAGAAAACAAACGGCAGGTACCTCGTGAGGAAGGAGTTTTGATGACAATCGAAACAGAGGGAGAAATTAAAAAGGAAAAGTAAAAACTAAGGGTTGAAAAGTAGCAACGGCAGTTGGATGTCTAGGGTTTTAAAGCTGTGAAAGTGCAAGCGTAGGTATATGTGTACGTGTATGCGTATGCCATATGCTGATATGTATAACGTCTTCTCTTTCTCGGTTGGTAGGTTGCGGGTGGGTGGGGTTAGGTTGAGGTGATTAATATAACATATGTATTTGCGTATATACCATCGCGTACATGTGGGAATTGTCGTCTGAGAGATTGAATGGGGCGTTTTTCGTTCCTGGATTTATTTCTCGTGGTTTCCCTCTACTGAGAAGATCCATTCTGGTATTTTTCACGCTCAGCTTGGATTTGTGCCTGCAGCTTGCGGGTCTGGCGGATTGCTTCGTCTCTGTTTATTGTAAAGGTGGGGGGGCGAAATTGTTAGCATGTAGTTGGGGGAAAGTGGGTCAGAAAAAAAAAAAAGAAAAAGCATACCTATCAGATTGCAGCTCAGCAACCTCAATCTGTGCCATATTCATACGACCAACAACAGTCTCCATCTCCCGATCTGCTTCGCGCAGGGCCTTCTCAAGCTCCTGGACACGGGCTTCGACAGCTTCCATCTTGGTAGCCTGACTGAGGGAGATTCCTTCTCCACTTGTCGTTAGACCAAGTCGCGGAGACCGGGATCCGGAGAAAGGTGAGTTAGGCATTCTCGGGGAGAGCATAGCAGGGCTTCTGCTGCCATTCTTCGCCCGCATGAGCTGGGCGTTGTGGTTTTCTTTCAGCGCCTGGATTTCGCGCTCGTGCTTGGCAATTTCCTCTTCGGATATCTGCTGTGCGGCCATTAGGGCATCTTCGAGGAACTTGAGGCGAGTTTGTAATTCGTTGATTCTGGTAGCTGAGTCGTTTTGTTCTCGTTCGCCCTTGCCAATTGCCTCTGAAAGGCGATGTTTCAGCGAATTGTTTGCGGCTAATTGCTGGCGAACTTGCAGCCCGAGAGCGTTGTTGGGGTCTTGGACATAAGCGCTGTCAGCTTGAAGCTGCGTGAAGGCGTCTTCAAGCGAGGAGCTGGATGCATTAAAATCTGCCAAGTCATTTTTAGCTGCAGCTGGGACTAGGATATCATGTTCCTGCAGGAGTGCACGGAGGGAACCAGTCTCCTGCTCCGCACGGTCCAAGTCCATTTTCAAACCAGCCAATCCTTTCTCGCATTGCCATTTTTGCTCCAACAGCTCGTCGGTGCGGCGTCTGAGAAGGTTAATTTCCTCTCGTAAATTTTTAACATCCCGTTCATAGCCTAGTTTTCGTGGAGAACTTGATTGTCGGGCACGGTCGAGCTCAATCTCCAGCATGCGGATCCGCTTCGCGTTTTCCCGAGCTTGCAAGTTCTGATGCTCGAGGAGGCTCTTGACAGTTCGATGGAGGGCATCACGTTGCATTTCTACGTCCTTCATCCGATCGACTAATGATTCTTTAAATTCACGCTCCTTGCCAATAATCGAAGCCGGTCGAGAACCCGGTTTTGAGACAGATCCCGAGCCCCCTAGACCGCTTGGTCTCGCTGGCCCTCGCGCCAGCGAATTTGATCTCGACAGACCACCTCTGCCCATCGACACTACATCCTCTTCGGCAATGGAGTTTATACGAGCTTGTTGTTGTTGCATATCTAACTGTATTTTCCTCGCTTGACTCAACGTGATATTGTCGTTGCGCAATCCTTGTAAATCATGCTGTAATTTGGTTTGAAGCTGCGGAACAGTTTCGTCTCGGAGTTGGTCACGTTCATTTCGAAGCTGCTCCAGCTCGACTCTCATAGCCGTTAATAGGTCTTCGAAGTTGTCCTTCAGTTGCCGTTCTTCCGTCAAACGCCGCCGGGTATCTTCTAATGCGGTCTCTAATTCTTTTGTTTTCGAGCTTATATTTGAGGCATCCACTCTCTCACGACGCAGCTGAAAATCAGGTGTCAGTCAAACAGAAAATGCAGTTGGAGAGTGAACTCTGGGTGTGTGTATATTCAACGATATCATACCTGCTCTACTTGTGCCTCCAGTATCCGCACATGAGACTCAAAGGCGACCCGGCGAGATCGCTCTTCCTGCCACCTTTGGGATAACTCAACCTTCAACTGCGCACGTTCCTGTTCCAAGTTTCGCTTCATTCTCTCAACCTCCTCCGCTCTGTTTCCGCCCGCGTCACTAGACGGATACTTCACAGAGCTTGTTCCCGAGTCAGAGAAGTAATCGCTAGTCCGCCGGTTTGGTTCCGGCCCCACGGTAGCTTCCAGCTGTAATCTCTCCACCAAATCTTCCAATTCCATTTCACGCTTGATGGAGCCAGCCAACTCTGAACTGATCCCACGGAGCTCATATTCCATCTCTTTCACCTTCGCGCTCATTTCCTGCTCGGCAATGGAAATCGATCGTTCGAGCGTTCGAGGGACAGGAGCACCGTACGAGTCTTGAGAAGGATATCGCGACGAGAAGGAAGCAGGGAGGATCGAGCCATTGATCGGGGATGGTAGGTTTGAAGGGCCAGAGTCCGAGATCTCGGTGCTGCTCGATTCCGCGCCAGGAGAAGACGCTGATTTCCAGCCGAAAAAAGAAGTGATTTTATTTCCTGGGGTTTTTGGCAGGCGCTTATATTCGGTTGAACTGGGCATTGTTTTTCCTGCATCGACCTGAAGAGGTGGAGGTTTGTTTGCTTGAGGGTGTAAAGCCATGGTGACAGATCTTTTGCGATCCGTGGCTTTCTTGGAGTCCCGGGGAAGGGTGGGAGACGCGAGGGGGATCAGGGGCTCGCTGACCAAGCGGGAGTGAACGGATTGTTCCAGATATTTTCCATTCGCCGGGTTGAAGTAGAAGTCTCTTTGTTGGTTGATTGCTTTGGGGGAGGAGAAGATAGAGGGTTGGCTGTGAGGGAATCTATAGGTCGGGAGGAAGAGACAAGGAGATTAGCTCTGGAGTACTGCTAGAATTTAAAATAAGGTTGTCGGAACAAAGACTGTAGAAAATATAGATTAACCCAAAAACAAAAAAAAAAATTAATTAATTAAAAAATGAGAGCTCAACGCACCGATCAAGGTCTCTAATCACAAAGCCAGAAAAAGAGGAAGCAGCAGAGGAAGCAGCAGAGGAAGCAGCAGAAGAAGCAGCAGAAGAAGCCGCAGAAGAAGCAGAAGCAAACGAAGACCCAGTTGAAGAAAAGGACAACGACGAAGCTGGTGGACTACTATTATTGAGGCTATTGCTGTTGATGGCGGGAAACAGCTTCGCATCCAAGGAGGAAGCCGAGGTGGGGAGAGGCTTCCTACGGACAGGGGAAGCAACGGGGACAAAGGCTTGGCCGCCGTTCACAGCAACGGTCTGAGGAGGAGGCGGAGGAGGAGGAGCAGCAGCTCTCTGGCGCGGTTGAAACAACGTCGAACCAGAGGAAGCGGGCGACGACGACGACGACGACGGCGAGATGTGGTTGGCGTGACTGTGGATGGAGGCGCCCAGTGGAGGCGGACGGACAGACATAGTACGCTGTAAGTACGGAGTACAGATGTGCCCAGGGAGCCAATGCCTCCTTTGCGGATAATTGACCAGTTAAGGGGGGTTGATGGCGTCCCTCGAAGCCCGAAACAGAAGCGACATGGAACGGGCGGAGATCTATTGGCGACAATCACCCGGGAGACGACGTATTGCAGCGGATGTTGGGGACGAAGGGGTTCAATAATGTTTCAGGAACAGCAACAGGAGATTGGGGACGAAGGGGTTCAATAATGTTTCAGGAACAGCAACAGGAGAGAGCTTGAGCCAGCGCAAGGAAAAACAAAAGAGCGGATGTTCCCAGTCACGCCTGTTTGGCAGCAGGAAAAAGGAGAGTACAGTACTATATGTATGTAAGTAAGGGATTGGGATTGTACGACGGCACAACGACGCTGTAGTAGTAATCGAATACCAACTATCCACTATCCTGATTCCCTGCCGCGGTGAATATCCCATCCCAGCCATTGGCCAGCGACGGATGACGGTCGCAGCGAGTTCTCGAGGCCAGGCCAGGGGAAATGGCTTGGCCAAGGACGGTCACTGGCTGGCTGCGAATGGACCCGGGCAGCCTTTGGGCGTTAGCTGGCGCCGCTGGAAGCTAATCTACGCAGCGTACATGACTGTGGGACCGTGGGAGGAATGGCGTGGCGCCTAGGCAGGAAAAGGGGCGTCGTGCTGGGGTGAACTGCGGCGATCAGGGCCCGAAGATAGGCCAGATGATGTGCTCCGTACTATGTGTGTACTCCGTGGATGGACGAAGAAAGACGAATGGCCGAATGGACGAATGGACGAATGGATGCAGATTACTCGCAGAGAAATGAAATACACAGGGATGGAGGCGCCGCATTCGCACGGGAGAAATGCAGGATCGCAACGACCTTGGAAGCTGCAGCGGGAGGTGGTGACTTTTGGCAGTCAGATCATAGCGCAGGTCGGTCAGCATTCAGCATTCAGCATTTATTTCCAGGGTTGTTCTCTTTTTGTCCCTCCTGCCCGTGGCCCCGACTCTCTCTATCCTATCCTGGTTGTTGATACTGATGTTTCCCGTGTATAGGGCTGAAGCTTCCCAAAGGCAGACACCAGACAGCACAGCAATAACAATTCTCTTGGGTAGTTTGAAGAATTGCTCAAATTATCCACTCCTCTCGGATGTCATACTACTGGTGTTATCAATGTGTTAAGGGCTATTTTGTGGCGCTCGCTCCTACATCTCCTTCCGATGTCTCCTTCCTACATAGGCGCCCGCAGGCTTCAAGTCGGCGGCTCCTCTGAGCCAGTAAAAATGGAGTGTACAGGTTTATTCCCCAAGGGGTTGTGTTGTATCCACGGTTATGAGCGCTGGCTGCCTCAGCCTGATGTATATATATCCCACGCTGTGCTCTGTTATTGGCAATGTGTATTAGTACTGGTAGTTATGTATACCCATCCACAGCCACCAAACCCATATCCAAAGAGTGAAAAAGATAGAAAGGCACAAGGAGCAAAACAGTCGAGAGTGAGAAATGTATCGGAGACTTAGTAGTAACTAGTTTTATTCTTGGTCTTCGTTGTAACACTACTAACTACTAGGATAACAACTGCGTACGTACGTTTTGCTGGAAATCTTCCCTGAGATATGCTTCTCTCGCGACAACTGCATATGGAAATATCCCCCGAGGGGCAAGATAATAGTACGCATATATCCAAAGTGGCGACAAGACACCGCAGTGTTGATTTAATTTATAGCATCTATCCCGGTTCTCTCACTACCGGGAGTCCAATCCCTTTGTTCTCCTTATATTGTGTTTTGCTCTTTTGTGATGACAATGGGTCTCTTTTGGCTCCTGTAGAGCGCTCTCATGTATGTATTTTCAGTGTCATCACCCCAAGCTTTGATCTTGACATGCTTTCTTTGCTCCCTCGTCGTTTCTCTCACTCTTTTTTCTTACCTTGCTTTTTAGGACCCTTTCATCCCTGCACGTCTTTTTGTTCCAAGCAGTCAGCAAGATGCCAAGGTGGTTGGCAGGAAGCTAAGTTGAACAACTGACATCGTGCTGGGAAAGAAGAAACAACTTTCCACCTCCATACCAGTCAGAATCACATGTATATAGATTACATCATACCACGTGGGAACCAGCCAATCACGTCGCTGTATACCTTTGGGATTGGAGAAGCCTCGGTTGAAGTCACATGCCATCAACGGTTGCTGTCAGCCTCAACAACGGGGGTCCAATCCATGTGCTGTGTGTTATATACTTAGTATATCTGTAGTTAACTATATCTGTGTGTTATATCCAGCTTCATCTCCTCTTTGTTCCCAGACAGCGGCCCTTGAACTTCTGTTGTTTTTCTTTTTGCTTCTTGCTTTTGGTTTCTCTTTTGTCTTCTTCTCACAGCTTTTCTCCCCTTCTGGAGCTCCCTGTTGTCAAAAAACGGATATCACCTCCTGCACTTGCCTCTACCCTTGCAAAAACTGATATCTGGAAATCCACATGCCCGTTTTGTAGTATTTGGGAAGTCATTTGTTTCATTGCTTGTATTTGGTTTGATTTGGTTTGAATAAATATCATCTGGTTTTCACTTCCTGGTTCGGTCAGATGAAAAAGATAGAGCGCCAGCACCTCAGATAGGTATGTCAAGATACAAACAACAAACAACAATAAGCATGAGAGGGCATGAGCTAATAGATGATGGATAGAATATATCTCCTTAGCCTGGAAGATAGAAGTTGACATGGCTGCTCTTTCAGCCGTCCATGCTGTTTTACAGTCAAATATCATCCTCAAATGGCTGCGACAGCTTCCATCGTGGAGAAACTTTGTCATACTCCTTCTTCTTATTAATATCAAGTCTCTGCCTCTCGCATGGCATGTATGTGTATATTCTCTTTCATGGTCTGAGCTGTTACTGTGTAATCGAAGCATTTGTATCCCAGGTGTCCCTCATTTTAGCCAGGATTGTGCGGTTTCATGATCCCATGAGAGCCAAATCTTTTGCATTGTCAAAGCCATGCTCCAGGACAGCCATTTCACACAATGATATACCAAATTCTAACCATAAAAATCAACTTCTAGGTCCGCATTTTCTACTACCTCTTCAAGAATCTCAATTTCCGCCGCCACACCCATCCAAAGCTCAAGGAGAGATTCACGAAGAGAGCAGGGAATAGCGGGGCCCACCCCCTATTCACCCCCGTGAGCGTCATGAGCCACACGTCCCTCATGGAGATAGACTACAACCTCCATAAATCCAACAGCACCTACTTCTCCGACCTGGACATCTCCCGCACAGCGCTGGTGACAGACATATGCACGCCGGGACTGGAAATCTGCCGACGGGAACTAGACAAAGTGCTCGACGACACCACCCCCAGCAACGGCAACGGCAACGCCAACAGCAACGCCAACACCGGTAAACCCCTCAAAAAGAAATACCCAGGCAAGATCGCCGTCTTCCTCGGGTCCGTGTACTGCAGCTTCAAGAAAGAGATCCCGCCCTACGAGCGCTACGAGATGCAGAGCCGCATCGCCGGCTGGGATGAGAAATGGCTGTACGTGGTCACCTACTTCCTCCGCCCCGCACGGCGCAGGGGGGAGCGCAGGACCGTCCTCGCCGTCGGCATCAGCCAATACGTCATCAAGAAGGGCCGGTTGACCCTCAAGCCGGCGAAGGTGCTGAACGCCAGCGGGCTGATTCCCGACCGCCCCGCGGATGCGGGTCCCTCGCCCTCCACCTCCACCGCCTCCACGGCTTCATCATCTGCGCCGCCCTCCCGGCCATCATCGTCGTCCAATGGCCCGAAGAAGGCGTGCGGTGTGGTCTCTCCCGTGTCCGGCACGCCGTCGAGCGTGGAGGCCATCAATGCCAGCGAAGGGCTAGATGGCAACCCTGTCGTGCGCGAAGTTCTGGCGCTGACGGAGAGGAGCGATATGGACCAGGCTGCGTTGGAGAATGAGAAGAGGGAGAAGACTCAGTCGTGGGACCAGGACGAGTGGACGTGGGAGCGGATTGAGGAGCGGCGGGTGCAGGGGCTGGAGACCGTGCGGGCATTTATTGGACTGGATGCGAAGCTGCTGCGGGAGGTGGAGGGGGAGTTGTAGATTACCCTGTTTATCTTTATCTTATCTTTTCTTTTCTTTTCTTCATTTTTTCTTTTCTCCTTCTGCTTCCCCCCTTCTTATTTCCCTAGTCCTGGTCATATTGACCGAGGCACATGGTGGACTCAGAAAAAGCGCTGTTGTTGGATGGGATACATTACATGGAAAGCGCACTTCTCCGGGTTGGCGTTCAACTTTCCTTTCTTCTTCCATCCTTTTCAGGATTCTTTCTTGTACTGTACACCTCGTTAACTCGTTCGGTCGGTCGCTTTCCCCACGTTTTCCCCCCTTCCCTTCCCCCCCATGTGTTTTTTTTTTTTTTTTTTTTTTTTTTTGCCTACACACCAACGACCTCATATCCATTCCCTTTCTTTCCCCTTAGCGTTTTTCCCCTCTTTCCAAGATAATACCACTTGCTTTCCTTTCCTTTCCCATTTCCTTTCCCATTTCCTTCCCCCTTGCCCCCATTCCCCACACCCCTCGAGGGCCACAGCGAGTTTGTCTTTGCCGCGCTCTCGCCCCTTAATAAAAAAGGTTGAAATCCCCCGTTTGCAAAGAAAGAAAGAAAGAAGGAAAAAGAGAAGCATTAGATAGATAGATACATGGATAGATAGATAGATTAATAAAGTAGATAAATAAATTTTTTTTAAAAAAAAAAATTTAAAAAAAAAGAGTAAAATATGTACATGTATATGTATATATATATATCCAGTTCCTTAGCATTTTGTTTTTATTAATTGATTAATTAGGTAGGTAGGTACTAACTAACTAGTAGATAGATAGGAATAGGAATAGATATGATAGTTATATCTAGATGGATAAATAACTATGTAAAGGATAGGGTTATTGGCAGGTTACAACATACAGACAGGTTACATAAAGAGAAAAATAAGAATAATAAATAAATAAATACAAACAACAAGAACCCTTCAAAAACCACAACGTAGTTACTTACTTACTTACTCCGTACTCAACGACGGCCAACCAGCAGCAGCAGTAGCAGCAGCAGTAGCCTTCTCAATAAAACCCCCTCCACAACCAGATATACGCCTTGTGTTTTTCTTTCTTTCTTTCTTTCTGTTTTTTGCGGGAATGATGTAGACAAACACACAAGGCAGGGGAAGAAGATAGAAGGAACATATTCTCACTTATCTCTCATGTATTATTTCATTGGCATGTAGGAATTGGAAGAATTGGAAGACTTGATTCGTTCATTCATTCTATCTTTTCTTTCCCATCGATGAAGCGTGCGGGTGTAAATATATCCAGTACAAATACAAAAGAAATAGGGGGGAAAGAGGGAGAGAGGGAGAGAGAGAGTGTGTGTGTGAGAATGAACACTACTTTCAACATTTAAAGTCTTCATATACAATGTAGGAAGTTCTTGTATGATTTTGATTTGTGTGTGTGTTTTTTTGATCTGAGTGTTTGATTTCCACAGGTATGTATGATATGTAAGAAAACAGAAATGCAAACCTAGGTAGACAAAGAGGGCAAAAAGAAAGAAAGAAAGCAAAAGAAAGAAAGAAAGCAAAAGAAAAAAGAAAAAAACAAAAGTAACCTAGATTGAAGAATGCAAAAACGCCCATTCCCAATAACAGATGCACCCGCGTCACAGTGCTCCAGCGAAAAAAAAACAAGGCAGTAAGTAAGTAAGTGGAGATGAGAAAATGGTGTCGTAATCTAGCAGCATGCTCAAAACGGATGAAAAAGGGGAACAGAAATAAAAAAAATCAGGAGGGGTAGGAGGAAGGCTAACTAAAAATACAAGACGTGAAAAAACCTGTTGTCGCGGGTTGATTGATGATACTAAACGTGGGGGGAAAAAAGAAAAAGGAAATAACAGGCCTCCCAAATTTTATTGAACTGAGATGAGATTTTTTGTATGCATGCAACAGGTTTTGCGAGTTATGGGCCTTTTTGGAACTTTGCTTTTTCTGGTTTTGCCGGGTGCTTTTTCGGTTTATATTGCCGTGCCTCTTCGTCAAGTGCACATTCTTGGATCATGAAGGCAGTCGCGGGTGCCCCTTTTTCAAGACCGGGGGTGCAGAAGGCGGGAATGGCTTGAAATGGTTATGGCCGGGTATGGGGTATGTATATGCGTGGATATACGTGTGAGATGTGTATATGGCGAAAAAGTCGGTGATTCGTTATAGCCCGGATGGATCGCGGGTTCCCTGCCCGCAGATAGCAACTGTTTCTCCAGCGTCGACAAAGTACCAGTAAAACAAAAACAGAGTGGAAGTGAAGTAGTAGTAGTAGTAGTAGGTAGTAGTAGGCCTCTGTGACTTTCGAATGAACCACGGCCGGCTCAGTGTTTCTGCGCCTGCTGCTCCAGCTTCTGCTTCTGCGCATCTCTCGCATTCAGCCTCTCCTCCTCGGCCTCAACCATATCCTTCCACAGCTCCTCACCCTGGTAGCGCTCCTTCTTCTTCTTCGAGCCGGCGTTCTCCTTCTCCGCCGTCTTGGCCTGCTTCTCCTTCATCTTGTCCAGCAGACCGCGGCCCTTCCGCTGGTCGCTGATCTCCATCGCAGCGGTGCCGCACATGACCGCCAACGTCAAGCCCTGGGCATACACACGGGCCTGGACGATCTTCTGGCCTTTGGTCAGGGTCGGGTTCCGGCTTACCATCACCCACGCGGCGACCATGCTGGCAGCCCACGACACGGTCATGATCTTGTATTTCTCCTTGCGGATGAAGGCCCACATGCGGTCCGAGGAGGACATGGAGGCCAGTTCTTCCTGGCGCAGGCGCGCTTCCCGCTCGCCGAGGAAGGCGTGTTCGCTGTGTTGGGAGGCCTCGAAGGAGCGCGAGCTGTGGTCTGCGGCGATGATGCCGACGAATGTGCCGGAGGAGGTGACGAGGAAGGCTTTCATGGGGAGGGTGAGGTTCTTGATGGTCGGGACGCGCTTGGAGGCCGCAAGCAGGGCAGCCGTGCCGCCCACAAGGCCGAGGAAAGTGCCGACTGTGCCTCCACGCAGAACGGCTCTGGAGAACGAATCAGTTCGTTAGTGAGTGTAGTTCCAGTTAGAGCATGAGTGACATGGCCGTGGGGGTTTGCCCTTTGTGAGCTGGACGGCGCCAGGAGTTTCTTACCTGTAGTGGGCATTTTCTTCTTCTTTCGAGAGGACCTTCATGATGAAGTGGCTGTGATGGTTGTGTTGTCGGAAGGGTGGGGGTATTCCAAAGAAACACAGAGCGATCTATCTCTCGTTGTCTCAAAGCTACCTAGGGAAGAGAGTCCAAGTTGAAGTTGCGCGAGAAAGGAAATGCTCGTCCTCTTAACCGGTGACTTTCAGCGTCGGGATGCCGCCGGATTATCTAATTATGACTCGCGTTCTGGAGACATGGCGAACTAAGAAAAGCAGAAAAACAGAAAAATTCTTCCGACACACGACTTTGAGGACTTTTGCTGGGGCTCGGGATTTGCGGCCTAGGTCACTGCACGCCCAGAGTGACTTGTATCGCAGCGGGGATTCACGTGGACTGCGAGGTACCGGGTACCTGGGATGCATTTCCGGTTTCTCCGCGGGATCCCGGGAACAATTCGGCGGGCGTTGGGCTGGCAGGCTGGACCGGCGAATCAGCAGCGGGCAGAGTGTCACTGCTGCGTGTGCCGGGTATGGTATTTGAGTTGATTGTGGCGGATGTATTGGATGATGTATTGGATGTACTGGGTTTATTGGATTTGTTTAGAAGGATTAAGAAGGATCAAGAAGCAAAAGGGGAACACAATGTCGTTTTATTTGTTTTTATATCACAGATTGCGCGCTGAGAAAGAATGGCCACCCCGCAAAAACGCCGTCCTGGCTCTACGGAAAATCAAAAGTCGATTGAAGTTATACAATGAGGATCAAGACGAAGCACATGACAAAAGGAAATCACTGGAGGAATAATAGGCCGGTTCGGAATGGTAGCAATAAGGCAACCCACACACAGAGAACGAGAGAGAGAGAGAGATAGACACTTGATCAGAACTGTCATTTCCGCTTCACTGGGTCCCTGGGTCCCTGTGTCCAAGTGTCCCTCCCAAGACAGGAATGAATGCTCTTCACCGTGTCAACAAAGCTTATTTACCTCTTCGACGCTTTCATCGCTGCCGCCTGTCGGGCCTTCATCCGCCTAAATCGATCCTCGCCGCTTGCGCCCAGGGGACGGGCAAATCTGCTCTCCTGCACCGTGGTCGAGCGCGGCACGATGGTATACGAAGTGTGTCCAGCTTCGACACGCGCACGGTTGGCAAGGCGCGGCGGTAGCAGTTCTCGTGCGCGAGCTTCTGCAGCGGTGGCTTGTGCCGATACGCCCTGGTTGCGAGCAGCAAGTTGACTGTGTGTGGGAGGGGTGTTACAAATCAGCAAGTTTGGGTGGCTTTGGGTGGCTCTTTCTGTGTCCGATGGAAAATAAATAAAGACGTACCTGGGATCAAAGTAGGCTTCCTCGTAGACTCTCTTCGAATAGTCATCGCTGCGCTGTAGGATAGGACGGGTCCATTCGGCGAGAAGACGCTCCGCCTGGCGCTTGATTCCAATCTCAGGTCGCTTGCTCTTGGTGTAGAATACAATGACCCTGCCAATGCCACTGGCAATGAGCGTCTCCTTGTTGATGGGGAGTCTACCTAATGCCGCAAGGAGATCACGCTGGATGTTATATGCCGGCAGGGAGCCGTCGTCCAGTGGCTCCAGGAAGAATTTGACCGCTTCGAGAAGGTTGATTTCCGGGTCGACAAGGCTGTTGACATATTGGTTGCGATTTAGGAGCGAAACCACTTCCGGGAGCATCTTCAATTTGTGCATCGCGGGCCGGTTCTCTTTCCGAGCTATACTGTCCAGCTTGGCGGCGTCGGTCATCCGTCTTCGAACATCTTCGATTTCCGCATCAGCCAGGTCGGCGAGATCCTGCAAGCGAATTTTTATTAGCACCCCGCTCTCGTTCTTCCCGCCGCCAATATTCAGCAGGCCCGATGCTGAGAAGCACAGTTTTGTTCACGTACAATTCCATCCGCCTTCCGAGCACGCCGTTTGGTAGGCTTCTTAAGTTGCTCATCCATCATACGATCAAGCGCGCGGCGACGACCTGTAAAAATCAAAGAAGAAAAAAAGGAAATGTTACCCCTAGTCAGTAATCGCGATAGAACTATAATCGCAGGTGTAGGGCAAGAGGACATACGGGCAGCAGGGTCCAGGTCCTCCTCATTAATCTCCTCCACAATCTTCCTACTCCGCTTCTCACCGTCCTCCCTCCGCTTCCTCGCCCGTTTTCCCTCAATTTCTTCCCCACCACTAAACGCATCATCGCTCTCCTGCCGCCTGCGACTCTTCTTCTCTCTACGGCCCTCTTTGCTCTTCTTCTTCTTCCGCTGCTCCTCCTCCTCCTGATTGCGTGCACGCTTATGCCGGCCAATGAGCTTGAGGTTCTCCTCGTCTATGGCGATGGCCGGCCGCTCGTCAATCGAGACGTTTGCGGCATCGAAGTCTTCGAACTGCGCATCGTCGACGTCGGAAAGGACAGATTCATCGTCTGAAAGGTCCAGTTTTGCGATGTCGTCCTCCTTGTGTTGCATGCTGTCATCTTCCTTGTCCACCAGGGGAGATTCTGCGGCTGCTGGCTCGGGTGAGGCAGACATGGCTGGCTGCTCCTACGATGGAAGAGCCCTTGTAGTGAGAGGTCTCTTTTTTCTTTTTTTCCTTTTTCTTTCTTTCTTTCTTTCTTTCTTTTTTTTTTCCGTGTCTACTGTCTAGAGATAGAGGTGCGCGTCAAGTCAAGACTTCGAAGGGGATGGCTTCTCGGGTTAGGGAATCAAAAGGGAGCGAGGCCAGCAAAAGGGCAAACCGGTTTCGGATAGTGCAAAAGGACTAAAGAGGAGGAGAGTAGCCAGGGCTAATATAATAGGCGCTGCACATATAAATGCGAGGAAAAGGGTTGAAGCGTTTGCAGTCGAAAGGAAGCGCTGTTCTGGTGGCGGGTTTTGGCCTTTTTTGACGAGGCTCTTGAGTCCGATGGGTAGGTGGCCCGTGCTTCAAGACCTCAAAAAATAATTCGACAATCGAACCAAGCATTGAAATAACACCAGTTCAGTGACTTCTCTTTCATACCACTTCGACATCTACTCTATACTATTTTAAAACCCTCCTCTCATTCAATCTAACTATACCCCCATAGCTCTTCTCGAAGCTCCAAGTCACTCAACTCCTACAATATGTTTGCTCCAGGTATGTTACTGGACTCATCACCCGACGACCAGCCCCAGTCTGTATCAATCTGTCAAATCAACTAACCTCATTGACAAAATGAACAGGCCATCCGCAGCTCTCTGAGGTCGAGATAAAGGTCCGTTTTCCTATTCTTCCTCTCATTTATTGCCCCCCTTTCGATTTCCTATCCCGCTCGACATTTCACTTCGCAGACTTGGCTCGCAGACATCAGAAATGAAAGCGGAAAGGGGGTTGAGAGCCTGTCTCACGTAGCGGTAAACCGGACTGGACTGACAGATGGTGAAATGGCCGTTGCGAATTTTTCTCTATAGGCTGGAGAAAAGGAGGCGTATCAAACTGTGAAGACGGTCATTGCAGGCAGCATTGTCCTATACCTCTGTATGTTGTGAACTTATATATATTTATATATAGCCCTCCCATTTCCTCCGCCTCCTCCCCACAAGAGCTCCGCTGACCTCTCTCTTTTTTTTTTCAGCACCCTTCGCGATAAGTTTCGTCAAGAAGCTTTTCTAAGCCGTGCCTCAGAGCATGTGTATAGTACGCAGATTACATTTTTCAAACATGGGATCTATCAAATCAAATAGATCCCCTGAGCTAAACGAAACGGATTCGATTGGTTCCCGGTGCCGGTGGAACCTATTTTTTTTTTTTTTTTTTTTTTTTTTTTAATCTGATTTCCAAATCATGGATACGGGGTGTTTGCGTAAAATATTTATCTCTAAAGAGAGAACCCCCGGGGGGGAAGGGCTGGTTTTTGGTTGGTGATAGCTACTAGACTCATGTGTATTGTATATGTATCTCTGCATCGTACTCTTCATGTAGAATAATTATCCGGCAAGCGAAGGGTTAGGTTATGGGATGTAAAATGAAAATGATGGACTGATATATATATATAGTAAAGCTCTCTCAATTTTTTTTCTTTTTCTTTTTTTTTTATTTTCTTTTTTGGGGTTTACAGGATGATCCATTGCTGATAGTTTCCAATATTTCCACCCCGTTACGCCACTGGGATATATATTCCTGAGCTTATAAGAGAAAAGAGGAATAGAAGAAAACAGAAAATAATTTCCCGCTCAATTCAATGATAATATATTGAATGTGAGAAGAAGAACAATAAAACTAAAAACTAAACTAGAGCCGAAATCACAGGAAGCACACTTCATGTCGAGGATCCGTGTATTGTTTCAAAATCCCTCTGCGCAGCGGCAAGCTCCTTATTCAAATGCTGGATCTGTGCAGCATAGCTTTCCAGAATCTAGAGCGATTTGTTAGCAGAAAGGGGGCCAAAAAATAATCTCGGCAGAATACTAAGCGAAAACGCTCCGGGGTCGGAGTGGCATACCTTCTTAGCCGTCTTCAGAGCACTCTCATCCAATTCATCGTCGGCTTGTTGGTTAGACTCTTGGCCAGTTTTCTCCACTTCCAGCTGCAGGCGCTTCGACTGTTCACGGATAGCCAACATTCTGGCCCAGATTTCCTCCGTGCGGCCATTGAGGGAGGGGTCGAACACGGAGCGCTCTAGTTGGTGAAGCTTCTTCTGCAACTCCTCCTCGGTCCCATCCATAGCGTACCCGCGATTCCTCAATATCTGCGTTTTCGCCGCAAGGGCAAGACATCTCTGACTGAGGACTATATGTTTTCGTCGGCAGGCGGCAATCTTAACCGAAATTTTCAGGTCGTGACGCGAGAGGAGCTCTGTGAGAGCGTTATTGATTTCATGCAGGCGGACTTGCATCATGGCGAGGAAATCCCGCTGTCGCTGTGCTCGTTTTCCCAGCTCCCAAAACCCCTGGACGAGCACAGGCACGTAACCCGGACCAGGTCTTTTCCGCAGCGCTTCCTCCCATTTTGCTTCGTCATCATTCGGCCCAGGCTGGAAAAAGGGCGCATTATCTTCGCCTACATTGTTGTATAGGTGGGCGCGAAACGGGGAGTTTCGACTAGTGGGCTGCCACTTATCCGTGACAATGCTCATTTGCATTGGTACTGTACGGTGAACTATTGAAATAGAGTCAGGAATGTGTGGTGTAAGATTTTCGGTAAAGATCAAGATCAACACTAACCGCCAGTCATTCCTTGTCCCGGTGTCCACAACGTTGCTCCGTTTTGTTGAGATTGTCCGAGTGGTTGTTGGTGCTGCTGCCCAGCGCTAAGTGTAGCTCCGAAAGGCTGTTGTGGCGGCTGAGTGCTTGCTCCAACCCCTGCAAAGAGTCCACTACCCTGCTGTGTCTGTGGTTGCTGTTGCTGGGTATTCTGGCCAAATGCCGAGAACATACTGCCCCCCGATGGCTGTTGCTGAGGCTGCTGCTGTTGCGTTGAAGAACTTCCGAAAAGGCCACCTCCCGTTGATTGGGGTTGCTGTGTAGTAGAAGTAGAGCCAAGTCCGGCGAACAAATTGCCCCCTTGTTGCGTTTGCGTTTGAGTGTTGGACCCAAGTCCAGCGAATAGCCCGCCTGGTTTCTGTTGGTTTTGTTGGATACCGCCAAACAAGCTCCCTGTCTGCTGCTGCGGTTGCTGCGGTTGCTGCTGCTGCTGCTGAGTGCTTGCTCCAAAGAGACTCCCGGTCTGCTGTTGAGGTTGTTGCTGCTGCTGTTGGCCGAGAGAGCCAAAGAGGGGCTTCGCTTGCTGTGGTGCTCCGAATAGACTTCCGGTCTGCTGGCCAAACAGCCCCGTGGACTGGGGCTGCTGAGCGGTTTGCTGTCCAAAAAGAGACATGGCAACGCAATGTAAAAGGAGCACAGGAGCTATCGCTCAGCGTTTTGAGGGAACGCTCAAGCGGGTTGAGCTGGCGCGTGAGAAATCTCAGCGGTGTTGCATGAGGTCACTCGGATACTGTAAGCAATTCGGTACCTTGAGCCTATATTATATACCAGCAAGAGGCGAAGAACTAAGCGGGGACATCAGCAATAAACGCTGTCAAGACCACCTCTCCAAGCCCTACTGTCGCTAACCGAAAGCGATATTTCAAGCTTTGGTGATTGTTTTTTCTGAGCTGTGGTTGAGCTGGAGCACGTGATTATTTGTACCTGAATACGCTAAACCTAAAGGGTGTATATTAGTAGCTACGCGTATTAGCCAATAGGAGGCGCGGTGGACGCGTCACGGAAAGTGCAAATGTTTTCCACAACCTACGGGATACTCATGTGAAATGTGAAATGTCAAGGTTCTTTTATCAAATATGGCTCCTAACGACAAAACCGAAACGCGGAAAATGAAACGAAACCGAACAGAGGAACTCGCGAAACAATGGTTAACAAAGGGCGGCGTTTACCGTGAGGATTCGGACGACGAGCTTGGATATGAGGACCATCCGTGGGAATGGATATACGAAGCGGACCAAGCTTCTACTGGAGACACCCGATTAAGCAATTCTGACGATGAAACCAATTGTATGACGCCCACAAACCGCAAAGTCCCACATCGTTCACGGAGGAAAGCCACAAAGAAAATCATAGGGGCAAGGATGGGCTCGTTCGAGTGCAGGCTGGGGCAGGCGGTACTGCTAAAGTCCCCAGAGCCCGGAAAGGACTGGGCTGGTATCATTTGCGAGTTTCTAGAAGAGGAGGAGGAGGAGGAGGAGGAGGAGGAAGGGGGGGGGGATGATGAGGATGATGAAGACGGAGATGGTGCCGGAAGCCTGGTAAAAAGCGCCAATATCATGTGGTTCGCATCGCCGGATGAATTTCTGGGAACGAAAAACAAGAGGAGGGAAGATGCTTTGCCTAATGAACAATACATAACTATGGATTTTAATGTCAACCCATTGACGTCGATAGATGGAAAAGCGATTGTTCTATCAAGAGCAGCATTCGAGGAGCGGTACCCGAACGGGATACCCCCTAAAGGGAGAGCAGCATTGGCGGAGTACCACAAATGTATCATTTGCCGAAGAGGTGTCAATCAACTTCAAGGGAAGTACACCGAAGAATTCGTATGGGAGGATATCTTCGACGGGACCGAAGAGGGCTTGTTTGCGCTTATCGATTTTATGAAAGCTGGATTGAAGCGGTCTCGAAAGCGAAAGGGAGCAGATGATGACGTGGGTAGCCAATTGCCCCCTTTTTTTTGTGTTTGAATTAAGACTGATGGAATTTGAGTAAAGTATGCAGATGTCAAGGAGAACGGAAGTGCGCCGACTACTCCACGAAAAAAGCACAAAAGCTCATCAGTAGCAGGGACGCCGCAATCCCGACATCGTCGGAAGGTTCTCACTACCCCGACTCATAAGAGGTGCGCTATCCATCCATATATTTCAAATAAATGCATACATATTTGATATGCTAACAACTCCAGCAGGATTGTGGTCAAAAAACCAGTAGAATTTACTCCATTAGGAACTCGAATACTTTCTCCATCTCATTTTACGTCATCTCCATATCGACAGGCCCGCAATCTTCTACATGTGTCAAGCGTCCCGGCTTCCCTTCCTTGTCGAGACAGCGAATTTAACACTGTCTACGACTGTCTGCGTCTCGCTATCACTGACGGCACTGGAACATGTATTTATATATCTGGACCTCCCGGTACAGGGAAAACCGCAACTGTTCGAGAAGTGATAGCGCAGCTTAATGCATCCGTGTTCGCAGAAGAATTAGACGACTTCGTCTTTGTTGAGATTAACGGCATGAAAGTTACGGATCCACACCAGTCGTACTCATTGCTTTGGGAGGCTCTGAAAGGCGATCGCGTTTCACCATCTCATGCACTTGATCTTCTGGAACGGGAGTTCTCTCACCCGTCCCCTCGTCGGGTACCATGCGTTGTTTTGATGGACGAGCTAGACCAGCTTGTTACTAAAAATCAATCGGTTATGTATAACTTTTTCAATTGGCCAGCATTGCGATACTCCCATTTGATTGTGCTAGCCGTGGCCAACACGATGGACCTGCCCGAAAGAACCCTTAGCAACAAAATATCAAGTCGTCTAGGCTTGACCCGAATTACGTTTTCCGGCTACAAATACCAAGAGTTAATGGAAATTATTGGCTCTCGCCTTAGCAACGTACCGGGAAACTTAGTCGACCCAGATGCCATTCAATTCGCAAGCCGTAAAGTTGCCGCAGTTAGCGGAGACGCACGACGCGCCCTTGACATTTGCCGGAGAGCAGTGGAAATAGCAGAACAAGCCAGTGAAATTGCAGAAAAGGCCAAACTAAAATCTGCCCTTTCGCTTTCCAACGGAGACGACATACATATGGATGACATGGAGACATCCTCGCTCCCTCCAACACCAAGCAAAAGCGCATCGCGCCGAAACCGCGTGGCAGGACCCGCGCATAACAAGCTTCCACCGATCCCAGAAACGGAATCAAACCCTCTCCCGCGTGTTACCATCGCAACCATCAAACAAGCCATCCAAGAAGCCACCTCCACACCTCTCCAACAGTCACTGCGCTGTCTGCCATTAACAGGCAAGGTATTCCTTGCAGGCCTACTGGCTCGCATCCGTCGAACTGGCATCACCGAATCCACGTTCGGGGACATCCTCGATGAAGCAAAGCGAGTCACCGACGCAGCAGTCGCAGTCGCTGGTGCGGCCAGCAGCAACTTGAAAGCGTACTTGTTGCAGAAGGGAAGCGATATGCGCATATCACGGGTGTGCGCGATGCGGTTCGCCGCTGTGGAGCTGATGAATTCTGGTATTTTGGCGCTGGAAGGGGAGTTGAGCGCTAAGGGAAGCGGCTCTGGGATGGGGCATGCGTTAGGGGGAGCGGATAGAAGTGGGAAGGTGAGGTTGAGGATTGCGAGTGAGGATGTGAGAGCTGCATTTCGGGAGGATGAGGAGGCGAAGATGTTAGGGCTGGGTTTTGAGCAATGAGTTGGTTTCTTTTAAGACTTTTTTTTTTTTTTGGATGTAGCGCATATCAAGAACGTTGAATGATTATGGTGTATTTTGATCAGCGAAATGCAGCTGCATTCATTAGATTCAGACAAAGGATGGGTTTATATATGTGAAAATAGAGGGTGAGCTTTTCAAGTAGATAAACATGAACATGTAGCAACACCCGTTCAAATGCTTGTCACTCTATTCATATAGTGGATAAGAAGCCGCCAAAAAAATAAAATTATATTCCTCTGATAATTCGTACATAAGGGCCTCGAAACGCCAACCGAAAGTTTTGCGCAACGCCAGACAAATGCATGACCGGAAATTATTGTGGGAGAGAAGCACATTTTAAGGCACAACACATTCCGAAACAAGAGAAATCCCAAATTAATATTTCTGTCTCCCCAATGTCGGCTTCCAATCCAACGGATGTGTCTCTTCTGTCGCCTCGTCGTCCGGCTTCCAGATCTTAATAGTTTTATCAGCCTCTCCACAGAGCAATCGGAGGCCGGTCCGATCAAACGTAGCAGCCATAATACCAGCCTCCGCATCCAATGAACCGGGTTGAGCAGTTGTATCCAGAGACTGGAATCGATGGCCAGTCTTCCAGTCCCAGAAGGACATGGAGCCATTGTCGCCACCAGAGAACAATACGTTATCCTCATTGACCGCAAGATTATTGATGATGGCATTATGGCCCTCGAAATTCTGCATGAAGGCGCCTTCGGGACATTTCCACTGTTTAATGCTTCCGGCGCTGGCGCTGGCGAATGTGAATTCCTTCGGATGGATAGCCAACGCTCGAACCCCTTTCTTATGGTGGGTTAGGACGCCCATGGTTTTGCCTGCGGCTAGGTCCCACATTCGAACGGTTGAGTCAAGGGAGGCGGTGATGACTTGTGGGTCAGCTTCTTGACATTTCAGGTCTGAGACGGTTGTTCTATGTCCGGAAAGCACGTGGACGTTGCTTCGTGTTCGCATGTCCCACACCCTAGCGGCGGCGTCTCGTCCTCCTGTTACGAGGACGTCGAGAGTGGGATGTAAATCGAGGGTGTAGACACCGCTTAGATGGCCGTGGTAATGTCGGATGACCTTGTTTGTTTCGAGGTCCCAGCATTTGACCATCTTATCCTCACCGCAAGAGAAAAGGTATGGATGTCGTGGAGACACTGCCAGACCTCGCACCGTAGATATGTGGCCGGTAAGGGTCAAACGAAGGCTGCCAGTTGCCAAATCCCATATTTTAATTGTTCGATCTCCTGCACCACTTGCAAACCACTGATTATTAGGCTCCACCGCCAAACTGCGGACCCAACCCAAGTGTCCCGATATCACTCGCATAAGCTTCCAGGGCGCGTGCCATTCTGGTTTTGGTTGTTGAGATACCATTGGCCGCCGTACAAGACTCGTGGGCAAATTATCTCCATTGGATTGTTGTGAGCCAGCCACCGGTGAAGATTTCACGAGGGCAGTTGAAGAGCCAGAGCTTTCTGTCCCGGTACCAGCAATGCCAGCACCAGTCCTTGTCTTCGGGCGTTTCGTTCTGCTCGCTGTTGCCTTTGCCTGTTTCTCAGCAAGGGAAGGGGGGAGCGTTTGCACATCATCGTACTCTACTTTTCGTCGATATGACACACCAATCGAGTCGCCGAGATTTGCGGTGAATCCTGAGGGTAAAAGATAATCGGAGCCGAAGAGATCGCGGGTTCGCTTCGCCGAATTTCGCACAACTTGATCGAGCGCCGGAGGGGATGGAGTAACCTCCATAGCTGTTGGTAGCGTCTCGGAACGCGATTATCTCTGCGAAATCTGGAGGAGTTTCCGTATGCTTTCAAAAACTGGTGGGAGGGCGCTTGCGCGTCCGAAATATCGATCCTGGATTTCAGCGGCCACAAAAAACAATGCTTTAATGCAAGCGTAGATCGAAAGCGCTGATTGTCGTCTGGAGATAGAATTATTGAAGAAGTTCGGGCGAACAGTCTGACTAACCAACGCCAAGCCTCCCGCAGCGCTTGCGGCGCTTCCCCGCCGTAGCAATTATTTATTGTAGAGAATACCAACATACAACTCTTGATATACGTATGGGACTTGATCTGCCTGCTGTGTATTTTCCATATCGCCATGGATCCTGATTATAAGACTAAATACGCCATCCATGAGGCCGCCCGAGAAGGACAAAGTATGTCCCTTCTATCTCTCGAAATGCTCGATGGATGCTGATAAGTGGTAGCTTCTGTGGTGGAATCTCTGCTCAATGTGAGCTCTGCCCCGCTGCTACCAAGGCGAAAATCCAATTGCCATTATATTGCCCTAGCGCTTGTTTTAAGGGTGATGATTGCATAACTAATCTATGGTTCCCGATTATACGTCCAGGCAAATCCAAAATTGGCATTTCTAAAAGATCCCGATGACCGCCTTCCCATCCACTGGGCGGTAGCATATAATCGATTTCCAATTGTAGAACTCCTAGTCGAAATGCCAAAGTTTGATCCTGACGAAGTGGTCTGTCACTCTGCTCGACAATTTCGCTTTTCTTTTCCCCTATCATTTCTAAATGCTGTGGAAAGCGGGACCTGACCGGAAAGTTTAATACCAGGATGCATCAGGATGGACACCCCTCATGATTGCGGCGAGCCTGAAAGATAGCGAAGGAGACCCGATAATCGAACTCTTGCTACGTAAAGATGCAGATGTCAATATGCAAAGTGTTAACGGCCAAGTCAGTTTTGGTTTATTATGCTGTTCACTTAATTATTATGGGAGGGTACTAAGCAGCTAACTCACCACGCCCCCCGTGTTCCCTGAAACAATCGCATACAGAACGCTCTTCACTTCGCAACTTCAAAAGTCAACGTGTCAACTGTCCGTCTGCTACTAGCGCACAATTGCAGCGCAAGACTCAAAGATAACCGTGGCCAATTAGCCTTACACCGTGCTGCAGCTGTCGGATCCGTGCCGATTATCAATATGCTGCTACAGGAGGGCAAGAGCCCACTAAACGCAACGGATGTGGACGGATCGACTGCACTGCATCATGCTATCGCTGAAGGAAATGGAGAGGCTGCCCTTGTGCTACTGCGAGCCGGTGCAGAAGTAGATAAACGAGATAACAATGATAAGCTGGCTATTGAATTAGCTCCTGACTCCAAGGTACGTTTCCTTCTCTCGTCCATAGACAAAGACGCATGGGCATGCTGAACAATGCTTTTCCTGGTTCTTGTTATAGGTGCGGAAATATATACTTGAATCTGCAGAGCGGGAAGGTATTGAGTTGGCTTGATACTGTGCTTGACCCCTTTTTATTTCGTATGTTATATACAATGGGTACGACGTAACCTTCCAAAGAACACTCCTGACGTTACGATATACGTATTTAATGTATGATTAAGATTTCCTTCTCTAAATGACGTGAAAGGACATGGATGACCGATGATGCCATCACCACATACTTGCAAGATCTATCCAACATATAAAATAGAGAGCACTTCCCATAAATATGCCCTTCTATATCCATGAACATGACACATAAAATAAAAAGCATACAAGCCCCAACCGCCACTCAACGATCATATCCTTCCCAAAACCATTACTATATGATTTCGTTCTTCCACTCTCCTCACTTCATCGTGCTATCCACCAACTCCCGATAAATCTTCTTCAAATCCGATATATCCGCCTTCAGCTCCTCAACCAACTCGCTCTTCTCCCCCAGCATCTCCAACGTAGTCTGGTATCGCTGATCGAGCTGCTCGACCGTCGCTTCCAGCTCCTGTATCCGCTGATCGCATTTTCTCTTTTCCTCCACCTCACGCATCAGCTCCACAACTTCCTGCCGCGCCTCATCGCGCTGCGCAGTTAGTCGGACAATTTCGTCCTTGAACGCGGCCCGCTCGCTTTCCAGGCGGCGGATGGTGGTGCTCATGCGCTCGACAACTTGGACGGATGGCCCCGCGGCGACTGTCGAGACGGAGATGATATCGTTGACGCCGCGTGAATGGTGGGTGTGGGTGTGGGTTCCTTGCGCGGATGGGGTGACAGGCGTGCTCATGCCGTTGAAATATTCTTCAGGCTCGTAGGTTTGGGCGTGAGTGAGATCGCCTGAGAATTCATGAGAGGGAGTGATGCGGGGTTGTTGCGGGTTGGAGTTTGTGGGTGAGAAGTGATTTTGGTAGGGTGGTGTGGTTAGCTCAGAGAAGAGGGCCGGTGGGATTGAGGAGGATCTACGGCTCAGCGCCCGGTCGGACATGGGCCGAGTGGGATCGGGGCCGGCCATTTGTTTACGGTTGAATGTGATGGGTGATCCGGTTGGGGGTTCCTGGAGGAAAGGGGATGAAGGTCGCCGAGCGAGTTCTTGCCATCTTGCCCTTTCCTCTTCAAGCCGTTGTATTAGCGTTAACTCCGCCTCCTTTTGTTTAGCGAGGTCCTGTTTGACGACGAGAAAGTCGTTCTCTGCTTTTGTGAGTTTGCGTGTTAGGTTTTGGATTTCCTGCTTTGATGCTTCGAGGTTCCTCTCTATCTCCTGGATGACGGCTCGGGAATTCTCCAATTCGCCTTCGACTTTCTTGGCTTTGAGGCTCTGTTTAAATGACTATTAGTGGTTTCGTTGTCATTGATTGGGGTTCTTTTGAACAGTCATACCGCTTCACGGGCTTTCCTCCGCAAGTCCCCTTCTCTCCGTTCGAGCTCATCCCTTTCTGTTTCGACAGCGGTTAGGCGTGCTATTAACGATCCTTCTATTCCATGCCAGTTCTCGCTGGCAACAGCATACTGGGTTTGTAGTACTTCGATCTGGCGAAGGAGCTTTGCATGCGATTCGCCGGTTGCGCTTGAAGACACTTCCTCCGCCCGCGATCGCAGGCTTTCCATTTTACTCTCGAGCACAGACTGTTCACCGCGAAGTTCAATTTCACGGATTCTCGCGCGTTCCTTCTCTCTCTCAATGCCTTCTTTCAAATCTCTGATCTCCCTTCGAAGCTTTTCTTCGCTGATCTCTCGTTCTATCTTGGCGCTGGAGAGGTCATCCCTAAGCTCGGCTATTTGGCGTTTTTCGGCCTCTGTAGCTTCCATCCTAGCTTTCCTTTCGGCTGCTTCAGCTCTTGACACAGCTCTTGCCAGCTGAGACTTCAGATCTGTTATTGTTGCGTTAGATGCCTCACGTTCTGCGGTCGCTGTTTCAAGTTGTTTTTCGGCTTTAGACACAGAATTTAATCTTTCTAAGGCCTTCCGCTCCGCGATCTCCGCTTGACTCGCTCGATCCTCTGCATTTACTAAGTCCTTCTCAACCTTCTCAAGCCTCTTTTTAGTCTCAGCTTGCGACTTCGCACTCTCTGCAATACTTTGTCGTAACTTTTTAATGGTTGCTCGGTGGTCCAGCTCGGTTTTTGAAAGTTTTTGGCCTTCCTCCATTAAATTCGCAATCTGCTCATCCTTTTCAAGAAGCTTTTTCTCGAGACTCCCAGCTTCCGCAGATGCTGCGGCATTTTTGGCGGACTCCGCAGCCTCCTTTGCTAGATATTTTAATTTTGATTGCAAAGCATCGATCCTCTCAACATATGCGTGTAGTTCTTCTTGCCATCGGAGTTCTGACATTTCATGATCCGCTCTCATTTGCGCCATGGCTTCTTCATAATCATCCGTAGAGGTTTCCGTTGGTTCTGTCACTCCTATTTTAGGGACGGAGTTTTCTACAGCCCTTGAAATGACATGCCCATCTCCTGAGGGGCTAGTTTCTCTCTGGTCATCCTCGATATGGGAGCCATTAGGCTTTTCATCCGCATCCAAGCGGATATCGTTTGAAGTCCGCGGCGGAGGTTGAATATCTTGGCTTGATCGAGGGATAGGAGATGACGACATTGACGCACTGTCGTATCTCATAGCACTAGTATCCCCCCCTGCAGTAACGCTATCAAGGCTTGTCCTGTGATTGTGGCCGGGAAGCGGGCTTGTGGCTCGTGAAAGTGTTTCTGTAGGGGAAATAGGGCTCCCTGTGGCGCTTTCTCGTTTAGCCATTGCCCGCGCCAAGCGCTCTTGAAGACGATCGTTCGCTCTCGTGGTGGAAGGGCTCCTAGCGGGTGCTGTGGGACGGGTTAGACAGACAAACTCCCTGAAACGAAGAGACAAAACGGGGGACAGATATCGCGTTGCGTACCAGGTGAAACAGATTTTGCAAACGACATTGGGGCCGGCAGCGATGGCTGCGGTGGTGGTTTGCCCCCCTTATCAACATCCTTGACCCCATCTTCCTCGTCCTGGTCAGCCAGGATCGTGTCCAGCCTGGATTCGACTCCCGCAATTGCTTGCTGGAGGAAACCGCCCCATCTTGACTGCTTTGTGGGCTGAGGATTTGTCGACATGGTGTATTGCCCCACGAACCGCTATCAGAGCTAACTCCCACGTACGCGGATTCCCCAGACCACTGTCATTGAGCGGGAGCGTGTCAAGGCCAGTCTGGCATGTGCTCAGCGGAGCTGCTCAACAATTCTCGAAGCAAGGCAGGCGGCCACCTGCGGTTTGCACCAATCAGCCACCAACCGAGTAGGTGAGACGTCAGCTCACAGGTGGACAATCCCGCAGGATATCAGAGCATTCCAAAAGCCAGCTGGAGTTATAGCTAATCAAAACGAGACTGATAATATCCAGCTCTATGCAGAGGACATATCTCCATAAAATATAACCTGTAGCTCACCGGCAGCAAGTCGCAAGTCGCAAGTTGATGTGCTTGGGGGTTCCTGTGTATGTACTGTATGGTTGGGCTTGGCACGCAACCGCCTAGCGCCGCGGCTGAGCTAGAAGCCACCGTAATCCGTCATCGATCACCGGAACCTACAACTTGTCCCTTGTCGCTTGCTTGTCCCTGCAAAACAGTCTGCCGCGGAACATCATACCGTTGACGTCTCCCAGGCTGCAGTGTTCCAGCTACGAGACGTCGCCCCCTATTTTCTCATCGCCAGTGACGATGTCGTTGGATCCGCCTACCTATCTTAGTTCTCTGCAGAACAACATCCGTGCCCGGCCTATACCCTGGGAGGGCGCTGTTCGAGCGGGAAATATCACCGAGGACCAGCTCAAGCGCATTAAGGTTGTCGACAAGGTGCGCAAGGAAGTGCGGCAGAAAACTGTGGGGAATGATTTGAAAACCTATGCAACGCTGCTTGTCGGCGGAAGCGGCGGAAAGAGTATATTGGAGTCCGCATCACGGCGGACGGATATAGTCCAGTACATCTTGGTTCTTGCGGCGGACCTGATCAATGGTATACATATATCCTTATGTTTCAATAAAACATGTTTTCCATTAACGGTAGTCTTAGATGCCCCCGCTCTCGCCTCGCTTCTGATTCAGGAGCCAGAGCGTTACCGACACTACCTTCCTCTCCTCCAACATTCCTCGAACCCAGAGGACCCGATACCTCTCCTCGCCTCAGCTTTCTTGACTAGCCTTGTTTCGACATCGCTGGTATCGAATAAAAAGCCCACAGTGCCCGATTCAGAGGCCCTTCCTCGACTCTATTCGTACCTCTCGACTTTGACCGTGAGCCAAGATACGGGCTTACAAGACATTGGTGTCCAGCAGTATTCTGCATTGTTGAGAACCAAACGATCCAGAGAAATATTTTGGAGCCAGAGGGCTACGACAATCGATCCGTTAATGGATATTCTCCGCGCTGCTGCGGGTTTAAAGGACAACAATGACTCAAGCACCATAGTCGGATCATCAACTATTCGCAGCCTTGAATCAGGTATCGGTGGAGGAGTAGGCTTACAACTTCTATATCACGTCCTCCTTGTGATTTGGCAGTTAAGCTTCGAAGGAAGCTTGATTGGCCAGGAACTCGAATCGTATGAGACTCACCATCGTCCTGAATTAAATAACGAAACTCCCTGTTGATAGGTACTTTTACTGACACCTCTTTTCCTTCAGAGAACAAGAAATTATTGCTCTATGCACCCACCTACTCCGTCTTTCACCCAAGGAAAAAACCACGCGCCTCCTCCTGTCAACACTCTACAATCTCCTCTCCACCAACCGTGCCAGCCTTCTCCCAGTGGCCGTATTCCTTCGTCTTCCAGCCCTCCTCAGCAATCTCAGTGGCCGCCATCTCTCCGATCCAGATTTACTGGACGACCTCAACGCTCTCTCAGACATGCTGGAAGACTACACCAAAACACAAACCACGTTCGACCAATACACGGCGGAGGTGCAGACAGGCCATCTGCGCTGGTCCCCGCCCCACCGCAATGTGACCTTCTGGCGAGACAATGCCCGCCGCATCCTCGACGAAGACCGCGGCCAGATCCCCAAGAAGTTGGCGGAGATCATGTCAAAGGATTGGGAGACGGACAAGCAGGTTCTGGCGATTGCGTGTAATGATATCGGGTGTCTGGTAAAGGAGGTGCCGGAGAGACGGCAGCAGTTGGAAAAGCTGGGGCTTAAGGCGAGAGTGATGGAGTTGATGGCTGATCCGGATGAGACGGTTCGGTGGGAGAGTTTGAGGGCGGTGGGGGAGTGGCTGAGGTATACATTTGAAAAATAGAATGGCTGCTAGGTGTTCCCTACCCCCTTCTCTCTCTCTCTCTCTCTCTCTCTCTCTCTCTCTCTCTCTCTCTCTCTCTCTCTCTCTCTGGTATCATTTAATCCTCTTTTGTTTTGGTCTGTCTCGATTCTATTCGAAGCAAATTCACTGTGTGGAAATAATATTCTGGGCGTTTCTGGTACCTTAGTTGTTTCCCCCCCACTTCTCTTATTGGTCACTTCTCTTATTGGTTTATGTGTGTATGTGTGTATATGCTGCTTTGCTCTTCATTGACTTCATGCTGAGAGCCATGTTGTGACTATAATTGCTAGATCTGTGACCTAATTCATTCTTCAATTTGGGCTTTTAACCGCAAGTGTATATGTGTAAGGACTACGCTATATCATAAGCTTAAAAGGTTTTCGCCGCTGGGCCCAGCGATTGAACTTTCTGTAGGCTATCAGCAGAAAATCTACTACAACAACAGGCTGAAGCGAAAATTCCACAACTGGTTCAGAAATGTTTGACAGAGAACTGCAATAAATTTGCAATGGGATCTACAACAAATCCATGATTTTCTAGAAAAATTACGCATTCCGCAAACACTCACCGGAATTGACGGTCAAGTTCTTCTACCCTTCTGCAACCTTTTAAGATTCGGGTGTGGCTCGGGAGCCCCGCATTCGAACGTCGATATCAAAGGAGTCGATGGCCGTCTCGTAGAGTGCGGGCAGGCACCTCTCCGTCCTATTTGCACATAAGTGGATGGCAATGGCAGCAAGCAGCCAGATGTTTTTTGGCTTCCTGTCTGGTCGCACGCCCTCACAGAGTGAATTGAATGTATTGTTGAGGTTTGACCAGGATTCGTGATCCCCGCCGTCTGGGTGTTTCCGAGTATCAACATCTAGTAGTGGTTGCAATCCAAAGCCCTGGGATATCCCCTCCTCGGGTTGCCGAGGTCTCCCACGAGCCGTGGAATCGCTGGCGCCGCCCTCTAGAAGGGCTAGTCTTGCATTCTTAGCCTGGCTTACTCTTGTCGCTGCTGATGTCCGCTGACTGCTGCCTCTGGAGGATCCTTGACGTTGCATGGTCCGATACAAACCTCAACGGCGGACATGATCGCTGAGTTGCTGTTTCTTTCCCTTTTATTTATGAGTCACTTCCCCACACTTTTGCGTGCAAACGCTCCATTTGGAGCAGGGTGAAGAAAAAGACATCAATGAAAGCAATTGCTATCCTCTAGAAGTCATAGTACAATTTGCCAAGTGAGATAAGTAATTAGACAAAAGTCTTGCTTTCTCCTCTCCACTTCAATTCCAGAAAGCAGATAAACATCCTTCGCGCCAGAAAGGGATTCCAAAAAAGATAGTGAAAGAACCTCATTGTTACAACCAACCGCCTCCAAATCTCCCTCCACCTAACATCTAACATGTCAACAAACGCCGACCCCTCAATCCCCGCCAGCCTGGGTAAACCCCCACCCAGACCCATCCATCCCGATTACCACCTCCGCGACGGCTACCCCAGCGTGCCAGACTACGTCAGACTCCGCAGCACCCCGAACCTAACGCCCAAGACGGCTGAGCAGGCCACCCTCGCCATCGCCGGCAGCTGGTTCGGCTGCTACGTCGTGCACACCGCGACAGACACCCCCGTCGGCATGGGCCGCATCATCGGGGACGGCGGCTGGTGTTTCCACATCGTGGACATAGCGGTGGCGACGGAGCATCAGCGCAAGGGGCTAGGCGATGCCATTATGGCGAGGCTGATAGGGCGCATTAAAGAGGTCGCAGCGCCGGGGGCGCATGTTTCGCTCTTGGCGGATCCGCCGGGGAGGAAGCTGTATGCTAGGCATGGCTTTGAGGATACGGCGCCGTATTCGGTAGGGATGGCAATTTTGCTATGACCTATGGTTGGGGCGGTTGTGAAATGTGGGTTTTGTGTATTCGCGCTCTTTTCTTAGAATATCTGTATTAGATTGCGGTGTGTAAAAACCCTGGTGGCCGTTGATGGTGCGTTTTTTTCTTTCCAATAATTATATTGTAATGGGATCAATCGTATAATTGTAATGAAACAAAAGGTTGAAGGAGAGGAAACGACTGAAAGCGAAGCCAAAACGGAAGATAAATAAACAGAAAAGCTCAACAAGAGTGGAAATACACCCAAAAATAGAAGCCAAACAGCGGGATGGTAAAATGCACCAAATTTTGTATACAGTAGTTCCCTTGAGTGGGATTGAAGAAGTGAGAGAAAAGAATCACACAACAGCGGCAAGTAACGCAGGTTTCCTCTAAAAATCATCGTCGTCGTCATCTACATCTTCATCAGCTCGATTCTTCCGTCCTCCTCGTTCGGCAGGCTTCCGACTCAGCCTGGACATTTCATGTTCTTCCGTTGCATTCCTGGCTCCAGACATGGCCATTGCCTGGCGGCCAGTGTCTGAGGCTTCCAAAAACTCGCGCAGCCGTCGTTTGCCCTCCTCCACCGCCTGATGTGATGCGGCCTCCGTCATTTTGATGATAGGGCCCCAGAGATTTAGCTGGTAGGTAATATATGCGCCAATAGCGCACACGAAAAGGAGGAGGAAGTATACAGGGTTCCGAAGCACTAGATAGGCAATGATATTGATTAATTTTCCGCGGTTTTGTTAAGGTATGAAGTAATTCCAAAAAGAATGGTACTAAAAAAAAAACTCCTGTGAATTGCTTACCGGCAAGAATTTCATTCCAGCCAAGTGCAAAGAGCAAGCCATAAAAGTATAACGGCACTTGAGTGATGCCTCCGATTGCACTTCTCTTCGCTTCGACATACACCCCATCCGCGGTTTTCTTGAACCGGACTGTTAAATCCTGTTTCTTCGCTTCGCCGATCAAGGTCATTTCTTCCTCCAGGCTCTTCCCCTCGTCATCATCGACGCCTCCAATCGGTGTGAGATCCTCTTCATCCGCAGGTGTTGCCGAGCTTGGTGTATGTCCAATCCATTTGTCGAGCGGCGGAGGTGCGTTGGTCTCTGCAAGTTTAAAGCGTGCAAGGAGAGGGATAAGGGTGAGTGTGGACTCTCGAGCTTGTGAATATACGCTTTCAATGTCATCGGTCGGGCGCCAGATTCTAGGAACGCCAGCGTCGTCATATCGGAATTTGTCTTCGAAATTCTCGCGGAGCTTTAAAAGCAGATTGCCCTCCATCATTTCCTCGTCGATTTTAGCTCGTAGAACCCCCCATGATTTTCTTCTTAATCTCCATAGACCGACATCTACCTCGTCCAAGCCGGCGTCAAAACTGCTTGCTCGTTCCGTGAACCTCCTTTCGGCATCAAGGACCGTGTCCACAAAGAGAGTCCAGACGCGATCCCAAATGGTTTTCTCCGAAGGTTTGTCACCGAACTCCGGAGCACCAGAACCGCCTCTTCCTGACCCAAGGGCATTAAACTCTAAATCAACCGATTCACCTAGTCGGGACCGCACCCACCGCTCAACTCTCGTTGCTAATCGTCGCATTTCATCTCTCCGTAGTTGCCCACTGGTTCTCTCCAGGTCCTTTTGATATAATGATAACTCCTGCTGGTAATTGCTCCAGGGGGCGTCTTCTACAAGTGTAGATCGAGCTTCCTTCTCGAATTTCTCAATCGCTAGCTTCCTTTGCCTCCTCACTATTTCAGCAAAATCATAACTGGCACCTTTCTTCTGGCCCGCTTTCACCGCGGCACTGACGGATTCGCTGAACTCTTGTACTCCAGACCTATGCGCCGCATTAAGTTGGCCAAGGAAAAGGGCTTTCAGTCGTGTGTCGATCTTATCCTGCAGCTCTGTTTTTTTCATTTGATATACACGCTTGTGGTATCGACAAGCCTCGGTGTCGAAGTTCTTCACGGCTTTCATGCGCGCATTTCGCATTGCCGGGCCAAGCCCGCCCAGAACTTCAGGGGTACCCGCCTGGACGGCTTCTGCTTGCTTCGATTCGAATGGACTGATAGCTTCATCGAATGCAACTAGAGCTTCACGTGATATTTCATCGCAGCGGAATTGAGCAAGAAGCTCCTGCTGGGTTGGTAAGTCCAGGTCCTTGTTGTTCACGATTTGATCCCAAACACCCTCCGCATAAACAGCAAAGCCATCCGCAGGTATCCTTCGGTGGTATTCGGGAAGGAATATTCCCCCTTCAATCGAACCCGTTCCCTTACGATCGAGACTGCTAGGGTCACGATGACCTTCGCAGAAGCGAGTGCTGAGTTTTTGCACCTCATCCATAAATTTATCCGGCTGGAAGTTCTTATGGGGAAGCCCAGCGAATGCGAAATCGAAGTAATCATTGATTGTCGAGTTCTCCAGCCCTGCAGGTTTCGAGAGTGAGCTCCATATCCGGTTCAGATCTTGTAACAGCGTATTCTGTAGGTTCTGAAGCGGGGTAGTTCCTAGAAAGTCTCGGATGACGAAGAAGAGGAGAGATCGCGGGGTTGACCTTTTAATTATGGGATTAGTCCAGGCAAACTAGGAAATGTTCCCCAAAACACACAAAAACGGTTCAACATACTTGTTGTCCTTCAAGAAGAGCTCCAAATTCACCTCAAAGACAGTTTTCAATAGTCCCATATTGGCACCTTGATATAAGCCAACTTGGTGTTCCCAGATATTGACAATGAGAACCTCACTTGTCGCCAGGGCAAACAGTGCGCTCTTCCTCTCAAAGTCCTGATCCTCGCCTCGCTCTCTGCCATCAGTCCCCTCAACGTCCATAACAAGAATATTGTCCGCCATCTTCGCTTGCGGATCACGGTCCTTGCGCAGCTCAAGCCTTTTGTTCTTAGATAGCCAGATTCCCTTCGTCGTCTGCCGTCGCTCCGTCTCCGACATTACACTGAAGTGGGTACCGAACAGGTTGTTCAGCAGCGTGGATTTGCCTGTCGATTGCGATCCAAAGACGGAGATGAGGTGGTAGTTGAATCCGGCCGGGGTGACATTTTCGTAAGTGAGATACTTTGATACATTGGGGCTGTTTTATATCGCCACGAGCAGCAATTAGTATATATGAGTATATATAGTAAAATTGAGTGTTGGAGCAGCCAAAGAGAAAAGCCAATGTAATGCGTACTTGAATTCCTTGTCCTCATCAATCACCTGGACTCCGTGCTCGTAGCTGCTCGAGTCCTGTCCATCCGCACTGCCCGCAAAGTGCCCGTTCGCAACCATGATTGCTAGCCGTTTTTGATTCTGATCAGGCTTCTCTTTTTTTCTTTCCCCAAGCCTTTGTGAAACGGACCCCAAGACACGAGGGTTAGAAAGTTAAACACTTTTCCCCCTTCCTTCCCAAGCCTAAAGAATGACGATTTCGCGGCGTGGCGAAGTTAGATGCTCGCGAAAGCAACGTATGCCATATGATCGACGGGAGTCTCAAGATAGGCCACTTCCCCACAGGAAATTGACTATTAGCTAAATGCGTTGCTTCTCTGCTTCCGAGCTATATCCGCTATTGGCTTCGTCCCCTTTTGTGCCCGCTTTGTCGATCCCCTATTTGCTTGGGGGGGCTTGGGCTTCCGAGAGAGGCGACGGATATGGCGCTCCTGGTAGCACAGGATGGTTTAAAAGAGAACGACACGAGCGAGCACGAGATGGTGGAGCAACAAACAGCGATAAGAATAATAGTTACTGGGGCTTCAGCTGACTTGGAGCTGTGCCCGTGAAGCTGGCGGGAGGACGTGGGATGTGGTTTGTTCTGTTTCTCGGTTGCCAAGATGCGCGAGAGCTAGGGCAGGGCTGGGCTCGGGCTGGACATGGACATTGGATATACGATCTGTCCAACCGGGTTAAGCTGTAAAATGAAACAGCGTAGGACCTCCTCTCCTCGTTATTTATCTAGTTATCTAACGCATCCATGGGTTGATAGAATAGTCTTGATGTCATTTCACTAACGCTGGCACCACCCTGGAGCATCTGCCCAATTCACATGCTCTTTCAAGGGAGCTACGTTCATTAGCATCAGCAGACTGCTGCACTGATCAGGCGTCTGATTTTTGCCAGAGTGAGAATTTGCTTCACTTCCAAGGTTGAGTCCAAATCGATGTGTATTTTTTTCTTTAACTTCTTCTTCTTCTTCTTCTTCTTCTTCTTCTTCTTCTTCTTCTTCTTCTTCTTTAAAAACAAGAAAATAAATAAATAAAGGGGGACAGCGGAATTTTATCTATATTCAAATAAACGTATGTCCAAAGCACAAACTTTTTAAAGCACACACTCTCTCTCTCTTTTAAATTACAGAAACTAACTCTTAAATAATAATATACAAATCCAAACAACACCGAGCAAAACACACAAGGAAACCGCTAAAACAACAAAGCTTATTCTTCCATAGTGCCAAAGAATTCTTCAAGAGTACTTGCAAAGAATTGCTCTTCAAAAGTTGCGCCGAAACTGGATTGGGACGCAAACAAAACCATGTCAGCAGCCGCACACACATTCCATGACCATCAAAATTATATATATTATGATGATAGTTCGACCCAAGGAGGTCTAGGGAGAAAAAGGGAGAGGGCGGGGCAAAACATACCCAAAACACTGTACTCCTGCTATCAACGCCTGGCTCAACTGCTGCAGTCCTTCTCGGTTGAGCTTATGGAATAGTGGATGTTGTTTAATCCGCATCCACATCTCAACCGGGGTGAGCTCGCCGTCCAGGTGGAGGGCCGAAGACAACTCGAGTAGCCTGTCGAGTTCGCTTGCGGGGATCTGCCACGAGGTGCAGTCGTCTAACACCGTGGGAGCTTGGGTAAGAAGAGGTGCTAGTGCGGTGAAAGCGTGTCCATTCGGCTCTTCGGCGTCGTGAAGTTGATGTACATGGTATATACAACATCGTTCCATGCTACGAAGTGTTGATTTGGGTGCGCGCGTTAGTTGACGGGGGCTCAAGATGATTTTTTTTTTTTTTTTTTGGTTTTGAAGGTTGAAGGGGAAATGTGAAATTTTTTTTAAAAAAAAGAAGGGACTAGAGCAAGGAAGCAGGACGTACAACAGCACGAAATCCACGCCAACCTGGGTCGTATCGAGACCATATGGATGGCCAGATCCAGGCATTGGCTGCTGAGATAGACCCGGAGAAGCGAGCTGGGTTGACTCTCTAGGGCTGGGAAGCCCACCACGCTTCTCATAGTTGATGACCGAAAGCACCGGCTTATCCGCCGGCGGCTTGTCAGGGATGCCGAATCCGACCGGGAAGACTGGCTCCATAGGCGAATCACCGAGAGATACCTGAAGCCGTTGTCCGAACCCGCGACTGCCGATGACGGAGACAGTGGCCATGGGTTTACTGTACGGTTGCCGATCTTCTGAACTGGGATTGATGCTGGTACTTGGAAGCGGTAAACCGTGCTCCTGCACGATATCCCTCAGGATGGTGTTCTCCTCAGCTACCTGATGCGTCTCGGATTGGAGAGATGATGATTCATCCCGAAGCCGGTGAAGCTGGTGCTCAAGGGACTTTATATATTGCTCCTTCCGTTCTCGATGATTGCTGGAAGTGTGTATTTTGTCAGCCGGCTTGGTGTTTTAACCCTGTGGGTTATATCGAGGTATATATGTATATGGATAGATGCACGTATCACCTATCACATGGGACAGGGGTATGTATGCAGGAGGGATGAGGGAACTTGCCGTTGCGCCCTTCTGACTTGCTCGCGTCTTCGAGCGTAGGCGGACTTGGACGTATCAGGGGCGGTTCCTTCCTCTAGTCCTATAGTTCAGTAGATAGTCGAAACTATAATTTCGGGAAGTAAAGTCGAAAAGAGAGAAGGGGGAAAAATAATCAGAAGGCAAAGAACAACGAATTTGCAGATGCAGATGGGAGAGACAAAACTCTGGCCACTCAGGGAATTCCCACTGCTGTTGTATGATGGAGGAAGAAGACAAAGCGCTCCAAATTATGCATATCTGAAGGCAACGGACACAGACGCACGCATAGATATAGAGTAATGTAGAATATATGCATTCGGTATGGTCAACCCTCTTGGTGGAGAATGTGGTATGGAATCAAACGCAGGATTTCTCATCGTGGACTCCGCTTTGGAATAAGCCGAGGATCACTCATCATCGCACTACAGCCACCAGCTGCAACTCGAGGGCGCAACTCGAGGCTGGCGACATGGATTGAGGACAGTGCGCAGTTGGACAAGAGGGGGCCAATACCAACTATTCGGGGGCGGAAAAGAAAAGAAACATTATAAAAGTAAAATGCCACACAAACCAGCAGATCAAATTCTCTTGCGGGGGACTATATGATTTTATTTTATTTTATTTTTATTATTGTATATACATCTGGTGTATTCCTTTGTCTAGTACTCACCTTCAGCATCTCCAGATTCCTTCTTCGAGATATGGAGCTTTTCCTTGGCCTTTCTCCACAGCGACTCGGCCGTGTCGCTGCTGGAGGTTCGCGGCAAGGCCGCTGGTCTCTGCAGGGAGTGCGACATGAAGAATGACAAATCTTACTTCCTCCGTAATCCAAAGAGGGCTGCGATGGATATATCATGGGATGCAGCGTGGCAGGGCAGGTTTAGGCTGGTTGATAGAGGAGGACTTTGCCACCAGTGGCCCAATGAGGGACGGCGGAAGGGAAAACTTGGTTTTGGCCCCCCGGTTTTAATTCCAAATCGTCTCGAGGTCTAAATGTCTTAGCTCGGGCTTCCCGCGGATCCTTCGACAAACCCATGGTTCCCGAATCCCGACACAGGAAGCAGAGCTAAGGCGTGGACTCCGTGAGACGATTGGGTGGGGACGCTGAAAGATAAAAAATAATACTAATATCACCCGGATATTGCCCGAAAGTGGGAGAGTCTGAAAGCTTCCAAGTGGTGATTTCAGGGAGGATTAATCATATTGTTTTTGATCGGTCTAGATGGGAGTCGAGAGGGGGCGCATTTCTGTTGTACAGCAGAGGGGGAATTTTGAAGAAAGAAATCGAAATCAAAACCACAGGTCCACAGAAGAGCACCCAATAGAAACACAGGATGAAACAGGAACGAAAAGAGAAGGAACCAAAAAAAAAAATTATACACAGATAAGACTCCAGACACATGTTTGGGCTTTTTGCTAGCCCCGCTTCCCATTTTGTTCCCACAAGAATATACACATATCTTTGTAAAAAAGTTCACAAAACTAACCCCAATGGCTGTTGTCCGGGCAGATTTCTCACTCTATTATTCCTCCAAGACACGCGTGACAAGGCCGGTCGCGACAGTGCGGCCTCCCTCACGGATGTTGAATCGCTGGCCGGCCTCAGCAGCCACGGGGCGGTGTGTCTGGAGGATCATCTCGACGTTGTCACCAGGCATAACGAGTTTGCTTTCATCTGCTCCACTAGGGAAGCTGAGATGGGCGGCTTCGTCTATAATCAAACGGGTTAGTTAATTTCGTGAATCAGGCGAGTTGAAAGGAAACAGAAAGAGAGATAGAGAGGAAAAGGAAAAAAAGAAAGGATTATGAAAAGGGGTCCCATTTTGACATACCAGCTGTGCGGATGAACATTTGAGGACGATAGTTCTGGCCGAATCCGGTTCGGCGACCACCCTCAGCTTCGGTCAGGACATACATCGACACCAAGAACTTGTCGTGGGCCTTGACGCTGCCAGGAACGGCAACTACCATACCACGGCGGATATCTTCACGCTTGATACCACGCAATAAAAGACCGGAGTTGTCCCCAGCTCTAGACTCGTCACAGGATTTCTTGAAAGTTTCGATATCAGTTACCTTCGTCCTGATGGGGGTGGAGCCGCCCCCAATTAGCTCGACTTCTGAATCCTTCTTGAGGACACCGCGCTCAACACGACCGGAGGCAACGGTTCCACGGCCGGAGATAGAGAATACTTCCTCAACGGACATCAAGAAAGGTTTTTCGGTATCACGTTGTGGTGTGGGGATCCAAGTATCAACAGCCTCCAGCAATTCATCAATTTTCTTTTCTCCCAACTCAGGCTCACGGCCTTCCATGGCGCAAAGGGCAGAACCAAAGATGATGGGTGTCTCTTCACCCTCGAAGCCGTAGGTGTTTAAGAGCTCTCTCATTTCTAACTCGACAAGCTCCAACATCTCCTTGTCCTCAAGGGCGTCGACTTTGTTCACGAAAACGACGATCTTTTGGACACCGACCTGTCGGGCAAGGAGCAAATGCTCACGTGTTTGAGGCCTAATAGATACGTTTCCGAATATTAGTATCATCATGCTCTCAGAAACAAGGGGGCCTAAAAAGCATAAAACCCTCAGCAGTCCCTCGCGGCGTCTTACATTTGGCCGTCAGCAGCAGCAACAACGACAATAGCACCATCCATGTTTGCGGCACCCGTAATCATGTTCTTGATGTAATCAGCGTGGCCAGGACAGTCGACGTGCGCGTAATGTCTTTTGTCGGTTGAATACTCGATATGGGAGGTAGAAATCGTAATTCCACGCTTCCGCTCCTCAGGCGCTCTGTCAATAGCTCCATATTCCAGGAAGTTTGCCAGCCCTTTCTCGGCTTGGCGTTTGGTAATAGCAGCGGTCAAAGTAGTCTTTTACATTCAAATATTAAAAGTCAAAGTTAGAAACAGGACATAATCGCCCAAGAAATTTAGGAAATGAAGAGAAATCTAACCTTTCCATGATCGACGTGGCCGATGGTACCTAAAAACAATATTCTAAGACAATGATACATGCAATGATAAACATCAAAAATAGACGAGATTTTACTCACCGACGTTAACGTGGGGCTTCGATCTCTCAAAAGCCGTTGCCATTCCTCTGAAGGCTGTCCGGTCCTGGAGAAGGGCATGACGGATTGGGTTGACACCTCTAGGTCTTTGCAGAGCGAATCTGCCAGTCCGCAGCAGGGCGCTAACAGATCTGGAAATATTAGCCATCTTGACAGTCCTTGGCAATCCTTCAATGGGGCGAGTTGGTGAAATTGACAAGAGGTGATGAATGCAAATTGATTTGGCCTTGATCGAGATATTTTCCCTCGTCCAAAAAGTTGGCGGCCAAAAGTTTTTCGGGAGGTGCTTAGTCATCGATGGTGCTTGGCTTCGAAGCTTCCCCGATCAAAGATGTGCTCTGAAGCCTCATACTATACAAAGCCAGAAAGAGGAGATGGAGCATTTCATCGTGTATAGAACTTCTATGATATCTCGTATAGAGCTTCTATGTATAGGTTCATCATTTGAAGGCTAGCGCTGTCCGAATAGTTGAGCGTGTTGATTCGGGGCAGCTCTTCTTTGGCATCTATCATACTAGTATTTACTGTACAGTGCAATTAATCAGGTCCAGCCGCTCTTGGTCATATCCATGGATACGTCTTTCAGGCCTGCAATATAATATATAATACAAGTTCCCTCTTCGCAAGCACGTCATGGCTGCTTCGACTTTTCAGCATATATAGTAAGTCGTCCCAGCAATGTCCCTTCCATTTTCTTAGTCTCCACCGCACCCATCTCCGCAATCTGTTCTTTTATCGTTTTAACAAGCTCTCGCGCTTTCTCTGGGGCAGGTAGTTTCTTCTTCCTCTTATCCTTCTGCAACAATATGAATTCCACTTTCTTCCCTTTCTCGAAATAGCTCTCCACCATTTTCATTCGATGTGTGAGGTCATGGCCATCAATACCCCAGTTCAGCTCGACCTGCTTTAGCGAATGGCTGGGGTCCTTGGGCGCTTTCGATTTCGCCTGTAGTTTTTGCTGCAATTGCCCCTTGCTTGTGATTTTACAAATAGCGGGGCGTTCGGCGGTTTCGGGAGCAACCTGGAGAAGAACGTTTACGTAGCGATCAAAGGTGTGTAATGCAGCACCTAACGGTATTGGGTCGCCAAGTGATCCGTCCTCGTTCACTATCTGTACCCTCCGTGCGGGAATCGCTTCGTCCTTTATGAGACCATTGTGGTCCTTGCCATCTTTGGCATCCTTCTGTGGCCCGTATGTCCGCTGGAGATTTGCTGGGCGGGGTTGCGGTCGGCGTATTGTCTGGGGTTCCGCGCGGGGAGCCAAAGGCTGGTGCTGTCGAACGGGTTGGAAACGATAACATCTTGTCTGTTGCTCAGCGAACCGGATGCCTTGGGAATCTGCTGATGGTAGGAATATTTGGCGGAGCGTTTGCGTGGTTCTGACGAGGCTGCGGACACGATTCGCGGTTCCTGCCATGACTTGTAAGATGCTACATGTATCTATTATAGAAAAAGTTGGGCGAAGGCGACTTCGAGCCTGTAGCATAAGTTAATAGTTATGTATCAGCACACGGGCCACAAGGAACGCAAAACAGACAAAACACCAGCCTACCTTGCAGAGCTGCTAGCTACTCCAAAGCAAAAGGTGTTTAAATAATGCCAGAAGCTGAAAGATCAGATGGCCCTGTCAATGACACTGACTTCAAGAAATTTTGGTTAGCCACAACTCTGGCTATGTAACTGCGCCACATATTTCTAAAAAATTCCGGTGAACTCAACTTGGCAACATCTCGACAGTTTTCTTCTCCTTTTTCAACTCCTTTATCGCCCAAGTCCATGTGCTTCACGCCAACCACTGTTTGGAGCTCATTCGTTTAGCCCAACAGTATTCTAATGTGGTGTGCTTGCGATTAACTAGGATCTATGATCTCCTTGAAGGCTTAGTCTCTCGCCCCTTCGTTGCCGTGGCTTGCCTCCGCATGCATCAAACTCCGATTTCCCTTATTACGGTCCCTTTCTTCGTGTGTTAGTTAGTATCTACATCCTCTCGATGTCAACTGGTGTACACGCTCGTGCTCGCGTCGGAATCTGGTCATATTTTCCCTTTGGCTCGAGCCCTAGGCGTCGATCCACTTCCCTTCCAGCGAAGGCCACCCGTGATCAATTTGAAAAACCAGGGAGGCATTCTGGAGATCCTCACCGCAGCTCCAAAAAATTTGGTTTTCGGGACACGTTCACAGTTGCCACGATGACGCAAAGTCAGAGAACGAGATATATTAAGACCGGGGGGATAATTGCTGTTCTATTACTGTTCCTCTACGTACTTCTCCCTGGCGGTCAACCTTCCCCGAGCTCAATCAAAACCCCCGTGTCCAACTCAAAGTGTACAAAACCATATGACTCCACGAAGCCCTTGATCCAATACGCGTTGATGATCGATGCTGGAAGCACTGGCTCCCGAATCCACGTGTACCGTTTCAACAATTGTGGGCCCACGCCGGAACTCGAACATGAGGATTTCAAGATGACAGAGAAGAAGAAGGGTGGTGCTGGACTCAGCTCCTACGCTGATGATCCAGAGGCAGCCGCAAGGAGCTTGGATCCTTTGATGGAGGTTGCCCTGAAGTCGGTTCCTAAAGAATACCAGTCCTGCTCTCCAGTCGCAGTAAAAGCCACGGCCGGCTTGAGATTCCTGGGTCCAGAGACTAGCGATAAAATTTTAGATGCGGTGAGGAACCGCTTGGAAACCGTATATCCATTCCCTGTCGTCTCAAAGGAAAACGGTGGTGTTGAAATCATGGACGGCAAATATGAAGGGGTGTATGCCTGGATCACCACCAATTACCTGCTTGGAAATATCGGTACCAAGGAGCGCACACCTACAGCCGCAGTTTTCGATCTTGGAGGAGGCTCAACACAAATTGTTTTTGAACCAACCTTCAAAAGCGCAGGTGGATTAACGGAGAAACTGGCTGAAGGTGACCATAAATTTTCTTTGGATTTTGGAGGCCGACACTTTGACCTTTACCAGCACTCGCACCTTGGCTTCGGGCTCATGAAAGCAAGAGATGCCATCCACAGAGCTATTGTGGAGGCCAAACACGAGTCTAGCCCAACCGATCAATCGTGGCTCTCCAAGACATTGGTCAATCCATGCCTGAGCGCTGGAACGTCGCTCACCGTGAATGTAACAATGGGGAATGGACATCCACTTGGTGAGGTTGTCGAAATCAAGATGATCGGTCCGAAAGACATATCCTCCGCAGCTCAATGCCGAGGAATCGCAGACAAAATCCTCAAGAAGGATGCAGATTGCAAGTTGGCACCGTGTTCCTTTAACGGCGCCCATCAACCCCCGCTCCAGAAGACCTTTGCCAACGAAGACCTGTTCATCATGTCGTATTTCTACGACCGCACAGCTCCGCTCGGAATGCCGGAATCGTTTACTCTTCGAGACTTGCAGGATTTGACTGCAGCAGTCTGCGCGGGTCAAAGCAACTGGGGTGTTTTCGAAGGGATTGGGGATGCTATCAATGAACTCCAGGAACGCCCGGAGCACTGCTTGGACCTTTCCTTTATGCTATCTCTCTTACATACCGGATACGATCTCCCTCTGAATCGGCAAGTTAAAATTGCGAAAAAAATCAACGGCAACGAACTTGGATGGTGTTTAGGTGCGAGGTAAGCAATCTTGTGTAATATTCCTTCTATCCATGTTTACGGGGGAAAATGTAAGTTAACACAATCCAATAGTTTACCTCTTCTGAACAAGGTATCAGGCTGGCAATGCCGTGTCAAACAGGTCTCATAAACCGACATCTTATAGATATAGATTTTTTTAACGTGATTCTAATAATGAACGTTGCACTTTTCACCCTCCTCCCCTGCTTTTGCAATTATCATTTTCTCTTTTGCGCTGGCTCGGGAAATGAGTTCATGCATGATATTTTTGTGTACTTGGGACTGTTTGTCCGGCTCCAACCTTCCGTTTTTTAATCCCGCTTCTCTTTGTATTTGAATATTTTCTTCCTCTTTTTTTCTTCCTTTTTCACCTTCGAACCGATTCACTTTCTTCTTCCGCGTTGTTTTTTCCCCAGCCGCATCATTATACGTCGAATGTATAATTATTTACACAGAATTTTGGTCGTTTTGGGATGCCCGTCCGATATATATTTCCGTTCTTATAAGGTGGCGTAATTTTTCCTTACTCCAGCTAACAATACATTGAATTCGTCAATTTCTGATAAGCCTTTCTTTCATTGACCTAGCTAGGGTAGTGTTGTCGATGTTTTTTGACCATGTGTTGTTGAACTCGTATTCTAGATTAACCTGGAGCTCGATGGGCTCCACATATATTATTCAAAAGGAGCTGCCAACTTCCACGAGAAGGACCCATGGCGGATTCGATCTCTGATCGTGTTGCACAACAAGACAAACTCAGGAGAAGCTGGCATCCATCCGACCAGGAAACGGCCACCGTCAGATAATATTCCAAGTGGTGGGTGGGTTGGTCGGGGAGTTGGAACTGCTGCTTGAACATCGAAGCCCAGCTAGCGGAAACCAAACCACCCAAGCCCCCAAAATAGCTTGCTGCATCGGCCGCAAAATATCGGCATAGTTGTTATTGTTCTTCATATTTTTTCTAAGGCTAATGCAGTCAGAGACGGTGACAGCCTTCACCTCACTAGTCTATCCTTATGTTCAGTTATTTTCTCTTACATTTCTCTATTCATAACCAAGTCATCCTTGATGAAGAGACTTCACTATATTATTCTGGAGCTAGCCCTCAAGAGCGTCCGTGCCCCACAATTACTCATGCAATACTAAGCAGTCCCTTGTCACTTGAACAGATGTGTAAGAATTACAACATCTTACCTTCTCGTCTCAACAGTGGTGGCCCCAACACCAAGTGCCTCTTGGAAAAAGCATTCCATGAATAGCGCCTACCACTACGCCATCCAAACCCCCAAAGTATCAGCGTGTGATACAGGCATCCAAGGCAGTTTTTTAAACCATTAGTTAACATATTTCACTGCGACCTTGGGCCACACCAATGACGTTGACTCTTTTAGCATGTGATATGACACTCCTATTATGGACTTATGCCTCAGCCATCAACTTGCTCATACGTGAAGAAACAATGACTGGAGCGGTCAAAACAGATTGATTTTCACTCATGATCACTGAATATCTAGATATATGAACGTATGAAGGTCGAAGCCGCACTATTCTAATTGGTGCTCACCACATCAGGCTATATCAGGGCCGTGGTGAATTACGTGATCGTTTACGAGACGGCACATTCTTTAGACAACCCAAGAGTGGGAACAAAACGGCCGAGAAAATGCGGGGAGACGATGTTTCAACAAGTCTCCTGCACCACTGGCTCAGCGGGGGTGAAAAGAAATTCCCCCACTTGGAAAACAGAAAGATCTCCCACATGCGCCTCGTGACGTACACAGGATTGGAAAACGGCCTATGGACATGAAGCGACGTTGGGATGTCCCCGTTCAACCGGGTATATTATATATATATATGCGTTCGAGCAACTGTGATTTTCAATATGTGTATCATACTTCTCTTTGCCAATCAAACCAAAAAGATCATCAACGAATCGATATACAGCATAGACATCCCCAATGTGCGGCATTACGGCAAGTATTGCCCTGCCTCTAGGCCGTGGGTCAGGAGATGCTAGTGGTAGCACCCACCCCACTGTTGAGTCTCTGACTTGCAAACTTCAAGCATCGCTTGAGAAAATAAAACACCGTGGACCGGATGGCTCTGGCGTTTGGGTCAACGTGGATGGCAGTGTTGGACTTGGTCATTGCCGACTTTCCATCAACGATCTGACCCCCAGCGGCGCGCAACCGCTCTCCAGCGATGACGGGCAAATCCACGCCATTGTCAACGGCGAGATCTACGACTTTGACCGTCTACGGGACATATGTGCCACAACTCACGGCTATAAATTCCATGGTCAAAGCGACAGCGAACTCGTCCTAGCTCTCTACAAAATCTACGGCTGTCCGGAGTTTTTCAAACACCTACGGGGTGAATTTGCATTTGTGCTCTACGACAGCCGCGAGGGATGCGAAAAGGTGATTGCTGGGAGAGATAGGTTTGGAATTAAACCACTGTATTGGACGACTGTTGGTGATAGAATACTGCTGGCAGCGGAGTCAAAAGCGTTCTTGCCGTTAGGCTGGAAGCCCGAATGGGATGTTGCGTCTATTGTCGAGAGCGGTTGGAGTGTTGACGACAGAACATATTTCAAAGGTGTCAAAAAGGTGCCACCGGGACATTGGCTTGAAATATCCAAAACGGGGGTTGAAATACATCAATACTGGGATTCAGCCTATGTAGACAAGGTAAAGAACCATTCCTGATTGAAATGGCCAATTATGAAGCTCACAACAGCATAGACCAAACCTGACGCGCGGAGCATTGATGAAATGGTAATTCAAGTCCGCGAGCGGCTGGTTGAGGCGGTCCGGCTGCGACTTCGCGCGGACGTTCCTGTTGGCGTATATCTATCAGGCGGTATCGACTCTTCTTCTATTGCAGGAATCGCAACGCATCTTGCGAAACAAGACCATGTCAAAATCGGCAGCCAAGCAGCAACGAGAGTGGCGTGCTTTAGCGTGGAGTTTCCAAAGAAGTCGGGCTATGATGAGTCGGGTACGTGACCCCGTTCGAACAATAAAAGTTTATGACCGATGATTGACACCACATTTCTACAGATGTCGCTGATCGGACAGCCAAATGGTTGGGGGTTGAATCTATTAAGAAGGTCGTTGACGAAGCCACCCTAGCGGAAAACTTTACTGACGCGGCATACCATTGTGAACACCACAATAGCGATCTCAACTTTGTCGCGAAGTTTGCATTATCGACGCTTCCACAAGAGAATGGGGTCAAAGTTGTCCTCACAGGTGAGGGAGCTGACGAACTCTTCGCGGGATACGCCTACTTTCCGCAGGACCTCCTGCTGGAACCGGACCAAACTCAACCGGACTCACTACTCTCATCGGGTGAGTTCCACCAGCAGCTGCGAAAGAAAGTCTTTGACGAGACAAACGCTATTTTCCGCATGTTCGGAGTCCCCATTCACGGTGGAAACGGAGATGATGAATTTCTTTCTGACGCCAACGGCTGCACAATGCCTAGGGTAATATCGATGATGGCACAACCATCTGCAGAGATTTACTCATCATGGACACGCGACGGTAACCATGCGTACGATATCAGGAAGACGGTAATGGCATCGCATTCACGTGAAGTCCGGGCCAAGATGCGCTCAACATGGCATCCGCTGCACACATCCCTCTACATGTGGAATAAAAGCGGCCTGCCCAACATTATCATCCCAGGTTTGGGAGACCGCGTCGAAATGGCCCACAGTGTTGAGGGACGCACACCATTCCTGGATCATATCCTCACTGAGTACGCGGACGGTCTTCCCCCAAGTGTCAAAATCGCCTATACCCCCAAACAAGCGACGGCGGCTCTCCAGAACGGCGAACTTTGGGACCATGCCGGTTCGGTCCTGCAGTCGATGACAGAGAAATGGATCCTGCGTGAGGCGGTTCGGCCGTACATTACGGACGAGGTATACCGAATGAAGAAACGACCGTTTATGGCGCCTGTAACCTGGCCCAAAAAGGGGCCCCTGCACTGCTTGTTTGAAAAGCTATTGACTCGTGATGCTGTTGAAAACCTGGGCTTTGTCGATTACAGTGTAGTCGAACGGGCCCTAGGTCGAGCATTCGGTGATAACGCAGATAGAACGGCGTTCCGTACATTAATATGTGCTGGTTCGTGGGTTGCTCTTTCACAACGGCTGGGTGTCAAAAGGGCAGAGGAGGCGGACAATATTCGTTGAGGAGGAAAGTTGGGACCACATTCTATTTATTATTCCTACTATTTATCTAGTGAGCTAGTGGCAGTTCGATGGAATGAGAAGATTTCTGAGAGTGGTATGATACGCCTGTTAGGACGAGTTACTACTGTGAAGCTTTGAGGGCCGGGAGGGAGGAGGAAGCGCATGCGTTCCAGGGCTAGAATTTCTAAGCTTTATGAAGCTGGCCGAACCAAGAATTGGCTATTATTGATAAACGATATCCAGGTGTTTGAAACGTTAAAATTCAGCTTGGAGCCGCCGTGGCCAGTGGAAGACTGAAAAAGTAATACTTCGTTTGATCCTTAAAACACTGGGATGAAACCGTCGTTTGAAGGCAAAACACTTCGCTTCCATCAAATGCCCGCTCGTAAAGTTTGAATCAATAGGAGAATAATCTGGGACTACTTTTTTTTTTAAATAAAATTGGAAATTCACCATAATATCAAAGGTGATGAACCAATAAAGAACCAAGGATCGAGCAGAAAATATACCAGCCAAACAACGCCTCTATGCATTGTTTTCTGCACCGGGCTCATATTTGCTCATCTGCTTAAGACTCCACGGCCCGACCAGCGGACAGTGGGCAGTAATATTTAAGTATAGATAGATGTATGTACGAGAACTTTTCCATCAGTTCCAGCCAATAACCCCCTCGGCAACTCTCAGACCCGTCGCACTAACAATCGACATCCGCCGCCCTATCATGCCCGTTTCGCACGCATCAAGCCGCAACTTCCAGTTTACTGAGCCATGGTTATTCTGATCAGGTATCAGCTTCATGCTGGCTAGAGTGGTGGGCGAGATGTCCTCGAGATCCTCCCAGCGTGTGAGATTCTGGAGCGGGAAACGGTGGAGGGGAGGGACTCTGTCTCGGTGCTGCGAGGGTGTCAGGTCGCCGTCAGGGCTATGAAGGATTGCTAGCTGTTAGGTGCTGTGGAGCAGGCTGTAGGTTTCCCCCGGGGATGAACTCCTGCTGAAAACATACTGTATTTCAACCCAACAGTCCCGAAAGGCCTCTACGGGACAGGGTTGGGTCTGCTCTTGTTCTAATGGCCCGTTAGCTGGCCTTTTGATAGAGAAATGGATCCCCTCCGCTCCGGCAGAGCGATGTTCTTGAAGAGTGATCTGGTAGTCGACTGGAGCATTACTTTCTTCCGGGTTTACGGGACGAAGAAAGACCGTGGCTCCTCCTTTGCTGGTTCTAGCGGAAGAGCCGTTGCACATGTTCTAATATGGGACCGTTTAATAGCCTCTGCCTCTGCCTTGTCGGAGTGTGCTTTGGGTACAGGGATGAGGATTCACTGCAAGAAAGGCCTTACATCCGTGATATTGGGAGTGTAGTTTCGTGTAGTTAAGTTGATTCCGGCAATTGAATGGAAAAGGTCATAAACCACATTCATACAACTATCCTGGGTATTTATATAAATATATACTCCTGTACCAACCAGCTTCTCAGGTTGTCCGCCTTGACCCCCTTCAATCCATGGATCCATCATTTCAAACAGTTTGAATATTGTGGGGTCGTTTGAGCATATTCCTGAACTTTATCTGAAATCACTTACGCAAAGTGAGCAAATTATCTGCATTCTGACTGGAGAAACGCCCCGAGCCGACTCCTGGCTCCATGAAGTATGTTTTCAACCACCAATGCTGAATAATATACAGTGTAGATAATTTCGTTTCATTTCCCCTTCCTTAGAGTGTCTTTTGTACACCATTTTTTAAGATATCTTCGTGCACACAAGCCACATACCATCTTCTGCTCATTTGGTTCACGGTCTCTGCCCGCTCAGCCACCCCGAGACAGCCATGGCCCAGAAGTACTTGCTCCCGCGCCTCCCTTATGCCTACAATGTAAGTGAGCGCTTTTGCCCCACCTCACCTCATGTCTTCTGCGGCAGGGGCTAAATCGGGATATCAAACGCCTCCCTTTTCGATACAAGGCTCTCGAGCCGGTCATCTCCGCACAAATCATGGAGCTTCACCATGCGAAGCATCATAACACCTATGTGACGAACCTCAACAAGGCGCTTCAGGACCGGGCGGCAGCGCTGAAGGCTGGAAATAAGGTTGATATTCAAGCGATCATCAATTTCAATGCTGGCGGACATATCAATCACACACTACTCTGGCAAAGCATGGCCCCCGCTAACGCCCCTGAAGCCAAGGTTGAAGCCGCGCCGAGATTATGGGAGGCAATTCGTCAACAGTGGGGAGAAGATGCTGGTGCATTTCGGAAGAAATTTAACGAGGCGTTATTGGGAATTCGTGGAAGTGGATGGGGTTGGTTGGTCCGTGAGGGAAATCAGGGGCCTCTGGCTATTGTAACCACCCATGATCAGGATATCGTTGCGAAGCACCAAGTGCCTATCTTTGCAGTAGACATGTGGGAACATGCATATTATTTGCAGGTGAGGCTGGATTTGGGCATTATATTATCTATCCTTTTGTTATTGAAGTTTTGTTTCATTTCTAAAACTGACAGCAAATTCTTTCTGTGGTGATTTGCAGTACCTGAATGGGAAGGCCGCTTATGTCGAGAATATTTGGAATGTCATTAATTGGAAAGGAGCAGAGGAGCGATACCTTGGAGAGAGCACCGACAGCTTTGAGGACCTCAAGGCGTTAATGTAGCTGGTTCGATTGCCCATATAGAAAAACCGAACGAGAACATTTTCATGTCAATTACAGTTCATATATTCAAGAAATCTCATGCCATGTATCATGTATGTCCAGTACATACATGTACGTACAATTGATATATAACTTGGCAGCCAAGAAAGACAAAACAAAGAAAAGAGCTAGCGAAGATGCTCTGATAATACAAATGAAATTTTGATGCCGCACGCGAACACCTACTTGTGAAAGCAGGACAAGATCCGAACAGAGTTCCCCGTAAATGGAATCACCGAACTAACAGAATGTAAGGCTTTCGGTTATGTAGCTTTGATCTGCTGTGGATAATTGCGCAACTACGCCCTCGTAGTCGAGCTGGCGCTGGCTGCTGGCTTATCTGGACTGGTAGCTTTCTATTTAAGTAAGGCTATTCCTGGAAAGCATCAAAGCCTAGCTTCTGTGTCGATCCGGCAGCAGAGTTATAGGAGGTTAATTCCACCTGGTTCCTTTTGATCCAATTTATGTGTAAGTTGCCCCTGAATAACGACAATAGGATGAATGGTCGTTAACAGCTCTTCCCTTTTTGCAATGCAGTACGTCAAGCTGGGCATTCACCCTCCTTTTTGCGGCATACGAAAATTTATTTTGATCCGATGGCGGTTTCCTCTGCTAATTGTAAGGGGAAGAAAATATATCCGTTTCACCAAGTTTGTTTAATCAACTGGGAAGTTCGGCGGCCTGAGAGGGAACTTTATCTGTCTCCTGTTTGAAGGAAGTTTACTTCTGTATTGGCTTGGTTAGACTTCGTTATTGAGGCAAGGGTAGGACCAGAACAGGGGACATGGGTGGAGGAGTCGGCGCAGACAGAGAGACTTGAAAGAAAATGAAGAATAACCCGATGTATTCAAGGGAAATGAAAATATCAATGACAGTACTTCTCCATGATAGCTCTGAATGAACTATCCTGCAGAAGCTGGGTAGCGGTTGGCCGCTTCCGGGGATGGCAACTGAATCCTAGAGTCATGATAGGAAGTATATGTTGTCGTTCAATAGGGTCTGATTCGGGATGCGCGCGTGCTTTGATTGCCGAAAGTAGGAATTTAGGATGTGGCTTGGTATCAGGGCCATACCAACTACCGCGGGTCTCTTCATAGTAGAGATATAAGCCTTCCACTCCTCAGGCAGAGGACCAAGTATTTCGACCATAAATGTCACTAGCCCGCCACCCCTCGAAATGGTGAAAGGGACAAAGCCAAGGTAGAGTTCCGCGAAAATGCACATGTAGCTCCACATGTCACAAGCAAAAAGGTAGGAGGCTTGCCATGAAGACGATCTGGCAAGCAGTACATTGAGGGTGGGTGGCCTTGTGGTGTTGGTGGTGGTGGCGGTGGTGTAGTTGAATCACCGAGTTTGTGTGAGGCCAAAATCACCAAGATAGAAGGAATCTGCGCGTAGATTCTCGGGCACTATTAATGGCTTAACTAACTCTCCTGGTTTCCAAAGTCCTGCGTCATGTGGGATGGCTCACTTGAGCGGCCGACCGAGAAGCCTGTATTTTGTAGCCCGCCTGGAATCACACCACATGTAGTTATGATCGTTTAGGTATGTAAAGTATGTCAGTACTGTTGCAAAAGGGGTGGCACGCGGGAGTTACACACCGCGATGAACGATTCCACCCTTGTGTAGGCTTTCCAAGGCCTCAAGCAGCTGGTGAGAAGCAGACATGCGAGTGGACATTGACTACCGCTTGACATATAAACTCTCAAGCTGTGGCCCCCTCAAGAGGAAACACTAGGACTCGGTGGATCGATTAACTTCCAGGAAGGAAGAAGGTTGCCACAGATAGCAAAAGGCGAGAGGTATCCTGTACACTCCCATGGATTTCATCCTGCATTTGATATTCATGTTGCGAGTCCCCCACAGCCATACTTTGAGAGCCACATCCCTCTTACTTTTGAAGATCATAGGCCATCCAGACTGTGGACGACCCTCCTTGGCCAAGTTTATGGTCTATATGATAATCTTTGGTTAAGTACTTCCCCGATGCGAACTGGACAAAACACATGGGGAGTTTCTCTGATATTGTATTTCTCGCAAGGCTCAGCAAGCTCGTCAACATCATCCTCCTCCTCACGGTCGGTTTTTGCAAAATGGCCAAGATCAACGGTGTTGCTATCTTCGGGGTACTGGGACATCATCGCTGTTCTCGTTGCAACCGGCCCACCTCGTGTAAAAGACATAGCGGAAACGTCCATCTTAGATGTTGTGGAGGGAGCATTATGAAGCATGTCGACGGGAAAAGCCCACCATACTACCTCTTGTTGATCAAGACTCTGCTTTTGCTCTCTCATCACTCATTGGATGCTCATGCTTCCCGCTTAGCCTTGCTGGCTAACACGCTGAACTCAAATTTCCAACATGCAAGCCTTCTCGATGGTCTAGTGGTGATGATTTCTGCTTGTCATTCCGTCCAATAAGACTGACGTTCATTTTTAGGAGGGGCAAGCTTTGTGTAGAGACTAATTCGGAATTATGACTAGGCCAGACGACTGTCAAGACTCGAGCAATGCTCTGAAAAGTGCTATCTATTCAAGAGGCGCAGAATGAGACTTTTACAGTAAGTGGGACAAAATACATTGCGTTCATAGATAGGAGGATATGCCACCCACCTCATAAGAAGGTGGATTCCTAAAGAAAAACTCCCAAGAGACCGGCGAGCGCAGTGTCCAAGAAGTAATGAATTACCAAAGTATTAAATCGTGAAACTTTCCGTAATACATAAACAGAAAACAAGGGGTATAAAATAAATAAAACTTTTGCAGGTTGCAACACGATGCAAAGAAGAGAATAAATGTATGCAAAAATCGTAAGAGATGGCATATTCTAGAATAAAAGCATACTGATGTCAGAAGAGTTTTTTGTGGAGGTGAAAGTGGGATAATTCATTCAAGGAGGAACCTCTTCAATGGTTGGTCGTTGATTTTCGGGTTTATTCCCCATGAGGACGTTCATTACACTCGTGTTCTGTTGTGGTTTTGGATGTGGAATGCTTGCAGATTGTGTACTTTCATCTTCATCGTATGATATGGTAGCTTCGTTGTATGTGTCAGCATCAGAGTCAGCGTCATGCCCTTGCTCTTCGAGCACACCGAGACCAAGGTTCTGAAATGGCATAAACTTGTTAGCTGCGCTCCGAGAAAAGGCTCTACATTCGAATTCCCTATGGTTATGATGGCGTGTCCTTGTAGAGGAAAGTAATACATATACAAAAAGAAAGAAAAGGTACCATTTCAATGTATTGGCCCTCTACTTCACTGTCGTCGCTACAATCAAGCTCCACTCCAGCTGCATTCTCGGTAGCCATCTTCTTTTCTAAGACTTCGTTTGCGGCTCTCAGTTCAGGGAGGAAGGAAGCCAGTCGACTTCGCAGCGTGGAGCCATTCAATCGACGTATGGTGGGTTTGAAGTGAGGTGGTCGAGGTGCAACTGAAATGATGTCGCTAGCGCCAGATCTGTCGGCGATGTCACTGTCCTCTGGTTCCGACTCGCCGCCAGACGAGGATGATGATGAGGAAGGAGAAGACGAGGAAGAGCAGGCAGAAGACATAGGTGATTCGGATTCCCCGCTCGACGAAGTTTCGTCCTCAAATTGTTGGTTCGTGGGTGAGCGAGAACGATGAGTTAGTGGTTGAGGCTCGACCGCATCGTTACCTTGGCTATCGCCCTTATCGCTGCAGTAGCCGGTGTCGCAATTTGAACTATCGCTCGGACAAGCTATGGTATCAGAACAACCCATGAGCTTGGATCTCTTTAGCTGGGACCGGGGCTTCGTGGTGGAATCATCATCATCCTCGAGGCACCTCTTCTTGATCGGTTGGGTGGCAAAGCCAGCCATGATTGGAAGGGCCTTGATATTAAAGAATCATATTCTCAGACTTGTCTGAGTGGAGGGGGAGGTATCATTGATAGATTGAAGAGTGATGTTTTTGACTCTCGAGTCAAGCTTTCGAAGATTGGAAGAATAAAACGCACGTGCAACCCGATCCGGAATGTCAAAGCCCTAACCCTAATTATGATGTTAACTTCCAAAAACTGCAAATTGTCAACAGCTCACGAGTGAAATTTAAAATGAATCAATTCTATTGTTCTTATTTCTTGCCGATTTGCACTCGGCAGTGTGAGCTGATTGTGAGGGCATGCTTGATCACGCATTATTTCCGTGCCTGCATATCACGTGGCACATTCCTCTCATCCATGGCGGCCTTCGTGGCCTTCGCGGCCACGCCATGACAGCGGATAGTTCTTGGGATGGATCAACCCAGGGTCAACGAAGATAGGTGCAAAAGCAATAATCTCAACAGTACATCCGTGGAGTTGATCAGCCTGGCGTCCCTTTCTCTCTTGTGGCTTGAACGTCGTTTGTGGGGAATAAACATACCTACTTTAAGGTATACCCAGAATCAACCACTCGCGCCCTCACCAAGCGCCCAGCGGCTACAATCTAAGAAAGGTACACCTTACCTGCCCTTGTCCTGTTCTCAAAATGACATGTTCAATCCGGTCTTTAGATATACCTGCTTTTTGGTTGGTTGGGGGATCATCACGGAACTGAATCAGAAACCTCTGTCAGGACACTCCTTTGGCTTTCGCAGTTATACCTATTCTTTCATTACTTGCCCATTTTCTTTCTAATATGAGGTTGTCTCTTGTTGTCTCTTGGGGTGGATTACCCCTAAAAAGTAGACATCCCACTTGTCCCTTATTGACACTGTTCCCTCGTCTATAGTTCAGTCACGAAGCTATGGACTCGAGGAAAATTGCAGATGCCCTGCGTTTCGTAGTCCTTGCCCCAAGGTTAAATTTTATTTACTTCACCACTTTATGCAATATATTTTGTTGTATTCCTATGCCTGGATGTAGTGCATTACTCTTTTTTTCTTTCCAATTTGTTCGAACCTGACAATGGGCATGCTTCTCCACGTTTCCTTTGATTGATCAAGTTTCATCATTTATCTGCCATTTTCCTGCTGTTCATGTTTATCCAGGATCATTATTTGGATGCTTTAGGAATTTACATTAACATTTTTTAGATTACAGCAACCTAGGACCAGATCTTTCCTTGCCCTAGCTGGAGCAGTCCTCCATCTGCACGTTGATATTTCACTCCGTGTGGACAATATTGGGACAATATCGAGCTCTACCACTATCACATAAGAAACGAAGAGCAAATTCTGTTTCGAGGGAGGAATCTCTACTCGGGTTTTCCCTATTTACTGGAGACGTATCAAGTTGTCCTGGCCTTTGTGGTTAAATACTTTAAATGGTTACCAGATAAAAGGTGCCGTTGCCCACCACACGTCATTATTGATTTTCTTATCACTTTCTTCTATAGCCAAGAGTCGAGTCTGATATCCCCGCAATAAGAGACAAATTGGACAATTAAAAGAAAAGAAAAGCCTTCTGCGATTGGTTTTTTTTTCCCCCCCCGAAAATGGACAACCCGAACGTTTTTAACACCGACCCAGAGCCGGCAGCAGAAAACGGAAGTGGAGTGGTACCTGCCTCCCGAAGGACTCTCCACCAGAACATCCTAGGAAAACTGCGACCGTTGCCTTTGCAATATCACTGGACAGTCTGGTACGAAAAGCATTCTGAGTCTGCAAATTACGACGAGAGGCTGTACATTCTTCACGAAGATGTTGCGGACATTGGAACATTCTACAGAGTCTACAATAACTACCCCTGGCACAAGGTCAAGCTGCGGGATACTGTTCACATTTTCCGCAAGGGTACAAAGCCAGTGTGGGAAGACCCGGAGAACCAAAAGGGAGGGCGTTGGACGTTTCGCGTGCCAAAGGCGAAAAGCCAGGCTTTTTTTCACGAAGTTGCAATTCTCTGCATGGCCAATGAATTCCAGGCAGCCCTTGAAGCTGGTACGTTGAAGATATTGTCTCCCCTCCAATAATTTCCTTTCATTTCGATCTTTACCAAAGCGTCTCAAAAGACGCACGAGGTCGCGAAGGAAAACAATCCAGGATAAAGAGAAGGAATCAAATATCCAAATCCTAACATAGTGCAGAGCACGACCATGTCCTCGGAGTGTCCACTTCAGTGCGCTTTAACTCGCATCTGATCTCCGTATGGAACAAGTTAGGCTCGAATCCAAAGGCGATCAAAGCTCTCGAAGATACCGTCCTAGAACGCCTTTCGCCGGACCTGCGTCCATCATCAACTCAATCGTATTTCTATAAACGCCATGATGAGCACGAAGGCTTCAAAGCTGCGGTAGAAGAGAATGCAGGCGCGACGAGCAGTGGCAAAAGTGGAAAAGGTTCATGATAGTATATCCCCATAAGATATCGCATTGACTCTCTAAAATATGGGCTGGCCGAATACCCCGTGAGCGTGGAAAGTTGTAATACAAACCAGTCCGAGCTTGGTTCATTCTTTTCGCCATTTTCCGTTTATTTGCTCTCGTTCATTTTTTGATTGTGAGCCTTATTTATCCAACCATGCAAGTTTCCTTTGTAAGAGCCCGCCGAGTATGATCTATTATCTTCCCTCGCCTCTTCTTTCCCTCCTTTGTCCGGTTCATGCTTTGTGTTTTTACGATCGCTTCAAAGAACAAAAGCATTCATACCCGCATGGGCAATTTCAATGATCGTTTCACAATGACAAAGTAGGAAAGTAGACTGTCAATGTTTCCCTTTCTTTCCTCTGGTCGCTCTCGGTTCTTCCCATCATATTCTTAAATATGATAGTTTCAATTATACAGCTGTTATGGTACATAAGACGATCTCCTGATCAACTTTATGGAGATATTATTCATGACTAGTCCCCACTGTGATGTTATCAACAGTAACCATACTGATAAACAGCCCTCGATAATCAATTTGCACAAATGCGTGTGAAACAAGGGGTACACTAAAAGAGAACATTGATGTTCATTCGTATTCCCACACCAAACTCGACATCGCTGACGTGATTAGGTGCCAGAAAATTTTTCGAGTATAACTCTAGAAAACAGCCCTGAACTAGACAGGACTATTATCTACTCCGGCTCCTCCGTCTACTCCTCCTATCATCCTTCTCAGTACTAACTACAGAAGGAGCAGCGCCAGAACCTCCAGGCATGTATCTATCAATCTCTTGGAGTTTAGGTCGATCCTCCTTCTCCCGGTCTCGATCTCTATCTCGATCTGGCGTCCTTGCCCGTCGCCTGGTCGGTGTCCGACTACGGTTGCTAGTAGGGGGTACGTAGCGATCAATATCAGGTGGGCTCCGAGACCTAGATCGTCGACCAGTGCGCGAGAAAGACTTCTCCCGCTCCCGCTCCCGCTCTCGATCCCGACCACCATCAGTGTCTCTGTGGCTGCGTGAGCCGGATCGAGAGCGGTGACGTCGCCTGGCTGATCGCGACCGCGTGCGGCCTCGTGAATAATCTCTTGGACGATAACGGCGGTCATCCCTATCCCGGTCCCTATCCCTTCCTCTATCCCTGTCCCGCTCTCTGTCCCGCTCTCTGTCCCGTTCCTTCTCCCGTTCTCTGTCCCGTTCTCTGTCCCGTTCTCTATCCCGTTCTCTATCCCGTTCTCTATCCCGTTCCCTATGTCTTACTATCTCACGGCTTCGCGCAGTAGATCTGCTACGGCTCCTGCTGTGATTCTTGCTTCCTCCGCAAGAATGTATATCTCTTTCCAATTTGCTCCGCGTTGAAGGTCTGTACAAGTCCATTTCACGATCTCTATCATCATATCGTGAAGATCGCCATGTTCTTGACCTACTTCGTTCGTCTTGGTGTCGGTCACGGTCTCGGCCGCGGTCGCGGTCTCGGTCTCGATCCCGATCCTTATCACGACGATCATCGCTCAACTTGGCGCTGGATTTTGATGGCTCAGGGGGAGGAGACACCTCGTTCTTTAGCCGAGAATGGGTAGCTCGTGAACGAGTCTGATCTGACCGAAGAGCCTTAGTGTCTGCGATTGATGGCTGGCGTGAACGTTGTTGGGGTTGAATTTGCGGCTGAGGTTGAGGTTGCTGCAGTTGCGCATTTTCAAGGGCTTCGGCCTGTTCAAAATCGAACTCGGGTTTCTGTCGCGACTTTTCTGCTAATTCTTTCCCCTCTTTTAGAAGTAATTCCAAAGCAGCGTCCTCCAACGATTTCTCGTCAACAAGCGTTGGAGTAGGTGCTTTCGGGGTGGCGGAACGTTGTCGGGAGCATCGAGGCGATCGTTGGAGCCTAGTATCCCTATCCCTATCCCGTCCACGATCACGATCACGATCACGATTTTTCTCCCGCTCCTCTTCTCTTTCCTTCTCCCGCTCCCGCCTTCTTCGTTCATAGCGCTCCTCCCTCTCCTTCTCTCTCTGTTCCTCCAGAAGACGTCTTTCCTCTCGAAGCTTTTCCCTCTCCGCTCGCCTTTTTTCTTCCAACTCCAGCTTCTTCTTCCGCTCCTCTTCTTCCCTCTGCTTCTCAAGTTCTCGTTGTTTCCGTAACTCCTCTGCTCTAGCCTTCGCCTCTTCGATTTCAAGTTGTTTCCGTTTCTCCAGCTCTTTCAGCCATGCTATTTCTCTTTCCTTGCGCCTAGTCTTGACTTCGCGTTCATAGTATTCGTCCGCCTTACTTCCTCTCTCTTCCTCTAGTGCAGCCATTTCTTCTCCAACTTCTTGGCGACGAATAATGCGAAGGGATTCAAGGATATAGTCCAAATGGTTAGAAGTTATCGAGTCAATGGCCTCTTCAACACTTTTATAAAGATCACTCCGATCGACAGCGCCCTCTATTAGAGTTGCAGCTTTTCCTCTTTCCCTGGACAACAAAGACGGATCTCGGTCAATTTCAGATTCGGCCATTTCAACCAAAGAAGATATAAGAGAATTTTTAGCTTCCTGAAGTTTAAAAAAGAACGGCTTAAAGTTAGCAATGCTCTAGATATGAGAAATATTTATTTAAAAAAATCTGGACATGGGTAGCGGCATATAAAAGGGTATACGCGTAGGCTCTTGCTCACACTCTCGCTAAATTCCGCCCATATTTTCTTTCGAACGGAGTCAAAACCACCTTTCTTCTTAAACGCGTATAGAAGGCTGTCGATTGATGTTCGCTGCGCAGCTGATAAAGGCAAATCTGAAGCTTTGAACTTCTTGCGCTTGAGGCTTTCAATGTCGATTCCCGGCCGCTTTACGCCAGCCATTTCCATATCTGTGCCAGCCATGCTGACCGGCACAAACAAAAGCAATCCTTGAGTATTTTGTTAAAAGTTCTCTCACATCTCCGAGTGGTATTTAGCTGAGACCCAGCTGTGGTTTGCTTTCGCCGATGATTCCTGTGCGTTCTTTGTTAAGTTGTAGCTCTCTGAGAGGAATCGCGTTGTGACCAGACCGGCAGAACTATTTTCCCGGCACCGAACTTCAACATCTCCCGCGCCTCAGAACGTCGCCCAAATCCGGAGTAACAATTGGTTACGGGGACACTTGCTACGCAGCTCGTGCAAATTCAATTCCTTAATAGCAAGTCGTGAGGGACATATACACCTCTGGCACTTGTCAACGGCCGTTCCAACCTGCCTCGGCTGTCTTCGATCCACGCTTCCCCGGCGTCGCGCCCGATCGATCCGAATAACATCCACAATGCCTCTTCACAAAGTACTATTCTGGAGCGGCTTCGGTATGTCGCTCTTTTGCTTAGAGAATAAACCCGGCTGTGTTACGTGTTTTCTCTGGAAATCTAGAAAGTCTGGAGAGACGGCGGTTTCCCATATGCTATACCTGCTAAACTTGGGATCAATATTGCAAAGATATACCTACTGACCAGGGAATTTTATAGGCATTGCCGTTCGTTTGTGGCAACTCGGCATTGAAATGCGCCCATTATTCCAAAAGCAGGCACTATGGGTTTATCCTCTATTTGCGACGGTGGGCGGCAGTTTCGGATATTGGCTCGAAGGTGTTGATAAAAGACAAATGGCCATCCTGGCAGAGCGGAAAAGGAGTCTGCTGGAAAAGCGACAACGGAGAGTAGAGAGGGAAGCCGCAGAGGGGGGCGCGGGGCTATGAACAGCTCAATGAGGAAGCCTCTAGGGAGCCTGTCATGGGCAATTGGAAAAAAATACTTAGGGAATAGTTTGGGTGAGGTTTTCGAACACCTGCGATTAATTCGATATATGGGTATCCTGTTGAGCCATGAAATCAAGACGGGATGCGAGAGCTGCAAAAGGAAGAAGGCTTTCATTGTTTTATTATTATACGGATTCGTTTATCATTTTTCAACAACTACCAATGCATGTACCTGTTGTTTCACAACAGTTCGATCTTCCAATCCTTGTTGGTCAAGCTGTTGGTATCCAAAAAATGAACAGGAGGCATTGAGATGTTGCACATGTACTGTACATAGACAGCAAAGAGAGACAAAAAAAGAAATTGAAATAGGGCAAATACGCATAGATACTTCCAACTACTTTTATCTCCAATTGCTTTTCGGACATTCGTTTTCTATCAAGTTTGGTCAGTAATTCGCGACTGCAAACACCCTCTCCCAGCAAGAAGGGCGTGTGGGACCGGAGGTATGTGCACCGGTAGATCTTGTAGCGGGCGCTATTGGGAATTAATAAATGGAAACGAAAAGAAAAAGGGAGGGAAGGAGGGAAAAAGAGAGAGAGAGAAGTTCTGTCTTGTTTAATGACATAAACTCAGATGTTTGGTTAGAAAATTATCGAAGTACAGCCGCTTCTAAAAACATGTCGCAATCGGAATCTCAGGTCGATATCAATCATCTAATACACGGTTCCTGTGGCCATATAACTGGGAAGCCATCATGACAGGGTTACTGGTTTATTCAATGGCGATAAGCTGTAATCTCCAGCCAGTGCCCTTGCTACGCAGACTAGAGGCCTAAAGACAGTACTCCATTTCAGAATGGCCAAAGATAAGTCCGTAAGATTCATTGCCAAAAGAACAACAATTCAAGACTTGGTTGCTCTGCAAGCAGAGAATGAAAAAATCATGAAGACATGAAAGAAATCTGATCTGATTCCATTATCATCACGTTGAAATGACGCTGACACAAGGGGGTATAGTATGCATAACGTATAAATATATCCACTTTAACCCTGCTCAACCGTAAACTGCAGAGACACTTCCCATTTCTGACCACCTGTCCCGTATCCGCCCCCTAATCGATTTTTTATCGTACTGACGATCCTCTCTCGCAACTTGGTTAAGCTTTCTTCCGAGCCGGTCACTCGCAGCTTGATGCACGCTATGCACAAGCCATAGTGAGCCTGCCAGAATTTTGCCTCTTCAATTTCCGAAACAGCTGGGTGGTTGTAGATGTCTCCCAAAACCTCAGAAGTCCCTGGACCAGAATAGGACATCAGAAGTATGGATCCAAGCGTTTTAACTAAACGAACTCCGAAAACACACATGGAAATGGCAACGGTGAAGGATAGGATTCGATCCAGCCATAGATACTGTTGCACGGACAATAAGGGGAGTAAGAGGAGAAAAGTTGAACATGAAAGGGTCAGGAAATGAGCTGGGTTACTAAGGATAGAAGGTAGGGATTCGATATAAGCAAACCGGATAGCCTTTCCAATCCTTGCATGGTTTTTTAAAGCGATGGCGGATATCAATGTCGCCATTATCGCCAGCAAAGCCGTGATGTCGACGCTCCCTGGAGCCACTCGCGCGTGAGAGTGGGAATGATGGGCCTCGTGGCCTGAGTTTTCCAGCAGATGCTGGACCGTATGTGAGATAAGGTCTCCTCCCATGAAGAATAGTAGCACGGATAGAGCAAAACCCGCAACGACTTCTGCACGCTCCAAGCCAAAAGGGTGACGAATGCTAGATCGCTTCCACACCTCGAAATTTCCGAGTACGTCAACGACAACGCAGAGCATGGCGCCTAGCGAGTCGAAGAGTATGAGATGGGACAGCCCTGTCATGGCCATAGAGCCATGGGAAGTCCACAACGTATATCCAGCCACCCCCATGTGGCATACGCTCCACCAGAACCGGATTCTCTGGTCCTTTGACATGCTCCCCAGGCATTCCCCCCAGGTCGGGATCGGCAGCGAGTTCGGTAAGGGCATTGGCGACCTAGGCGGGGGTTCAAGGAATATCTGGTGAGATACGCTGCTATGTTTATACTTGTGTCCCCGTCTTTGGCCCACGTTCTATTATATGTTTGCCGGACATTACCATTACATATTTAGCGTTCAAGTTTCGGCGCAACCAGGATTTCCACAGGGACGCCATACCGATTTTGCAACGGGGCTCTTCGCGAGAGCGGTTGGCTTAAAATTGAAAGGCCCTTGCGTCATGTCTTCCGCAGAACCCATAGCCGAGTTCCGTGACGGATCTGGGGAATCAAAGAGTTAGGTATGCCCACTGTGGGTGATATATGCTAGTATTTAATGCGGGACTGGGATATCAAAACAATTTACCTAAGGTCTCCGATGCTCCGAAAGTGCTCACCATTGGAGACAGAGTATTCCGGTCATAAAGGTTCTCCATTGACGGTATTACCGTATAGCCCTCTGGACCCGAAGAATGGTCGTCTGAGGGCGGCGTGGGAGTTCGAGGAGGGATTGGCAGCGGTAATGTGTCCGCCATCGCTGGTTCAATCTTCTCAAGCCACGGGGCAATTTCGGCACGCAGGAGTGTGAGGAGGAGTAAGTGAGTGGAGAACGAGTTGGAGTGGAGCGCAGCGGCGACGATTTGCAAGATCGGAGACTAGAGAGCATGTGGTTAGCTTCCGCCTAAGAACTGAACAATCCGGCGTGATTTTCTATTTTCTGCAGACCTTCCATCGTGATGAGGCGGCTGTACTGGGCGTTGCATCGAAGAGAGTCCACGTTTGGCGACTGCGCAGGCAGCCTCAAGGTACTAGCTGCATTTAGATTTACAGATCGATTAGCGACCAACCACTCGTCTCCGAGGCACATATCCAGTGCCACAACATCTTCAAGCAACGACCAACAGTAGTCAACCAAGAGCCAGAGCCCGAATCTGGTAATGGACCTTATACTCGGATACGGCTGAGCTCCTATGGCTCGATCACCTTTGGTCCATGGAAAACCGCCGCGCGCTTCTTTTCTTCGTGCTCCTGTTCTTCCTGCTATCTGCGCCAGAACCACGCCCGCCGACCCTCAACCTCGAGCGAGAGCGCCATCAGCAGAAGAAGGAGGAACAGCGAGCACTGTCACTCCTTAATACGTCGAGATACGGTGACTTGGACAGCGCTGCAGGTCGCTGGCTGCCTCTAGGAGGCCTGACCAAGGAGGATGGTTATGCATGGGGTTTGCTTCCTGCTGTCAAGGACCGCGCCCGGGACCAGCTATACTCGATTCTCCAACACTCCGGCTTGTTGGACGAGCAACCGATCGAGTGGCAGACACGCCCACTTCGGTTAGACCTTAATATCTCAGATCTACAGATTCCCGTATATCACAATGTTACTGGGAAGATCCGGGGCAACTGGGTTCGCTGGCATGGTCCGGAGACAGAAAACCTCCCGCAGCTGAATACCACGGCAATCATGCTGAGACATGATTATTTTACCAATACATTCGCGAATAATATTACTACGGACCACGGAACTCTCTTGATAGAGTTACAGGAGGAGGACAGAGAAGGCCTCGCCTTGGACGGGTCAAGCGCCAGGGAGATAAGAGCAGATATCACCCTATACACGGATGTGTCGCTGGGGGCCAGCCATTTCGTACGGCTCTTCGGAGTGCATTTCCCATCATCGGGCGGAATTATTCTCAGCACCACCAGTGAAAAGTTCGCTGGTTTGTCAGCAATGCCTCAATTTGCTCTTTCGAATGATACATTTGAACTCTCCCGTCAGCTATTGAATAGGTCATTGACTGAAACCTTGGCTGAAAAGAAAGCTGGCCCTGTCGATTATTTGCCTTGGTCGTCTCTTCCTAACGGCCCGAGCACCATGACATTCCCTGCGCCGAAGTGCGAATATATCGTGTATCTTCAGCAGCATCCCGTGGTAATAAAGGGCCAAATAGCTCGACTCCCTCTGTTGCAGTCGATCGAAGATGAACTGCGTTTCCCAGTTGGAGCCCCAGTGCCGTCTCCACCATTGATGGCGATGTCTATGACGCTTTTCTCTCCAGATTGTGGATTCGTGTTGGAGAGCAAGGGGTCGCCAACTTATTCCCCTTCGGATGGACTCTATCTTTCGGGCCCCAAGCAGGAGCAATACCGGAAACACGCTGGGCGGTTAGTAGTGATTACGGCGGCAGTTCTTTGCACCCAGATTCACCTGCTGATGAGGCAGATGAAAGAGGCCTCCACACCCTCAACGAGGAGTCGAGTCAGCTTCTACACAATCGCCATGATGTCTATAGGCGACGCTCTTTTTGGTTCATTTATTCTGATGCAGTTATATGACGAAGCTCCGTTCCTTCTGCTTACCACTGCGACATTTTTGACATTCTTCTCTGTCAGTTTCCTTGCGATGAAGTTCCAGATAGAAGTGTGGGTTGTTCAGGCCCCTGAACGCAGGGAAACCGATCGATCATCGTCTACTCGAGCCACTGGACCATCGCAGTCACTCCCAGCGCCAGCAACAGCCCATCGCCCCCTGGATACAGGTGCCACCCCTATCATCATACTCCCTCCAGATCAGGATGAGCCCGTAGAGATCACCACGGCCCCACCAGCATCTCAAGGAACCAGTGATTCAGGGACAAACGACACAGGTACAATGTACTCTCGATTTTATTTCACAGTCTTTTTCCTCCTCTTCTTCTCGTCATGGTCATTATTCTGGCCAACTCGCCTAGCCCGAATGTACGGCCAGACGATATCCTTTGCCTACCTCTCGTTTTGGATTCCCCAGATATATCGCAATGTAATGCGAAACTGCCGCAGGGCACTGACATGGGAATTCGTGGTGGGCCAGAGCCTCATCCGAGTATTCCCGTTTATCTATTTCTACGCCCTCCCAGGCAATGTCCTCTTTATCGAATTTAGTTCTATATTTACTGTGGGAATTGCAGCCTGGGTATGGATGCAAACGGTGATTCTAGCTGGCCAGGACCTCCTAGGCCCAAGATTTTTAGTTCCCAACGGCTGGGCACCGCCAGCCTACGATTACCACCCAATTTTGCGAGATACATCTGCGTCAGGCTCCAGTGAAGATATCGAGGCTGCAGGTGTTTTGCCGATTGGCTTCCTCCGAGGAGAAGCAATTCATACCGCTCCAAGCAGCACGGGAGACGACAACAAGCATGGCTCAGACAATACTGATTCTAATAATACCCGCGACAAGGATCGCAAGACTAGGCGGTTCGACTGTGCCATCTGCATGCAGGATATCGATGTGCCGGTCCTCACGGCCCCGAGCAGTAGCACGGGTGCGCCAGCTAGTGTTGCAGAAGGAGCTGCAAACCTGCTTAGCCGACGAGCTTACATGGTCACGCCATGTCGACACATCTTTCACAGTACATGTTTGGAGAGTTGGATGCGGTTGCGACTACAGTGTCCGATTTGTAGAGAGAATCTACCCCCGATTTAAGAGTGTATATTTTCATTTTTGTTTCTTTCTTTCTTTCTGTTTTCATTTTTCATTTTCTTTTGGAAACGCTCTGTACAGTAATCTTTCTCTTTTTCGTTTTGTTGCATCGGATCAAGGTTCCCTCGATTATTGCTTTTGTTGTCCTTTGTCTCATTGGATAAAATCTCATGGGTTGCATTTGGTATACCGGCGTTGAGATCAATTGCATTCACATCAGTTTCATGAAGAAACATTTTTCCTTTCTTCTCTAAGTACTTGTCTGGCTGGAACGTCTACTTCCTCTAGCCCTATTGCCTTTCAATACAATATACAGATAACGTTGGTGATTTGAACACGTACAAACATAACATTCTGACATGTTGAAACATCAGTAGATAAGTAGATATATATACATATCGCAAAAAGAGGAAAAAGGTAAACATTATCAACGATGAGAGATAACCCACCGCCCCACAAGATCCCACAATCAATCCAAGTTATACAGCATAAAAACCATGATAGGAAGGGGTGGGGGGAAAACAAGGCAGTGGCTAAATCGGATCCCTCCCGAATCCGATCCCCTTCAACTCTCAACGTCCGCCTCCTCCACCTTAGCCAGATACACCTCCTTCTCCATCAAACCCTCCAGCTCAGTCGGATCCGCAAGCTCGATCTTGGCAAACCATCCCTTCTCCTCAGGACTCTCATTGATGACCTTGGGCGACTCTTCCAGCTTCGTGTTAGCCTCAACGATCTTGCCTGTCACGGGGCAGAGGATGTCCGAAGCGGACTTGACGGACTCGACAGCCCCGATGGTCTCGCCCGCGGCGACGTCGGTGTCGACGGCGGGCAGTTCTACAAAGACGACGTCACCCAGCGCGTTGGCGGCGTATTCAGTTATGCCAATGGTTGCTGTTTTATTTTTATATTTCGTTATTGTATTTCCCTTGTTAGTTAGGTATTTCGTAGTCAGGGTAGAAATTGGGTGAGGTGCAGTTAAAATCTCGCAGATGGCGGGATGAATATTGAGAAATGTACATCCAATTGCGTCCTGGATAAAGAGGGGGGGGAGGGGGGAAAGCAAAAGAGGAAAATAAAAAGAGAGGGATATGTCTAACCAGTTTTTCCATCCCCAGCCACCTCAATCCATTCATGCTCTTCGGTATACTTCTTAGCTTGCCCTGTAGAAAACGACGAGGTTGTCAGCATCCTACCGCCCATGGTAGTTGTTTTTTGCAGTGACACATAATTGGACAGAGCAATTGTGCCCAATTGCATACTGTCACCTACATAGTGAGCTCTGCGAAAATGCTCTTCTGCAATCCCGGAATGCGGGGCGGGAGATATATGCGCTGCGTAGAGCTGGAGAGGGGAGTCTCGGGGCGACAGTACGCAGCCCACTTCGCAGAGAGCTAAAAACCCGGATGGCAGCAGCAGACATTGTGGGCGGGAGGCGATTGGAATAGTATAGCAGCAACGGGTCAATTGGCCCAAGGAATCGAGAAAGAGAGTCTTTCCTGCGGTTGTTCGCGGTTGGTATCAAGTGTCGATTGCCGGAGTGTTGTGGGCGGAGGTTTGAGTAAGCAGAAGTTGATGGCACCAAAGCCGTGATTTGTACCGAAGTGACAAAATGTTTCACGGCTTGTATTTTTACACATATTTTTCAATCTTTCGTGTATGTTCATAAATGCACCAATCATGTTACTCGATTGAAACGCTATTTGGTTACTAGTTATCTTATTATATTGATTAGTAATCGAAACCAACCCACCACATATCTGCAAAAACCTCTGTAATCTGCACTGGCTATGCCCTTTGTGATCACCTCACCGAAAAACCTGGCCCTTTTTGTTGATGAGATGGTCGTCTTTCTTCAGGAAGAAATTGATATATTGACATCGACAAGCCAGCTTCAAACGGGCCTTTTGTCATGTGGGTTGGACCAAAGAGGAAGTTAAACACAGGGCAAAAAAAAAGAGCAGAACTCCGATCCGCGAGATTCCTATCAGCATAGACTGTCTGAATTTAGTTCCTATCATTTGATTTCTGTTGATGAATCTGGATGTGATGAACGGCTAGGATTTAGGTGCCTAAAATGGCATCCTTCTTTCTCATATCTTTACGGGTTCAACTGATGACCGCTTTCTTCGAAGATTTTATTGGGCTGCTCCAGCACTGTCGTGGACGGTAGCTGGGACCAAACTCCGCCCCAATTACTGTTTGAACAATGCATCATTCCACCACCACCCAGCCAGGATAAAACAGATGTGCTTCGATGCTGGAGTGAAACTACTATATTTGCCAACCTATTCACCTGATCTGAACCCAATAGAGGATTCTTTGCGGAGTAGAAGGCTTACATCAGGAAGAACTGGTCATTATCGGAGGAGGCTCTACCCAGGGTTTCGGTGTTTTCCAACAATGTCTTGATGGCGTCGGCGCGAAAAAATAAAGTGTAGACGGTCACTCCCGAAGTGCTGGCGTATCCATTGAGCTGTTTGGTTTTGCGTTCATCGTCTTGCCCGATGAAAAGAGCTGGGATACAGCGCATGTAACATTGTTCATATCACTGCTAATACAACTCTAGAGTGCTTTGCGAAATCCACTTCATGCTTCAACAACACTCTTCGATTTATTGCCCACCAAGTCGCCAAGTTGCTACGATAGTGGGTTCCGGCTGTAATACCATAGCCCGGATATCCAAAAGAACTGCCAATACGCGAACCATCTCTGGGATATACACCCCACAACCTTGTACCAGCAAGGTCCAGGAAAATTATCACCCACACATTTCACACCTGCTCGTAACTAATCGGCTACGTCTTTCCTCTTATGGCGAGCTCCTTGACAGTATACTTTGCTAAATTTCACGCCAATTCTTTGATGTGGTGATCGCGGTTTATCGTATATAGCCACGAGACAGCAGAGACGGGCGTTCAAGAAAGGGCTGAACCTGGGATGGGATACGGTAGAGGAGATAAAAGTATGGCAGTTACCGTACATACAGTGTCAGACCATAAGTATCGCTAGAGTATTTCTTCAATGAGGATCATTCCGGTGATGCCACAAAACTTATGGACAGAAACAGAAACATCCTTGGACTTGACAAGCTTAAGACCTTGTATCGCATTATGCGCTCCAAAGGAACCTCGCAAGGGTACCCCTCCTGGATATTTTGGCACACTTGCAGATGGGCTAGGCCCCTTTCTTAGGCTAGTTAGTGCAGACCGTGCATGTCCAACCCGCAAGGGCTTTCCCTCGCAGGAGTTTGCCGTAGAGGATACTCGACGTCGGATATCAGCTGGTTATGGGTCACAATGTGCAGAACTAATAGGAAATCAAGTAGAATATATTCAATAACATGGCAAATATTGCTGCCCAACCTCGGGAGGGTTCGCCATCGATTTGGAAACGTAAAAAACAAATTATTCGACATGCGCTTGGAAGAATTGGGTTGTTCCGTGAATATTCTGACCCCATCGTGGGTATTTGTTTAGGTCGCCAACAAACTAGTTGTTGGACGTGATTCGTGGCTCAGCCTTCAACGCGGCACTCCTCCCACAACTGTGATATAACCAACACGCAGGGGTTGGTTTCCAGGGTTAGCTGGCCAAATACAGCCTCAACCCCCCTATTTTGTTCATATTGCCATTCCGTCGCGATTGAATAGGATTGATCCTTGCTCGGCGGCTCTATCCGTTCCCACATTCGCGTTCTGCACCCAAGCCAAACCAGATCAACCCTTTGACCATAATCCTCCCTTTGAGTATATACCAGCATCGGTTCCCAGCAAGCTCTCTTCTCTCGCAAGTATCGTACATCATAACTTCCTAACAATTCTGCATTTTTGTTCCCGTGTTTGCTTCCCACTCATCACATAAAAAATTAGCATACCCAGCCGAACTTTTCTCCCTTGCAACTCCTAGTTGACCTCGCACCAACTCAACGGTCTTTTTATCCCGTCAAGATGGCGGGACTTTCACAAGAAGATCGCGAATTTATCAAGAATCATCCTCTAACCAACTTAGTCGATCCTTTACGAGGCGCGCTTCAGGAAGCCGAAAGAATATATGAGTCACGTCTAATTTCCTACGATGGCGCAGATAATAGCCTTGACCAACTCTATCGAAATGCGATTTCAAAACTCCTCTCTGCTTTACAGGGAGAGGAAGCGGCGCTCAATATTCGCTCGCGAATAAGCAATGGAAATGTGGCTTCTGATCTAGCAAATCTGTTTACGAGCCTTCAACGGACCAGCTTCAGCTACAACCACTACAGGCAGCTGGTACATCTGGTCATCCAGAGGCCTCTCCACACCGAGTCCCAGGACATCGAAACCTGGAACGTTGACATCTGGAAGGCCGTCCTTGGCCTTATTGACACCATTTCGCGAAGCACTCCCCCCCCTCCTCTTCATCCTACATCATCGACCCAACAGACGCCCTGGCTGCGCAACACTAGCAGTTTCGTCAATTCTACAGAATACCGAGCGCACATTGACATTGTGCTGAAGGAGGAGCTTGGAGAGATACACGCCGATATTCCTGGGTTCTTTGACGCGTACTTTGGAGACATACCACAACTCAATGTGGTTTCACAAGCGGTATTGGAAAGGTGCAAGCAGGGGGACATCCCACTTTACAGTGAAGAGGAGGGTTGGCAGGGCTGGCCTGAACTTGCAGCAGAAAAAGACGTTCTGATTTGGCTGGCCAACATCGTCGCTGAGTTCGTACGATTAGCTGAAGCGCAAGAACCGTCCTGGAAGATTGACCGCTGGCCTCTCGCACAGCCAAACCGGCCGCTACAGGGGTCTGTTGCGGTGAGAAAGCTTGATATCGGCTTTGTCAATGATCTGACAGCCACAGTGGATTCCAGATGCCACTGGTCGCAGATCCTGGTGCCAGGAGAGCTGAAGAACGACCAAAACTACGACAGGAAATCCGGGGCATGGTTTGACCTTGGCAGATATGCCAGAGAGGTCCTTGCTGCGCAGGACACCCGTCGTTTTGTGCTCGGGTTCACCCTCTGTGGGCCATCCCTGCGACTATGGAACTTTGACCGCCTGGGTGGGATTGCGTCGGAGGACTTCAACATCAACCAGGACGGCCTTCAATTTGTGTCTGTTGTTCTTGGATTTCTCTTGATGAACCCAGAGCAACTTGGGTTTGATCCCACCATTGTTGCGACAGAGACCAAGCGGTATATCGAGATTGAGAGGAACGGTATGAAGGAACGGCTGATCATCGATGGGATTATTGGACGAGCACGCTGTGTTGCTGGGCGAGCCACAACCTGCTGGAAGGCATACTGTGAGACAGACAAGTCACGGACACCGCTGGTTGTCAAGGACTCCTGGCAGTATCCGGAACGCACTGAGGAAGGAGAGCTGTTGCGAGAAGCAATGGCGAAGGGGGTCAAGAATGTCGGGAGGTATTATCACCACCAGACCGTTCGCATTGGAGACAAGGATGATGATGTCTTGGCTATCCGAAAGGGCCTCAGTATTCCGATTTCGAAAGGTGGGAAGGGTGGCTTTAAGGCGTCGGTGCGGCGTAGAAGGTCTCAAAGGGGACAAAAGAGCCAGAGCAGCACCACTGGCCAGAAGCGATCCTCTGACTGCGTGGACACAGCATTTCCTCCCCCCCCCAGTAAACGTACCCAGTCGAGTTCTCCGTCCAAATCTGCCAGCCACTCTACCCCATTCAATCGAGTTCACCGCCGCGTCGTTATCCGGGATTATGGGAAACCAATCTATGAGAGTAACTCAAAGGCCACACTTCTCACTGGACTAGCCAGCTGCATTGAAGGATACATGTCACTCCATGATGAGGCTGGCCTCATCCAATGTGACATTTCCCCCCGCAATCTGATGGTGAACGAGGACAAGGACAATCCTTCATGGCCTGCCTTTCTGATCGACCTTGACCTGGCAATCAAGGTACAACGGGATGAGTCTTCCGGCGCACGGGGCAAGACTGGCACCAGGGCGTTCATGGCCATTGGTGTCTTGTACGGCGAAAAGCATTGTTTCATGCATGATCTGGAGTCGTTCTTCTGGGTCCTGTTCTGGATATGCATTCACTATGACGGCCGTGGCAAGGGGAGCAGTGTTGAAGAGTTTGAGAAATGGAATTATATGAATACTGGAGAGCTGGCTTGTGCAAAAAAAGGAGTGATAAGTGATGAGGGTGACTTTCTCAAACTTGCTGAAGACTATTTCAAACCCTACTATCAATCTTTGATCCCTTGTGTCAACCGATTACGGCGCTTTGTCTTTCCAGACGGCGGACGGTGGAAAAAACCAAATTTCAATCTATCTCAGAACATGATTGAAACACTTCAAGATGCACGTTATAGCTCAGATGCTGTGGACTAATGGAGATTTAGTGCATCAATAGCGTGAATTTGCTCTTGTTTTGTCTTTTAATACACCATGCATGCCTTTTGACAGACTCGGTAGAAGACTTTGGACGGACATGATTTGAGCGGCTCTACCGCAACTCCTTTCAGTAGAACTAGAATCTACAATTATTATAGAAACTCCTCTCATCGGTTATCAACCAATGAAAGCGCCTACGTTGAGAAGAATTTGTGGCTTGGAACTTTCCTTTGGCCAGGTTTATGATCCATGATCAGCAAGATGAGCCCCAACTTCGGTCAAGTGGCCTCTGGCGAATGGCGATTTTACAATTGAACGGGATTGGGCTACCTGTTTCCCTTGTCATAATGCTAGTATTCTATACATCGACACTGCTATATATGTCGACGGGTGCTTCCAACCCAACTTCTGGTGCGATTAATACTACACTGGGCTGAATGCTATCCTTTAAATCATGCCAGTGCTGGAAAACAGGCGTTGAAACACAAATGCCAGGCAGGACCTTACAATACCGTAGTGACTGAAATCTATTACAAAATTTCTGCAAAAAAAGAAAAAAGGGGATCCCTCTGCCTACACTCCGCGCTTGTTTGCATTTTACATAGAAATATGAAAGGGTATTGGTATTTACCCCCCAACAATAAAGGGGCTGTTGTTCAGAATAAACGCCTCCGCTTCCCATTCATCTTCATATGTATCGCCAAAAGCAGTCCGGTATATCGCGGTGCTTCGTTTATCACCAGCGTAAGGCCACAGAGCTCGAACAAACTCCCAATACTCTGGTTTGAACCCAGCATTTTCCCAATCAATCAGCCCAAATAGTCGCCCATCCTGAACAATGATGTTTGACAGGTGTAGATCACTATGGGTGAAACAAACATTGTAGTGCTTTTTGTACAACTTGGCAATCGGTTGCTGACTCTTATGCTGCTCAAGATTGAAAACGAACTGGGTTATATCATCAGCAAATTCTGCTGTGGAGTTGAACGGACCTGGTGTACGCCCTTCATACAAGTGGTCACAAATTGGACCCCCAGATGCGCCTGCAATGAGATGCTTTGATTTGTTGGGAATCTGCCGGAACTCATCAATCCACTTGGCCAAATCTTTCCCTATCTGTTCGCGTTCTTCGTACGTTGTCCGGTACATTACCTGGTTTAATGGATATCCATCAATTCGTGTCATTAGAATGAAACCAGAGAATTCATCGATAATAACATGATCAATCAATTTTGGTGCGTTTATTGAGCAATGATTCTCAACAAGCTGTAGTGCACTCGCCTCGTTTTCGGTATTCGCACGGCCTCTCTTCAAACAAAGGCCAAGCGGAAGCAACTTCACAAGGGAGCCAGCTTGTGTGGGGTCTCGGTAGTCTATTTGTTGGTCGATGAAGTTGTATAATGTTATTCGAAATGAACTGGGCAGAATTGATAAGAAATTTCGGAGTAAGAATCTTCCCACACGCCCAATGGTCCAACCTGGTAGGTGGCGATCAGTATAGCAATCAACCGGATTCAAGGTTATATGGATACCATACCTTGTTTGATAGGTTGCCAGCCTTTTTTCACACCCAATTCTACAAGATACATGTGCAAATTAATGAAAAGTCGATAGTGGGCATTTAAGAGAAATTCCGCGGGAAGGGGATGACTCTCGGGATCTGCCGTTGAAGGGGTTTTGTAGAAGGAGGAATGGCCATCCAGTAACTCTAGCGAAACCGCACCGGGAGTTTGCAGTTCAACTCTCCACTAATGTTTAACGCTCAATATTTAACACTCTACTTCAAGTGATTCAAAAGAGCACTTACTCCTCCATCATCTCCTAGATTAGAGGCGATGCCATTGGTTCCTTCAAGATAAGGCGATTTCACAATATAAATATGGCCATGACGGAAAACTTTGCGTATTGATGGCCCCATCAGCCAAAGATTCTGAAGCTGATCCTCCGTCTTGGATGAACCAAGCAAAGTAAACAGCCTCTCAACTCCATCCTTGGTTAGGATGGCTTCCAGGAGTAGCCGTAACGGTGCCTAAGTAAAAACAAAATGCTTTAGGACTTTCAAAGGCAAATTGGAAATACAAATATATATACGAGATATATAGTAGTAGTAATAAGAATTGCAATAATGGAAACATATAGTTACCCCTTCTCCGAAGTCAGGATCACGCAGGATCGACGGAGCAAAGATGTAGGTAGGTTTAACGCCATCTTGGGATCCCGTGATACAGCATCGATGGCCACCTCTCTCATGAAGCGCAGTCTGGGCCTCTGCATGTACAGGGTCATCACGACCACCTGCGAAGATCGTAAACACAGATGTTTCTAATAAGATGGTAAACTGAGGCCTAGCTTACATTTCAGGACTAGAGTATTCAAATCCGCCCGGATCGAAAGCAGCACCTCCTCTGCAGTGTATTTGGGATTCTGGGATATTCGGTCAAGGACATATTGGCCTGTTGTAGCAGGAATACGTGAGTGAATTAGGAAGGTAGATAACGAAAGATGTTCAAAACTGGATAAGTTGGCCTCATATATGGCATCTTGAGCAGTAATAAACGCTCCTTCGAAAGCCTCCACACCAAGTGACATTGATATGGTATTGGGAAGAACACAAAACAAAAGTAAAGTATATTGTTTGTCCTCAAATAAATGTAATATTTATGCTGATACCATTAAAAGGAGTTATCCACGGGGCATGTTAGCGGCGCTATCCCCTCGTCTGGCCGCGAGGACACAATTAGTGAATACAATTAGTGTAACAACCAAGCTGTTAGTTCTGATGTACCAACCAATAATTCTTCATACTAAATTCTATGTAATCTGATTTGTTGATACTGCTTCACTATCTTAGTAATCTGCTATCTTCTCATCTTGATTCATTCATATTCATGATCTTCTTATCACTCTGATCACTCTGCTTCAAGAAAGAAATATGACTTCTATAGATGATTTTCAATTTCTTAATACTTCTTTTATTCAGATTGATTGATCTAATTTTTTTATTTAGATAGTACAAAAATAGATGCAAAGTGAAAGCAATCTGTCAGTGTATAGATAGATGGTGGTTTGAGTGGCCATGCCTGCTGTGGGCTGGGCCACACAGTACACCACCACACCCACAGATACTATAAGCACAATCATTTAACAAATAGCTATGTTGGCTTTTTGAATAATCTAGTGGTTATAGTGCTATCTTATCACAAAGATATAGTTGTGCAGTATGCAGCAATATTGCTTTCTGCTTGAAGCAAGAATGTTGAAAGAAGTTCCATTCTGATCATATTAATTAGAACTACAGATGTGTACAGTTGTAGTTAGTTAATGATTACTAAAACACATTAATACAGCTGATCTCTCATATGGTCCAGTAGTTTTCATATATGTAATACACTAATGTACACACTAAAAAATACACTAATTGTGTCCTCGCGGCCAGACGAGGGGATAACATGACCCCCCGAATAACACCCCATAAAACTATTACTGTATAACAGAGTTTCAAATAGATGCCAACATCGGAAATACTAGTAATTTTCTGCCAAGGCTCTAGTATGTTGTATAAATTACGACCAAACCCAAAGTCGATAGCTTCAAAATTTCCCGAAGCGGGTTTTTGTTTCCTACATCGACTTTACTCATCCGCAGAATGTTAATTGCTTGCATACACCTCCACCCGTACAAATAAGCCACTGCGCCAACCCCGCTGATTCCGGTTTATTCCCCGTATTTGATTGAAGGCTCACAAGACAGCTCTTGGGCATGTTGTACGAGCTGATTGCGGTGGTATTATATGCCTATTAACTCTCCCCTTCTACGTTCTTTTATATTGACCAGACTGACCCGCCAATCCTACAGGTCCGCCCGGGAAGTGTGCAGGAGGTTAGAGAGTACGTAAATATATCCAATACTACCTATCTCATCAATTCCCGCTCGAGAGTTTTCCCCCGACCTGCAACCCCCAAAATCAGAGGGGAGAGGCTTCTCTCTCCACGCAGACAGCCATACCCAAAAAAACACATCACGAATAAACCTACCAACTAACCCAACCTGCAGAATCGCCCGCATCACCGGCCTCCAAATCCTCTACTCCGGCGGCGTCATCCGCGGCCTGACAAACTGGGGCCCATTCCGCCTGCCGCGCCCCATCACAAAACACCAGACAAAATACTCAACAGGCCACCACTTCATTATGCGCTTCGACTCGTCGTCCGCCGTGCAGCAATCCGTACGCAGAACCCTTGGCCTCGATCCTCGTATGATCCGTTTCTCGGTGGTTAAGTTGGGCAATAAGTTGGAGGAGATTAAGGATGTGAGCGGCAGCGTGGAGTGGAATCAGACTCGGCAGTTGATTGGGGATGATTTGGGGGTTAAAGTTCCGTTTTCGAGCCTGCGGAGGTGAATCGGTGGATATCGGATGGTGGATTTATGGATTGATTGGGATTGAGCATACTTCTTTTTTTTTTCTTGTATTGATATCATGGACTGGGGCGTTCTTTTTTGTTTGACATTTTTTTTTGTCCGTGTTTATTTTCATGAACTACCAATGCCTCATTTTGGCGGGGCTTGTTTTTGTCCGAGGGCACTGTATTTTTTACATATAGACTTATGAGTTTGTTTTGCTGCTACGAAGGGGCAGCCTTCCATTATACCTAACATTAAGCATATCAGAATGAATCCAAGGAGTACATAGTGAAACTTTGTAAGATGAACCTCCTTATCGTCTCACGGAATAAACGGAGATGTGACAAAGGCAAAACTCGTACAGCTTCCAAAACGGAATATACACTCACGAGAAAGTAAGCGCACAGTATTCATTTAAGGGGGAAAAACAGGGGGAAACAAGTCATAGTACATGCAAATGTACTGTACACAGGAGGAGTATGATTAGGGTTAAACATAAAGTAGGGAGAGAAAAAATGGGGGACCTAATGTCGTATAATTAACAACCCTCCTGATTTCGACGCCAGCCCAATTCTGAATATCCTGGTATATGATGTAAAATTTAGATGAAAGTTGGGAAGAACCATAGAGAGAAGGAGAAAATCGAATAAGTGAAAAGGATACAGGGTTTGTATTTCGGTGAGCCTGGGAGGGCCTGGGAGGGCCTGGGAGGAGATATGCAGCATCAAACAAAGAGCCAAATATGGAAAACAAATCATACTGCTCAGAACAACCGCCACCCCTTCGACCGTTCCTTAGATGCAGAAACATGTTGTCCATGCGTTTTGCTCCCTCCTTCCAGCTGCCTTAAACTCTCAATCTTCTCTAACACCAATTCAAGCATCTCCTTCTTCTTAATGACATCTAGATGCCGGCGGATGCGCGGATCTTCGCGTGCGAAGCGCTCAATTTCAGAATCCGAGAGATGGCGGCCGAGTCGGAGATCGAGCTCGCGGGGGAAATTGTAGTAGAACTCGGAGAGGAGTTCTACGTTTAGAAAGAGGACGGCAGTGGCGGTGAGTTTGTCGGCGACCACGTCGAGGAAGACTTCGGGACAGTGGTATTTGTTCATTTTGGAGGCGCACTGCTTGGAGCGGACGGCGAGGAGGCGCATTTTGATTAGATCCGCGCGATCCCGGAGAAAAACGGCTTCTCGGCCTGTGGAAGTTCCAAGCATGGTTAGGTAAGGAATACATTTCCAAGAAGAAAAAATATACAGGCAGTAGCAGGAGTGGACACCAACCTTTTTGGAGCAACGAAGCGCTGAATCCACCTGCCCCGCCAGAGCCATCTCCCTCAATAGATATATCCCCTTTCCGCATTTTGTCGATAAAGGTCATGACATCCTTCAACTTCCTCTTTCCTATATTATCTTCCACATGTTTCAGAGCATGGCCACATGCTTTCAGCTCTTCCTTCAGCACAATACTAATATTTTCTCGTCCCTTGGCCCATTCCAAATCATCTACTTCGATTTCAAATTTGTATGGCTTGATGCAATTCTCAACTTGGTCACTCGTGCTGAAAAACCGGTCATTAAGAATAGTGGCTGTGGCATCCGCTATAGCCTTTTGCGCGTATGGGTGAGATGCAAACGTAGAGGCTGCGACAAGGTCATCAACGCGGTTTTGCAACGCATTGGCCACTATCGTAGTTGCTAGGCGACCTATCCCTAATTTTGTAAGGGCAGATGAAGATGCATCCAGTTTCCGATGCCAATAGAGAGATTCAGGGTCTGCTTTTGGCAGATCAACAAGAGGATCCGGCTCCGGTAGAGGTGGTGAAAGGTCTTCGACAGGTTTATTCCAGTATCTTTGCGCGAGAAGGTCGAGGACCCGCTGGTCGAGTTCGTTTTTCAGTAATTCACGAACCTGAGGACGACCGAAACTCTCGCTAAATTCTTTGAATGAATGCTTGAAGCTGTCCAGGCTCTCTGCAAGATAGGATTCTGCGCTCAATGGACGATCATTGTACTGGACCTTGAACTCATAGGTTGCCTCTTCAAGTTCCTGGAAAATGGCATCGCGGGTTCCGGTAAGGCTTGAAGCCATTGATTGTTCTAGGGTGTGCATCAACTTCTTCCGCAACGTTGTAGTTCCAACAGATAGTTCGGAGCCCACACCAAATTCTTGTGGATGGCTTCCAAAGAAGGCCTTTTCATTTTTGACAATAGCATTTGTAATATTTCCACTTCCTCGGGAGAATAATCCCGCTGTATGAGGAACCCGAGAAACAACCCCTACGTAACCCAACCGAAGTGGATATTTGCTATCAGAAAGTATGCTTGCCCCTCTCTCAGGATCAACAAGGTCCATCTTTGTGACAACACCGATCGTTCGTTCCCCGCGAGGATCGACCCGCCGCGAGGCCCTAAGGGCAGTAGAATTGGCCAGGTCTACGTCTGCTGCAGAAATAGCGAGAATGATATTGGGTGCTTGAATGTACCTGTCACATAAATCGGAGATCTTTTGTTTAAGCTCTGGAGGTTGGTCACGGCCAGCAACTTGGATATATCCAGGCAGATCGATCAGTGAAAGGTCGGGGATGTGCGGAGAATATATTGAAAGTTGAATGGGGTCGTCTGACACACAGTCCTTTTCCGAAACTGCAAGATTGAGATCAGTCAAAGTGCGCTGAATTTGACTGAAATCTGTTATCTTCCCAAGCCCGAGTGCTGGAAACTCGCCGTATTCTGTCTGTGAATTTGGTGTGTTAACCAGAGTCAATTCAATTGGTCGTCTTGTTACCATGTTCGAGCCCTTTGGGAGGAACTCATGACCGACGATCGCTTCCAATACAGAACTTTTCCCAGAGGACTGAGACCCTATTACCACAATGGATGGCAAGGTTAATGCATTAGACTGGCCAATCCGTTGTAAAATGCTTCTGATTTCGATCATCTTTCTCGTCAATATCATCATCTGGTCGTCGATTGCATTCTTCTTATCTGAAGCAACGTCTTCGTCGGAATCATGGCCCAGTCTGGCACCTGCTGCAGCACCAGCTACCACGGCCGCACCCATCCTGCTCTCCTTTGGAGAACCACGCCCGCCGCCACCGGATGAACCTCCACCCCCGGATTCTGACTGTTCCTTGAGCCGGAGAACCTTCTGCGCCCACTCTGGCAATTCAATATCTTCCTTCGTTCTCTGCCACCCACGATTCGTCTGTTCGGCGATATCCTGGATATTTTGCAAAATGGACAAGCCAACCCCGCCCGCAGTATCGCCGGCTTGTCGAATAATATCCATGGCATAATTCCCGGCCTCTAAAAGGACAAAATAAATAGTAAGAAATAAATCTGTCCAAAAAAAAGGAGTAACATGAAGTTGGACAATAAACAGGGGTGGGGAAGAACGTACGAGCAGCCTGATATTGGATATACGCCAGTCCAGCAATCATAGCACCACCAAACATGGCAGGTATCCTGGCGAACTTTAGAGCCAACTTGGGAAGGACGCGGGCAAAGGAAATAGTCCGAACAACAGAGACGTTGTGAATCCAGTTCGCGCGCAGCGGCCATGGCCTCCCGCGGAGACCAACAGTGCCACCCCCGGATGAGCGCAGCGGGCCGCCCGTCCTCGCTCCAGCATTGTGCAGTTGACGAGCTAGGAGGCTTCTCCTAGCCAGCACGGCAGTGCCGTGGGAGAAAAGTCTCCCGCTCATCGTCTGTTTGTCATGTACTAGTTGCGAGTGACGGATTTCGAGGTCGCATTGATTGATTAGCGGTTGCAAAGGATAGACAATCGACGGATTCGGACAACGAGCTGCAAGATGTATAGGAGTGAGGATAAGGGAGTATGTTGTTGGAGAGGGGAGACTCTGTTAGGCTGTTCGCTGACTCCTTTTGTTTGTTTCCGCAGGCGGCGATGTTGTGAGGTCACGCTAGCCCCAAGGGACCCTTCCAAGGTACATGTACATGGGTGCGCGTATGAACAGGGAGTGTTACATAAATATGAGAAAATGTCGATTATTCTTGTACTGACGACAGAACTATATCCGTGTATTTTCTCGCTTTGTAGGCGCTATTCTTCATCTTTCAGACCAACGGCCGTTGAATACGGTAGGGAACGAATGATCCACGTGATATGTGATGTTTAGTCACGTGGAGATAATTAATTTGCGCCCTTGGTTGTTGCGGATAACCCTAAACAAGGTGGAAGTAAGTAGTTTCTCGATCTGGAGGTGAGAATAGGTTGATCGTGCTCCAACACAGTAGGCAAATTAGAACCAGAACCACATTCAACTGTCAACAATTCCGAACCCTATGTAATTGCAACTATCAAATTGCAACTGTCTATGTTTCTTGGGTGATAAGCATGTATGAGTAAGATTGTCCGAGTGCATTTTAGATGGGTGAACTAAATCTGGGCCCTCGATTTCTTGGCATAGATCTCAGCTCTACAGTCATGTGCTATCACGACATCGGTCACGTGTATTAGGTTACCCAGAAGCAGCAAAATGAGCCGCAGCATTCAAGAAAAGAAAAGAAAAAACAACGTCCCTGATAGATAGAAATAGAACGTTACTTTTCATGAGTTTGTTTTCTTTATCCTTTCTGTTTCCTTGTTGTCCTGCTAGATTTTGTCGTTCGTGATACTTCTTCTCCTTCTTTCACTGCTGCTTGCTAGGATTGTATTTACTTGCTTGAGTCAAAGCTTCCGTGAGCTCCTCCGCCAGCAGCTAGCATTCCAAATCGTTAAGAGACGTCCACTATTCATCCGAACATATTCTATTCTTACAGTTACAGTTTATACCCTTACCCAAATCATTCATACGCTACCTACTCCGTACAAAGCTACTGGTTGACCGCCAGCATAGGCGGATCTCTCGCAGTGAACTGATGTGTCGATTTCTAGTATGTCCATAATAACCCTGTTACTATCTATTATACGTTAATATTATATATATACCTACTTCTCTGCAGCTGCTACAGCTCCAGGTAGCTGGAGCATATGCCTCTCTGCAATATTCCGCCTTGTGTATGTCTTCGGAAAGCTAAACTAACAGGCCCCGTTCTAATTGTAGGTATACAAAGGGAGACACGACATCCTTCTGAGCAAACTCATAACAGAACCAAGCCACTCTATCCTAACTCAATCCTATGACTCCCGCCTCAGACTAGTGAGCTTACTCCATAAATCCTGAAAAAGAATGAATAAGTAAAGCGATAAGATAGTCCTAAGTAACTAACACCCCCACCCTCTCCCCAGGATACCCGCCGCCCCGTAAACGGCGATGGCTTCGGCGTGGGTTTCTACACTGCGCCCTCCCTAGGCCCCGACCCATGCATCTTCACCTCGACCCTTCCGGCCTGGAACTGCGAAAACCTCGAACGTCTCGCTTCCAAAACCACTTCCTCCCTTATTTTCGCCCACGTTCGCGCCACCACCGAAGGCGCCTTAGCGGACAACAACTGCCATCCCTTCCAACACAACACCCTCATGTGGATGCACAATGGCAACCTGGGTGGTTGGAAATATATAAAGCGTCACTTGGCTGACTCCCTCGCTGACAAGTGGTATCTGGGCGTCAAGGGTGGGACGGATAGCGAGTGGGCGTTTGCGCTGTTTCTGGACCTGATGGAGCGGGAGGGCGGGGTTGATCCCAGCTCGGCGCCGGAGGGTGGGTTTGGCCATGCGCTCTTACGAGAGATCATGCGCAAGACGATTTGCAGGATTAACGAGCTGATTGCGGCGATCCCGGCTGGGTGTGGGGTTACGGATGTGGAGACGAGGAGTTTATTGAATTTTGCGGTCACGGATGGGCACACCGTTGTGTGCACGCGGTACGTGAGTAGTAAAACGGACGAGGCGGCGAGTTTGTACTTTTCGTCCGGAACGAAGTGGAAGGAGGGAAGGACAAAGGGGCATTTTAAGATGGAGAGGCATGATAAAGGGGCAGATATTGTGCTGGTGGCCAGTGAGCCATTGACGTTTGAAAGACGTGAGGAGTCTCTCTCTACATTAATCCCCCTGCCGCCCCAAGAGGAATAGAAATGGATAATAATGCTGTCTGTCTGTGTGTGTGCGTGTGTATGTTGCTAACATCCCACCCACCCCATTCTAGATAACTGGGTAACTGTCCCGACCAACTCAATTCTCACAATCCACAAACAAACCGTCCTCATCCACCCCCTCATCGACGAGTTCTACGACGACGATCCAAACCATGACCGCTCTTCTGGCTTTGCCGTCTCCAAAGGCCTCGTCAGCAAGGCTCCTGGCACCACAGTGGCCCCAGATACAAATAATGACCCCAACAGCAACCATCCACCCGCATCAGAACCCTTCACGCCGGCTGATACCCCTGGTCTGTCCCCCAGGGCACAGCAGGAAAGCTATAGTCATAACAACAGTGGTAATGGAGGGTCAAGGTTGGGTGAATTGGAGCAGAAAATCAGAAGTGTGCAACTTCAGTCGTGACGTGATTGGGGAGAGACCTTTAATGAATGAATGACAGTTGCTTCGCTTCTTTCCAGTGACGAATAATTCTCTTACCGACAATATTCTTATGCTAACGATGGATGGGATGGGATGGGGTCGGGTCGCGAAATTATCGGTGGGCACCTACCTAGAAAGAAAAGAAAAGAAACGGATGGATGAAAAGAAAAAAAGAAAAAAACACCGATTTATTAGACTGGGCTTCTATTGATTGCGGATTTATTGAAATAGCCCCGATCCAAGGATGTCTTTTTGCTAGGGGCTTCAGCGTTCCCCCCCTCTTCCCTGGTTTTTTACACTTTTCTTATCCGTTTGCTTTTTCGGGCCTTTGGCTTATTTACGTTTCTTTTTGGGCTTGAGTCTTGGATTTTATCCAAGTTCCTTTTTCATTTTTTCATCTACCCCCTTTCTTTCTTAAAGCTCAAACGACAGGCAGGCAGTCAGTCAGTCAGTCAGTCTGTAGTTGTCTCTTGGAATAGCATTCCGGGTTTAGCAATTCTATATATACATACGCCTTGTTCCGGTTTCTATACCCGGCTCTAAATAAAGGCCCGATGAATGAAAATGAAAATGCTACCAGGCCGGCTATGCAGAACATAAAGCTCCGACAAACCATGGTTAATGTTAAAAAAGGGGGGGGGTGTAGGCATGTAGCAAAACTGCCAACTGATAAATAACTACTCCAATAAACATTAAAAAAAAATCCCACCTTCAACACCAAGGTATTAATAATAATAAGAAGAACAAAAAGGGAAAAAAAAAAGGTCCTAAATATCCTCCCCCGAAATATTCGCATGCCGAAAATACTTCATCCCCACCCACGCCACAACCACCCATACCCACGCCATCACCGCCGTCAAGATAATCAGCGCCGGATAATACCCTACAATCGGCAGCGTGGGATCGTCCTCCAGCTCCGGCGGCGCATATGGCGTCTCGCCCACATCCCACGCCCAGCTCCACACGCCCAGACAGCTGCCCATCCCGATCACGAAGACCAGCCACGTCACGACTAGGATTATCCACCCCCACCACTCCGTCTCGGCGTAGTCCCATGCTTCAAGCGTGGAGCTGGTGACTGCTGCAGCCGCGGCTGCGGCGGCGGCGGCAGAGTTGGGTGAAGTGGACTTGGCTGCAGTTGTTGGGGGGAATTCATCGGATACTGATATGCCGGATACAGATGGTGGTGCTGTTGTCAATGGGGTGGTGTCAGGGATGCCGTCTACGGCACCCACGCCTGTTGGCTCCGCGCCTGATAGTGATAACGGCGACCTGACGCGGCGGGAGGCGGAGCGGAGGCGGGTGGAAGACGGCATTTTTTTTGCTGTTTGTGAGACGGGGGGAAAGTAGGAGTCTGAACTTGAAGAAAGGGAAGCGGTGGAGATCTTGAAGGGGACGGCACGGCGTGGGGCGGTGGTGGGTTGTGTGTCTGCGCCTTGGTCCACGCTGCTGATGTTGTTGTCGTTGTTGCTGCTGCTGCTGCTGTTGCTGCTGCTGCTAGTTGTCGGCGTTTTGGAAGCTGTGGATGTTGTAGTGGTGGTGCTGGCGTTGCTGTCGAGGCGCGTGAGTGAAGTTAAAGTTGAAGCGGGTGTTTGATGAAGGGTGGAGCGGAAATCAGGGACGCCGCGTTTGTCGTCGTCGAGATTATCGGAATGGGTCGAGGTATTTGATTGTAATCGTTCCTGGGGAGCCTGCTGTTGGTAGTGGTGGTGGCCTCGCCGCTGTTCCCCTTGTCCCCCCTGCTGCTTGATACCCGGAGGAGGAGATCCCTTCGCAATCCAGGTCCGAGATGGCGGCGGCGGGATCGGCGGCGGAGTATGTGAGGGAGCCGGAGGATGGCTCAGTTGCGCAGACAAAGATAAAGGCGGAGTTCTTTTCAGTCGAGGGGACACTCCTTCCTCCCCACCCACGTCCAATGCGGAAGGAGAAATCGGCGGAAAGCGCAGTAGACCCCCCCCACCACCTGTACTAGTATTAACCGTAGCATCACGGCCCCAACGCTCACTATCCTGTCCCATATCCGCCTCCCGATCTCCACGCAGATCCACAGCCCCCTTCGTAGCCGCCGTAGACGAAGTAGAAGTGGATGTAGATGTAGAAGAAGAAGTGGAAGAAACCCCCCGACCCCAGCCCCCCCTCTTCTCCCTCCCCTCCAGCCTCAACGCCCCCGTCCCCGACAGCGCCGTCTTGCGCAACGACCCCTTCCTCTTCCGCGCCTTGCGCTGCTGCTGCTGCTGGAGCGCGCTCGCCATGGCGCCTCCACCAATGCTCTTCGCCCCAACCACGCAGTCCCCGGGCGCCGCTCTACCCTCATTATCCGGTCTGTGTTGTGCATGCGCTTGCGCCTGCGCTGCATCGGTGCCCGTACCGGTGCCGGCACTGGTAGTCTCAGGGCTACTACTCGCGCTGCCTAGGTTTCCGCCGCGCGAGAACGAGAGGCGCGAGAAGGACGAGCTGAGTAGGGTGCGTTTAAAGCCGATTCCGCCGGCGGCGACCGGGGGCCCTGGGCCTGGGCCTGGGCCTGGGCTTGGGCTTGGGCCCCGGTTGAGCGATGAACTACGGCCTGGCGAAGCAGGTGGGGGGGTTAGTTCCTTTGGGTTTTCTGGTGGCGGTGGTGGTGGTGGTGTGGTAGGCGCGTCGGTGTCATTTTCCATCGGGAGTTGTGGATTTTTGAAGTTTTTGGGTGCGCGCGATGCGCATGGGGGTGAAGTTGTGGGTTCCCACGACCGCGAGATATGGCTTTATTATTATTAGAATATAGTTTGTTTAATATATGTAATATGTATTAAAGACGAAATATTCCGAGCTCGCTGCGAGGGAGGGAGGGAGGGAAAGGGCAAGTGGAATTCGCTTATTGGTAGGCAGATGGGCGGAGAATAAAATATAATAATAAGGGAAGGTATTCACACAAGGGAGGGAATGAGAATACAAAGTATAGCTAAGGAACCTGAAGTGTGCAGGTTGTTTGGCAATCCACCGTGGTTGTCTTTCGCGAGAAGGAGAAAGAGAGCTCCGAGGTGGCGGCATCCCAGGCTCGGTTAGCTCGCCGATACTAGAAACTACAGAACAACGTTGTTGATAGATGCAATAGATAAATATTAATATATTAATTTGTGATCATCGAGAAAGGGATATTTTTAGAAAGCAGAAGAAAATGAAACTGCAAAAAATATAAATATTTAATAACTAATTACAATAGTTCACTCTCCGATATTCTTGAGCAGCCACTTTTTTTTGGACTTTGAACAGAAATAAAAGATAAGATTCATATATATTAATGATGAAAATAAGGAAAGCGAACAAAGAAAGTGAAAAGTGAAAACAGCAACATTTAAAGAAGACATATTCTAACAGCACATTTAGTGTATAATATACACTCAACATAAAAATGGGAATCGGGATCATAATCATATATAATCATAATCATAGTTGTTATGAAGGTCGAGGACAATGTTAGTGAGTTAACATAGTAAAAACATTTTAATTTAACAGCAATTTATTTGAACAAGTTCATTAGAAGTTCATACATAGAGAGAAACAATCTGTGTGCATGTATGTGGAGTTTTGATGCAGGGTGACAGAATGAGACTGAGCCGGAAAAGGGCCTTGAGAAAAATATTGGGTTGCAAAAATAGAAATAAGATCAGAAATAGAAGAATACGAAAGATATCATCAGTGGGAAACAGTATAAAATCCAAAAATATAGAAGTTTTCAAGGTGAAGCTGTCTCAAGTCGGTTGAGATAATGGAAAAAGATAGGAAGGGGGTATTCTGTTTTGCTTGATTTGAGAAAAGACATAAGAAGCGAATCAAAAAGTTATAAACGGCCTAGGTTAAACCGGAGAAAGGAAAAATAAATAAATAAATAATAATAATAATTGAAAAAGAAGAATTTCATTTCCGAGAGAAAAAGGACCCAAGCAACCACTAGAAAAGAAGGGAGCGGGTTGGGTGAGAAACAGAAGTCGAAAAGAAACAATTTCGATATAGTTCAGTGACAAATAAAGCGGAGGAAAGGATGGAAATTGAAGGAAATAAAGTAGAATAACAAGACCCATAATACTTTCAATAATTCAATGAGTTAAAAAACTTTTTTTTTTGGCAGAGCAAGAGACGGGTCAATCAGATGGCGTTAAATAAAGTAACTGCAGTAACTGCAGTAAAGGAAAACAAATGAGAGATTGGAATAATAGCGTTAAGCTGGACGAAAAGAAGAGGGGAGAGACAAAGTGAGGGGAAGGAATAGGACAAGCAAAGGGGATGAATAAGAGAAAAGAATCGGAGAGGCGAAAGAATAGGGTGTGGTTTGAAAGACGTTAGAAGGTAAACCAGAGAAGAAAACACAACAAAATTGACATAGGAAACAACAAAAATCGAAATAGCTTCCTCACAAACAAAACAAACAAAAAAAATCAATCAATCAATCAATCAATCCTAATAATATGTCGAGCTTGCGCGGCAGGGGTATTTAATTATTTTTTTGTTTTGCAGGGGGTGGTGGGCTGAGGTAGAAAGAAGAGTTTTTTTTTTCATGTGGGAGACATCATGCCATCCTAGCAGTCGTGGTGCGTGCACAGGAAACTAAAACGAAAAGAAAAAAAGGCGGGGGAGGAATTTCGATGTTTGTTGTTGTGTATTTTTTTTCAAGGTTGATATCCTCCAAACCCATTCCCGAAGCTTCCACTATTCGGCTGAGCCCAACCTGATGCCGGAGTAGACTGTCCGCGGCCGTATCCGGCCGCACCTCCTGGAAGCTGTTGACCATAGCCTCCTGCAGAGGGCATCCCAGGTCCCCCACCAAAGTTTGCTGCTCCTTGCTGGTCCCAGCCGCGAGCGCCGGGACTAGGTCCTGCACCGCCTAATTGGGGGAATGCTGGTTAGTAAACCTTTCTTGGCGTAAAAGGGATTAAAGGATTTTGGAGAGGGGTGGGGAGAACTGACTACCTACCTTGGGGAGTCATAGGACCGCTCGGACCGCTGTATTGCGGGAAATAGGGCGAGGTGCTAGAGTTGAACGTAGGGGTGCCACTCTGCTGAGGAGAATACCCTTCAAATTGCCCAGTTGGTGGGCGGTCCCTTCCCCACTATGATTTTTGTAAAATAAGAGTCAAAAACGGCGTCCTTTATACATATAGGATATTAGAA